TGTCAGTTCTGCTTCTAGTTTCTCTAGAGGTTTCAGGAGTAGGCTGCTGCTGAGGTCAGTGAGGCCTGATCCTACAGCCTCCTGCATGTGTTTTGTTCTCCTCCATTGCTCAGCTATATTGGCAGAAGTCTGCATAGAAGTCATCATTGAGGAAGAGGGCAGCAATACATCTATGAAGAAATTGTCAGAGGGCTCACTCAGTGACCCTGGCTCTCAGAGGTACTCAGATTCTATATCCAGTGAGTATGGAACTGGTGTCTGAGGAGAGTATACCACTGCTGCTGGTACTGGTACTCTCCTTGTAGGTCAGCAGAGGGGACTCATAGTCATTATTGTCAATGTGACAGGCCTCATCTGCTGTGAAGATCTGGGCATTATCTTAGTGGTCAGCAGACCATAGATCATCTTCATTGTCAGGACTCCACTCTTGAGGTCCATCATCTGAGCTCTTTGTATAGAGCCCATAGTGATCAGATGGGGCTGAGCCCTATTCTGTGGCCTGCTGCTCTCACTCCTATCATCTGTACTGAGCTGCATATTGAAGCTGCTTATGTTCTTCTTGTTGCTCAACCAGTCTCTGCTTATAGAGCTCTTCAGCCTGTCATTCCTGCTCAAGCTGATCCAGTTGGTCATAAATAATGTTACTATCAGAATCATATTCTGTTCTCTCATACTCTCTCCTGATATCATCAGGTACTTGTCAGATTCTATACTTGGTGAGTATAAAGCTGGCATCATAGGAGCTTGAGGTGGATGGGGCAGGACTGGAGGCTGGAGGAGAGAGACTTTCTCAAGAGGTGATGTATCTGGAGTGCCTATCTACTGCAGCTCTTCAAGCATCCTCAATGGAGTCTCTGACACAATCTCCAATGCTGGACTCATAGAGAGCAATGGAAGAGTCAGGGAATGGTGACTCCTCAAAGAAGTTGTCAGAGAGGTCCTCATCCTTGTGGTTAGAGACAGGAGGCAGGATCTATAGGACATGCATCAGGGTCTATGGGTTTTAGAATCCTGTGATGCTGTAACACTCATCATCTTAGCTAGCTGTTTGAGGGGATCTGGCTGATTGAGGTTCTTCTTCTTTTTGAAGGCCTCTTTCATTCATGTTACTAGATCTGGCTTCAGATATGGTCTCTGGCATAGGCTGGAAGGAGGCTCTGGCAGAGAGAGAGATGTCATAGAGAGAGAGGTCAGACATGACATTGTGAAGTATCTGCTGAATTTGTTAGAAGGATTGGTAATGTTTGACTACCCAAGCTGAAATAGATTGATGTCTGTAGCAGAGTGTGATAATAGCTAATAAGCCTAAAAGTATTCCTATGATCAAAGCTAGAAGCTTGAAGAATTCATCAGTTAGATTAGTAGTAGTAATGTTAATGGCAGGCATTTGGTTTTCTTTGCTTGTAATAGGTGTAAGAAAAGGAAAATAGAAGTCTTAAACTAATTGTTAGGCCTGAGTGACATGTGAACCAGAACACATAGTAAATAAGTGCTGTATTATGTTCATACAATCATGCTTAAGTCCAATGATGTATTTGTGGATGTTATGTCCTATAGTCAATACAAGTAGTTGACTTGAGGTAAAGCAGTAGAATAAAGGACAGTTCAAGATTAGAGATACATAGCATTATCTATACTACTTATATACCTCTAGATCTGTTGCTAAATATACTACTACTAATTGTAAGTATCTGTACTATAGTACTTGTTGTCCTGACAAAACAGTGTTATCTACAAAAGGCTTGTTGTGCTATTGTCAGGGTGTTGCTATGAGTCAAGAGACAATGGCTGATTGTGCTGACCAAGATTGTCCCACAGTTCTAAGCACTGGCATAGATGCTCTGACTAAGCATAAATAGGAGTTAATACTGTGAGAATAAGAATAAAAGTGGAAAAATCATAACACTATATGATCACCTACTATCACAATAAACCATTGGAGCCTATTGGGTTTGTTGATGCTGACTATAGCAGTGGCTATAATACAGCTCACTCTACATCTGGCTATATATTCACTATAGCTGGTGGACCAGTTTACTGAAGCTCCAAGCATTAGACAACTATAGCAATATCAATTGTGGAAGCAGAATATATCTCTCTGACTCACACAGTTCAGCAAATGATGTGGATTATATCATAGATAAATGAGATCCAACCTCTCTAGCTGCATCTGGAAATCTTTTATAGAGACAATCAGAGGGCTATTTAACTGATGACAATCATCAAATTACACCAGAAAGTCAAGCACATTTATATTCATGAATATTTTATCTGAGAACTAGTCATCTTCAGTGACTTGAAGATCAAGTTTGTTTATGGCAACTCCAGTCCTGCAGACATGTTTACAGAGCCCTTACCATGCAATATTCAAAACTGGTATCTTGACAAGTTGAACATTTAGATCATAGATTAATATGAATATGAGAGTGTGTTGGAGAATATTTATACTATAGTATACTCCCTTTAACTCTTTCTGATTGTCACTCATTCTTACTTATCTTATATATATATATCACCTCCTATCTCTATTCAATCACTATAAAGCCTCACAGTAGTTATCTGTGTATTTCAGTCATTTTACCATCACTGCATCTGGCTGAGGTATATATATTTTACAGTGTTTGCTTACTATATTACTCACTCTCATTTACAGTATTTACTTATATTCTTCTGTGACTAAGTACAGTGGCTATAATATAGTTATTTCACCATTGCTGTGCCTGACTGAGTACTTACTTATATTCTCCTGTCATTAATATACTGATAGAAAGGCATGACTATTGTCAGTCATCATATGTGGATGGGCACCTTTTCAAGGAGGATGTATGCTATAGACAATTCCTTCAGGCTAGACTAGATGATGATCAGATCCTTTGAATTCTTGACAGCCAAGAAGACACCCCAGCTACAGATGTGCTGAACAATACTTTAGAGACTGATAGTCTATCTAGCCAGACATTTCTGATGAAGCTATGAAGCTCTGATAACCTCAAATATGAACTATGCCTGATGCCTGATATGCATATTGACCTGTTGAACATCTCAGAAATAGCTGATCCATCACAGCTATGTGGACCTCTGAATTGTTTTCAACAGTGAGCAAATCCTCTCCAATTGTTGTGAATCTTGTCCTGAACTATTCTTTTTTATTCAGAATTGTGCAGGAGAATCAACTTGCCTGCTATGGATTGGTGCTTTTTGACTCATCAGAGGATCTACTGATTGATGGGACTCCTGTTTATGACAATGTTTCATTGGTTTATCTTGTATACACTGTAACATCACTGGAATCTTATACAATCTTGATAGAACATTTGAGCTCCAATTCTCTGGACTCTCATGGACTGGACTCATCATTAGAGAAGTCTCCCCAGATGCCAGTTATTGGATAAGAGAGTAGATTACCAAATGACAGAGAACCCTTGAAGGTAAATACACAAGGGTGCTCTACTCTGCCTACAGCTTTTATACTACTTTAGAGAGAACATACTGGAATCTCTGAGCAAAGAAAAGAAAATCAGCTGAGTAATGCACAGCATAACAGTTATCAATCCTGATAGTGAGTCTGGCAAGTGTGGTGCTTGTGATGATTGGCACCAAAAATAGCACACTGGTACCTGCTCAAAAGGTAAGTATCTGTGTGTCTCAACCATAGCTTTCATTGAGTTTTCCTTCTAGAAAAATGGAGAGTCAAGTTGCTCCTCTGGAGGGTGATTAATTTTGTCAAGGTCTTCAAGTGGTGCAAGGGTTCTCACAAGTTGTGATTCAGTCTGCAGGATAGACCCAATCACCTCACCTTCATTTATTATATACATTATTTTGTATTGCCAATCCTATTGGACAATTCACACACTCTCTGGTATGGTATTGTGGCTTCTTTTCACTGGTGGGATTGCACCATACTGAGTTGTGTAGAATAACATTTGAAGGATAACTAAAGGAAAGCTTAGAACTGTTCAAGTCATACCCAATCTGTTGGAATCTGTGAGAGAATTTGAGCAATCTAGCATTCTGGCATGCTGAGTAAGGAAAGAATCCAAGGGAAATTGAAGGAATTAGGTAGAAACTACTAGAAAAGGAGTAGTCTAGTATACATATGAGAAGTCAATGGGAAACTCCTCAGGAGTTTGTAACCCAAAGACTAAAGGTCTTACAAGCATGTACTCTGGATACAGTCCAAATCCCAACACAATCTGAATGTATCAGGATGCTCAACATCCTTCATGCTCTGTGGGCTTTCTTGCGACTGGAACAGGTTCTCATTTGATGCTCCTAAACAATCCTGAAAAGAGATAAAGATTAGCAATTGAGAATGAATAATGTCCAGAAACCTGTCGTAGTCATCGTGAAACTCTGATGAATCTGAAACCTCTTTGACAGTCGAAAGATCTGGATCGATAGCCAGAATCGGCATATAGTTGTTGTCTTCCTCAGGTTTGTCAGAGGGGGAATGTTTGCCATAAGGATTTTGCAATGCTGACTCGGTCAGTCGGCCTCGTTGCCCTTGTGTCAGCACTAATGAGTTCGACGACAACGACCTTAGATAGCTGCGTCGCTTACTAGCATCGCATGCGTCTTGACGATCTTCAGCTGCAACGACCATCTGAAAGGTGTAGACCAGGTTCTAACCGAAGGACGCAGCATCTTCAGCAGACTCGGAGCCACGCACACTCGCAGACTTGCAGTAAAATCCACCAAATCGTAGATTGACATAGTAGCTAAATAAAGTGACCAGAGCCGGTGACGACGGAAAATACTGACTCACCTGCCCAAATCCTTTATCAAGCAATCGAGTCTCCCACTTTAAGCAATGCCTGCACTCAAACCTTACTAGATCTCGCTAAAATCGTGGACTTATGCTTATCTCTTTGAGCAGTTTTGACTCGATATTTCCTCCGGGCTCACGAGTGATGAGTCCTTTTGAATAAGTTCCCATACCAGACACGGAATTCAGGACGATCTCTTTTCTCGTTTCATTTATATATATATGTGCTTGGAGGCTCCAAGCTCATGTTCACTGAAAGCTTCCATAATCCTCGCGTACGTTTTGACCATGCACTTACCTGTTTCGGGAAGTAAGCGATCTGTGGAAGGAGAAGGTGTCTATATGGAGACGGCGGTACTTTGAGCTTCAGTGAACATTTGTTTCGGGTTTCAAGGAGACACTGTATTCGATACCGTCTCGTGAGAATTTGCATCGAGACAATACCTAAGGACGAGCACACGAACGGGCGCCGGTATTTTACCGACGACTACGGACAGGGAATAGATAGTTTCGTCTTGGTATCATGGATTTGGGACTCTCTATGCTCCTTGTATTCTGCATATTAAATTTGAATATAAATCACCATCTGTACACGAGTGTTTGATTTTCTATTCGCTGTTGCCATGATCAAAAAAAGCTTAGAAAGAAACCTTGAGAACGAACCTCATTATCATGCGGGAAGTTGGCGATGAAAGCTGATGCGTCCCTCGCCGCGATGACTCGAAACCGGACATTCCTAGCTGCACATGCCTCCTTTATGGGTTGCAAATTATCCATCGAGCAACGACTTGGCAGACGTGACGGCCACAACAGGATGTCATCCAAACGACTGGAATGGATAAGGTTTACCATCGGGAGCGTCGCCTCTTGCCAAAATCCTTTGAGACTCAGGCACCGCAAGGTCAGAGGTAGGTGGTCAAAAAGCATAGTGCTGTATGACCCCGAAGTCGCATGCAATGACTCTAGCATGGAGAGGTGCGCGACTACCTCGTCTAGGAAAGGTTCAGGAATATGCCGTAACGCGTAGACCACAAGATGCTGGAGGAGAGTAAGCTGCGAGAGCGATGTCTTGAAATCATGGAGCGATCGAGACCGTCCGTTGATCTCATCATCTCGGTCGAAGTTATCAAAAGCTACATCCAGTCGGGTGAGAGAGGCAGTAAAGCTGCCTATGGGGAAGCGAAACACGAAAGAGCTGGTGCATGAATTGATGGTGAGACGCGTCAATGGGCAAACGGGGTCAATGCTCTCGAGGTTACACTTTGACGACGAGTAGATTTGGAGCTCTTTGAGAACTGGAGAAGAGCATAAGCGCTGGAGAGTCGAATGGCCGTATCCATCCGGGCCCTGGATGGTGATATGGCGTGCACCCGCTAACGCGGAGAAGTTGTCCATTACATGGAACGGGAAGGTTTCTTCAAAACATCCTGGGTAGAAGTAGAATTCGATGGATTGGATGTTCCCCGGGGGGAGCAGTGTGACCCAGTCAAAGTTGGCTTCTGCATGCCATTTGAGCCGCAGGCGTCGGATACACGCTCGAATCACGGCGCTGTTGGACAAGGTCTCTTCGAGTTTGTGGGAAGGGTAGGTGAATGTCAAGTATCGGTACAGACGCCGACGGGAGGCGAAGGTCCACGCATAGCAGACTCGCGCTGCAGATGCAGCTGACTCGTCGTCTAGGCAGTAAATGATATGTTCCCAGATCTCTTGGGGGCACCGTTGGAGAGCAGAGATTCGAGAGTCTATTTCACAAATTAGCTTGGAACACGCAGGAAGTGGACAGCCGCGTACAGCTGGATAACATCACGACAGAGTGAATGTTCATCGGTAAGCATAGGGCAATCATAAGGCGTTATCTTGATAACCAAATTAGTTATATAATCGCGGCAGACTGTTTGTCAAATTCTCCAATAATCTGTCATGAGGTTCCTAGCGGAAGACGGCTGGCCGAGCCTTATTGCGTTCCAGAGGAGTCTGAGTACGGCAGATAATGGACATGGCCGAGCAACTGAGTGTTTTATAGGTGAACGCGTAGCAAATGGCATCAGAAGCATGAGCGGTATATAGTTGGGAGTTATTTAAAAACGGTAGCAACAAGTGCCACAGAAGTGTTTAAATAAATGAGGGAACTACATGGTTAGCGGTGATGCGATTCGGAAAAAAACGTGAAGGGACAGCACGCGATATGATGATAAAATGAGGAAAGTGCCGACGGCCGGTCATGACATGGGTCATGGCTGCCAATTATCGCTGCAATGGCCCCCGGGCCAACACATCCGGCAAGGTTGGTCTAATGACGTTAGCTGAATACATTTTTCTCCGAAATTATCTATCACCAACGAGATCCAGATATCTCAGCACCAAGTAGTAGCTTACGATGCCTGTGCATTGTCATCCAGCGAGATCAACTGAAAGAACAGCCGTTACTCATCCAGTAGCATGAGAAGGCACTAAAAAAGACCGTCGTGGCCAGATCTGGCAACTGCAACGCGGATGTGGACTTTGGGTCCTTTGCGCGTCGGACGATGAGCATCCACCTGATACTGTGATACATGCAATTGAGGACGGTTCATAAGTTGGCTTCTGATATAGATTCTACCCCACTTCATATATTGCAATAGTAGTTACACCAAAAGAAGCCGCGATACCATACTAAAGAGAATGTGAGTTGTACAATAGGATTAGCGATACAAAATAATGTATATAATAAACGAAGGTGAGGTGATTGGGTCTATCCTGCAGGCCAAATCACAACTTGCAAGAACCCTTGCGCCACTTGAAGACCTCGACAAAATTCATGATCGCCCTCCGGAGGAGCGACTTGACTCTCCACTTTCCTAGAAGCAAAATTCAATGGAGGCTATGGTCGAGACACACAGATACTTACCTTTCCGAGTGGGCACCGGCACCTCGGGAGACTCCTCTAACGATGAGTCCAGTTCATGAGAGTCCGGAGAACCAGAGCTCAAATCTTCCGTCGAGCTTGCGCGAGATTCCGCCGACGCTACAGTGTATACAGTATAAACCGATGAAACATTGTCACAAACAGGAGTCTCGTCGATTGGCAGATCCTCCGGCGAGTCGAAAAGCACCGATCCATAGCGGGCAAGCTGATACTCCTGCACGATCCTGAAAAGAAAAGAACAGTTCAAGAGAAAACTCGCCACCATTGGAATGTATTGCTCACTCTTGGAAAAGAAGTAGGTCTCCACATAACTGCGATGGATCAGCTATTTCTGGGACATTCGACAGGATGTGATCGAAATGCATAACGGGCATAAAGCACAGTTCATGTTCGACTTTATCGGAGCCTGGTTGCTTAGCCAGGAACATCTGGCTAGCTAGACTATCAGTCTCCGAAGCATCGTCCGGCACATCCGTAGCTGGGGCGTCTTCTTGACCGTCAAGAATTCGAAGGATGTGATCATCATCTAGCCCAGCCTGAAGGAACTGTCCGTAGCGTATATCCTCTTTGAGAAATTTCAAGTGCTGGAGGGAAAGATGCCCATCCACATATGATGACTGACAATAGTCCCGCCTTTCTGTCGGTATACGTACACAAACGTCGTAGCAGGTAGGGTGATAGCAGTTGCTCCATGGCAGTGGCTTCGTCACTTCCAGAGGTTCCCTGGACCTAGGATGGGCCGTTTCTGGTGAGATGGGGACACACATCGAAGGCCGTGCATGCTGGGGTCTGTGAGGGTGAGGCTTGGTGAGACCCTGTTGTAGTGGCCTAATGATGATAACGTGGTATGTGGGTTCACGTGGCAGTTGGATCTGTGTTTTTCAGTGTATGAGACTTAAGGAAACCGCAGAACAACACACCTCCGAGCAGTAACCAGCATATTTTCTATCCTCAAGGCCATCCAACTTTCGCAACATGGCCTCGTCACCTCCATCACAGTATAAATCCAGGGTTGCCGCTACGTCGATGGAAAAGGTGATATAAGAGAACCAAGGTGGAAAACCTTGAAACCGGGGAGTAGCCATGGCAGAGAGTACGGAGGGGAGGTAGGGGATGTCGATGAGATACTACATCTAAATCGAGCATCTTTATACGAGTTCTGGGTAGCAACAAAAAGAACAAGAACAAAGATTAGAGGCGTGAGAGCATTGTCTGATCGCGATCATCTCCATCCACCATTGTTCTTTTTCAGTCCTAGGCTTGCACTTACTCTTTCACTATTTCTTCATAATGCAGAAACAAAGGGCCTTTTCTGTTAGGTCAATGCAACCATAGTAACAGCGTTTCTCTTATAAAGTAGGGGCAGCTATTATTGATCAGTCTTCTATCGTCTTTTCTGCTCTTAACTTTCTCCGCCGATCTTCACGATCGAGTATCACCTTACATTCACTTCCAGCGGCTGGTAGGCCTGGTGCTACCCCTACATCTCTCTTTGTTTTTCAATGTCGACGTCGCGCTATTATGTACTCTCTGAGGACTACGATCCCACCAAACCCGCCAGGCTGCGCAGTATCACAATGCCTCTGTCACTTAGGCCACGGAAACGCCTCCCAACCTACAAACGTGGTCAGATTTGTGTTGTCAAAGAATCCACATTCGCACCGCTGTCTGCAGCTTTGGGACAAGCGAACGGCCCCCTTGCACTCCGACAAGGCTCCTCGTTGACCACTGACGGTCACCACGTCATCCCCGTTTCCTCTGGGATAGAAAGACCCTGCATTATTATGGATCCCCCGCGGCCCCTTGTGGGTCAACCGCAGACGAAGGGCCATTTGATCTGTCTCATGGCTACGTTCGCTTCGTCTGGTGGCCAGTATGAATCTTTTGGAAAACTTCTCCAGCGATTCGTCGTTCCTGTCGAACCAAATGAACAGCTTCTCCCTGACTCGGATATGTACGCATTGAAGGCAGATCCAGCTTGGCGTCATCCTCGGCAGTGGGCAATTGCTTTTGTAATACACACAAAGCAGCCTCTGCGACCTTTTACATCTCGTGATGGCAAAAGCCATCGGCTTTCGAACACCGAGTATGACCGACTGGTCGAACACTGCGAGACTCAGCGAGCTTTATGGATCAGTGACACACGGAAGGACGAAAACTTGAAACAGGAGATGTATGAAGAACTTGTGGTGAGTTCAAGTGGTTTTGAATCCTTAGCGATGTGTATTTCATATTATCTGATTCCCCAAGGACTGGACACCGGACGACGCATCAATGTACTCGTGCCATTCCTCCGTGTCTGCCTTATCCGTCAACAGCTTCAAATCCTTCTACGCACAACCCTGTCGTGGAAGCATTGCAACGTTGGGCACTATCTTTGAGGACACCACTCCTGCATATCCCAACTTGGGACCTAGCGACTTCCCGCCCTTGCCCTCGAAGGTCTGCGAAGTATATTAACTCCACCTCTTCGTACGTCAAAGTTATTCGTGATATCCGTATCCCAGCTAACTAGTAAAACCCAGGTTATACAACGTACTAACAGAAATCAACGACCTGTATCAACAAGGCGGATCAATGTACATTACTCATCGTTGTATCCTTACATGAACTTGTACCGAATCATCATCTGTAATACAAGTACTATCCTAGCTACGCAACCCTAGTAGTATGGGGAAGGGACATCATTGCCAGATCTAGCGTAGTCTTGTGAGTACATATACACGCGAAGGTATGCGCATGGCATAACAGGCGTCCACCCGATACGGTGTTGGAGGATGATTCTCAGCTTGACTTTAATTGTCCTTCAACGCAAGATTCTATGCCGCTCGATGTGTTTCAATCCCAACAGTAAAAGAAAGCAATACATCATAGTAAAGAGAGTGCGAGTCATCCAACAAGTTTAGCAATATAAAATGATGTATATGATGAAACGAAGGCAAGGTGATTGGGTCTATCATGCAGACCGAATCACAACTTGCTAGAAACTTTGCACCACTTAAAGACTTCAACGAGATTCGTGATCGCCTGCCAGAAGAGCGACTTGACTCTCCATTTTCCTTAAAGCAGATATGAATGGAAGCCGTGGCCATCAAAACGTTAGATACACACCTTTCCGAGCAGGCATCGGCATTTGGGGAGACTCCTCTGATGAGTCAGGTTCAGGCAAGTCCGAGGAATGAGGGCTATGCTCCTTCGTTGAAGCTCCAGATGCCATTGACAGTAGACTATACACCATGGAAAAGTTGTCGGGGAGGGGTTCATCCTCAATTGGCGGATCCTCTGGCAACTCGTAAATGACCGGCCCATATTGTTCAAGTTGATACTCCTCCACAATGCTGGAAACAGAAAAATGGTTCAGTAAAATGATAGGCAGCAATTAGAGAGGATCTCTTACTCTTGAAAAAGATCCCGGTCTGCACATAGCTGCGAAGGATCAGATATTTCTGGGATATTTGACAAGATGTGGTCGATACGCAGGCATGAAGATATCATCTTCTGGTTCATCATGGCCGGGTTTGTTGGCTAGAACGTCTGTCTAGTTTGGCTATTGACCTAGGATGGGCTGTTTCCGGCAAGATAGGAATGCACATAAGAGGGCGTGCATGGTAAGGTTTCCGACGGTGGGGCTTTGCGAGGCCCTGTTGCACTGGCTGAATGTAGACAACATGGAATTTATTATCCTCATCAATTCGGTTCTCGACCTAAAGTGCAACTTTTTAATGAGCATAACTACAAGTAGCAGCACAACACACCTCCACGCAGTAGCCGGCATACATTCTATCCCTCACACTATCCAGTTTCTGCAGCATAAGGTCGTTACCTCCATCACAACACATCTCCAACGGTGCAGTGGCATCGATGGAAAATGCGAAATAATAACAGGAAGGTGGCACGACTTGGAGGTTCATATTAGCGGACGAAAAAACGCGACCGTAGAGCAATGAAGGAAAAGGTGAAGGGGAACAGCGTCTACGCTAAGCAAATTTATACTGTCTTCGTTTGGCGACGAATTCGAAAAGATTATGCAAGAAAAGAGGACAAAGGCACCAGTAGCAGTGCGAGCAGGACCTGGGCCTGCGACAGAAAGTAACAAGTTCAAATTCAAATTCATGAACAGACCACTTTCCCACGCTGCTACTTTCTCTTTGTCTCTTTGTTATAACATGCCTGGCCTATGCGGTGCCCCTTGTTATCTAGCCTCCATTACCCTCCAGCCAAGTATTCCTGCCAGAATCGTCCCGCTGTCGGATCTTTATTTTACTTTTTTTATCGATGTCGTCCAACTCTGGAGTTGTGGAGGCGACGACCTTATACTGCAGAAACTGGATGGCTTAAAGGATAGAATTCCTGCTTGCTACTAGTTTGTGCGTTTTCCTTCTGCTTTCTTCAATGCTACCGAGCGAAGAGCCATTTTAGGTTGAAGGGCGGGCTAACGAGGATAATAAATACCATGTTATCAATATTCGGCCAATGCAGCAAGGTCTCACAAAGCCTCACCCTCTGAAGCCTCATCCTACATGCCCTGTTATGTGCATTCCTATCTTTCCAGAAACGGCCCATCCCAGGTCAAGGGAACCTCTGGAGCTCTCGAAGCCGTTGCCTTAGAACAATTGCTATCATCCCACCTGCTACGACCTCTGTGCACATGTACCGACCGAATGGCGAAACTATTCTCAGTCATCGCAACTGATAAGCCTACCTCAACTGCTTCAGAAATGCATCACCGAGGATGAGCGCTACTACCAATTCATCCAGGCTGGAGTAGCCGGCGACAGAATCTCTCGAATTCTCGCCGGTGAGGAAGAGGGTCCAGATATAGATACCAGACGACGTGTCGGAGACGGATAACAAAGCCTACAAACTTTCCTTGCGAATCTACCAGGTGCAGATGATCCTGAAGATGATAATATTTTCATGCCTGTTCTACGTATCGACCACGTCCTGTCGGATATTCCAGAAATTTCCAATCCGTTACAGCTATGTGAAGACAGCGAACTTTTTCAAGAGTAGGCGATCATCTCAAGTCGGTTGCGACTGTTATCCTGAATCCTTGCTTTGTTTTTAGGATCGTGAAGGAGTACCACTTGAACGATACGGACCGGCCCTTTTCGAACCTCCAGAGCGTCCACTGATTGACGATACTCCTCTTCTTGACAACTTTCTAATCAAATACAAGTTTTTATGCCGGAGCCGTGTGCGGCTTCTAGGGAAGGAAGACTTATCGTCGAATTCGCATCAAGTCGATTCATCGTCACCTGATTCGGAAGAGGCTCCCCGAGCACTACATCCTAGTCAGAAAGGTGGGTATTCATACGCTTTTGACTCGGCTTTTAATAAGTTCTGTTTCCAAGGAAAATGGAGAGTCAAGTCACTCCTCAAAGAGGACATTACGAAGTTCGTCGAGTTTGTCAAGCGACCCAAGTCACTCAGGAAGTCATGATTTAGTCTACAGGATAGGCTAAGGATTCACCCTCATTCCGACATTCGTTTTTCAGAACCTTATATTGTATCGCTAATCTTTTTGTGTAACTCGTGTCATCACTCGTTTTCGCTCCCTTAATCAAGCTGCTGTGCTGTTACTGAGAACCAAATGTTGATAGTCGATAACCAAAAAAAACTTGTAAAATTCCGGTGTTGGAAATTACGCAGTTCTTTGAAACGCAAGCGTCCTCTCGATTCTGATCTTCAAGTCTATAGTGATATTTGTCCCACTGAAATGGATACCGAGTGTTATCTCATGCTTATGAACAACTCATACTTCACTCAGATATGTAGGGGTTGAGGACCGACCCAGCTTTGCGTAATCCTTAGCAGCGGACGGTGATTTTTTTGATACAGACGATAATTAGATGCATTTAAGCTCGCGTGGTGGCATAGGACAAAAATTTGTTGACTGTAACCAGTCATTTCCTTTCCCACTTCGAGTTTTAATTGGGGCGTTGAAGTTGAACATTTTCCATACCTCTTAAAGTGATGTCAGATATCATTGTAAACCAATGTTACCGCATAGAGCATTTATAGGAAGTTCTACCGCCGTTTACTACATAATGTTGTCAAAGATAGCTTCGGTATGTCCCTGTTTCGGCTTCCTATACACTCGAATTGCGCTCTCCAGCCACATTCAGTTGGAGCCATCGACGAATGCCCAGGTAACGTTCACTACGTAGAAAGAAAAGAATCAGACAACGGCAACCACGTGGAAAGAAAGCGACGTACGTTTTCCGACGGATAATACTCCCAAGGCTTCGAATGCGGCCACAGAAAGATACACATTGGCCGAATCACCACAGTCCTTGCAGGCATCTGTGACTGTAACCTCAACAGAGGTCGAGGGATCGTCCGTCAGAGAAACAGTGACCTGAAAAGCGTCTTCAAATAACAATCCACATTCCCCGACTGTCGGCGTACATTTTTGAAGCAGTTATCCCTGTTCTCCCAATTCACATAGTCTGTGCTCAATCCAACGATAAAGTCTGTATCGTTGGAATATATACCACAAGCGGTCATGGTACTGTTCTAGGAGGCAACACCTTCAGAACATACTCGAATAATGAAAGTATATGCACCTACTTCGAACCCATAGTAGGCGATTCCAGTCTCAGAGCGTGCCTGCAAGGCAGGCGATGCAAAGACAGAGGAGGCAAGAGCGAGTAAGGTGAGTTTGGTTGGAAGCTGCATTGTTAACGAAGAAGAGTACTCGATAGATCGTTGGCTCTTGCATTAGAGATACCGCAGGTATATATACGAGGACGCATGCCCAAAGAGAGCATGAAAGTTCGAAAGAACATACTCCATAAACCTCCAGGCGAGTACGGATAATTCAGCATCGAGGTTTCGAGAACGGTGAAGATGGGTGTGGAAGCCGTGTCCCATATGCGATCACATGCAATTCCCCCCCGTCGTGATAACCAGTGTCCGATAATGAACTTTACTCACTTGGGCTTTAGTATTCTTCTGCGGACAGCAGTTTCTCCAAGCAACTTTGACATCAGACCGGTATACAATATGTCCTTTAACCACTGTCCACCACCCTCGCCGGAGTGGAGGGCACCAAAGTCAAGGTCAAGAACAAGTTCCATGCTCAAGATTCCTTCACATTCGAGACTGAGCCCGGGCCGTTCATTCTCATCCGTTGTGCGACGGATGTCATGACGCACCAGCGTGGCACCAAGTTCTCTCAGAGAATACTGTGGTCCGGTCTCAAGAAAGCCCATAGCACTAGAGCGCACGACACGTAAAGCGGAGAACGATGTCTGTTGCCAGTCACCTTATGGGCGGTCGGTGCCCAGGCTAGGGATGAGTAGGACCGGTCGGATTGAGGTAGGACGTTAGAATCAAGCTTTCCGCTAAGGCCACGGAGCTGCCAAAAGCGTACGGGACCAAAATAAACCTTGATTTCCTGGTCTGCAAACTGCGTGAACTCGGGACACGTAATCAAGAAAACGGCCACTAACATGCTTCCTCAAAGAACGCTCTACGGGTCCGGACAAAATACACGCAGTTCGAATATCTTGTCATGTAGCGTAACTTGGGTCTTGGCCTGGTGTCTCCGAGCTGTTCCATGCGGTTCTCGTCCAGCCAAGACTCGCCTTTGACACATTTAGCCATCAGCAAATTTTTCCTTCCAGAAGAAAACTGGCAATGTCGCGTCGAAGTCTTGAAGACGAATAGATACTCGTACATATCCGGTCGGGTTCCATGAAAGCCAGTTAGTCATTGTCGCTCCCCGCCTGTCGGAGACGGACGTTCATGCGTCAGATAGGACCCAGTAAAAAGTACACCTTACTGCCACCGGCGTAACCATTTCACTACCGCCGACACTCAGTAAGCGTCTATTTTGGTGAGAAGAGATCTATACGTACTTGCGTATATTCCGCCGCCGTTGCCATTGAAAGCAACGCCAAAGGATACGTGTCAAAAGCAGAGCGGCCATTACTGCTGGTCTTATTGCCGCTCCATTGATCCCACAAAACTTGGTGTCAGTGTCATCAAGTACGTCTGGATTCGTGGATGATGACAAGCCGCTGTCTGATTATTCACGTACTCATTACTGCCTCTTACACTGGTGAGCATAAGACAGATACGGAGAAATATAAGAACGAAGTAAACCTACCACCGGGAGGAGACGACCCTACATGCAAAAATTCAGTTGGAAATAGATAGACAAAAGGTGTTTTCCTACCATCAGATTACTACACTGTTAATGCATTAGTAGAGTCCTAAGTTAGTGCAAAAGATCCAACCATCGAGGAAAAACACTACCATTCTAGACCTTGCATATCAGCACATGTTGCATGTTTGTAAAAATGACATATGCTACCTATGTGTACATAGCTGAGATGAGAATGTCAGTTTCTTGGAGGGAAAGGCACATTCCCTGGTTGGCCCAATGAGATTGTGCCATGTTGACATTGATCTTGATATTGATGTTTCTCCAGTAATGATGAACTTAATGACAAAAGATACTTTATAAGAACTACAAAGGGTAAAAGTAAGTGAGTGGCTAATGGTCAGGATAAGTAGACATACCTCAGTTATATGCAGCAAGAGTAGAACAACTGAGGTATCATGTAAACTATAGTGAGGCTTTTATATGAAAAACTATAAGGACAGGAGTATGTATATAAAAGGTAAGTAATAAGTAGAAAAAATATAGAACAGCAGGAACTCAACATCAAGATGCAGATAACCTCCAATACCCTCCCTTATCTGTACTACACCCCCATTGCAATATTGAGATCCATGAGAAGACTATAGTGCAAGTTGTGAGAGAGTGGCTTAGTAAACATATCTGCCAAGTTTGTGTTCTTTTGGATGAACTGGACATGCAGAGAACTATTGCTAACAAGCTCACAAATGTAGTGTTCATGAATATGAATATGTTTGATCTTGTGATGTGACCTAGTGTTTGTCATCAAGGCCACTGCTCTCTGGTTATCACAATAGAGGATCATGGGCTTTGGCTGAGAAAGTTTGATCTTGGCTATCCAAGTCACCATCCACATCATTTGTTGCACAGCTCTGCTGAGTGTGATATACTCAGCCTTGACAGTAGATAGCATGATGGAAGCCTGGCACTTCAAACTCCAAGTGACAGGCCCTCCAAACATCATGAAAATATATCCTGAGGTAGACCAGATGGTGTCATAGCATCCTGCATAGTCTGCATCAATGAAACCAATAGGTGCCAGTGGTTGGTTGCATGAGAAGAGGAGTCCATAATCCATGATCCCTTGATGTATGCAATGACATAGAGTAATGCTTTCCAATGGATGAGTCCAGGATTAGTCTGAAAACATGCAAGAAGCCTGACAGGATAGTATAAGTCAGGGCAAGTTGCAAGCTGGCCCCATATAACTTGCCTGAGGAGGTGATAATAAGAATATGGCTTTATTTTGTCTTTCTCTGTCTGCATGGTCAGGCTCTGCAATACATCTAGGACAATGCCAACTGGTAGTGAGATAGATCTAACAGTCAAATATTGAAGGCCAAAATCCTCAAGGACATTCTTCTGGTAGGGCTTCTGTGAAAAAGGGATAGTTCTCACATTAAGATCCTGCATGAGCTTCATACCAAGGAAGTATTGGTTCTCTCCAATGTCTTTGAGCTCTCACTTCTTCAACTCCCATTTCCACCTCTCTGCCTCTTCCTTATTAGATGACATGCCTCACACATCATCTGTATAGGTGTCCATCAAGGTATAGTCACTGTCAGGGTCACCAATTGTTTGTATACATAGATCAGCTTGAGAAGTCTTGTACCCAAGGTCATTGTAAGTCTTTTTGAGTGTTTTGTACCAGTCATAGCCTCTCTGCATTGTCTCACAAATTATATGCATGAGTTTGCAGTCCTTATCTTCCTGACCACTAATTGTGTAGCCTGGCAGCTGGCACATATAGATATCCTCCCTTGTTTCACTGTTCAAAAAAGCTGAAATGAAGTCAACCTGCCACAGATAAAGGTCAAGCTTAGCTGCAACTGCTGCTGACATTCCAACCTTAAAGAAGTATTGCACCATGTAGTGCAAAGTAACAGTAAGAAGAAAAGAGCCTGCTGCCTCAATGCCACAGGTCTGCAGTATAAGAACAAAATCTGAGCCTTTGTTCATCTGCCTCACCGGGGGGTTGAACGAACAAAGAAGCTAGTAGGCCGGCCGGCCGGCCGAGCCCAACAAAGAGAAGAACACGAGTGATAGCTGCATGAACTTAGCATTCTTGCCACTAGTTACTTATTCCTGGAATGGTATATTCAATGGATGTCGATGAGGCATTGCGCACAATTATCATTACTGCTAAGAGATATAAACCGGGATAAGACATATGAAAAATCATGGTATCTGTTGGATTAGCAAGCAGGAGCTCTGTCGTATCCCGCCGGCCAAGCTCGATACCCCTCTATGTCGGGATGGACAATATACACTGAATATGGTCCATCGAGCACCCTCACTGCGCTTCTGCTTATCGCTACGCTGTGCGGGGGTGAGTATCTACTTTTATTACTTTACATATCTTACTGACCAATATCCTGTAGTCTACGTTATATCTAACAGTGTATTCTACTAGGTGCTACGAACGCACGTCACTTTCTTAGAGTATCGATACAATTAAATCAGATATAAGAAAAAATGCAGGATAGGTATGTGATATACCGATAGAGAAGGAGATCCACACGTGTCGTATTCGAGTCATGAGAAGAGATGATGGCTCACTTCAACATATTTTGTACCTTCACGAGCCAATCGCGAGCATACGAAGCACCAACCCGGTCTGGACAAGTCTTCCTGGCATAGTTAGTCAGCTCCTTCCACCACAGCCCATTCCGGAGCTCGCGGAGGAGTTCCTGGAACGAGGGCATCGTTATCGCCCTCCCATCCTCTCCTCGCTCGAATTCGATCGTTCCTCCATGCTCCATCCAGTTCCTCAGTCCGCCGCTGTTATCCTTGATGCAGAACCACCGCTCAGTAAAGAGCTCTCTGTCCTCCTGTCTAAGCAATAAAACTGCTAAGAAGTCAAATATCGCCGTGTAGAGATCGGGCTTATGCTGAGAGCCAAGCCAGTTGCTCAGTTGATGGTACTTCAGAACAGATCGAATAACTCTTGGGAGCAAGGACAGGCGCAGAAGATTGTCGCAATTCCACTGGCTGTTGTCTTCGGAGCCACATTCATAGTAGAACGTCAGCACCTTGAGGGCCTTGTGGAGAGTCTCCCAAGTGCGAGACCTGTTCAGAAACTTAGAGACTCCCCCAGATTGGAGGATTTCCTCTTCTAGGGATGCCATGATCTCGTAAGAAGCAACAGAACAACGCCGCTTGCAGTTCTGAGGAGAAAGACACTGAGGACGCTTATGGCATCCGCGGCAATAGGTACCACAGTTCCCACAGCAACGTATGAGGATAGCGTCAAACGAAGGACAAGAGGCGTGGGTAGCCCTCAGGTCAACGTCTTTGAGAGAGAATTTGAACATCTACACAGGGTATGCGATTAACGTTGCAAACTTAGAAGTTTCAAATAGAATTTACATGATTTCCTCCGTATACAGCCATTCTGTTGCATCTAGAGCATATGACCTTCCGCTTCCACAAGTCTGTTGCAGCACGTCGAACGGTGTCAAGATCGGCGGAGACAGCGCCATCACTACGTTCTTGAGTGGTAAGGTTACTATCAGACGGAGCCATTAAAGCATAACATGGAAGAGCTACGATGCTCCCAGTTGCGTGGAGCCTGGCAGGATCGGTCTCGGGAATTTGTCCCGGGGAGAAGGACGTAGGGGATGGACACGCAGCTTGACCGTGTCCTGGTAAAGCACGACGGCGAGGAGAATTGGGGCTAGTAGGGGAATGGGGACTATCGAGATCCTCCAGATGTGTCCTGGAAATTCTCTGTGCAGGAGAAGTGGGCTCCATACGTTGGGGCGGCTGACTAGCAACATCGTTAAACATAGGGGCTGCACGTCCGGCTTCATCTATTTTCAAGGGAGTCGCGTACTTGGGGTTATCCTGCGGAGTCGGATAGGCAGTATGGGATTCGTGACGAGGAGTTTTAAAGGTTGCTACGGACGGATTAGTGCGGTAAGAGGGAGGTGGGCCTGCGTAATTGGACTTGCATTGTGTGTAGGGAGAATAGAGCTGACGGGACTGATCGACGAAAGGCGCAACAACTGGAGCGCCCAGTGGTTTGGGATTCAGACGTTGGGATGGAACCGCGTCGTGGACACGGTTGTCCCGTTGCGGGACAGCTTGGTCATCACGACGGGTCTTCGCATGTCCTCGGGAGGGAAACATGATGACCTGTTCGGAAAGATATAGTGAAAACGGTGTGGATAGATAATACGGTTATCTCGCGGGGGATTTTGCGAACGATGGAAACCTAGATGGCAAAGGTCTCTAGAAGCTGTATTTATGCAAGACGAAAGCGCTAAACTCACCCATAGTGGGTAATGAGCTGTAACACACGGCTGTGAATTCTTTAGCGCGACGTCAGTTACAGTTGAAGGTCGAGAGCACAACAAGAGCGAATGCGGTAGAAAGAATAGCACTGTGATATGCAATGACCGGGCTCAGGTAGCTTAAAAATACTGAAATCAACGCCACGAAAATCGTGATTGACCATCGTGGTAATTTTTTACAAAAAGAGAGCAGTCGACGCTTAATTTGAGGGAGGAGGGGGACTATCTTGTCAAAGAAGCATGATTATCGCTGCTCTGACCAGGCAATCAAAATACGTTGTACCTACCACTGACTCGAGTACATGTAGATGCACAGCCATAAGGAATAATCATTGAGCGTCCACATCACTGGGACGTCGAACCTTGTGTGATTGTACGTCCTCGCAGTAGTTCGAAACTGGAGAAAAAATCAAAAACTGTTCAGAAATAGGGACGAGAGTTCACCATAGGGCTTGCGTCGGTAATGAATTTTACAAGGCGACAGAGCCCAGGGTCAAATGGAATTCATGTGAACGGACACATTCTGAGACTACAATGTATGCCAGGGCAAAGGGCTGTATCCTGCTGTGTTGATTCTTGCAGTACCGGCAGGCTTCTTTTCGATTCCGGTTGGCTATGACTGATAGCTGACTCCTCCACATCATCATCCGTGATTTGTCTAGATGAAGAAATCTTGACATCAGCTTTGAATGAGAAAACCGAACAGGGAATCAATTATGCGGCCGGAACATGAAGTCGACAAAGAAAATAAACAGGTACTTCAAGAGCTTGCTCTTTCTACCCAACGATGCCAACGCTTGAAACACCAAGCTTTTTCCATAGCTGGGAGCTGCGCAGAAGATAGAGTTATATTTTTAGAGGACTTGCTGTATACTATGGAGCTGCTAGTCATCGGGGGTATACGGCAGCCGGCGGGGCCTCGGACTGGCCTTTGATTTCCTGAAGACGTTTTTGAGAATGTTACGGCGTCTCCGGATTCTTGGGGTGCGGGTGGAAGGACTAATGAGCTTCGCGGGTCGCGGAGGAGGAGGAATGATATGTAGTACCGACGGAAGACACGATTGGATTGAATTTCTGTGAGCAGAAGGCTATGCTATAACACGAATAAAATGTCAGTTTAAAGACCAAATGAGGTTGAAGGATTCGCACCTGAGGCTGAGAAATGCTACGTCGGACTCAAGACTTCATGGCGGCCAAGTAAATAGATAGAAGAGTGTTTTTTAAGGCTGAAAGATTCTATCAAGGAGTCAATATAGCTCCAATCACAAGCTACTCACCGACTCGCCTTTGGAGTGAAAGACAAGAAGAGAAAGCGCAACGCGTCGCGCGAATGGTGGGCAATACGACCAAACAAAAACAGGCCGCGAGTTGGCCACGAGGCTCATCCTCAACCAAATCAATTTAATCATGGATCGCGTTACTGTCCAGGACGATGAAATTGCCCGTGTGGACCAGGGGAATGATTGAGCGACTGGCAGGAAAGGTGAATACAATGGCCGAGAAGTTGCAAACGATACGATGGAGCGCCGTCTTATCAAGGTCGAAGTCATAGCCACCAGGGTCTGTCACTCAGGTCTCTGTCAATTGACTTTCTAAGCTTTTGCGCAGATCTAAGCAATTTCTAGATGGAACTGGCGACCTGGAATTAGTGCCTATGTCTCTTCTCCACATTATGACTGCTGTTGCGTCCGCGAATCAAGTCGATCTCGTTCCACCTTCTCGACCATGATGGAGAGGACATTACGCACATATTCCTCAGTTCCAGCTGACCGCAGCGGCTATATCATGTAGGATATCCACTCTTTATGGCTCTGGGCAGCGTGCTTCGTGATTAAAAAGGTTTTTGTTTCTGCGACAGCAAAGAGCCTGCATAGGTGTATGCTGTCAAGACCCTGTTGCTGTGATTCTTCCTGCTGTTCATATAGTTGATTTTCTGTTCAAACAGCAGCCATTTTGCACAAACCCTAATATAACGAGATCAAATACGATTAAATGTACATCCCCCCTTCGCCAATGTCGCCTTTCTGCCTTGTAGTAACGCGAACGGCAATTCCTTTTGAAGATTTGTTTACCCACACGTCCGGGGCTTTCTCGTCAATAGCCTTGAATAGCAATGTCTGCACAGTAGACATAGTGTCCTCGTTCCAAGGCATTAAGTCATCTGTAAGATTTTCGATATTTGATGGAGAGAGCTTTCTAGGTGCCGGAGGAGGTATCCGGGGGTAGGGCAAGACGAACAGGACGCCCTGAACTTTGGAGACAGACAGGTCTGCCATGAAGGCGGCTGAGGTAGAAGAAATGAGATTAGGTGGAGAAAACTTTTCTGCACGTTCGGCCTGTATATCTCAATGAGTAAATCACATGGCTGGCAAAGAAAGTACACATGCAATGTCAGGATCTACGCGAGTAGTGGCCAGGTACCGAATAGGGGCATTTTGGAAAGAAAGTGGCTCAGAGGTTATATACGAAGGTACAGGATATACATCCAGTATGGAAACCCTAAAAAATTGGTTATCCACGCCAAAGTAAGGCGATATGATTTCTACCTTGATGGCCGGAGCGTTTCGAGAATATGTTTACCGTATCCATTCATTGCCCATATTGGTAGCCTAGTCGTGACTTCAGATATAATTATTGTAGCACTTGTCCATTCCGGGTTGAAACAGAGGCACACCTAAATGTCATTATTTTCCGGCCTGACATAGATGAAATGCCTAACGCACTGAGATCCCGTTCACATAAACAGCGCCTGTCTGTTCGCCCAGATTATCCCCACGTGCCCATATCTTTCCCGCATCTCCAGACGCGACGATGAGCTTTCCTGCCGTCGGTATGCTGCCAACTATCTGGACGTTCAAGGGCTCTGGAACATCTTGCGAATCTGGACGACGTTGCAGAGGATTGAATTCGTCTTCTTCGTCGGATTCGATGGCATAGCGAGAGGGTATAATGTCCTGTAGAGGGTCCACGTCCTAAAAGAAAATGAGAAACGATTGGTCCAGGGCTACGATGCAACGATAATCACCATGATGGTACAAAGTCAAGAATGACGCACGTCCTCCGATCGTTGATCGCCTCTTACGGCGTGGATTCCAAACAAAGCATTCTACGGTTTCCAACCGACCATTGCCACCCCTTCCCTTTTGACAAGCACATCATGGTACGAGCTCCGTCCCTGTTCTCTGTCGCGTAGCTAACGGAACTTCATCTTTTTAGAGTGACAACGCAGGTCAGCAAGTCATGCCGTTTCTATTACTCAGGCCAACGTTCTTGCAGAATACAAGGAGGCATTCGCGCTATTTGACAAGCGAGGCAAGGGCGCAGTGCCAAGAGAGACGCTAGGAGACCTTCTTAGAGCACTCGGCCAGAATCCTACGCAAGCTGAGGTCGCCGAGATCGTAGCATCAGCTCCTCGAGATGGTGCGGCCACCCTCTTGTCTGCTATTCGGCTTCGCTGACCAGCATTTATCAACAGTCGACTACAAGACATTTCTGACTATCTTGAACCGTCCCGACGGTTTCAAGCCGGCTGGTACACCGGGTGAGTTGCGCATGTTTGGTCAGGACGTGCCACAGCTGACCTGTATCATCCTGTAGAGGAGTTCATTCGTGGTTTCCAGGTCTTTGACAAGGAGCACAATGGCTTTATCGGTGCGGGTGAGCTGCGCTATGTCCTCACGCAGTTGGGAGAGAAAATGACGGATGAAGAGGTGGATGAGCTGTTGAAGGGTGTGCAAATTGGAGCGTAAGTGTTTTCCTTGCCTTACTCTATATATTCCTTTGATTTACATACGGACAGGGATGGCAATGTAAACTATGAATCCTTTGTACGCACTATCCTTAGCCAGTAGGCCTGTGGCGCATATATGATATTGTCATGATTCCCCTTTGTCTGTACTTGAAGTAATCGACGCGTACCCATCCTTCTTTCAAATCGTACCATAAGCTTCGTATATTTGTGTCGATGGCCGGAACATCTCGAGTCTCTTCGAAGTACTTATGTCGTTATTAGTCTTAAAGTTGAAATTGAACTCGCTCTAAGGGGCCATTATGAGTGTTTTGCCTACATACGTTTATTTACCCCCAAATTACATTGTAACCATCGTGTCTACACACGTACAACTGTTCTCCATTCCAAAACGCTTCTTAGCATCCGTTCCATGTATGAAATTATGCGTCGTAGTATGTATATTACGAGGGTATCAAAATATTAAGTACTCAAACGTGCAACCCAGCCATCCATGCAAACAAGTTTGGAGATAAGTTACTACTTATGATCTTGGGAAAGCACCAGGTATTGGCTGCCTCCTCCGCTCCGGATGGTGGAAGTACGTCCCGTACCTGGAACGTCCCGGACTCATCGGTATCGGCTGGCTCCTTGCCACCGTCTCGCTCGCAGCCCCCCTGGGCGTAGTATCATCAGTTACAGTCCCATAATCCTCCTCATCGCTATCGATCTCATCTCCCATCCAACGGTCGTCATCCGGCAGCATGATCACCCCCGACGCCTGATCATAGCTCAACCGATGGGAGAGTGGTACCGGCTCAGTCTGGGCGCGCCGTGCAGGAGGCGCTTGTGCGTCTTCCCAAGGATTGCTCGACACGGCGTGATCTGAGGGACCTGACACGCTGTCGGTATAAGACTCTTCTGTGGGAGGGTTGGACGCTTTTGCCCGCCGCACTTTGCTTGGCTTTTTGCGCAGCGTCAGGACAACAGCTTGATTTGAATCTCGGCTCTGTCGATGGCCAACATTCCGATCACCGTTGACGAGTGTTTGGCCCTTCTTGAGAGGTAGCCAGGGTTCAGGTAGAACGCCATTGAGGGCTGGATGCCCGTAACGCCGCTTGCCAGTGCTATAAACATTTAAGAAAGAGCGAAAATTTCCAGAAAGCGACATACTTTAAGACACCGCTATACCAGTTAGCCATCGGCGGTTGCGACTTTATGAGACGGTGAATACGACATCCAAATGAAATATACGAAGACCACATACATAATCCGTCCGTTCGTCTTCAGGCGCAACATACAAGGTATCATCATTTTGGGCGTACCTCCTCCGATTCAGGTTGCTAAAATCACACGATAAGCATTATGCAGCAAGCGCAAACGAACGACAAACCTCTGTGACCATGTAACCGGGTGGCCTGCTCTTAATCTCACTACATCTGCTGTCTCCTCCCCCCTCTCTACCTCATACACGGAGCTCAAACTCACGAACTCGCTCAACGGCTTCAGCGATTCATCAACCCACCATGACCATACGACTGTTCCCACTAACAATGGCATGAGAAGGGACGCCATGATAAACGACTTAGAGAGGATGAAGAAGCCGGTCATGAACACCAGGAATATCACAACGCCCCATATCAGACGTATGAAGGTCAACGGCCAAGCCTGCCCCTGGGACTCGTAGGGTTTGTAGAACACTACAAATGCGCAGTTAGTGGGGCCAACGATCGGAGTGCCTAGAAATTTACCGAACAGAAGCTTGTACTTGTAGACAACGTAGGCTACGCCGAAGTACACAGATCCGAAAATGACGATGAGCGGTTGTACGACACTGTAAAGAATCGTAATAGTAAAGATGAGTATAGCCTGGGGATAGACTACACCATAGTTGATCATAGGAGGAGCATTTAGCTCCGCGAAATCTGCGGATTGTCAGAGGCATAAGGATAGATATGCCTGAAACACGCACCACGCGGAGTTCGTGTAACAAATAGTCGCAGAATAGATCGAGGAACAATTATACCGAGATTTAGGAGTTGCAGCGGCATTATACCCAAGCCTTGAGAAGGTCAGGACGTTATGAATGAAGAAAAATTCAACCGACCTTGTAGAATGACATAAGACAGGAAAAAATTTCGAGCTTTACCTGACTGAAGAGCCTTTGCCAATTTTTCTGGAATCTTCGCTGGGTAATTGGCTAGATCTCGAACGAGTTGCCAATAAGTTGTCGCAAGGAGGAAAATGAACACCACATTGATTAGCAGAAAAAGGAAGTATCTGTTAAATTTCGTCAGATTTTCAGATATGACAGAACAGGTGTGTAGATACTTTTTCAACAGCGAGTATTCGATCCAACTTCGGGCACGATAGCCCTGTAGGTAAGTCAACCCTAAGGAAAATAAATTAAAGTCGATACGTCCATGAAACAAAGACATGCCTTCCAGCAAAAAGGGAAGTAATGCGTTCAGAGTGATCATCGCAACAGAAGGCAGAGAGTTTTGGACCACAGCCTGAACCTTAGCATTTCTGTCAATTAGCCGGCCCAACCAAGGTAAAGTCCGCTTGATTTCATCGTAACTGAGAAGACTAGCAAGCGCTGTGATGGGGAAGAACCAGAAGAAGAACAGCAGAGCTAAGGCGCCTAACACGAGGGCGTCCCTCGTCCGTATGAGAGCCTGAGATGGCGTCATGTTGGCCCAGACAATATCACGCGGCTCCGGGGCAGCATATGTTGTACACTGCCATGGATTATTTGCATGGACGACTTGAAGGGCTACTTGCTTGAAATGGCATCAGTACCCTGGCCATAAATACAATTACGCGGTGAAAGCCTGATGGGCCGGCGATCCGTTTCAAATGTTCGCGTGCATATCTTCAAGTCGTCTAGTGGTGGACCACTTGTGGATATAGACGCAAACATTGGCTGAAGCTGACGGCCTGCTTATCGGATCTTCGCCGCCGGGTGTTTGAAAATGGACTCACTGCACTAGACATTTTCTCGAATGTCACAAAGGCAGCTTGGGTGGCCTTGAACCTGCCAGTTCGCCGTTTCTTTTTCACCTGTTCGTCAAGCTCCTTGAAACGCGTCTCTAAGTATTCCAGCGCGTCCACCTTGGGCTTGAACCAGCCTAGACGAAGCGTCGGACGTTTTCGGTGAGGAACGACAAGCCGTGTCGGAGGTGGCTGAGGTGCTTCGACATCGACATCAACCAGAGGCATCACGCTTTCCTCCGGATCATAGGCTTCGACGGAGCTGGGATTTCCAACATAAGCCGCCCACGCTCTCTCCAGAGCCAAAAGCGCAGCAGTTCGCTGATCCAAAAGCTTCTTGAGGGTGCCAACCTCACGGCAGACAGTCACACTCTCGACTGCCAAAGACATGTTTTCGAAGTATTCTGCCAAAGCGCGCTCCCCCTGGAGATGTGACGGGAGGTTCGTAACCATGATCGTTCGCGCAGGTATAGAATGGACCAATTCCAACGAGAAAAGCTGTCGTGAGCGTATGAAGCGGCGATAGTTCTTGTAAGTCAGGTAAAGTGCGAGAAGCGTAAAGAGGTAGGTAAAGACAAGGTGTATCGAGAGATAGGTGCTTGCATCAGTCAGGAGGTCGAGCCAATCGCTCCCTGGCTGAGTAGGAAGAGTGCCATTGAGTGTCGTGACGAATGAGGTTCGTAAGAGAGAAGGCCAATCGTTGTTGTAGCCGTCGTCTGGCCAATCCCCGCTTTCATCAGGCCAATCTTCGGCATCCCCTAAATCTTTGTTTTGCTGCAGAGAATTAGCTGGAACACGGCCAGTTACACACGAAGCACACCTTCCAATTGATCGGCATGAGGATTCCGATTGCAAATAAGGAGCATATGGAGAAGAGATAAAAGGACATTTTGTAGAAGTTGAGGAGCTTCGGTGAAAGAAGTCATGAACTGGGATAGACCGAAAGCACTGAATGGCTACGCACCACAGCTGCGTCCAGGCCGACTATCTGCAGCACTGTGAACTCTGACGTCCGTATCGTGGGCAGGATCCATCCAAAAAATGCCGGGTGGGTGTGGGCTTCGTGAGGAGAGAAACCTGTCGCACGACCATGAGTCCTGACTATCATAGAAGGAGACCAGCAACCAGAACCTTTCAGTTTCGTTCTCGGGGCAAAATACAGAGGCCAACGGGTCCGACAATACGAGAATATGAGAAATGACCACAATCCTATCGAGCCGGAAAGTAAGAGCTGCGTGGTGAACCAGGGCCCCTCGTACTTCACTAGAATGTCACTGTGAATTTCCTGTATGCATCGTATGTACAGCTCACTTACTTGTAGGAGGGCTTCCTGGCGGCGGCCCTCCTGGTTCGGTGCCGTTGGACATTGGTGGTAACTGGACGACGTCGTCGAGAGACAAATCGGGAAGCGCAGGCCAATATTATTTTGCCGGTATATTTCTCAAGATTTCTTCTTACTCTCTGACGACCATGTACGACGAACTCAGCAGACTCTCTGACAATACAACGGAATCCCGCTTGCCGCCTGCTTATAGCGGTCCACTTTACCCCTTTGCAGTAGGACACGCTATTCGACTGTCTATTCCCTTAGACTTGCGTTGCTGACGATACTTGTTGTCTTGGCCTCCCCTGTGCCCATCCGAATACTGGAAGGAAGGAAGTTGTCTTTATTAGTTGTCGTCCTGACAAACGTAACGACGTACATTTCTCTTGACACGAGATCATTCTGGACTCACGGCGGATAATGCGAACGTTTGAAGAGCCTCGGTAGGTCAGGATAACTTGCGGACGTTGTATAAGGATTTTTGCATGCCAATAGAGATCGTACGCTGTAATTTTATGGTATGTCTTATCAACCTATCCACATCTAAACCTCGTTTGACATTGTTCATGCTTAATGCAGGACAAGTCCTCTTGCGATTCCGGTAGACACGCGTCGGCACTCCTTTTGAGATATCATTTGCAAATAATACACTATCTTCTAGCAAATGTTCATCTCCGTTCGAGGCGTTAGGGCATGCGGTGCGAGTCATCGCGGACGCCAGCTTGTGTGCACTTGTGCAAGGCGGCCATTCAATGATGATGGTGTTGACAATCCTCCGAAATCCAAGCTTCCGCCGACTTGGCATCGTTCCATGGCAACAAGCTGCAAGTACGGATCCTATCGCTGACTAGAAGCCTTTAGTGAATGGCACCTAGTCGGAATGGGCGTAGAATTGTTGACAACTGAAGCGTATAAAAGATGGGCCACGACTTGGACAATAGTCACCACAGGTCTACCCTATTGCCATGTTCACTGCATTGCTTCACTCTTTCTTGTATGCATTCTGTCTCTCAGCAGCTGTCGCTTCAGCTGCGCCAGGACTGTCTCTCTCCCTGTCCGGTACTGGCTTTTCAGCCTCTTGCCATAGCCTGTGCTAACCGTTTGCACAGGTGCTGATTCTGTGGTTGATGTCGAGAACCTTTCCGTTTCAGCCACCCTCACCAACACTGGTGACACGACTATGAAGATTCTCAAGGATCCTTCTAGTATCTTGTCGCCAACATTTTCGACCAACACCTTCGCTATCGACAGCGCCTCAGGTTCCCCGTCTTTCGTCGGTGTGAAGGTCAAATACAATCCTTTCTACGTCGTGAAAAAGAATCGAGAAGAGTCTTTCATCGTTCTTTCCCCGGGTGAAGCTGTCACCGTCGATCATGCCTGTGCGCAAGTTGTAGTTTCAGGGAACGTAACGGCTAACTAATAACATTTTAGTGGCCAACGCGTACAATTTTACTAGATCTGGGGAGACCTCATACACTATCGCGCCGTCCACGTTGTTCTACTATATTGACACCGATACCAACGAGCTTATGACTCTTAATGCAGAGACCACGCAGAAACACACTGTTGAGCTCTCTGGTACCCTGGCTATTGCCCGCCGTGAACTAAAAAAAAGGATCACTTACGACAACTGCTCCACTTCAGAGCAAAGTACGCTCGTCAGTGCCGCTGCTGCAGCTCAGGTCTACGCCGAAGAGGCCCAAGCGTACGTCTTCTTGCATGGTTCACCGAGTCATACTTGAATAATTCATACAGATACCTCGATAAGAACACTTCGTCAACCACTCGCTATACCACATGGTTTGGCACATACAATTCGTCCCGCCACGCAGAGGTCCTCAGCCACTTCTCCAACATGCTCGATCACCCCTACGCTAACTACACATACGATTGTGGCTGCACTGAAGAAGCCTATGCCTATGTATACGCCGACGAGTAAGTCGCTTATATCCGCACTCATGAGCAGCTGTCACGGGTTATTGATAGCTTCGGTATCATTCATCTCTGTGTTGACTTCTGGGATGCCCCCCTCACTGGAACTGACTCCATGGTGAGCTTTTACACGTTTTCTTACCTTTCTTCAGCTGATCCGTTCTAGGGTGGAACTCTAATCCACGAGTCTTCCCACTTCACCATCATCGCCGGCACCGAAGACTACGTCTACGGCCAGACCGGTGCCGAATCACTCGCTGAGAGCAATCCCGACGAAGCCATCTTCAACGCCGATAGCCACGAGTATTTTGCTGAGAACAACCCTTCGCTGGCTTAAATGTGTAAATATAGGAGTATCTCGTCGCGGCGCTGCTTGCATCGTGGGAATGAATATGATTGACGGTTTTTTTTGTCTTTATGCTAGTGTGAAGCAACGTTATTTCTGGAGTGGCATACCTAGTAGAAACGCCCAACAAGAACATTGCAGCTATCTACTGTTCATGGTGGACCGCTATTAACTCCGAACAAACTGAGATAGATTTTGACAGAAGCTTTGATCGTGTTTATAGAATTTCGAAACCGCCGTCTGTTCTAGTGATTAAGGCGGGGATGCGAAGGGCATATCTGCAATTATGCCTACATCTAGTATTATTGCCACACTAGTCGCACCTATGTAGTATTTCTAATAAACATCGTATCGTATCTATCCTCAAGGCAGAATTTACACGTTTTTCTTAGCCTCGGACTCCGCGATACCATTAGCTTTGTCCGCTTCTTGCTGAACCCGGCGTTTTTCCCGCCTCTCCCGTCCACGCGTCACCATCTTCTTGGGTCCGAGGTCAGCAAACAAGTACTTGCACACAACCTCAATGACCCAGCATCCAGCAAAGTCAACAATCATGCTTGTAGTCAATCTGACCTTAAACTGAAGGCAACAATCAGAACGAGTGCAGGCGGTACTGAAGAGAGTCAAACACATACAGAAGTCTCCATCTCCACGATCTGGAGCCATCGGTTCAATTCAGGCATGAAGTCAGTAGCACCGCAGAATGCGACAGCGCTTGCGGAAACGAGTCCCCACCACAACGCGTTGTTTTCGCTGATGCCTTCGCGGAAAGGACGACCCTATAACCAGTACAAGTATTAGCATAATATACAGAAAAACACTCTGGTTACAAACCTGGAAGTTAATGGCAAACGTAGAGACTTGCTGCGATAGACCCAAGAGGTAGATGGCAGTGTTCAAAAGGCTTGGCTCAAATTTAGCCTCGAGGTCGATGGGACCACGCCTAAAATACCGGATAAGATTTGTAAGAGCATGACATTTGAAACACCAACTCTTCAAAGACACGCGACAATTCTGTGATATAGACAAGTGTTGCTATATGCAATGCGAATTGGAGAAGGATAGACAACAGAACATAGAAATTGAAGATATTGCCCAATGGACGCTCGCGGGATAGTTTATCCACCGGCTACAACAATGCAAGTAAGGCATCACAATCTCAAGACATGAAGCATAGACTAACCTTAGCACGAGATATACAGAGGAAGCAGACCGACATCAACATACCCGTGATTGTAACTTGATAGTCACCGTATTTAATTCCGTCCAGGTATTGGACACTTAAACTGTATGCGGTGATCAGACAGTTCAGTGCTAGAATCTTGTACATCTGGATGGTCGCAACAAGGGTGCAACGACCTTGTCGAATGATATGCGCGACTAACAAGGAACCCATGAGCAGCAAAAAAAAAAGCCTAGAGAAGGGTAGACGTACTGGCTGCTACATGAGATAGCTTCGACGTGAACGGTGCTGCACAAGAAGCATCACCGAGTTTAATCTTAGGAACGTCATCTTCACCCTCCATTTCTGCGAGCTTGTCCGTGATGCCGGCTAAATCGAACTACAAAGCCATTGAGATGACATTCACCAGTAACACCGGATACTTTACCTTTTCCATAGGATTTCTCTTCCGAGCAACCTGTAAATCAGCCGCAGCCTGTTGCTGAGCCTGAACGGCGTCAGGGAAAAGATGCGCAATAGCAGGCGGCACAGGCGGAGGCGGCTGGTTGAACCTCGCAGATATCTTCAACTGGCTCTCATAGACCTTCTTGATACGTTCGAACTTCTGATGTTCCGCAATTTTCTGTAGATCTTCAGGCGTCCCATCCAACAAAGCCACACCCACATGCGCCTGTTTCAGCGCGCCAACATCGTTCGTACCATCACCAGCCATGAGAGTGATGTATCCCAAGGTCTTGAGCGTCGTGAGAATGTATTCCTTTTGGGCAGGTGACACACGGGCGTAAACCCATGTATTCTGCACGAGATCCTTCCAAGTAGGCCGGTTCTCGTATTGCTTCATAGCAGCTCCTGTGATGCAGATATCGTACTCTTCAAACAGGGATATATCGATTGGCTCTTCGGGATTAACCGGGATGATTTTGCTTTCATCAACGGTACGCCATACAAGGTCTAATAGAGAGAGCATTAGATGAGTAGAGAATAGCTATTTCAGATACTGACCAGCTTCATGTACGGCGTCTTCCTTCAGATCAAGAATAAGAGCCTCACGGTCAACAATTTCAACGTCCCTGGCAACATGGACTGCCGTCAAAGGGTTGTCACCAGTGATCATAACGCACTGGAAGAGGTGCCGTAAATTATAGAGTACAACTCCGGGAGAAATTTCTTACGCGGTGAGACGAATCTGCCAGCATCTTGAGCACATCAATCGCGTCGGATTTCAGAGGACAATGGAAGACCAAGAAACCGGCAAAGATGAGATTACGTTCAACTTGCTCCCGAGGAAATTTGTTAATCTGTTCTCACAGTGTTTCGTGAATGCCACCACCCAATCATAGCGAGTGAACCTACCTTATCCACCGACATCGGCTCCATCTCCTTCATTCCAAGCGCCAAAACACGGCTTCCGTTCCTTGTAAACCATTTATACGTGTCATCATAATGATCAGGAACAGAAGAAAGCATGGTCTTGATCGTTTCAGGAGCGCCTTTGACCGCAGCCAAAGTTTTACCTCCAGGAAGGCTGGACAAAGTCGACATGCGCTTGAGAGCGGAAGAAAACTGGAATCGCCGACGAATTATTAAGTGTTGTTTATTTCCAGAGCCCGAAGGTCCCACGACATTGCCTATGATTTCGCGTCAGACCCGGCGGGAGATTCCTTTGGAATTACTAACCTTTGCCGAGGTCCCACGCTAGTGCTTCAAGTGTCGTCTTCTCCATGGGATCACCGACGATAGTGCCATCATCCAACCTAACCAGAGCATGGGCGGCAGCTAAGCAGAGAATTGTTTCTCTGGAGGCTTCTTTCACACTTATGAGTTTCTTGGCGTCATGTAAACTATGAGGTTTTATTAGCGGCGGAAAAATGAATTCAATAGAAGACATACTCCACGCCAACAATACCCTCCAAAACCAAATTTTCGGCCGTAATGGTACCAGTTTTATCAAAGCAACACACATCAATTCGACCAGCTGCAGGTATCCGGAATGGCTCTGTGCAGAAAATGGCTACGAAAGGTATGACAGTTAGATATGGAAGCGCGATCACTTGATTGCAACGAACCGAATTTGGAAAGCGCGACCAGAGATGTATTTACGGCAAGAGACAACTCCATAGGCAATTCTGGAGGCACCACGCTGGTGATAATGAGTACACAGTCTAGCAAAAGCTTTGACTTCTTGAGGTCTCTTTCAATACCTGATTGAAGGTGTGAGCCGAGCGAACACTCGGAAATGTACGAGGCACAGACCTTTCACCCATACATACCAACTTGCGGCAATAGCAAAAATGAGAAGGAACCCGATGAACAAGAAAGACTCCAAGTTGTTTGCAGACACGCGGTCTGTTGAAAATATCATGGTTCGCACAAGTTGTCCTTGTGATGTTCCGAACCCAGTGCGAAGGACGATGCCAAGACACCCGTTGTCCGGTGTCGTGATAGGTGATTCCAGTTGTACTGTAAACATTTATGGTCAGTCTACCATTACTTCTAGAGGTATCGCCCGTACCGCTAGGCGTGGCTTGAAGAATCTTGGTACCACTGAATAAGACGGCGTTTTTGTGGTTGCCGTCAACATCTAGGTTCTCCGTGGCATCCAGAAGTTGGATGGATTCCTTGAGTAATGGAGTCGATTCCCCAGAGAGCATGGCCTCATTGACAATGCAGGTACCATGCACGAGAAGAATATCAGCAGGGATTGTTGTTTCCGTTTGCTGGCGGGCTGAGCAATAATTAGGATTTTGTTTCCCAGAGAACACAATATGGCGCACCAACAGAAACCACATCGCCAGGAAGTAATTTATCGGTTTGTATCTCGGACCATTTCCCGTCGCGATAGCACTGGACCGGATAAGGGATAACTGACATCGTCCTGAACTCAGACAAGGTCCGCACTCGCTAATTCAAAATTGGTCAAGTGTTCCACGGGTAAACCGTAGGAAAGCAAGTACCTGCCAAACCACGGTACACTCAAATACCACCAGCATGAACAGCGTGAAAAGACTGTAGTACCAATATTCATCCAGACACCAGAGTGCGACACAAAAGACTTGGAAGACAAAGAAGGGTGCCGTCGCGTGTTCACCGAACAGCTCCGTAAACGAAGGAATTGGAATGTCGAATTCATTGCCACCGTAAAGTGACTGCAGCGACTCTAATTTCTTCGATGATAGGCCGGTAGGTGTCAGAAACGTCGACAAAGGTGGTTTGCTTGAAGATGGATAGGGCAGCCGCTTGAAAGTCAAAGGCGACATTGAGCAGATATTATATGTGTCCCGCTGGTAACTGAATGTGTAAGTATAGACATCCTGTGGATCCTTCTTGTGCAGAGGAACGATGTCACCCTTTCCACGGTGTGCATGGGGAATGATGCGTATGCAGTCAGCATCGGCCAACGTTGATGCCTATGTAACACGAGTTAATCTTCGAAGAAAGATACGACGACTATCGCTATGCACCTTTCTGGTCGTTATCAAGGCCCTCGCTCCCGTGCTCCATTTTGTAACAAGAAAACTTAAAGCATGCCCCGCACCCAAAGAAACACATGCCAAAAACGTCCATTCTTCACTCACGAGCCATTGGTCGTACTTGACGTAGTAGGCGTACGCCAGAAGGGGATAGAGACATAGGAATGGAATCGTGTAGATATGGGTGTACCATGGAATCGTTGCATGAAGTGTAGCCCCAGCGATGTCCAGGGAATTGACCGCGATGGAGGTCCTGAAAAATACCACGTCAACGACCTCCCGCGTTGAACAGCAAGATGCAACCCACATTACAGTATATAAATGAAGAACGGCGGCGGCACGTCCAAGCGATGTACTCTGGACTGGACCACGTAGAAGTAAGATGGAAAGGTCGACAAGCGCCAAGTAATAGTGACACGCTTACCTGGCGGCAATTTCGAAATATTAGGGCTCGGCATAGGGACCGGACTGGGCCGGAGCCAGCCTCATGCCGAATCGTCGCCGAAAAATAAAACGAAGCAAACAATCGCGTAACTTACTTGACAAAAGATACTCGAATTCAATACTTCCGTACTTCTACTCTCAAGCCACAATCAGGTTGTGCAATGACGTCTTTACAATAAGTTCCACGGAGACTTACTCACACAATGTTATCCCATTGTCCTCTGACTTTCTGTCGTTCTGCTGCCACCCTGGAGACATTATAAATATGCTCAATACCGTTCTTCTCCCTCTTCACAACTCTTGAGTTGCTCGGGTCACTGATATGAACTATCTCACCCCACCTTGTCGCTACTATTTCGCCTTTTCTATTGATATAGCTGCAACTCTGGAGCTGTACTGTGACGGAGGTGATGATGCTATGTTGAAAAAGCTGTCCGGTCTGGAGAACAAGAAGTACGCTGGCTACTGCATAGAGGTACCACATGCAATCCGCTGCTCACCCAAGTCTTGCTGACAGGTTTGTTCTAGAGAGACCTTCCAACCGAGGGGGATAATAGCTTCCACACTATTAATATTCGACCGGTGCAACAGGGCCTCACGAAGCGTTATCCTCAAGATCCTTACCGTGCACGGCCTGCAATGTGCATTCCTATCCTCCCGGAGACTTTTCATCCGCGGTCAAGGACTCCCCTGAAGCTTTCGAAGCCTTTGCCCTGGAACAATTGTTACCACCCCACCTGCTACGATATCCGCGCGCGCATACCCAAGGAACTACGCAATTACTCGGAGACACCTCGATTACGATCTTCAACCCCTGTGATCAACCAACCACTCATACAAGATGAAGAATTCTACCGACTCCTCCGGGATGGAATAGGCGAGGATCGAGTTTTAAGAATTCTCGACGGTACAGAAGAGCGTCCAGACATATGCATAGACACTTCAGACGACCCGTCGGAGACTTGTACAACCTTCCTAGCAAAGATACCTGGAAAGGAAGATCTTGAAGCAGACGACGGATTTACGCCAGTTCTTCGTATCGACCATAACCTGACGAATGTTCCGGAGATATACAATCCGTCAGAACTGTGGGAAGACCGCGATCTTTTTCGAAGGTACGCAGTGATATCGACTCTCTCAGATCTCCCTCTTGAACTCGTGCTTGTTCACAGAATCGTGCACGAGTATCAACTTTCACGATACGCTCCGGTTCTTTTGGTGGGGCCACAGGAACCGGCACTGTCCAAGGATGATATCACCCTTGAACCGTCTGGTGATTCCATGGAAGATTTCGGCGGTTCTGGTTCTGAAGCTTCAGGTTCGTATGGAGTTCGGTCGTTGCCTGATTCGGATGAGGTTTCCCAAACACCAGTCCGTCGTCGAAAAAGTGGGTTTCTCTCAGTTCACAGTGTGGCTCGTAATGATTTGTGCTTTCAAGGCAAATGGAGAGTCAAGTCACCGATCAAGCGGGCAATTACAAAATTTATCAAACTCGTGAAGTGGCAGTCATGATTGCGTCCGTGGTAGGTAGACTAAGTAAACACCGTATGTATTTTGTCGTGCTGTGACTGATTGACTTTCCCAAATTGTGAATCGTGAAAAGCTATGTGTCATATGAGGTTCATTGAAACAAAAACCAAATGGATTCTGTCGGTTGTTACAGATCTCGAAATGACAAGCAAACGAAGGAACATCCCTCTACCATATACGCTGGCTTCCGCGCGTTCATCTATGAACAAGCTCAGAAAGGTCTTCCGGCTGCTCTTTGGATAAAGAACCTATGAAAAGCGAAGGCGATACCTGCATCCCCCCGGTTCTATGCAGGCCCCGGCCCGAAAATCTCACGGCTCTTTGCTACAGATGTTTCAGCTTTTCAGGGAAAGCTAAAGAGCAATTCCCATTGATGATTTTTCTCAAGGTTCGAGCCTTTTGCACCCACCAACCTGAGATCTTACACTACCAGAAAATTTTATTTAAATACGACTATTGAAGCTTTAAACCATGACACGACTGCAGTGAGGGTCTCCGAAAATTTGAAGTCGAATAAATAAATTGACGAAGCGCTCGCTTGCCGATACGGCAATATCCGTGCCGAAGGAGGACTACTGAATTAAGGTTTCAGCCACCCTTCTCTCTTCCAACGAAAATATTATACGTGCGGTTACATATCCTCAAGATCACCGACGATGGCGAGTACACCGTTTTGCTTTCCAACATGTCATTCTGACGAGCCAGTGATACAGCCTAAGCAAATCAGTGACATCAAGGAGTTCATTAAAATCACCCAGCGAAAGGATGCCATCCGTGCGTGTACTACACTTCTATCTTCAACCACCCTGCTAATTTGTCGTCAATAGAGGCACGCATAAAAAAGACAGCTCCTAAGGTTGCTGGCGGCAAGCAACAGACCAAATTCAAAGTCAGATGCTCACGGTATCTGTACACACTGTCGATAGACGACCCGGAGAAAGCAGAGAAGCTCAAGCAGAGTCTTCCTCCTGGTGCGTTCGTCCCTGCTACGATGTTTCTAGTGTACTAATGTACTAATGATATGTAGGCCTCACTGTCAAAGAGATCTCCCAGACACCAAAGAAGAAGTAGATGCTATTGCTTCATTCCTTGTATTTTACATGGTGTGCTGGGACGGCTTGGCAACCGGCTGCGCCTGGGGTATTGTATATCTGGGGAGGGTATTTACAGACATACTTCTGCAGCGCGAAAACTATTGCTTTTATGTGTGCTTAATCATGACTTCCTTTCCTCGACTACAAGTGCGACAACCTGGAACTGAATGACTTCAACGCGACCGTGAAATATCTGTAGCCCTTATGCAGCTTGTGCATTGCTGGGTTCTCGCACGCGCGAAAACGCATAACCCTGGTTATATCCAGGAGCACCAACAGAATTGTAAGTCACCAGTGGTTCCGGACTGCTAATGGTCTTTCCCATCAACATCACTGGCGACGTCTTTTGGTCCTCCATATCTTTCCGTAATTGCGCAGCATAGCTGGCTGCGATGAGATAACAGTCTATACAAACATTTAGAAAAAGAATACAACAGAAAACACGTAACGGACATGAGAGAGTGACCCAGGATACCGCGTAGATGGCAACACCAGTGCCTTTGAATATCGCTATTCCATTCTGACACACCTTCTCGGTTAGTTTATCAGTTGCCCCGTTGACGCACTGCTTGACGGTTCGTGCATCTTTCACTCGAAACAACGAATACAGAGCCATTATGCCCGAGGTGACGCTCACACCTAGAGCAATGACAAGAAGGACACCATAAACCTGAACGAGACCTCGTTTCTTCGTCATCGCGCTGATTAACCTGGTGTTCGCATTAGGACCTAGCTCATGCGCAAAAAGCGAATAAAGCATCACCCAAACAATCCCACCGTAGCAAGGAGGGAAAACACTACTGTATGGAAATATAGCGCGACTGTGTCGAAAGCCGCCAGGGGGTGAGTATCTAAGTCTTAGATCAGCGAACATAAGACCGACAGGATATGAACAAGCACACCTAGCTGGGAAACCTGCAGCCAGCCAGCCGCTGCAACGATGCCCCCGCCGGCCATCTCAAAGAACGAGAGGCCCTGAAATTCGACGCCGTTAGCACCAACGTTCCCAGAAGCGAATTCAATCACGCACAAAGATACCCATCCTCAGAGGGAGACAAAAAAAGAACTTGCGCAAATGAACATGAATCATTGAAGCCCGCAAGGAGGGAAAAAAGAGGGCGTCAAGCAGAAACGAAAGAACCAGACGGAATGCAGCAGCGGGCACACCCGCAATATCACATCCATTTCGTCTGAGCATTTGTATACAATGAATACCTTGTTCATGGAAACGATTGTGTTGATGACCATAGCGATATCTGCTACCACCGTAGCATGGGAATTGATCGTTGAACTGATGCTTACATCAAGATAATGAGCCCTGTCGGGATTCTATACTTTGAAACTACACGACAGTATCCGCTGTTCAGAGCCTCGTAAGCAACACAATGCTGACATGTGTGGAATGACGCGCTCACTTTGTCCTCTTCAGAAACTGTTCCAGCTGGCCATCATCGCACACATAATGAAGACAACAGTCGTCCCCGCCCGAAGGGTTCTCTCTACTCTTACCGTCCATCCGGCACTAACATGACGACTGCCAGTATTGATGCCCATCTCAAGATCATAGATCTCCCGGACTTGGGCGTGCGACACCATAGTCAGGAGGGTCTCCAAAAATCGGCTTCCATCAAGGTAAGGCAATGGAAGTAAATTGAAGAGATATAGCGAAAGTGTCGCCATATTGAGATACCTGTGATGGTGATATCAGAGAAGGTAGCGCAGAACCCGATGTGAATATACCCTTCGAGCACGAATAGTATCGAGGGGAGCCACAGTGGGAATAAACTGAGCCGAGGCCTTAGCGTTCCAAGTTGCACTGGGAATAAAGCAATTAATGCGCGTTGCAGTGCCCCGGCTTCATTGCTCTCACCTTGCTGCAAGACTTCCTTTTTGGGCCCGCGCCATAGAATGATTTCATCATCGTCTTCACCAGTTACTTGGACAGAGATACGCAGCAGCTGAGCGGATTCATCTGGTCGGACACAGATCGAATTTCCTTCACAACCGGAGATGGAATCACATCGAATACTTTCTTTTGGTTTCGTCAAAAGCGGGACAGCATCTAGACAGCCCGTATCACTGCCAGTGGTAAAGCATGAAAGCAGCGATACTGCAACTCCCTCTAAACAACATGACGCGGGGCTCTCTAACGAGCCTTCAGCATACGCTTAATTTCCAACGACGGGAAGTCTCACCAAAAAATATATCCTTCTCTACACACCACCCCTTTGAAGTGGAGGGCTGAGATGCAGTAAGGTAGGTGCTCCACGCATCGTTAGTTCCGTTGACGGGTTTATCATCTAGCTGGGTAATGATGGACCCTTTGGGAAGGTATTCATCCAAGGCTGTGCCCTAATAGACTGATCACCAGCATGTACGTTATGACCAACTGGGAAGATTTACATGTTCCACATCCAAAACCACTCGGCCGAGTCCTGATATGTCTTCATACGAGAACAACGTCAGCGCATAGTAGCTCAGCCGCATCCATCCCAAGAAAACCAGAATGATCCAGAAAATCCCGTTGTGCCACGGGCCAGCAGCTATGATCCTAGCTCTGGACGACGGCTTCAGTGTCTCCAGGCACAAACTAGGGAAAGTCACGAATGCGGATGGAATTACTAGCGTCAGTGCTGCACCGACAGAATTAATAGGGACAGATTCTCTTGGAGAGTGTAAGCATGACGACGTTACAGATTAAATGGCGATCGTACAATGCACCGGAAACCGCGTGTCCAAATTCATGAACCACTTGGGACAAAAGTACCGCAAGGAATATAGGTGTGATATGACTGAAAGGAACAGTCACACCGGGAATCTATCAGCTGCGTTAGAATATTGCAAAAGCAAGATAAGATAATCCACGAACTATAGCTTGGACGAAACCCCTGGATCTCCCCATGTCCATATGAGAAGTCTCTTGAATATCCCTTTTAGCGACTTGTTGAACTTCTATGACAAAGTTATGACGAAATGTTTCCGTCAAAAGATTTGCACAGGTCCAAAGCAACAACCCTATAGCACATAACATTCCAAGGACACCAAATGCGACCCCAGCGTCATAAAAATGCCTCAGAGTTTTGCTTGTCCATCGATACCGTCTGGATACAAGTTTTCCGGTGAGGCCATCATGGTAACGGTTCCAGGTGGACGACTCGATCTTCAGGTGAAAATACCGCGCAGAAACATGGATGCTACTTCCAAGCTTCCTACTAGGTCGTACGCTGCGCTGCTCAGTAGGTAGCAGAGAGCCCTTTTTAGAGTTCAATAAACGGACTATTGCATGAATTGCGGTCCAGAAGAGTGAGAGCAAGATGAAGGGGAGAACCAACATGTAAATATCGAGCCGAGTGTGCCAGCCTTGCCCGGCTCGGCCCGAGCAACCCCTATGCCTGATATTTGACTACTTAAGGGAGACCCTTGATTTTTCCTTTTCCACTTTCCCGTCGCCTAGCAGCCACTTTCTGGTCGGTACTGCCTTATTGACGCATTTTACGAAGGAGGCATATATTCAAGATTGATTTTTAGGTAGCCTCCGCGTCTGGACTGTCCTAGTCGACGCACCTAACATCTCCAAGTCAGCACTTGTGCGTTGCTATGCTTCCGTTGAAGGACTTACGTGGCTCAATCATCATTTAAAGTAGTCCTTTCTACGCTTTATGGCCTCAGGAAGTGTCTCTTGCTCAGAATGCGGCTCAAATGTTTTTTTCACTTCAGTGGAACAAGTCAACGTCCCGGTACTTTCGCCCACGGTATCACCACTTCTACGCACCAACGACTTGCCTGGCGCGTCTGATAATCACCTACTCAAAGAATCAGTGCAATACATCGATGACACCTTAGGAGTTGTCCAAGCGGATATTCATCATCTTTCTGACATCCTCAGTCGGCTGAAGGAGAAGCAGAAGCTCCTCAAAGATGCGCAAGATGTACATAAGATCATTTTATCTCCCATTCGACGTCTTCATCCCGAAATACTGGTGCAGATTTTCCTCGCTACCTATAGTGACCTCGGAGAGCGCGACGCCTACGACGTTTTTGATGTCACATCGGGTCCTTGGCTTGTCGGTCAAGTCTGTAGCAAATGGCGAGCTGTTGTTGTGTCCCATTCAATGTTGTGGTCTACAATGCGTCTCCGTGGCTCTTGGTCCAGCTCGACCGCCCGAATCTTTGATCCGGGTGAGTGGAGGCACGTAGCAAAGCTGAAAGGTCCAATTCCATTGTTGAGCTCAGCATTGAGTCGATCTGGGCAGCACAATCTTTCTTTCAGTTTCCATTGTTTTGATTATGACGGCAGGAATATCGCGGAGTTAATGTCCACGCTTTTCCACTTGCTATTAAGCCATTGCAGTCGCTGGGAAAATGTCACCCTCCCAATCACAGCTCCTATCATAGAGGCTCTCTCATCAATTCTCGGTCGCTTCCCAATGCTCACAGATTTGGAACTGACCTTCCTCGGTGATGACGGAGTACCAATCTCACATATTGACGCCTTTTCCATCGCTCCTCGCTTATCCCGAGTCCAGCTAAAAAATTTACCGCAAGGTGTCCATGTTCATCTCGCAAATTCCTGCCTTGTCCGTTTCTCCGATCATAGACGCCAAAGCACCCCAATGAACTCTTATTTATTGGATATCATCCAGAAGTGTCCGAACCTTGAAATTTTCGAGGCCGCTCATGGACAACGGGTGGCTAGTCCGTCCTCACCAATGCCCTCTACTCGTGTATTAAACACTTCCTTGCGCGAGCTTTACGTCTGCGAAGGGGACTTTCTGGAAAGTCTTGTACTTCCAGCGCTGGAGACAGTGTCAGTGACCCCTTTCTCTGACGACGTGTCCTGTCCCCCGAATGCACTTTCTGGCCTCCACACTCTTTTGAGTCAATCCCATTGTCCCTTAACACAGCTTGTAATAGGCGACGCTACACCAGATCGTCATCTATTCGCCATCCTCGAGCTTGTTCCAACGCTTACGTCCCTGTCATTCAAGCAGAGGCTTATATGGCCAAAACAATATGATGATTTCTTCCAAATGCTCATATCCCGTATGGAGGCTACATCAGTGGATAATAGTGGCAAGCCATATCATCTCCTCCTTCCTAACTTGGAGGAACTGTCCTTCACCATCTGGGCGGAACCGCCCCGTGACTCCGATTTCGACTGTTTTGTCAACCATGATTTCGTAGCAATGGTACTCTCAAGATGGGATAGTTATGATGAACCATCTTTGTCCTCCGTATCAGTGGAGTTTCTTGGTTCTTTGTTTTGGAAGCTTTCCGGGCTGCTACCGGGCGACGTAGCCAACCTGAAACGTTGCCAGACGGAGGAGCTCAAGATCGCCATACGGTCTAAAATATTTAACGACGAGACGGAGTGTTATGTATGATTGGGTGTGCCTTTACCCTAATACAATACTATACAGTAGATTTTTCGTGCGTATCGGGCCCATTTATCACCCGAAACAAGCATCTATGATTGCCTGCACACGCATAAAAGAATAAGGTCCAGTGGACAACGGTATCGTGGACCAAAATTAGATTGGGTCGGAACTGCTGCAACGCGTAACGAGAAAGTTCCATGAAGGCCAAAGCTGAACATCCTTGCAAGTATGGTAATTGCACTCGAAGAATGACATTGAAACGTAGAGCCAATGTTTTGGAGACTTACAAAATAAATGGAAACACAGGAATAAGAACATCGTCGAGATGTAGACAAAATCCGAGATTCAGGAATGTATAAATACAGGCTCAAAGGACCGACAGCAAGGAAAGGGATGAATGAGAATACATAGCATTATATTCCATCATCAAGACTGACGAACCACAATCATTACGGACGCCATCAGATGCTTCCAGCCCGTCCCTTTAATGTAACAAGGTATGGGTGCCGAACGGGCGATGTCAATGCCGACCGCACCAAGGGGGGTCGAGCTCAACGAACTGCACCGTTAATTATCGTCATGGGCGTGTATGATTGTGGAAGAATCGAGAGAAAATTTTTTTAAGGGATCCGCCTTATATATAGCGGTACAGGTCTCACGATCACGTGAATTGACCTGGAAACTTAAAAGGACAAGGGCCGAAGTTTTCCTTCACCGGCACTCGCGCATTGGATCTTGAGTACTTGAGTATGTGTTGAGCATCGACAATGTCATCGGTAAGATTTTGGATCTGGAATTATACTGGATAATCTGACAGCCAACGCAACTATCTTGCTCAAGGGGTGGCCCGGGATTTTCTTGCTGTCTATTTGATGTGTTCTTGGGAGGGTGAGGCTGGCGGTCCAACTCATGCCGCAGGAATTCAAAGATTCACCAACGGGAAATTCAGTCAATGGAGTTCATTCAAAGGTAGTCAGAATCGAGATTACACGACAGCATCAGCGTCGGCAAGAAAGACAGGGCAAGCCCGAGAGCAACACCAAGTTCTTCAAGACATAGTTCCTTGTCCATCCTATGCATTAGCTTGCTCAAAAGGCCAAATCTGGTTAAAATTTCCAGCCATCCTTTCATAAGCTTGGATCTTGGTGCCGTCGGCCTTCAAACTACAACAAGACAAGGTCAGCCAGATCAGCCGACAAAAGACTAAACGAACTTACCCACCATGGTGGTCAACATTGACTTTCAAAAAATTGTGCGGTGAGTACTCTTCCCATGGTGAAAGTCCGGGCAACTTACACGAGCTGTAGAAGACATTTCTAACCCTAGGGCATATGTGAGTTTTCTGTGTTCATGTCTTTGGAGATGGAAATGGTATACTCACGTATAGCGGCCATCACCCTGCGGTGAGTTGATTGTCCACTGGAGCTTTGGATCTGTGATGTGCCTCCACTAACAATAGCATTGGTACCGTTTTGAAGGGTATCAGTGCCACCTAAATAACGATGTGTCAAGAATGCAATGAAGGCCATGACTATTTGCTAGAATAGATATATTGCTATTAAATGTCATGAAACCAGCGCCGGCGAGCCTGGTTATAGGGCTAATGGTATAATTACTCGGAACTTCCGAGAGGGAGACTGTTTGTAATGGCCAGAGCTGGGAAGGGTAGGTCGAATTCATATCACCGACCGGGGGACCTGCGAGCACTTCACACAAACATTAGTCACATACGTACGATCTGAACGCGGTGTAAACAAAAACACGAAGCTACGGAGGCAACATGGCTTACACACTCCATCCGGAGAGCTTGCAGAGATCGCTACGGCGGCGAAAGAGATGAAGCAGAGAAGTTTCTTGAACATGGTGCAGATAGCGGGACAAGATGGCTACTGTAGCGCATAGCGAGTCACATATATACCCCACAGAGCATGACGTAATTATCCAAGCAGGGTGGAAGTCAATGCATAGTTAGTCAAAACTAAGTCAATGCTAAACCACCGCTGTGAGAGGTGTACAGACAGCTTGAATGACCTCTTGAGTCTAACGGTCCATAGAGAAATCACAGGACAGTAAGATGAAGGCTCTTAGGGAAAGAAAGATAAAAAGGTAGCGACTCGCCGAATTGAGTGACGTCGACTTCTCTAGAGTTTCAAAAAGATAAACCCACCCAGATATGAATTAACTCATTTCCACGGACTTTTAAGCGTTAGGCGATCCCAGGTTTGGTAAAAACTTGACTGAGATTAAGGTCGGCATATTAGTTAAATTCACTTCACGTCTCATTACACCTCTAGTGGAAGAGATAGCGTCGATTTCACCATCAGATGAACTAGTAGACACGATGATTGGAACCCGAGGACTAACCCGAGCTTAATGCCTAGCTATCATCATCAAAGTCCTCGTCCAAAAGATCGTCTTCGTTGAGCTCATCGAAATGGATGTCCGGGTCAGGGTCAGTCTCCCACCCGAACTGCGACTGGCAGGACTGGAGACACGTTTCCAGAGCGCATTTATAGGTGACCCGCAACTCCTCGCTAGTGTCATTCGACAGCTCCATCACAACAATCCTGCCCTTGTGAGCCTCGGATGGCTCACCCAAGGGCACGTAGAAATCCTTATTCAGCTTCGGCGTCGTTACCTCAGGGTGCCTTGAAGGGAGTCAGGAATGGAACCACAGATAAAGATATATAACATACAGGTCATTCATATGTTTCGTGATCTCCTCCGGTCCATTATAGTTGTCCGCACTCTCAGATGGAAGATCATGGCAATGAACGCACTGGAACATGATTGGGCCCACTGGACCAACATTTTGATAATTAGCGGGCAGCTCTCCCGAGTCGAATTTGTGGACATGACGGGTAAACTTAACGGTCGCATAGAAGTGGCTCTGGAATATATGTCGTGCCTGCGGCCCTGTCAGCAGGTCTATGTCTACGAGGCACAAGACATAAATTCACCAATTCTCTCCACCGATACAGGATGAACATTTGTGACTTTGATTCCGTGAGCTGTTGCTTTTCGCACAGGAGACAAGCAAAAAGTGACTCGTCAGCGTCCATCTCAGCCACAGTTGTCGTGGCCGGATCAAGATTGGCCATCTTCACGATACACTGGACGATGCTCCGGAGCTTGTCGTTCTCTGCGATGTATTCCATTGACCATGGCGCACGGATATGCCATTCCGGATACTTGAGCCTACCTGTGCCATCTTTAATTGACTTGAACACGGTATGATCGCTGGCTCGCATGCACCGATGCGAGAGCATCTGAGGATAGAAAAGAGGCATGACGGAAAACGTTTGGTTTGCACTTTGCCCCCTACGCCTACGTGCTGTGTCAGGGAACTCACTACAATGACTGCAAATCACCACATTGCAAGCCAGTTGCAACTGATGGATCGTTTCGTCCCTCGAGCGTTCTGGATCAGGCTCGAGGAGCAACTTGATTAATTTCCTCTTGATCTGGCCCCTCCATATCCTGCAAAGTTCGGGAATTTGGGAGATGACCGTAGCAAAGCTGTCTTCATTGACTTCAACGTCAGATGGGAGGTTTAGAACCTCTGTGATAGGAAGAAATCGAGAGAAATCGGCAACGGAAGGGAAGAAGGTGGTGACGGGGTAGTGTGCGCGGTCATTTTTGTATTGTCGAAAGACAGACAAGACAATTGGCTTGCGGGAATTGACCAGCGTTTGATGTTCCCAGGCCAAGCGGCTGGCTCGCCTATCCTCTGCCCAAGTGACTAGCTCATCCCGGATTTTGGCCCAACCTAAATTAATATTATTTATTGCCAAAATATACATATAGAACCCACCTCGTTCAGTTAACGGGACATTCTTTTTAACCTGGGGATGTTCGGCGAGGGGATCAAAGCATGGGCGGATTCCTTTAAGGTCTTCTTCGTATCCGAGTTCTTTAAGTTTATTATATATCCTGTGGTGGTGATTTAGCCTAGAACGAGTCGACGAGAACATGAATTTACGCCTGTCTTCTGTCTTTCTTCCCTTGATGGATTTCACGATAGCGTTCACTTGCGCGTTGAGTGTTCCATATCTCGCAAATACGTGAATGCTGTAGAGTTGTGAGAAGCTCGTAACTCTAGAAGGAGGAACACGACAGACCTTGAGATCCTCAGAGACTAGTGCCTTTTGGTTTGTGATAAATTTGCTTCTTTCTTCTGAGGTTTCAAACGACAGTAGCTTCGCGCAGATAGCATCATAGTCGCTATGCAATGACCACCAGTCCCACTGTTTAGGACCTGTATGGTCACCACTGCGATAACCTACAAAAATCTCAATAAGTGGCGAGAATCCGAGAATAAAGCGTACGTACTGGTACAATGAGCAGGTATCAGACCGGTGACATCTCTAGCAGAGACATGCGCTAAGAGCAATTTGGCCTCGAGCACTCGTGTCCTTATCAATCTTAACTACGTCAGGCAAATATTGGTATCAGGTTTTCTGCATACCTTTCAGAAGCACAAGGAGGACAGACACGAGTCATAAGGTACATGTCCGGATTCCGGACAGTTCTGGTGCAAAACTAAACGACTTGAATAAATTGAACGGCAGGTCAAGAAGAGAATCTTACGTGACACTCTGCAATGAACGCGAGATTCACCCATGCAGGTTCCGACATGCCTCGAAACGGACCTGGAAAATTGGGAAGATTCTGACGAGCAGCCTGCCAAGCGCCTATAGACAATTTACTCATCAGGACCTTTCGGAAATCCTTGTTAAGACGTGAAAGGTGAAGGAGATCTAGTGGTAAAAGAAAGCCGAATATCTGATTGAAATCCTATCAGAAAGTAGAAGACGTGAATGGACTCCTGACACGCACCTCAAGGAGAATGTCCAGTGGCAGTTCCAGTAATGCTGACAGTTTCCCTCTAAGTCTACGGCTCCCCTTGGACTTGGCGGGTTGAGAACGTCCTGGGGCGCTCACAGGCTCATTGCTCGCGCTAGAAGTGGCAGTTTTACGTTTCTTTCGAATCGACATCGTGGTGGTAAGAGTAAAATAGCAGGTATGAAATACCTCCGGATTCCCGGTAATGTTCATCGTCGCTCGTTCACCTCGTCCTATTCTCAATTCTACAATGCTGACGTGCTACAAAGTCGAACGGGTACCATGATGGTCGCTGAAGCGAATCGCGTGGGCACAGAGGACGACGGCTTGGAGACAAAAAACGACCGAGTGGCTCTGAATAGAAAGCCTGCAATCTGCCGCACTTACTTATTTATAGTAGTGGCAAATTATTACTCAATGGACCTTGGCTTCTAGATTATACTTGGCCATGATGATGGTCATCGTCGTAGGCTGAGGTCAAATTCAAAGTCAGCGAGCAATCCGACCTTCAATCAACCACAACGTTTCCCAACGCTTGTGTTGCATTTGCGGTCAGTTTTGGTCAGTTACGCGTTTTGGAGGATATATGGCCACCCACCGTAGAGGCGAGTATTCCCAGATGCAGCCGATGTCTATTCGAAGTCCAAGAAGGTCCCAGTGAAGGGGTAATCACTGTTAAGAGTTCCTATTCAAGAGGCTCTGCCCATAGGTGTTCGAACGACATTTAAATTTGGAATCGGCGGCTTCAAGAGACGGAGAACGTGCTCTTCAAGGATGAAATGGTAGGAGAACTGTGACCTTCTCATAGGCGCACTGCAATGTGTACAGAGATACTCTGTTAGTTGGCGACAAGTACCAGTCCGTGTGCACGCTGACGCCAATGTTGATTGGTCCGCGACTCACTTTCTTTTTCTTAGTGATCTCGCAGAAATTGGCGAATTCAAGCGAGATCTATTTAAGTTGTAGCTTGGAGACGATAAGTGGTCGTAGCGAGTGACGGTGCGTGGCGTGGACAGGTAAGTAGGCACATGTATTCGAGCATGCTTCCAATATACTTATTATATGCATCTCATATATTCTCGATGACAAGAATGAAATAGTACAGTGACTCTTCGCCTCAGGCTTGTATTGATTGAACATACCCTCACCATGGGACAAGCCCTTCCACCTGTGCTTTGATTCTCAGTGCGAGCCGCTTACTCCAGAATCTTGCATGAGCAAGGTTTCCTCCCAGTGTGTATATACCAGCTAAGAAAATCACCCCATCAATTCTTGCAAGCAATAAAGCGTTCATGAGCTACGCACGATGTCCAGTAGTCCTGGCAATACCGTTAAGTTCTCCTTCTGAATCAAGGCCCCACACTTCGCTGATGCGTTCTGCTTCAGGTCCGAGGATTCTTATTGCCGTAGTCCTCATATTCTGGTATCCGGTGGCCAGGACCACGATATCCGCCTCGATCTCTGTGTCATCATCGAAGACAAGAGAGTTCTCAGTGAAATAGCCTATTCTTCGTTTGCGTCTACCCTTGTATTACAACTGTACAACTCACTAATTTCATGGCCCTGTTTGATCTTGATCTTCTTCTCAGCGATGAGTTTCGATGCGCCAACGTCAATGTCTGACGAGGATCAATGAACGGCACAGGCAGAACGTAAATATGCTTCCTTACAGTACCCTCCTCCCTTGATGAAGTATGTCATCATCAACCCTGCCCCGTTTATACCTAACCATCAAATCAATGAAAAACCAGCTTGGCAGATACCTAGGATACTTACCAGTATTAAGCTTGAACCCCACCTTCCGCAATCCTTCTAATATATCGCGGTCAAGTTCAGACATTTGTTCAGTCGCATATTTATGCAAATCGCTATACATGAGAACAGGAAGCGAAAAGTTCATGATGTCGGCATCCTCTGTCGGCGGACCTTCTTCTCCATACAAAGCGCCAAGTAAGCATCCGACACCAGTAGAGGATCTAATAAGTTATTATGTAAATCCAAACGAGACGGCAATGTAGGGAACTCACATAACATAGGTGCTGGACCTTTGTACGATCGTGACGTCTGCACCATGTTCATGTAAGTCCTGAGCAATGCTTAGAACATGTTCAGATTTATGCTAATACAAGGGCGATGAGATTGACACACTCATGGCCGCTATTGCAACACCCGACGACGATAGCCTTGTGGATAAGAATTTCAATACCAAAGAGCAAGGGCCGAAGACAATGCCGTATACACACTTTCTTGTCTTTGAATCTTTCGCCAGACTTATACTGGCTAGAATGACAGACGGGTCCTTTGAATAAGCTTTGGTCTTTGAACACAGGGATATTTGGTTCTCCACTCGCTCCCGTAGCAAGGACGACGAATTTCGGTTTGATCACTTGGTCGGGATGTCCAGCGCGGGATATTGCCACCGTCCAGGTGTGAGAGACCTCATCGTATACGGCGGATTTGATTGAGCTTCGCATCCAGATGTTCAAATTCATGATGATAGCCTAAAATCAGAAGTTCATTATCATTACGACGGCTCAAGTAAATCGGTAACATACATATGCTTCAAACCAGTCCGCGAGCTTATCTTTGGGTGAGCTAGATATGGATTAGTCGAATATCATCATATTATACAATGACCGGGGCTCACAATATGGGCCAATGGTCGGGAAAAGGGACATAAGGAAGGTGGTCGAACCAAACGGGATCTACAGTGGCAGAATGTCAGATCGTTCCGGGGCTAAGTGCAATACGGAGATAGCGGCCACCATGTAATACAAGAGACTTGTACCGCTTTCGCCAATTGTCGCCGACTCTGTCATTCTTGCTGTCACACTGGTTAGAATGGTCGATCTGTACATAAAAAGGAAGACTCGCTCGATGAGAATTGTGCTAATTTTGAGTTGCTTCAGTCGTGCGCCAAGAGAGAGGCCGCATTGCCCAGCTCCGACTATCAGGACTACCGGCTCTTTGTCGATAATATCGAGCTTCCCTCCAATCTGGTCCGTGTGGGGGACGTAGTTTACACTGACAGGTCGTGCCTGGACCGAACAACATCCAAGTCTGCTTTTCAAACAAGGTTATTAAGTCACATACCTTTCTCTGCTTTTCCTCGTGTTCCTTTAGCTCTTCAATTCCAGTGTAAAGCGCTCTGAAAAACAATTTATGAACGATGTTAACGACGGCTAAAATGGCCGTTTACTTAGCCTTCCAAGAACTATCATTGCTATCCTGCATTAACCGAAAGAATCCTCGTCCACGGGCGATGTTCGTTTCGAATGTAAACAAACATTGTATCCAGGTAAATCCTGAGCAAATTATTCAATACAAAATTAGGAATGCGTATGTAGTGGACGGCGCTTACCAGGCATGGCCTCAACGAGAGTCGGTACGCCCTCAAGTTTCAACTCACACAGTCCCGAACTTTTGAGATGACCGTCGGTTTCCAAGAACGTCTTGATAATCGGAGCAAAATGCAAGGTGCGAATATCCCATGACAGAGTCAGAAGATCGCGCCAATACCCATCCGCGAAAAGGCTAGAAGAGACAGCGTCTGCATCTTGCGAATGTATAGCTTCTGAAAACGACCGAAACCACCGTTCTGCGATCTGAAGAGGTGGTTAGCAAATAGTAGCTTTGTGTAAAATAGTGCTCACAGCTGTAGGTTCAGTGTCCATTCTGAAGGTCCCAACACGGAGAGGCTCTAACTGCGATCAAAAGCATTCAGTAGTTGGGAAAGATATAAAGGAACAAAGCTTACCACGCGCTGTCGGGTGATCCGTCTGAGCTCGAAAACCCTTGGTCCGGACTCAGAGACATAACAGAGTTAACTAATTCTATAATTCAGTTTTTCCCAGAGAGTCTGGTGACTACCGCCGTCTCCGAGCCGAACGGTGTGCCTTTGGAAGCTCCTCTGGATGATTCATCCTGGATCGGTAAGCACTTCGACGGTATAAAAGTTTGAAATAAAACTATAGAAAACACGACGGTACTTCGAAGAAGAAAACCTGAGGGAAAGATCACCAACGGAGTAAAAAGCAGAGAGAACGCACTATGCCCCCCGCATTTTGTCCGTTACGAACTGGCGTATCTTTATGTTACCCTTGAGTGGCGGCTACTTACGTTGCACAAAAGTATGGGGAAGGAACACGAGAGCCGACTTAATGAATGCTCGGAGTTATAACGGGTACCTGGTAACACGGCGAGATCCAAAGTCGGGCCGGAATTTGGAAAGGCTGCTTCAAAGCTTCAAGGGATTCGCGCGATACGGCTCTGCCGACTTTGCTTGGAACGCAAGAGTTGAACTTGACGTTTTTGCCTTTGGTGGGCATAAACCTCTTGTCTGAGCGCTGTGTGAGCCTTTGGCTTGGCAACACTGAAATGTTTACATCCTAATGCGGACTTGGAGACGCTACAAGACGCGCTGGAACTGAAGAGGTCTTGCTATTCTTCACGTATTATGATCGCGAGAGGTGGCCGCTCCGTGGACTGGCAGACCGAGGTTAATAGATCATGAAACTAGACGCGCTTCTAGGTATCGCTCTGTAATACCAGATCAAGGACCACTCCAATTCTGGTATAGATGAGCTTGTCCTCAATCGGGAAGACGGTAGACATCCTTGAGCTTGAACTTCGAGTTGTTCCTGTCTGGCGGTTTGAACATTCAAGTTTCAACTTACCTTGCACAATCCGCCACACCAATTGGGGAGCATAAAGGATATGTTTTTTTTGTATTCAACATTTGATTAACCGCAACAAGTAAGCTAACTACTAAGACGCGGTGGAGGTACAGGGACTCAGGATCCTCTTTCCCTCTTGTTCCAGTCCCTCCGCTCTTCCTTCTGAGTTCCCCGGGTGTTTTGGCGTGTAATGTGGAGTAGAGTAATGGACATGTATGGTATTTTGCACCCTCGTGGTGGGCTAATTGATTCGTTTGATTCTGCGGTTGGCTAAAGCCTGAGGTGTTTTGCGAGCATGTCTTGAGTGCTGGCTGTGTTGGACATGGTCTATGGTGTGGTGGGCGTGCGGCGGTTACCCGTGCTCGTCTTCCGTGTCGCCCTCATCTTCTTCCCACCACTCTCCTCCTCCTCCTCCTTCTTCTTCTGGCTCTGGGGCGAGCCTCTCGTTTTGTAGTTGTCCCGTCCAGGTGAATGCTCCTGTGTTTTCCATGAACTCGCTCAGTGCTGTGATTCCTTCCTTGGTGCCAAGGATGTCTGGTAGGTATACAGTCCTTGACACATTCCGGAGGATCCCCCGTTGCTCTTCGTAGAGGGTGCATGAACGCAGGGTGTGCTCCCGTGTCTGAAACAACTCTGCACAAGGGCAGTCAACGTCCTTACTTGGCACGAATTGTGAGTAATACTCGCCTATGTATCCATGGCCTGTTCTGCACTGAATATCTCTCTTTTCGCTGCAAGGTCTATGAGGTGGGGTGTCGGCATAAAGGATATGTGACTTACAGCTGGTTATGTTCTGTGACGATATCATTCTATAGTAGCGATTTTTCAAGAAAAATAGAATTTCCTGTGACTGATTATGTTAGCAGTGCAACCATTAAGCACGAAAGACAGGATCATTACCTTATTCAACGACGAGATTATTCCATCCTCAAAACTATGCCTCTGCCAGTCGTACGCTGAAAAAACGGATCCACCCCTGGTACATGCTCTGCTAGTGTCCCGCTCTGACCATTCGTCCGTATCACCAGTTCCTTCAAATTAGAAAATGTCAACCATTTCCTGCTTAACTCCCAATCAATGGCCTTGCAGGGGAGCTTGAGCTCTTCCATCGCAGCAAAGACGTCTGCATCCTCTACATCAAAGATGATATTTTCCAGATCGCGACCTTTGAGAACCTGATAGAAAAGGGTCGGGATCATCGACGCTTTTAGTTTTCGTAGTGCATCGCTAATCCGATGACGCATGCCGCTAAAAACGATGGTACGAACATGGAAAAGGTCCAGGCCCAAATCGAAGATGGTACAGTCTCCGTATAAATCGCAGGACTCCCATAGCTCTAATTTGACCAACAAATTCCGCAAGCCGGTCAGCATCCTCTTCAACATCACCCAATCGTGCAAACTCTTCAGCATTCGCAAGGGAAATACCCCTACCAACACTGTTGAAAAAACAAACCAGAAGAAGAGATTTCCCCACTATGTGCTGAGAGGTATAGCATCGAGTCGTAACCTTTTCAGGCGAGTGAGATGAAGAACCCGGCGATCCTCACCATAGTTGGGTTGTAGATAGCCCAGATTCTTATCTACAAAAGTAGATGCTCCAAATTCATGTTTTACAAGGATGGGAATTGATTGAGGACCTCGAAAAGCTACCTCAAAGACTGAAAGCAGCAAGCTATGAGTTTCAAAGAGGCGATGCTGTCGCTGTATGGAAGAAGGGGACAGTGGGGCTGGAAACGGTGAAGACCGCATCCAGAAGGCGGGGTCACCTCACAGACACTTTTGGAATTGTAGTCTGCGCCCGACAGCAACAGGGCTTTGACCCCGGTCAACGCTCCTAAAAGTGCACGTAAGCAATCCACCACCCAGGCTTGATCCCCATCTCCGTACTCTCCAACAGTTAGCTCACGAATATTCGAAGCGACAATAAAAGTATCTGGTTTGGATATAATGTGAAGGAGAGAATAGCTTCATTCTGCTTTGCAGATTTGAACATTTCTGAAGTAATGATAACGCGACCGCTTTACCCAGGCCCTGCAGACGAGGCTGCAGGCCAGAAGGGTAGACTTGTCATCGAATTCCGAACAGAAGTCAATGATCTTCTCAAAGATTTCGAGAGAAAGCGAGGCAGCTCGCTGCGTGATGCATGAGGGCCTGCCAGTGGGCCTGCAAATGAACCGATCATTGCCACCTCACATTATCAGCGATATCGGCAATAGCCGAATCAAAGCGCGCTCGAGCAATCAGTACGTTCAACTCGAACTTTGTTAACCGTGGGTCAGTTTCTCAAGATTTGGGTCAGGAAGACTTGCCTCAGAGCAATCCGTTCCAGTTGAACAAGTGCGCGTATAAATACCCACATTAACCGCTTAAGTTGGTAGCTTCCCTACGCCGACTTCGATCACTCGAAATCTTACAGGAAAACAGCTTTGCAGCCCATGGTAGTACATACAGACCATCCCTTTCATAAATAGGTCTGTATCGACACCTGGAACTGAAAGTGAGAACGCGGACCATCGAACTCAAAAGACAGAATCAGGACCTCATTAACGATATGTTTGCTCCACCTTCAGCATCACACCCCTACTACCCGTATGCGGAAACCTCCCAGCTATCCATGAAGCCCACAGCTGCGGAAGAATCACCGTAAGGTTCGTTATTCCCTGTGGCTGCCCATCCGTCCGTACGACCAACTGGTCGAGATGGGAGAACGCAGGCCGCGCTAGACCCCTATCAATGGCACTGCACAGAGAGTCATTCAAAGCAGTGACAAAGTCCGGATCCTCAACATCCAGGAGGACACCCCTGAGCTCGCAAGCCCCACAAATATGATACAGGATCAGCGGAACGGCAGACTTCGGTGGTAGCCCAAACCTATCCATTGGCTGACGCCATATTCCGCTGAAACATATCGCGCGGACATGGAGGAGTCTCAACTGCAAGTCGAGGCTACTCCAATCTCCTCTTATATCACCACATTCTCGCCACTCCACTTCCATCAACGAGCCCCGCAAGCCAAGCAGGAGCTGCTGCATGATCGACCACTCACGTTTCGTCTTAGGCATCCTCAGAGATAGCATCTCGACTGAAGGCATCGCAAATGCAAAATAAGAGGCCACCTCATCCCCGCGCGAGGACTCCAAAGCAAGGGTATCAACATACAATCTTTTCAGGTAAACGAGGTGCTGGACGCAATTATACACGCCAAAATTCGGAATGAGAATATCCGTCTCGGTATTTTTGAACTGGAGCCCTTCCAACCTCAGATCCTCCAATAGGGTAAACTGGCTGAGTACGAAAAAGAGCTGCCGCAGAGAGAAGAAGTGGCACTTGGCTAGCTTCAGTGTGGTCATTCGGAGGCTATCTGGAACGAGGCTGAAGGGCGCCATGAAAACACCCTCGGCACGTCCTGAGGGCATAGGATGCACCTTCAAAGCCGTATGGACCTCGTGGTTGGCAAGCGAAAATGATAGCGCTTTGACGCTGGGTAACGCTCTGAGCAGCGTAGGCAACCAATCGCAAAACCAATCTTGTGGCACACGCCCTCGGTTCGTTCCGAGGACCAATGCATGGATTTCCAGCGAGTTGATGGAGGTTATGGATCCGTGTATTAGCTGGAGGAAGGAATTTGCCTTTCCAGCGCTCCGGATATGGGTGGTCTTGAAATAGTGGTGACGTGATCGACGGACCCAGGAGCGACATACGAGGCTACAACTGAGGAGAGTGGTGTTGTCTTCGAACTCAGCGCAGAAGTCTATGATTACTTCATAAAGGTGTAGAGAGAGCAATGGGACGTGTCTTGTCATTGCTGGGAGTTGAAGGGACGGAGATTAGAAGGCTGACGGTTATAGCAACTTCACACGGCCCACCCGAAGTATCGGCTCGAACTTGATTAATCAAAACTACTTGGATTTATGTGCTTATATGGGTGCAAGGCCTTCCACTTGCGCTTTGATTCTCAATGCCAGCCTTTTACTCCAGAACCTCACAAGTGCAAGGTTTCCTCCCATGGCGTAGATTCCAGCTATACCACAAAGGTCAGCACTTAGTACTGCGTAGCGTAAGATGCGAGCTTACGATGACCACTAGACCTGTAAATCCCACTCAACTCTCCCTCAGAATCCAAGCCCCACACGTCCTTCATACGCTCGGCCTCTGGACCGAGGATCTTCACCGCCGTGGTCTTCATGTTCTATTTACCCAAACCTCAGTCGAACGGGGTCCAAAACTTGAATTGGAAGGAAACTTCCTACCTTGTAGCCTGTCGCTAGAACGACGATATCCGCTTCAACGTCTGTGCCGTCATCAAAGACGACAGAGTTCTCCGTAAAGTGATCTGCTCTCTGTTGTTAGTGAGGTTCGATAGCAGCGCTGCCGGGCCTTACTGATCTCGTGGCCCTGCTTCAGCTTGATCTTCTTCTCTATGATCAGCTTGGATGCGCCAACGTCTATATCTAGGAACCATCCTATCAGCCAATCGTACTGTTTGGCTGACGTACTCGTCTCTTACAGTATCCGCCGCCCCGAGTAAAATACTTGGTAATGAACCCCGATCCGCCGACACCTAAAAATCGTGTGTCAAGTTAAAAGTTCGGTTGGAAAAACGGCGTCCTGACCAAAGTCTATCTTGAACCCGACTTTCTGCAATCCATCTAGCGTAGGACGATCAATCTCGGCAATCTCTTCAGTGGTATATTTGTGCAAGATCTAAATTTTCTTGCACGCTCGTCTTCAGAAACTCTTAGCGAATCATTCCGGACGCACCTGGAACATATGGTTAGGCGTCGACGAGAACATGATATCCGCATCTTCTGTCGGTGGTCCATTCTCTTCGTACAACCCACGGAACAAGACTCCGAGCCCAGCGGACGAGGACCTGTTCCCCCCCAATGTAAATGAGATTCACGCAGAAAAAAGAAAAAAGAAAAAAAGTATGACAAGTACTGACATCACATAGGTACTGGATCGTTGCACGATGGTAACGTCAGCCCCTTGCTCATAAAAGTCCTGCGCGATGCTTTTTGGCAGGTTCAATGAACGGCGTTTCAAATACCCATAATTATTGACTCACTCGTGACCACTATTGCAGCAGCCGACGACAACTGCCTATGAAAATCAAGCTGTCAATATGGTGCGCCCCTGTGAACGTGCGTATCCTTACCTTCTTGCGCTTGAAGTCGCCTCCTGTGGTGTGCTGACTCGAGTGGCAGAGGTGGCCCTTGAAGGTATCCTGGCCCTTGAAGATGGAGATGTTGGGCTCTCCGCTGTGTCCGGTGGCGACGACGATAAATTTGGGTCTGATGACACGGTCGGGATGACCAGCACGGGCAATGTTGACGGTCCAGAGGTGGGAGGATTCGTCGTACGTGGCGGATTTGATGGTGCTTTGCATCCAGATATTAAGCTCCATCGTCGCCGCCTGGAGTTCTTGGGTTCGGTATATATTGGTGATCGAGTGGAGTGGGGACGTACATAGGCCTCAAACCAGTCGCCTAGCTTGTCCTTGGGCGTGCTGTGGAACGGTGAGTGTTGATCGATAGCGCGTAGTTTATTGAGCTTACAAAACTGGCCAGTGTGGGGGAAATGAAACGTAGGGAAGGTGGTCATACCAGACTGGATCTGGGGCGCAACTGTTAGATTTGCTAGGAAGAATAAGTAAAATTCCTACCATGAAGGACGAGGAAATCGTATCGTTTCCTCCAGTTGTCCCCCACTCGATCATTCTTGCTGCCGACGGGAACGGTCAGAATTTGTCGATCATCCGAAAAGAGAAAGCATACTCGATAAGAAGTGTGTCGACGTTGAGCTGGCCTAGCCTGGCGCCCACGGCCAAACCAGACTGGCCAGCGCCGACGATGAGCACTGTCGGTTCTGCATTGGCAAATTCGCGCTTCTTTGCTCGACTGTCTTTCCACGACTTGCGATCTGTGTTGGCCCCGTGGTTCACACCGACAGGGCGCGTCTGTAAAAGTTTCAGATCACTACAGGGTCGTTGTGCCTTGTCTTACGGTGCCCCTGTGTTCTTCATATCCCTTTAGCTCCTCTATCCCTGTGTAGAAAGTTCTTGGGAGGCGAAGATAAAAATCCGGAAGGGTTGACAGATGCAAGGCTTACTTTGCTTTCCATACACCGCCATCGGGATCACGCATCAGCCTGAAGAAGCCTCGCCCTCGAGCGATGCTCGTCTCAAATGTGAAGAAGCATTGTACCCAGGTAAAATCTAGAAAGGCGTTGAGAGTGGGGTTGCAGTAGTGAATGACCAAAAAAAAACGGGGCACCTCGGTTGGCTCTGACTAGAACAGGCTCGCCTTGGAGGTTCAAATTGTGGAGTCGGGAGGATTTTAGACGGTCGTTGTCGTCGAGGAAGCTCTTAATGGCGGGGACGGTATGCAAAGTACGATTATCCCACGATAAGGACAAGAGATCACGCCAGTATCCATCGGCCAAAAAATGGGCTGTGATATTCGAAGTGTCGTTTGCTTCTATGGCATCTGAAAGCGACTTGAACCAGTGTTTTGCAGCCTGGTATGTCCGAATCAGGGAGGATGACCAATCGATGAAATGAGGCATACAGCAGGCGGCGCAGAATTCTCAATGTGCGAAACCTCGGCTGGATTCTTTGGATCGGTATGATACGTGTCTAGACTGCGAACGGGTGGCGGAAGAGCGTGGACGAGCATTTTTACGAGTGGTCAATGATTTTTGCTGGCTTTATGTGGGCACTCGGGGCTTAAAGTTGAAGAGACACGCCACTATCTAGCACTAAAACCGCTACGTTCAAAGTCTAACAGAGTCGGCTGAGCCAGCATGTGAGCATCTGGAGCTCAGATTGATGGGAATCGTGCTGGATTTGAAATTGGAACCCCACAACCCCAGAAAGAAGGCGGAAACAGCGTGGGGTAACGTCGCCTGACCACGTCCAAGCCTGGGCCACCGTCATCACCGAGAGTAAGCCTCCTAAGGAAGCACACCATCGGAAGCTCGGGAGACCGTACATGTGCCCGTGACCAACAAACGATCGCGCAGTTCCTGTACGATCATCACCGTGTACTCTCCCTGGCCGCCTCCCAAAATGCTGACAAACAAGAAAATATCTTGCAAATATGAAAATCGTTGACATTTCCCCGCACTCGCAGCTTATTTCAACAACTAGATCGGGATTCCCCCTGTGGCTGGATAAAGAGATAAAGAGCGTCGCTCGAACCTGCATCCTTTACTATCATCTTCCCCCATCACCTGCTCTCTGAAAAAATGTCGTCAACGAGCACAGCTGAAAAGCTTGAAGCTGCTACCTATGAGGATGTCCATCACCGAGGTCATTTCGCCAACGCCAATGCCCCGCCGCCGCCTCCTCCGCCTATCGCCCGTCCGGCTCTTCCCAACGGTGCAGCTTTGTCAGTCCCACTCCCTCGTAACCATCCAGGCCATATTCTGATTCTTTTTACAGAGGTTTATTCTCTTTCGGCGCGACTTGCATTGCCATTTCCCTCTACACCGCCGGCGCCAGTAGTATCTCAATTCCCAACGCCGTCCTCGGACTCGCTCTCTTCACCGGCGGTGTCGCCCAGTTCACTGGCGGTGTCGTCGAGTTCGCTCGCGGTGTCACTTTTACTGGTTCGGGTATGTACAATTCTCTGCCTGGAGTCATAATTTTTTTTAACCAAAAGCTATCTCGTAGTATTCACCATCTACGGTACCTTCTGGCTGTCCTACGCCGCAGTTCTACTTCCCAACACCGGTATCGCGACTGCATACGATGGCGAGACCAGAATGCTCCAAAATGCCCTGGGCATTTACTTTATTATCTGGAGCATCATCACCGCCATGTTTTTGTAAGTCCCCATCAGATCTTCCGTTCATATATCCTCAGCTCACACACACATCTAGGTTAACCGCTCTACGTAAAACCCTGGCACTGGTCATCCTCCTGTCCCTGCTCACCGTGACGTTCCTCTTCTTCGGCATCACAGAATTCACGCACGGAAACTCAGCGTATGCATATATTCCCTTCACCACATCCGCGATCGATACTCATCGTTATGATTTAGTGTCGCAAAGGCAACGGGTATCATTGGGACCATCACAGGCTTTGGCGCGTTCTACGTTGGTCTCGGGGAGCTTCTCGGAGCGGACCCGAACCCTCCTTTCCTCCTCCCCCAGGGCGTTTTCAAACACTAAGAATCAGATGACTGTAGTAGTTCTTCACCTAGTTACAACCCAAGTCATATTTGCGCCGCTCACCATGGAAGCCTGTAAACTATTGCATCATTTGTAACTTATAATATCACAAGTAAACGCAGATCTATAATAAATTCGACATCAAAAAGTGTTCGCTATACATTCTTCGTATAATTCCCGCCCGATGTTGAGGTCCTCGCAGCCGGGAGTGGCGTCCATCGCTAATTTTACACCAGAAAAGAAGCTTTAGGATAAGCGAGTGGTATCTTCCGTTCAAATTAGCTCCTTCGGACATTGGGGCAGCGTACACAAGCTTGAGCTTACCATTCTAGAACACATTATATGCAGCTTGAGATGAAATGCGGACTACGTGGCACGATGAACGGACACTGCATCCAACCACGGTTCTGTTTTCCGGAGCGTTAGTACGTACGTCCCCCCGTTCCGTTCCGAAGAACTCATCAGGGATTCGCACTGGTGGACCACGGTGCCCTTGTTCTCCATAGAGACGTGCAAGAAGACAAGATTCGCCTAGAACAAGGAGAGAGGCATTTATCACTCAAATTCTCACTCACGCCTGTCCAGGCATGCACCGTAGATACAGCGACGGAATCGGGGAACGTCTACGCGGTTGCGGCAGAAGGAACCGAGTCAAGAGGGACAGACACGCTTTCGAGCGGCCGCCACATACCGGTTACCTTTTGAACGCCCATCTGGAGCTTTTCGGCGGACTCAAGATGCCACTATACCAGGGAGAAAGAATATACCCGTGCGAGTATTCTGTCTCTTTGCTGTGAAATTTGAAAGTAAGTGGTATTCAATTTCAAGCATCATAAGAGCAAAGTGGAGCGAAAGAAGAGGGCCTCTTTGCCTCCGGATTCTTCGCGCAGTGTTGATTTAGCCTTCTTTACATCCCTGCAAGGATCTGAAAATTTTAGAGTTCATTTCAAGTTCGATCTCGCCCCATCCGATATCCAGCCCCCCAGACCTTACCTCGCATGGTTGGGTGGCTACAATCCCCGCCTAGCAAGTATTCTCTCGCCGAGTTTCAAGACACGTCAACGCTTCTGTATCCTCCCAAAATGCGTAATCGAAAAAGACGCGTCGCGTGGCGGGTTAACCGACTTGCCACGACTAAACCACGCAACGACATTCTGACAGGCAAGAAATTGGAGAATATTTCTTTACTCAGCAACTTACACCACTGCCCAGCGCCGCAGTGCGAAGGCATTTATGTGAATACTCTTCGAAGAAAGAAGGGAATTTACCGCCATTCCCCTCTGCAATGATGTAACAATCCCGACATGCCTGAAGGTACCGTTCCGTGTAATGATGAGATCGACTTCTGCGACTCGTCGTCGGTCGACCAGACTACTTTGAAAGGTGCCAGAGGACGCATAGCAAGATGGAAGGAGATTGGAGTAGCGTCCGAGCTGTGTTAGGCCCTTCAAAATGGATATGAAGACAGTGGCTGCATGTGTAGGAAATACCGCGGCGAGTCTCAGAAGCCCCCTCTTCAACACGGTTGCAGCAGAAGGAGCCGAGTCAAGACGCGCTTTCGAGCGGCCGCCACACACCGATTTACATTACCGCTCATTGACGCCACCAAGGTGCATGGTACCACGGAGAAAGAATACTACCCGCGCGCGCATTCGGTCTGTTTGCTGTGGAATTTGAAAGTAAGTATGGTGTGAGAGCAAATTTCGGTTGGTGGAGCGAAGGAAGAGGGCCTCTTTGCCTCCGTATTCTTCGTGCAGTCTTGATATAGCCTCCCTGCAAGGCCGCCGCGGTAATAGGGCCTGAAATTTTTGAGTTGGGCCTCAATCTAACCCCGATGTTCCCACCCTTCCCCCTGCAATGAGAACGGCCAGATAAGAGATTGCACGATTGTGTGCTAGAGGCTATGGTCACCACCTCGCAGATTAGTCCGAGTATTCTCTCGCCGAGTTTCATGACGCGTCACCAATATTCGATCCCCGCCAAATGTGATGTCGCTGGAACTAGAGACGCGTCCGAGTAGTATATATGTGTTGTCGGATTGTCATGAGAAAGATAAAAAGGTCCACCAGAAGCCAATTATATAAGACTAATCAATAAACAGAGCGAAGCAGAATAATCAAACAACCAATGACAGTCTAGAGTCCAAAGTCTCAATTTCACTGTCCATAAGCTTTTCAATGGATATAACAGGCTCACTTAGCTGCTCCAGGTTTGCTTCAACATCCATTATGTTGACAGCACTCTGCATGATGGATTCTTGAGAAGCTGTCATGCAATGTTCTGAAGGCATCTGAAAATGAAGCATGGACACTGTACTTCCATCAGTCATCTCTGGGGTATGTATATCCTGCTGCTGCCCTGCCAAGAAGCATTGTGGGTTCAAGCTGGCCCTATCACAACATATTATCAGGCATTGAGCCAGCTCAGAGTGCTTCATATAGAGACAGAATTCAAAACCATCTCAGTCATTAAAAGAGGTCACTGAAGTAGGTTTTGTAGAAGGATAGAGTTCAGGAAAGTCAGGACAAGTCTTGCCTCTCTCAGATTATATCAGAGAATGATACTCAATAATGGCCCACTAGTAGATGCCAAGTTAAATGGTAAACCACATTTCTGATTCTCATTGCCTTGACCCTAACTTTTTCTAGATAAACATCTTAAATCTATTTGCTGCTATAGTGCTGCTTCAGCCTCTTATCTAACTCCTAACTTCATGACAAAATATTCAGATAACAGTACATGACAGATTCAAATAGTTTTATCACACTTCTAATAAGTCTATCATTATCTAACAGAGAGAAAATGGATTATAGATTGTCCTCCAAATGTTAGTGATATGCCTCAAAAATACTTCATTCTACCAGATAATAAAGAAGAAATATCACTGAGGAGAGTCTTGGATGCACAGTCCCTTCTGATTACAAGTGCAGATGGCTCTGATAAGATGACATGACTCCTCAACTTTAAATTCCATGCAAAGGCCCTCAGATACTCAGTCAGCTAGTGTGTTCTTCCTCAGACAAAGATGAAAGCACTACTGATTAAGAGCAGCTTGCCCTTGGCTATGTCAGTAAACAAAGATAAGAAGACATTTTGGAATTCTGTCTACAGGATCATTTAGCCTGCTGCAGAGGATTTGAAACCATTTGCTAATCAGTCTGACTTTATGACATATATTGAAGAAATAAAGGGGAAGCCTGTTTTTCTCATTGATGATATCAACAAGCTTGCCAATGCTTCATCAGATGTACACTGCAATTTTTATTGACAGAAGAATATATGTAAGTATCTACAAATAAGTGTAAGTATCATAGTCATAAGCACAGTAGAGGTATACATACCTCAGTCGGGCACAACATGGGTGAAGCAACTGAGGCATACAGATAGGAACAGCTGGACTATATAGGTGATCAGAAAACAACAGAAGGTGTAAGTATATATAAGGCAAATAAAGCAAGTGATCAAAAGTAAAATAAGATGAAACGTATGGATATCCTCTAACACTCTCCCATATCCATTCAATCTACTAGGATAACATTGAGCATCTTGAGGTAACCATTGTGTGTGTCATGAAGCAAGGGTTTAGTGAACATATCTGCAGAGTTTGCATTCTCTTGAACAAACTCGATATGTAATTTGCTGTTCTTCATGAGCTCCCTAATGAAATGCTCTCAAATATGGATATGCTTGACTTTCTGATGAGACTGTGTATTTGTTGTTAATGCTACAGCACCCTGGTTGTCACTATATAATACACTAGAGTGAAGTTGAGGTAGTTGGACCTCATCCATCCAAGACAATATCCACATCATCTGTTGCACTGCATGAGTAAGGAAAATGTATTTAGCCTCAACAGTGAATAGAGCAACAGTAGCCTGATGCTTTGAGCTTTAGCAAATCAGACCACCTGCCATGGTGAAGACATAGCCAGACATTGAACGAGTTGTATCTCTACAACCTCTATAGTCTGTATCTACAAATCCAACAGATGTTAGCAGCTGCTCATACAAGAAGGAGATACCAAGGTCTATTGTCCTCTTTATATACCCAAGAACATGTATTAATACTTTCTAGTGCTCTATTCCTGAGTTGGACTGGAAGTGAGCAAGCAGGCTCACAGGGAAGCACAAGTTGGAATGAGTTGCAAGCTGTCCCTATATAACACAGCCTAGCAGTTGTCAGTATGAGAATCTTTCCATAGTGTCCTTCTCTGCTTGAGTATTCAGAGACTGTGACATGTCGAGTACAATTCTGACAAGTAGAGAGGTGGTCCATGATCATATATATTTAAGATTGAAGTCCAGAAATACATTCTCCTAATATGGACACTGCAAGAAGGTGATGGTACCAGCCTCAAGGTCTTGTTCAATCTTCATCCTCAGAAAGTAATAGTTCTCCTCCATATCGGTGAGCTTCTATTTCTTCTCTAATTCCTTCTTCCATTGGCTTGCCTCCTCTGTAGTTGATGATACTCCTCACATATCATCAGTGTAAGTATCTGTGATGGTATACTCATCTCCAGGCTTGCCAGTGGTGTATACACATGGGTCTGCCTTCGATGCACAGTATCCAAGGTCTTCATAGGTTTTCTTAAGTGTCTCGAATCAATCATGGCCACCCTGTATAGTCTCATAAATAGTATAGACAAGTTTGCACATTTTATCCTCTTGTCCTTTGACTATGTACTCTGGGGGCTGACATATATAGATGTTTTCTTTTGTCTCGCTATTCAAGTATGCCAAAATAAAGTCCACTTGCCATAGGACAAGATCAAGCTTTGCTGCAACAGCAGCCAACATCTATACAGATTCGAGATGGATCACCACAGCCTAAGTGTCATTATAGTTGAGTCCATACTGTTGAGTGTAACCCTTCCCAATGAGCCTTGCCTTGTTCCTGATCCAGTTACCATCGCTATCCCATTTCATACTATAGACCCATTTACAATCCATCATGTTCACACCTACTAATCTGTTGACTAGGTCCCATGTATGCTTCATCATATGCATTTGGTATTCCATATTCATAGCTGCCTTCCATCACTCTTTATTAATATACAGTGCATCTTGATGATTTCATAGAATATATGGATCAGGTGGATTACCAGAAGCTATTGAAGCATGTGGCTGTTTGCTGTTAGTTGTCCAGTCATTTTCACTTGCATGGGCCTCAGCCTCTCATTGCTTTGACATCAGAGATTTGGCAGCATCAGCATTGGGATGCATTAAGCATGTTGATCAGTGAAGAGTTGATTCTATAGGAGCATCTGGCATTTGCTTAGTTGGCTCAGTTGGCTCAGTTGATATAGGCATCTTGGTATGAGTAGAAATGATGAGTGCAGGTTCATCCTCCATCTCCCCCACACTCACACTTTGGTGTGCTGGTCCTTTATCAAAGATGATATCATGAGATATAAACACATATCTCAATTGATCAAGTACATAGTAATTGGACTCTGAGTATCCCAGAAAGATGCATTTCTTTGATTGATCATCAAGTTTGCTTCTACTATCTGCCAAAACTCTGCCAGTTATAGGTTTTTTTGTCCAGCAAGTGGATTCAAACACTTGTAAAAATCTAACATCCTATCATTGCTTCAAAAAGCCCTCTTCTGGTACCACTCTAAGATAGCGACTCAAAGAAATAAGGTTTTGCATAAAGATTGACATAAAGGTGGCCTCAGTCCAGTAGCAGTCAGCAAAGCCAGAGTCACTTAGTAAAGCTCTTATATCCTCCATGATAATGCATAAGACATGTTCAGCTAATCCATTCTGAGCTGATAAGTGGGGTGCAGTTAATTTCAGGATGATCTTATGCTCCTCACAATATTGTTTCCACTTTACTCTTGCAAAAGTATGATCAGCATATATATGCTTAAGCTTTCAGCCAGTCTGAGCCTCAGCCATACACCTGTATCTGTCAAATACAGCTATGGTAGTGTTGTCTACTTTGTCTGCTAGAAATTCCCCCACCTTGAATGATGTATCACTATCAACAAATATCATCATATAAGTCTTTTCACTTGGTGATGCTATTCGAGATGGTCTTCACAAATCTGTTGCAATAAGCTCTAGTAGGTCAATGTTGGGATTGATGGGCTCATCGAAGGGATGGCAAGCATGTCTCACTAGAATACAGTCTTCACAGTGTCCCTGGATAGGCTTTGAGATAATTTTCAAGCCATCCATCAGTCTTTTTGATGTTATCTCCTTGATTTTTGCAGAGCTTATGTAGACAAAATGATGGTGCTAAGTATTCAGTGAAGTGGGAAATAAGTGGAATGCTATAACTTGAGGGCTGGGTGCAGCATCCAGCATATACATGCCATCTGAGCCTCACCCAGCAAAGACCTCTTTATCAGATTTATTCTAGACAACTGCATGGCCATCAGAGAATACAGTTGACAATCCAGCCTTGTCTAAGGCACTTACAGAGATAAGATTTGTGGCAAGTGAAGATAAATGCAAGGTATTTTTGAAGGTGAGCTTAACATCTCTTCCATTCAGTCTGAAGACCTTTGTTGCTGTACCCTGGTCTAGGATCTCGAATGTTTCTTTTCCCTCAACTGCAGATAAGCCAGTATAGAAGGCTACTAGTGTGTACTCTGTGAAGTCATCACAATTCTTGAAGAAGTAGTTGCTTGTGCCAGAATCTATGAAAGTTAGAATGATAGCTGAAGTATAGCTTTCAAATATAGTTGTGACAAAGGCTGTTGTAGCAGAGTCAGCCTTGCATGTAAAATATCCTACATTCTCGATATTGGCCTTACAAATGTCTATACTCTCAATAGAAGGTATCTCATCATCTCCAGCAACGTTTTCATCATCAGAGTCATCAACATCAGTGAGAGAGAGCATTTTGAGGTCTGTCTCTTCTTCAACCTTTGACATCAATATAGTGCTGCTCTCTGTTTTATCCTAGCACCAGAAAGAATGGGTATCATTCCACTTATATATTCTCTTGCCAGTGCTGTCATCCTTAATTACAATGCCATCATTATCACAATTGACTTCTACTGTAGTAGCATGTGCAGCAAGTATAAAATACCTCATAGTATTGGCCATGGTGTTCAAGATTGTCTGGTTTGCATGGTAAGGTCAGCCAAAATTGGCAGGAAATTATCCTTTTTTTCCTCCTCCTGGCCAATAACAATTCTTGGTGATGTATCTAGTCTTATCACAGGTCTTGCAATCTGAATTATGACATCTATGTACTATGACAGAGGTTCCGACTCCAGCTGCAAGTGCTTGGGAGTTGGCAGGACCTTTACCTGCTGCATGAAGCATAGTGGCATGGGTTTGGAGATGGAAAAACATATCAGAGGACATTGGCATGTCATATAAACTTGGGAGGATAGGCATCCAGTGATTAGTCAGGATTATCAAGCAAATAATTATTCCCTTGAACTCCTGATCACTCAATGCTGTGGTTTGAAGGTCATTCACAGCTCATCATTTCATGTGCAAGTTAGCGATGTGAATATTGATATCACTGTTTCCATCAAACTTTGCCACATTCAGTGATACCTCAGCCTTGGAAAGAGCCATATCTATTTTCTTTGTGTGTTCTGCAGCAATAGAGTCCCAGCATTCCTTTGCCATTCCATTGGTCTTGACCCTTAGACCAATAGAGTCAAGAATATTGAGGACAATGTTCGAGTGAGTGAGCTGATCACAAAAGACCCACTTGTCATATAAGGGAGAGGATGAGTATATGGGAGTAGGATCTGGTGGAAGAGATGTGGTAGTAGCCATGACTGTGGTAGTGATGGCAGAGATGGCAGGACAGACAGTAGTTCCTGCAATATATCCCTATAGGCCTTTTTCCTTTAGTAACTCAGTAAGTTGGAGTTTTCATGAGGCATAGTTCTTCTCGTTAAAATGGCTACTCATTTCAGGGAGAATAGTGACTCCTGACATTGATGACATCATTTAGGAGTGTAGTGTAAAGTGGTGAGGGTAGTGGTATGGTATAAATTCAAGTGATAAGTTGAGTCGAAATTCCATTGCATATTCTTCTTGACTGAGTAGTTATAGACAATGGGGTCTCATAACCTATTGACAGAAGAATATATGTAAGTATCTCAGTCGAGCACAATGTGGGTGAAGCAACTGAGGCATACAGATAGGAACAGCTGGACTATATAGGTGATCAGAAAATGACAGGAGGTGTAAGTATATATAAGGCAAATAAAGCAAGTGATCAAAAGTAAGATAAGATGAAACATATGGATATTCTCCAACAATTTTTTCTCTGTTCTTTTTATTCTTCAGAAAATACTCTTTAAATTCTATATCATTGCTACAGGAATGTAGGACACTTAAAACTTGGAGATTACATCAAGTATAGAATCCTTCAAACTGTCTGTTGATGCTCAGGTCTCTTACTTTTCTCATTCACAAGTGGAGAATCTCTTCAACAAGTTTCAGAATGATAATCATTTCATTCTTGATCTCAATGTTGTCTGTGATATATAGTTGAAGTCTGATGGATGCATAGTAGATTGCATTTAATCTAAATTATTTCTGATTCAAGCCACATAGCCATTCAGCTACAGTCTGCTTTTCCAAATGGCAAGTGATACATGTTGGATCTGATTATCATGTAGCACCTGTAATTTATCTTAGATAAACTGTCTTGTATTCTTAGTGAAGTCAGCCTCCTGCTGATAAATTTAAATAACAGTCTTAGTAAGTCTTTACTGTGCCAAGTAACAGCCTTAGTAAAGATTACTGTGGCTAACTTAGTTCTTCATAAAGTACTTTGCTGGCAGTCCATCAGGGTTTGCACAATGATAATCATGATATCATGGCCTAATCAGGCATGAGAGCAGTGCAGAGTTTAGATTGTGATATAACCACAGGATATTAATAGGGGATCCACAATCAAATGTGCCTGGTAATAGCATGTTGAGAGGGGAAATGGGAGTGAAAGTTGGTAGAATAGCTCATTTTGCTTAGTTCAATGCTGGGGCATCCAGGAGTTGTACCAATGCATCAGCCTCAGCCCAGCTTACAACAGGATGCTCCAGGTGTTCCAAAAATCTGATGTGAACAATAAGATAACCTTCCTCTGCTATTACTTCATTGGGTAGGATGCTTCCACTATGTCCAAGGGAAGGATAGGTTCAACTCCTGTTGCTACTTATCTGGATCCCATTTGCATCCCTGTTAATGAGACTGACTTCACTGATTCCTTGACTGCCAAGAGAATGCTGGTCAATATGTGCATCTGGACTGAATATTGGATGGCTTCAGCATTTGCCGACGGCTTCTTACGCAGAATGCTGCTCTCACCCCGATATCCTATACATCCTCAAGCGTAAGATTTCATGACAGCGGTCAGTAAATAGGCGTGATCGCGATGAAATTCCTCAATGCTGCATAATCAACTCGACTATCGTAACGGGTTTGGATCAATTCATATAACAAATGTAAGCTCTGGGATCCGGGATAGTAGGTACCGTGACATTGAGGTGTCCAACAGTGAACGCCAGTACGGAATGCTTTACAGAGAATACCAAGTTCCTACATTTTGAGACTGCTCAGAATCCGTAATCTGTACTCCATTGCATGGGAGATATATTTAATAAAAGCATCACTTTACTTAAACTTCTGTTAGACTACTTTAACTCTGTATACCATACAAATATCTTACACAAACAAGATTTTTTTGTTCGAACTAGGGCGCCAGATCTGCAGTCTGCTCAACAAGTTTCTTAGAAAGCTCGCTCCTCGGAGTGATAGTACATTTGAAAGGCAAAGGATGTCTAAAGGGCGAGATGAAGATGAAACAAGACAAAGGTCACTTGTGAACTCACGATATCATTCCCGATGCAAACGCCGCTTTCGTCGATACGGGTTTCCCGTTTTCATCATATGCCGGGGAAATATCAAAGGCGCTGAGAATGCATGCCACGGATATCCAGAGCTGGCCTTCAGCCATGAACCTTCCCGGGCAAATACGACGTCCGTATCCAAAAGCTACTGAGACGTGGTCGAACACCGGACTGCCTTTCCCAATGCCGAGGAATCGCTCGGGATTGAATCTTCCAGGATCTGGGTAAGTGACTGGATCGTGTAAGATGGTCCTGGTCAATAGAGTGAGTTACTGCGAGGGGACGAGAAGGTAGCGATGAACTAACCAGCTATTGCCGACCATTGTGGTGCCCGCGGGAATGAAATAGCCGTTGTATTCGTCGTCGTGCGTCACCATATGCGGTAGACCTGCGAATCCATCGATACTTGTCTTGTAGAACCTCCTGTGAGTGTTACTTACCGAGAGGCGCGACAGGATTCCATCTGCAAAGATATCAGCTTGAACATAGCGTCACTCGTCAGGCCAAAAGAAACCACCTAAGTACCTCCCTGACTACGGCGTCAACGTAAGGAAGAGACCCACGGTCGCTAAAGTCAGGAAGTCGGTCGTTCCCAATGACAGTGTCGATTTCGCGTCTTGCTTTGCTTTGGACGTCGGAATACAGTACCATAGCGAGCATGAACGAAGAAAGGGAAGAAACAGTCTACACATTAACATGTAAGCTAGAGTATGGGAAGATACAAGCATGGTCGCACGCTTTCAGCCCCGGCTGCCAGAAGAGTGATTAGGATACGAATGAAGACGATGTGAAAGGGGTAGCGCACCGGCCAAGGCAAGTCCTGCACAATTACGAATCGTATCCTCCTGCTGCTTGTTTTCTTTCTTTGCCTCCAAGTCGTCGAGAAGGTAGGAAACAAAGCAGGGAGCAGCGGTTCCTTGTTTCTGTACATTGAAAGTTAAACCTTACAAGCATAAGAAAATAGCGACAAGACCGACCAACGCGTTCTTAACGGCCTCATAAGGAGCATCGCGCATTTCCAAGACTGCTTTCCTCCAGTCACGAGCTTTCCTCTTGAATTCGGCGAAAGGCATGAATTCGGGGATGTGTTTGACTGTTGTGGTGAAGGTTAAGCTATGCATACAAGGAACATGATGTGAGGACGTACGAATAGGAAAGATGTCGACGAGAAAAGCTCCAGGATGTGCGGCTTTAGCCATCCCATCCAAGGCCTTCTCTGCCACGGTGATGTATCGATCGTCTTCATCCGATACTTCTATCCCGTACGTGACGTTCATGATCGTGCTGGCTGAATTACTACATTAAGAAACTGTCAATAAGCAACGAGCTCTCTGGAACACAATGGTACCCACTGGCGAAGATGCTCCAGTAATTCTCCGGGTTCGTGTAGCAGACGACGAAGCAGCTTATGAGCTTCTTTAAGTTGAATGGGCCAGTAGACTGACACGACGGAAGATTGGAAGTGAGCATGGAATATTTTGCGATGTGCTTTCCAGCGGTCGCCTATGGGGGAATTAATCAGAAATTAAAGATCAAAGAAGTCGGGGAGAGACGACGTACCATATGGCATATGGCCGAAACTCCAGTCCCAGCCCATTCTAGAGCGTCGTTAGGATACAGACCATTAATCAAGGCGAAATGGCGCACAAGTCATTGATCATGGGAAGTTCATTACGGTCAGAATAGTTCGAAGAGCGCTTCTCGAATAAATCATTTGCAACCTGATAAGTGTTGACGACCAAGATCGTTTTCCCGAAGACACTCAAAAAAACGAGGTCACCTACACTACTGTCAGATAAAACTCTCGAGATGTCAGGAGGGCTCACCATGTTCTCGAGCAAGCTTGTTGTACCGAGCAGCTTCACTGTCGCGAGGGATATCCAGAAGATTCCCGACAAGCGGAAGAGGCTTAGGTCCAGGAGGGAATGGAAGGCGACGAGGGTTGGTACGCAGACGCACCTGCCTCCTGCGTATCAAATATGAGAAGAATAACACTCCAATGACGACGAAAAGGGGCACTTTCACTCTGCCCTGCATGACGTTGCGTATCGCGAGGTTGAAATCCATGACGGGCAAGAAAACAAGAAAGAGCACTGGGCAATCACTTTTTCCAGCTTTTTATACATCGGCGTAGAGGGCGGTTTCTCATTGGCGAGTTTATTGTCCTATCCCCAATCAGGTCAGGGCACAAGGAAAAGTGCGTCATATTAATCAAGAAAAAGGCTATCAGTTTCTCGGTTCGGTCAGAAAATAAACTAGAGCCTTTGTTCCGACCCAGGTATGGACAAGTCGCTTGCGTCCTTGATCGACGGACCCAAATTGATAAAGCCGCCGGAAGACGATAAAGTAAGACAGTTATTTTTGAACAACGACTGGTCTCAGATCAGGCTTTATAGCATGAGATTGGGTATGTCCAAGTGATCGCCAATATTGAAAATTGAACATTTTTCCGTCGCTCTGAGAACCTAGAATGTTCTGGAAGACACCACGCCTCAGTGAATGAAAAGGAGATTGTATATAACAGGCGCACCGGTGACATTTTGGCTAATGAATGTTGCCACCTAACGTGTTTTCGCCTCGATTTTCCCCAAGATGATGCGTACCATATGTAATTTACAATAATACAACAACATACGATAGTATACACAGCAATTCGGTGGTACATAGTCGATAGAACGTGAATATCTAACTCCCTAAGACAAAATTGCACGCGAATCAGTCAAACCACCCACAGAGGAACAAGATCGGTGAACCTTGAGAAATGCTAAATCCAAATTTCAAGATAACGAGAAGCCGCCAAAGTCTAAAAAGGCCTCTTCGATTGACATTTTGCGTACAACAAGAGCTTCGACGATGAGTCGAGGTTGGTCTTTGCCTTCTTCAGCGCCGGCTGATGCCACTGAAGTGTAGGGCACAGAAGGAGTGGGAGGTGCGAAAACGTCGTCGTCGCCTGTCACGTCGTCATCCTCTAGCTCGACGAGGCTGATAGATGGGATATTCTCCTCCGCTGTCACTGTCGGAGGTCCTGCAGAAACTGGCTGATGGTCAACTGACGCGTGAAGCTCCCCAAGGCCAGAGACGAGGACATCGGTCGAGTCGGGAACTGCTTTGTCGTTCAGCCCCATCTCCTGCGTTGCCGATTCCTCCGTCCCATTCGTGACGTCTACGAGTTGATCTGCAGCTTGCGGTGGTTCGATTGAATTCGACGCAAATGCCATCAAGGCCTTGCGCCTCTCTTCTCTTCTGCGATCCCGCGCCTGCCGCCGGTTGAGTCCCTTGGTGTTCTTTCGTTGTTCATCCGTAGGCATGAGCGAGGGAGCCGAAGAAGAGGTGAACACATCATGTAGATGGTGTTTAACTTTCTTTTTGGCGCCTCTGTTATTGCATTTCATTTCGGCGGAAGAAAGCGCGACCGGAGTACTGGTAACTCGGGTACGAAAAGGACGGGGTTTGAAGACCGAAGAAATTTCTACATCGATGGAAAACTTGTGTTGGGGTGGAGAAGACTCAGAGTCAGACTCGGTGTCTGCTTGCTCTGCGGTGTCTGACTCAATATCCATTGAAAATACGTCAACGGAAGAGGAGGAAGAGCCTGGGGTACTGCATAACAAAGAGCGTTGATGAAGTGAAAGGGTTCCAGGAGGTACACCTTCACCAGCATCCTCGGCGTCTGTTGTAGAGAGTTCTGTCTCCGTTTCGGTGCCTGTGGTGGTACCCTCCGACCCGACCTTAAACTCAGTCATTCTTTCCCGCCTAGCACCATCATTGCTGTCCTCAAGGACGGCGAGCGTCGCTAAAGCGGCTGGTACTTCGATTTCCTTTACCACGATAACGCTGGCACCTATTTCCCCAGCCATCATTTCCAAGGTTTCCAGAGTCTGTTCCAGATCGGCGCGAGGCAGACCAACTAAGGCGCCTGAATCAGCCACTCCTAATTCATAATATGCCTGACCTCCTCCTTCCAACAGACGCCACTTGAGCTGCGTGACCAGGCGTGCAAAGCGAGGGGGAGAGGGAGATAACAGCTGAAGCTTGTACTCGACATTTCCATCGTCAGCTTCTGGTACCAGCTTTGGAATTGTCGTCACCACTGGAGAGGCACTGAAAACGGGGCCACATAGAGGCGAAGATGACGCCGGAGTGGAAATGAGGGAGTCCCAAGGGCTGGGTACTCTTGGACTCTCCGATTCAGATTCGCCGAACATGTGTTATTCTCTAGTGATTTGTTGAAATTTATCGATGTATTCGTGGGATCATAGTTGTCGGATTACTGCATAGAGTGTCGCGGTGTTGCTGAAGAAAAGCTAGACAGACATGACGGAAGAGAACATACAAGTTACTGTCAGACGGACTCAAACGTGTGTCGGCAAGCTGTTGCCAAGCAGCCGCAAATACTGGCATTTTCAAAATACACCGTTGAACCAACATTGCCTTCGTTCCACCATGCCGTCGGTGAAGGAGTCGTCCTTTGCTGCTATCAAAAATGCTCCGATTGTTGGCCTCGCTGAAGGCAACAGCTACTTCAGCAATTACCATCTCGCGGCCGTGGTCCTTGTCGTTCCCTATATCTTGAAATCTATCCTTCCCCTCGTCAGCCGTGGTGGATTCAAAACGTATTTCTTCCTTCTCGTGTTATCAGGCGTCCCAACGACTGTTGCGTACTGGACCTTGGCGTCAATGTATGGTGCACGCAAAAATCACAAGGTCATGCTTCCTGGGAAGGACATCGAGGAGTACATCGAAATCAAAGACGTGGAACTCTCTAGGTTGTACAAGGGAAAAGAAAAAATTCCTATGCAAGTCTTCCACGATGCGTACTTCGACGGCAAGGCTGAGTTCAAGGGTTTGTCGATCATTTTTGCTGGTTACGTTGACCCTATTTTAAATAACGTTCGACTTTTGTATAGGCGACGTGTTGGATATTTTGGAACAACGTCACGACTGGGTCAAGTTCACGTTCACTCCAGAGCTCTTCAAGCATGTATTTATGAAGCTGATTCCGGATGTCATCTCGCATTCCCGGGAGCAGGACCAGGATCAAGTTCAAGACCATTACGACCGTATGTTCTCTCTGCTTTTACACATACGCAAGCCAGTTGACATGCCATATAGGTGGCGACGACTTTTATGGATGGTACATCTCCTCGCAGCCCGTTCTCTTGATGACCTGATGCATGTTCTTTTTAGGTTCCTCGGCCCACGTATGATATACACGTCCGGTATCGTACTAGATGCCAACGCCCAGGAGACTCTTGAGCAGCTTCAGGACAACAAGCTCGCAGTGGTGTGTAACAAGCTGGATCTCAAGCCGACAGACCGCCTCCTCGATATCGGCTGTGGATGGGGTACTCTCACGGCCTACGCTGCCAAGAACTTCGACTGTGACGCGACAGGTGTAACCCTTGCCAAAAATCAAGCAAAATTTGGTAATGACAGGATTGCAAAGAACGGTGTATGCCCTTCTGTCTCTCATATGCGAATTTGGACTCATGGTCATTCTTATTCACCAGATTCCTGCAGACAAGGCTCGTATTCTCAATCGGGACTATCGTGATATCCCCCAGGTCCCCGGGAGTTTCGACAAGATCGTTTGTCTAGAGATGGCGGAGGTAATACTCGCCTGTTGTCCCCTGTCTTGCTGTGCTCATCGACCCCCAGCATGTTGGCATTCGTCGCTACTCTCAATTCTTGTCAGAAGTGTACAATTTGCTTTCAGATGATGGCATAATGGTTTTCCAAGTTGCTGGTTTCCGACCATGCTGGCAGTTTGAAGACTTGAACTGGTGAGGTCCCTTAGTAATAGTCTTACATGTTGCTCATGATCACCATTTTTCAGGGGTCTTTTCATGAACAAATACGTTTTTCCTGGTGCTGACGCCTCATGCAGTCTTGGATGGGTCATACAGAAGGTAAGGTGATTTCCTTCGTCATGGCGAATGCCTTGAACAAGTAAATTTGTCCTCTAGCTTGAAGGTGTTGGCTTTGAGATCAAGAACATTGATGTTCTAGGCGTGCACTATTCTGCTACACTTTACAGGTGGTATTTGAACTGGGTCAGCAACAGGGACGAGGTTATTGCCGCATACGGTGATAAATGGTACAGGACCTGGGTGTTCTTCCTTGCGTGGAGCACCATAACCAGCCGGTTGGTGTCTCTTTCATGTGTAATTGCAAACCACAGCTTATATAACATTTACAGACAAGGGAGTGCATCAGTGTTCCAAATTACAGTACACAAAAACTTGAACGCGTATCATCGCATTGCCGGCGTCGCGAACCATGCATCGATTCATGTCAAGCTAGACAAAGAGCCAATGTACGTATGTTTCAACCTTCCTGTTCCTGTATATTAATTTCTTTGCAGACTAATCGAGCAGGTTATCGGTCGAAACTAGGTTTGGGGATCGTAGTTACTTATTTTGAAAATACACTACCCACCTGTGGCATTGGAATGGACTAGGGCCTTTGTTAGAACAGACGCTGGCATTTGAAACCCTTCATGGTTTCGTATACACGTTTTTCCAACACCGAAGCTCGTACAGGGGAATGTCCGGGGAAACCCTTCATGTGACCCGAAAACACCACAAACCGAGGAGCCGAAACCCGACGCGTCGTAGTGGCAGGCACATTTTTACTTGATGAAGGTTGCTTGTCTTCTAAGTTCTCCAAGTTCTCTTCCTAAGATTTCTATTGCCAGCAGTCAAATAATGCCCGGCACGTCAACGCGTACCGCTGGTTTATCCACAATGACGCTTGCCGGACAGACGCGCCTTACCCTAGGAAAGGAATTCCGAATCGGTATATAATAAAATGAATGAGGAAGCGTGGCTGTTCCACTGAGACCAGTATGGGCTTGCTTTTCTCGTTTATCAAACAGACCTGGCCACCTGCGAGTCGCTTTTCCGTAGATGACATCCCCGATTTGTCGGGGAAAGTCATTATCGTGACTGGTGGAAATGCAGGGATAGGGTATGAGACAGCGAAGGTAAGACATGTCAATGACAGATGCACCAATGATATATAGACACTTTCAGGCTCTCTTGACACGGAACGCTCGAGTATACATCGCAAGTCGCTCTCCGGAAAAGGCGAAGAAAGCTATCGATCATTTACGTTTAGAGTGCGGCGGGAAGGAAGCAATATTTTTACCGCTAGACCTCGCGAGCCTCAAGGAAGTCAAGGCATGTGCGGAGGAATTTTTGAGGTGCGTCCAAATTTGTAGAAAAATATGAGTAGTAAGTATAGCTAACCCCTTCAACGAAGTAAAGAAAAGAAATTGCATGTTCTTTTCAATAACGGGTTCGTGGATAATTGACGTCGAACGAAAGTTTTCTTCTCTAAAGATGCACTGATTAGAGGTGTGATGGAACCTCCGGTTGATCAGCTAACGAAAGATAGATGTGACCTGACGATAGGCGTCAATCTTCTTGGTAAATCGAAATATCTTTTTGGACTTGGGGTCTTGCCAGTGACTATGTCTTATTCTTGCCAGGACATTTCTATCTCACCAAGCTTCTCCTTCCGGCCCTTGAATCAGGTGCACAAACCTCCTCAGATGGGAAGGCCCGAGTTGTAAACACCTCATCGTTTACGTACGAGCTCTCTTCAAACCTAGATTATGATCTCTTTCGAGATGGTCCAACTCGCAAAAGATCTCTCTCCAGTACGGAGAAGATGTACTCCCAGAGTAAATTCGTGAGAGCATCTGGTGCAAACTATTGCGATCTGAGCTTTTGAAAAACATTCTGAAGGGTAATGTCGTTTTTTCAACCGAACTTGCACGCCGGTACGGGGACGAAGGGATTGTCTCCACTAGTGTAAATCCTGGCGAGTAGTATCCATGCCCACAAACCACAAAAGCGCTGATTAAACTTGGGTTTGTAGGTCATATTGAGACAGACATACAAAATTCGCTTAGTGGAGCTCGCAGGTTCTTCATTGTACGTTGATCTTATCTTCGGCGCAGAGTAGTCGTTCAAAACATCCCTTTCCAGCGTCGTCTTACGTATCCTGTGGCCCAGGGTGCTTTGACTCAGCTATATGCAGGTTCAACGACCGAAGGCGCCAACTTGAATGGCAAAGTACGCTTCTTCTACAGGTATACTAAGTAAGCCCGATGACCGACGCCTCACTTAGCATCTTGCACCGTGGGCACAAGTCTACCCGCAATCTTCAGCCTCACAGGACCCCGAAATCGGGGAAACCTTATGGAATTGGCTGGAAGAGCAGATTCAGAATGTATAAAAGTTAAGACATATATGTAGGCAGTTTCTTTCATAGTATTGTCGATATGTATTGTATTGTATGTAATATTGCACGAATTATTTAACGCGACGACTATTGCTCCGAAACGAAGGCGGAGCGTAATCTTGAAGTCTTGAATCAAAACTTTGTAATCTTGACACACGATCAGTCAAGTAGAAAGCAAGGAGAACTTAAAGAGCCTGTCCGTGTCAGATGAAATAGCCTCTGCACACCCAACAAACGAAGATGTGGTATACCCTTCAAGTCCTACTAACGCTACGAACGAGTAGTAATACTTTTAACTATTCCCCTGCCCAACCGCTCAATCTCACCAAGCACTGCGGCTTGATTCAATACAACCAGATCCCTCGTCTTGTTCTTCTCTTTTTTTGATTTCTCACCCTATAGCAAGATCAGTCTCGATTTTCTAAATATTTGATAGCAGAGGGTCCACCTTGACGGTTTGAGGTGCACTTGAGAAACCTCCCATAACTCTGAATGGTCTGGGCTCCTTTACTAGCGTGGCATCCCAAACCCCGCCAAAGGAGTCACCGCCGTAGGGGTCATAGAAGATTTTGAACGTATCGGCGTAGATTTTCTGTATTCGCCGATGTTGTAAGAAACAGTATAAGTTCCATGATAAGAGAATATCTACCTTGAGATCCCGTATGAGCGCTTGGGCTGGATCGTATCCTGGTCTGACAACAGTTGCTTTATCCGCATCTTCCGACTGTAGATTGGAATATTTTCCCTGCCTTCGAGATAGAAGGGAAAGGTCCGGACGAATATTTTGGTGGTACCGAGGAAGGACTGTGGGATCCAGTCGAACAACGAAATCATAATCGCCAGTGGGGTGGTTGAACATCGGCTAGAAACAAAAGAAGCACTCAGCAATCAGAACCTAAAGCACGTAAAATGTTACGAACATGTATATTCTCCGTTCCACGCTCGACACTCTTGAGATGCGTCCAGGTCGCTTTAGCTAACGCCTGCACCCTACGGGCGACAATCGCATCAGGTCCTTTCCAGGTCCAAACCCGTCCAGTCTTGTCCATCTCTGTCCTGATTGCCCATACCCCTTCACCGGAAATCTTGCTATCCTGCACGGGTTCTTCTTTGCCTTCTTCGTAGAGCGGTAGAGCGAGGCCCTCCTCCCACTTCCAACTCTGCAAAAACTCCATAACCATGGAGAAGCCCCGTTCCTTGCTTCCTGGCACATTGCCGCCGCCGCTGGAACCAGTCTGTTCGTGCTCCCGCTCCCATCCTGCCTTCACAAAGAAGAACGCGCAAATCAGTTCGACGGCCTCCTCGCTCACATGACCATCTAGCAGCCAATGTGCCGCGAACCACCGCTTCACCAACCTTACGGTGGATGTAAAGGCAGGAAACACATGATGCAGTCTTGATATTGCTCTATGATGCCTCGGCGCATGGATGAACCTGCGCAAGTATAGCTCCTTTGCCGCGACTGCATTGTGATACCCGTTCCCTTTCTTCTTGTTCTGTCCCGGCTGAGGAGCAATGTGTCCTGAGGTGGTATTGATCACTCTCTCCAAAAGGGTGAGTTCGCGATCATGCCATATCCTCACGCTAAACGCCCAACCCTCGACGGTAAGGATCTCCATTGTGGGATCATCATCCTCGCCACCGCATCCCCCGACCATGACCGACGCACTTAAACCGGATATACTCTTCATCAACGAGCCTGCTATGTGCTCGAAGAAGGCGAGCTTCACAGTTTGTATAGCCTTGAGGTCATCGGGCCACTTGGCAGATTTCTCAAATTGCATGATGATGGGTATGGCATGGAGGTATGATGCGTTTGACGGAGTAGAGGGAAGTAATTTGGAAGGTAGTGGGACAGGACTGAAGGTGCTTGTGTACCGAAGGTAAGAGGATACAGGACTGATGTTCAGAATCGACAGAGGAAGATCATCGTCTAGGGCTTTGATACCTTTGACGAGGCCATCAAAGGCCATCAGGGCTCCCTTGAAGCCAACGGCAATGCCCGATTCCAGATACATTTTGGAGATTTCCTGGGGAAGACGGAGAAGAGAATCGAAGGACGAATACCATGACTGAGCGTCCTCAATTCCAAAATGGCGTTCTAGGATGTACCTGGTAACTTGCACCGGAAGATGGACTTTGTCATCAGCATTCTTGATGTCCCACACTACGCTTTCAACGATCCTTCCGTCTTTGAACATGCGCAGCTCCGCTTTGTCACCCCATAGCTCTTTGAAACTGGCAGCGTGGCTTGGATTCGGATCGTCTGCTGCAGGACCACGGTCGACTTGACGGAAGGCATGCTCTCGGTCGTAAATAAAGCCCAGGAAGATGATGTGGTCGTTAGATGGGTGTGCCTGGGATAGTGGACGGGAGGTGGACGACGGATGGAGAATAGTTACAGCCTTGGTACGATTTCCTAGACCTTGGCGCAGGAGGGTGGACATGGAGGCAAGGAGAGCGTTGTGGGGTGATCCATGGTCGATTGTTGAATGAAGTGAACTTTGGCGTGGCTTTGAAGTGGAGAGGTCTACACGAATTATTGCATCGAATCTTGTGCTCAAATGTCTGCGATCCCGTAGAAAGGCCTCTGTGAATGGATCGAATGACGAAGACGACGAGGACAGTATCTGAAGTGTCTCCTTGGCGTCGTACCGAAGCTATAACCTAGATAAGAGAATAGTAGCGTGTAGCGACTGAACTTGAAATACCAGATCCAGGGACCCAAGAGGAACATCTGCCAGAAGGTTGACACGTGAAGAAGCGTCAACAAAAACGGCTTCATGATACGAGCTGTACTCTTCCATAGGATACTATGATAAGATTAGTCCAGAAGTCAGTGCCCGATTGAAGGGCGTACCAACCTTGTCACCTCCTTCAGTCTTGACGAAGACAGGCTGTGCTTGGAAGTCGTGCGTTGCTGAGTTCACCGTAAGTACTGGCCCACTACCTAAGATGCAGGGACTCTTACCAAGGAAGTCGATTACTGCCTTGAAAAGTTGATAGGAGCTCAGACCCCGTCCAAGAGGTTTTTGTTTTGATTTTCCTGTTTCCTCTCCGAGGATTAGAACACGTAATATAGAGACCCACCATGGCCCTTTTCCTTCGAAGCCGCGAATGACAGGAGTAGAACCTTCACAGTAGCCCCGCTGATTTGTCCATATACGCAACAGAGTCAAAGCATCGCTCAATGCAGGTGCCTCCTGCTGAAGAGCATGGGTTGAAATAAGATGAGAGGACGGGGTAAGCGAAGTAAGCAGGGCAGTATTGTACAAAGGGGTGGGTACTCGTGTCTCCTCGGAAGAACGAACATTTGAATGTGAGGGAGAGAGGCGTTGGAGAGATATAGGGGATGATGGCGATAGAACAGGAATAATGCAAACCTGAGCTTTGAGCTTTGAAAAGTCGTTCTTGGTGACACCAGGACGTGGCTCAAGGATTAGCTTGGTGAGCCGGGGATTATCAGACAATGAATGGTAGGAACAATCCACGTTCAGTCCGTGCTTCTTGTCGCATATTGCTTCCGCAAGCTTTGCAAGATAGAACGATCGTTTATGGAAGAATCTACCATTCAGATAGTCCTTTTCTTGGAGGAGACTCTGTTTTGCAGTACGCTTGTTAGCGGGATGGAGGCAAAAACAGTAAAGGACGTACATCGGGCATCTCAACAGCTACATCGACACCGAACTTGTTACCATCCATGCCTTTGACTGAGGTTTTGTTGCCCCAGCTACCAACAAGTGTTATGTTACTGGGCGGCGCAAATGCTACCTTCCAATTGGAGTCCTCGGTTGGTAGTGGGATAGGGTATGGTATAGATATACCTTTTTTCAGAAGAGGTCGAGCAGCTTCAAGTGGATGTATCGGGGGTGAGGATGGGACGTTCAGTATAAATGTGTGCAGCGACAAAAGGAATTGTTCCAGTGGTGGTTTATATTTCTCCTTTGGTCGTACATTAGGCAAAAGTTCGTCAATCTATCCTCTAAGTTCAGTATATAATGAGGTGCAGCGGAAGTTTGGCACTCACCTGCAGCTTGAAGCTGGTTGACCTAAACAGGTCTGCTGCTTCTTTCATTTCTCGGACTTCCACGCCGGTAGGCGGTTTCTTTGGTTTTCCCTTGGAAATATGACCGCCCTCTGTTACACCGGTAAGCTCAATACCGCCCCACTCCTCGTCATCTCCATCAGGAGGATTGTCATCTTCTCCGTCGTCCTCGTCGGTTCCATCTAACGCAACGTTATTCTCTTCATCAGAATCAAATGGAGGCGATAATTTTCGAGTCTGGGAGAGTTATTCAGTCTCGTCTCGTTGTGCGTCAAAAATTTGCTCCTACTTTGCGGGGATCATCCTCTTGTCCTCGCTTCCTCTTCAGGTTTGCGGCCATTGCATTGGCTGTCGTCGTCGTTAAATCGAGACGAAAATTTTGCACAGCCACCGATCGCTTGCTTCGGTCAAATCCGGGCACGACTGAGGACAAAAAAAAAAAAATCCGGGCACGAGATCCATTGAAAATGATCTCTAATCGTAACTTGACCGCAACCACCACAGGGCCACTCACGACAAACAGATGCGCACTTCGCGATATTTGCCGGCATGTCTATAGGACTATCTTTTCTTCTCCTTTCTTTTGCCGAAGGGCCTCAGCATGACCAGCCAGTCTTGAAGTCGACGTCGATGTAAAATCCTCTTAAATTCCAAAGAAACGTATACATTGCTCTTTGACGCGAGCTGTCTTCAAGTCGCACCCGTTTTTTTTTTTTCAGCATAACGCTCGATGTTCGGCCTCACGATCTACGCAGCTGCCATCTGCCTTCCGGCGCCCACCATAATATTGGGACGCACACCGTCAATCATTCGCATGCAATATATCACCATAGAATCATGTTCTTGGTCTTCTTGGAAACGCCAGTTCTCGCAAAGTCAATCGTACTTTACTGCACTGCCCCGAGTCCATTTCCGACGTCTAGGGGACTGAAAGGTCTTGCGTACGCCGAGTCGGGGCTTAGAGCAGGAAGAATGTCCAAGCGCTGACATCCGCCGCCCTCAGACCTGCTTCGACCCTTTTCGACTCCTCCGATCAACGGACTTGCCCCGATGTTGAGGGCAATGATGCCCTATCTTACCTCGGTCCGAGTAGTGAAGCCTCTAATGTACTGCTCTTGTTCGTTTGCCGTAAACACTCGACCCTCACAGGCTATATATTGCTGGTACCTGCCGTGTTCCTCGACTCTCTTGCGCCCGCGATGGTTCTTCCACCAGAGCTCCTTGATGCCGTAGTTGACGAACTTGAGAGTGACCGTAACACTCTCAAGACATGCTCTCTAGTCTCCCATGTTCTACGACCTCGCGCTCAAGCCCATCTCTTTCGCGAAATCTCTTTAGAAAATCCTAACTGGTGCAAAAAGTTTCACCATATTGCGTCGGCATCACCTTCTGTTCCCTTCGTCGTCCGTTCGCTGCGTCTAGTCACGTTTCCACGCCAATGGGCCAACGAGGAACCCACCTTACCCCTCGTTCTTAAACGTATGGTGAACCTCAGACACCTGCAAATGTTTTTTGTCGAGTGGGAGTCATCGCCTGCCCTAGAAGCGGCCTTGCGTTCATTGCAGAATCTCACAACCCTCTCCCTCAACAACGTCTTTTTTCACAACTGCCTCGCTTTCTTCACAATGCTCGGGTTTATCCCAGGCATGAGACAGCTGACCCTTCGCGGCGTGTTTGTCAAAGGACTGCCGTTACCTCATGACGTGTTATCCCCGTGCACACAGCGAACGTACCTCGATACATTGCGTATCGTGAACATACAGTACTCCGAAGACGCGTTGAGGAATATCCTGATATCCTTCCTTCATCCGTCGTCGCCGATATCTTTAGCAGAGCTAAAGGACTTCCAAATCACCCCTTTCGTAACAAGCGACATCGAAACCGTGAGGGCCGTCCTGTCCGCGAGCGTTGACTCGCTCACCCACCTGTCCTTGGATGCTTTTGCACAGTCGCATGTTGTTGGTGAGCTCATGTCTTTTGCTTCACCCGGGTTCCACCCTGACTGTCATCTTGTCACAGACGAATTCACCGCTATCTGCGAGCCGCTCCACTGCCATCATATTCCTTCCATCTCGCTGGAGTTCTGCGATAAGGTTTCGATTCAGAAGCAGCTGAAGTGGTGGACGGAAGGCTTCAACATGCATGCTAAGACTTATTCAATTCGGGTCATCAGTATGACCATTCGCCTTGACGAAGTTGCGTCAATCGAGTCACCTGCGTTTACCGACGTAACTGTTTGGGAAGCTCTAGATGCTGTTCTGACGCGTCGCGAGATGGGTGGTCTACAGGGTGTAGAGATCATATTCGACATTGGTCCTGCGAGTAATAGGAAAGCCCTCGCACGCGACCTGGACTGTTTCTTCCGTACGGCATGCAAAGGTCTCCACCGCAAAAACCTTCTTCGGTTTAGAATACGAGGTATGTCTTTTCTGCAGACCGTGGCAACGGATCTAACTTACCCCTCATAGACATATTCCAACGACTCATTGCAAAAAGCACGTAAGTGTGGTCCTTCTAAACTTCTCGTTGGATATTGTATACTTGAAAGGGGGACCTTACGCTTTCGACGGTCCTGCTCATTCCGGAAATCGTTACGCTGCCACGACATCTCACACTGTCTGTCACTTAATTACTTCAGTACACTGTTCAATCTGTACAACACACTTCATTTTCGAAGCTACAGTCGAAAGCAAAGAAAAATAATGGCTTCACAGGGTCAATGTGAGGATGCTAAGACTAAACGCCGGCGTAGAATAGGTGAAATTTTGACCGGTTGCGATGGTGCTGTTCACCGGAATGACAAGCTGTGGCGTCGTTGGAGTATTACTATCAGTGGCGCCTCCCGTCAAGACTTGTGCTAGCGCCGTAGATGAGACGGAGCTGAAAGGAAGACTGAATGTCACGGAAGAAGCGGTGGCCACTGTATTAACGACCTGTCAAACGGATCAGAACGTACTGGCTTGACATAGAAAATCAACCGATTTCGCAATGGAAGCGCACTTTAATAATGAGCTCATTTGGTGTTACCGATGTCTTTCGGACCACGCTCCAAAATACTGTGCCAGTACTGGTGGGCAAGGTGCTTGGTATATATTCGTCGCCCCGGTTTTTGCTAAAGAGCTATAAGACGGCAACGTTAGAGAGGATAACGGTGAGTAAGCTGTTCTGTGCAACCTTCTGAGCATAGTAACTCGTTGAAAGATAAACCGATCCAGCGCTAACAGAGTTCAATGAGGGTACAAAGGATAGATGAAGAAATATACTCGAAACTGATCAGGTCGGGATGCTACACAACAACAATCGGTTTAATGGCATTTTCATAAAGCTAATAGCAGAACCCTACCCATTGCGAAGAAGTAATATCCTGAAAACCGTCACAACTTTACGGCGACACAAGCACGACTTCAAGTAAAGGCTCACGTTTAAAACAGGAGCAAATGATGCTGCAAATACGATGTCGCTATTTCCTGGAATTTCTGAGTGAGAGAAAGAAGGGATATAGTTAGCGCAGTATACTTACTCTCGAAGCCCATCATGAAAACAGCCTCAGCAGCCGTTCCTACAGAATGATTACCCGGAACGTTCTTATAACCTTGAAAATATATAAATACCTTGCATGGTAGGGAACGTCAGCGTCGCTCCTGCGTCATTTGTCGTACATGCATATTCTCCCTACCATTGAGGTCGGGTAAACGAGGAGACAGCTAACTTTCAGACAACTGACCTCAAAATATTGTGTACCATCGCGCTACAAAGGTCAGAAAAGGCGTGGCACTCGATATTCACCAACACAAACCGCAACATCGTCGTAGAAGAACCCGTTTGCGACCATCCCCGCTACACGAATGGTGTCAGCTATGATAAGACACAGAGAAGAGAATATACGTACAGCGAGAAGCGTAGAGATGATTGTCATATTCAGTAGGGGTCGGCGAGAGGACCGGGTCGAATGGAAACGAAGTAGCGATATAGTCTTTGCAAATATCCTCACTACAAGTCGCCAAATCACAGTAATTTACGCACGAAGGTCAGGGAATTCTGCCTTGAGGGCATCCACGAAAGCTGGCCATCGATAGGTATATCTTTTCACGAGGTTAGAAGGTGAGTATTGCACACTGATAAGTTGCACTGACGTCGTTGATGCGAAAAAATCCTATAATATATGGTCAATTGCTACGAACAGACAGAACTACAAAATACTTGCTTCGTTTCCAATCTCTACATATTTCAGTGCGAACGGTTCTGGGTGACCAAGCGAAGCCCGCAGCGCCGCTAGGGAAGTGCTTCAGTCAATGCTGCGGAACTGTGAGCGCAAAGAAACTTCGAACCGACCATTTTCATTAGTAGCGGGATCACCGATGGTGAAATAGATCTATATGCGTAGGCTTTTCAATGGCAAGATACAATAATTTCCGGGGATACTGACCTGATCTATCGCCTGCTGAACGTAAGGTCCTAGCTCGTCCTGAGGTACAGATACGCCTCCCAGTGCGTATCCTTGACGCAAATCAATCGACAAATGGCAAGCGAAGAAGAGCTACACATGCCTGCCCAGACCGCCATTATAGGCTCCATGTTCAAGTCCTCGCACCAGGTGAGATATTCCAAGAGGCCTAACCCACTGCGGAATTGATGTTGGTGGCTGTTCAGGTGAGGAATAAGAGTGTTATATACTCAGTATTGATGTAGCTCCAGTCGCCAACCCGACCTGATTCAAGTGCACATCAACGCAAGAATATCTTGAAGTTATAATTGAGACAAACCTGGACGATCGACAAGAGGCCCAACTGTTGCGTTCCACTGCCACCGTTGTGCGACCGTTGCTCCCTACATTCCTTTAAATAAACATACGTTGATATCATCATAAACCAAACCTCCTAATAAAACGAGTTCGTGAAGATGATATGGTACAGACCAGCGAATCTCACAAGGTTGTTACCCCCAGGGAATCTGAAAAACGAGGGGCCCAGGTCTTGAAGAGCCTGTAAATCTCATCGTCTGGTTTACTGCAGAGTAATTCGGCACCCAGAATACCCACGTCAGCAATATCGACGCGCATCCCGTTCGCTCTATTCTTAAACGTTGGTGGGAACAACGAAAACATCGCGAAGTTGATGGTTTGGCCTGCAGCTGCCGTACCATCCACAGTGACAGTAAAGATATTCGCTGTAGATGCTGGAGTCGTAGTAGCCCTCAATGTAGCCCTCACTTGAGTCCAAGACGTGTGGGAACCCGACACAGAAATTGAACTTTGAGCGAGAATTTGACCGGACGTCGTTTGAAGTGCGACTTTGAGGTTTCCTCGAAACGAGCTCGCGGTGGGGAAACGGTAGAAGAAAGAGGCAGTGTATACACTTCCCTGGGTGACCTTGATACCTAATATCTATAAGAATATTTTATTCTGTGGACGTCAGAAATGAACCCACCGAAATATCCAGTATTCGCGAAGCCAACGGCTCCAGTCAGTCCACTAGGGATGGTGACACTTAGCGCATTAGGAAGAGCAGAAGAGACCGGCTGAGTATCCGCAATAACAGTTAACGATGTACCATTGATTGCCTCCCAAGCATTCAGTGCCGCTGTAGTGCCTGAAAACTGAGGAGTGAGTTCCAAAGCTGCGGGTTTGGCACCAAGGAACTACCTGGCGTTACTTGCTGAAAGGCGCGATTTTGTAGAACTGCAGGATTGGAAGTTAGTTGTGCTGATGGCGATCGATACAAGGACATTTCAGGTTACGTTCGGCATAGAGACCACCATCTCCACTCTGTGAGAGTATTATTTTCAAAAGTACACAGATATATGCATACGAACGTGCTGCTCATAAATATATGCTTCAGTACAACGCGCATATCATCAAAAGAAGAGACACTGACATTAATGTCCTGTAAGCGATATCCGGGTCAATCTGACGTCACTGGAGAACGCCATAGGATCATACTTCATACATGACCCCCCCTGTAAAGTAGGCGTGCGATAAGTTTACCCAGATACCTAGTGTGGAAAGAAACACCCACACAGGCTCGTCGGAATGGCGTGGCTAGCCGTTGCACTGACGCTAACAGTTGTTTGCGCCATGCATATTCCCACGAACAAAGTGAGGGCAGAAACACAGAGCTGGAAGGTCTGGAGCATCTTGACGACTGTCAACTTCGCATGCATGGACGCTCAGACCTCCACCCGCGCTCCTTATGAATACTCTTGAGCCAACGGCCCGTAATCAGTAGCAGCTGTTTTCTGCCATCTGGACTGCCTTGCATTTTTCCGGGGAGTGTCACATGAGGCTTGTAAATCCGGATAAAACGAGGGAGTCCTATCCCGTTGTGAGAAAAGAGCAGTCGAGAAGGGTGACAGGATGCCACCTGCTGACGCGAAGAATAGTAATTATGGGAATAAATGTAGATAGAAGAGGAAATCGTGCAATTTTAGTGGGCACATAGAGTATCTTGTGAACCAAGAAGGAAGGTGAGACGCGTTGCGTGGCACTGCAAAGTGTGGAAGCGAAAGAACCGGATGTGTATTTGTTGCACCTCAATCCATAGGTAGCGGGCCGACAGAATAACAAAACAAAATACACCAAGAACAAACCGACGTTGAAGTGCTTCGGCCCGGTGATAGCCGATCGATCGCCATCAAAGCATGGTCTGTGCGCGGGGCACCAGGTATAAAAGGCAAGCGCGAGTACCTGCATACCTCATACTTACCTTGATGGCACAAGCCCCTTCATGTACCCGGGTTTGTGGGCCGTGGAGATCCTTCATAGCACGGCGACCTTGTCCGCAGAGGGTGTCTGCGGCTTGTATAGGCTCAGGCTTATGCACCGTCTAAATATTTTCCTGTCCCACTTTGGCCACTCTGGCTGGGTGGGCCTCTCTTTTCTTTGCTGTTCACTAGTGGAGACTTCCATTTGGCGGTCTTTATGTTGCAGCAAACAATGGGAGTTGGAATATGACAAGTTTGGACTTTCAATTGAACTATTTTGTGTCGACTAACGTAGTGACCGTGCCTTGTCAATACATCTTTTGCGCGGTTCGATTTATGTAAAGAGTAGGTTAACCGGCCGGGTGCATGAAATACGGTATGTCGTCTAACTTCATTATCTTGTCTAAATACATGTGATGATGATGTTCCAAGGAATGATGCTGTCCTGTTGACATTGGTAATTGTTTCAAGTTTTGGTCCTCATTGTGATGCTCGTGTGGTACTACTTCCCCGCTCAAATTTAACCATGGCATGCGTTTCCACTACGTGCCCTTCCATGCCTCAACGCTGTGGTGTATTATTCTGTTTCCAGAGTACTCTATAGGTTATTTCGTGCCTGTCCCTTACCCTTGTTTCTTCATTTGAATGTCGCTGATCGCAGTTCCGTACAAGTTCCACTGGCTATTTTCGGGGCCCGTCGGTCAACAGTCGACCCCAGTCAGGATAATTCGTTTCACGGGTGATGGAAAACCATCAATCGTAAACATGTGCTCATCCCCTACTTTGGGCGACGTGTTCCGGGGAATAAATGTGCATTCGGATCGGATTTCTTCACAATAAAGGAATTATTAGCACTTTACTCGGTTTCCAGTGATAATTAAACGTGTGGACCCCAGGAGGGTAAACACAACATCCGTGCTAGACTGACTGGACCAGGCCTCCGTAACCAGGAAAGACACAAGACCGGCGCTCTCCGCATGGGTTTCCTATTATGGGGCACGTTGTTTTCTGGATCACTTCGAAATCCTCAAATTTCTGATGCCTCGAGCAATTCACCTCCAATTTCCTGGGCCTGAAGTGCCTTGCCTTGTATTTTTTTCTGCGGCCTTTGACAGGTTCAGGTCGCATATAAAATTCTCCTTGTCATCGTGGTTCTTTCCTCACCAGCTGTCCTTCAGCCTGGTGTCGTAAGCACGGGTCTTTCTCTCTGACTATGGTCGCGTTGATCTTCGTCTTGTCGGCCCTCTCTTTGGTGTCTGCTACTCCGTTTCCAGGTAGCAGTCATAACAGTATCTTCGTGAAACCCAGTCGAGACATCCTCTGCATATTATTGCCCTGGCTATGTCCTCGGGATACCCAAATCACCACAGAGGTCGAGACAAGTATTGGCACCGCCAAAGGGGTTGCTAATGGCACAGCGGTCAGGTTCCCCGTCAAGTACGCCTCCGCAGAGAGATGGCAAGATTCCGCAGTCGCCTCAGAGTGGGAGCTTCCGTGCGCCTGTTATTTCCCTTTACTTTGCCCTTTCTGACATTTTTTTGCGGTGTAGCAATAACTCTTCAGACGTGACCGCAATGCCTTTGGCTTGCCCGCAGTCGGATCTGGACTCATCGGAATATGCAGAGGACTGTTTGTCCATGGTCCTCTACGTGCCTGCTACGCTCACCGTATCTGATAATGTTCCTACACTTACGTGGTGCGAGATCTGTCTGTCTATCATTGGAGCTGATTGATTAATTCTTCGACAGGGTGCATGGAGGATCATTCATTACAGGGTCTGCCAGTGATGAAGGATTAGACGGTTCGAACCTTGCTTCCACAACGAATTCCATTGTTGCTGTGATCCAATACCGCCTTGGAGGTGTACGTACCATTTCCCCTCTTCTTCCATTGCTAGTATACTCATGTTTTTTTTTTTAGCTCGGGTTTATGGCCCCTAACGGGAGCGTGAACCTGGCGGTCAAGGATGTCATCAACGCAATAAAGTTTTTGCAAACGATCCTACCGTCCTTTGGCGGTGACACGTCCAAGATCACGTTGGCCGGTCAAAGCAGCGGTGCCAGTATGATTCGCGCTTTGCTGGCCGTTCCATCAGCGTCATCTTTGTTCCAGTCTGCTATTTTGCAGTCAGACCCGATGGTAAGCGCATCCTTTTCCTCGTGGTATCCATCGCTTATTTGGATCTAGAACTTCGGTTTTTTGAATACGTCCACACAGGAGACCATGCAGAGCTATTTCAACGGACTTATTTCTTGTGGGGCTTCGGACACGACCTGCTGGGATGCCCTCTCCTTGGATGATATTCTCAATGCCCAATCAACCCTATTTAGCGACGCTGCCTCCCTCGACGCATCAACGGGAACCGCAGAACCTATCCGGCCTGTTCGCGACGGCACCCTGATTACGTCCCCGCTCGACTCCACTGCCGCCTTCCCGTCAGTGAGCAAACCCATCCTTATTACCTCCGTACTCAACGAAGCCGGGCTCACCATCTACGGCTCCTTTACCGTCGAGCTCGCTGCTGTATACTTTGAAGCCGTCGCTGATGAATTTCTGGGAGACGAGCGCGCGGAGGTTATAGCAAATTCGACTTTTTATACCGCAACGGACGAGGACGACGATACGCGAATTAGGCTGGAAAGACTCGGGACGGATTGGATGTGGAAATGCGCGATATGGACATTCGCAAGGAACTGGGTTAGTAATGGAGGTGCGGCGTATGTCGGCCTGTATACGGTTGGAGCATCGTACCCTTTGAACACTTACGTCGACTTCTGCCATGAAGAAGGGAAGGTGTGCCACCGTGACGATATCGAGATAGTGGTATGTGGTTCTCCCTATAAAATCACTCGTTCCTCACTTTCCCCTTAGTTCGGGACGGTGTCCAACCCTTCTTCAACCCAATCTGAACTTATTTCAGAGATGCAGCAACGATATAAAGCATTCTTGCACTCTGGCAACCCTAATGTTGACGGTCTCACTACTTGGACCGCGTCTGGCACCTCCGAGATGAATGCGCTTCAGCTCGGAGAGTCAGGCGAGTTCGAGATCGGTGCTTGTATCCCGTCTTTCTGGGGCGAAGCTGTCGAATACGATTATCAAGTCTACGGGATCTAATCTTACCCCAAGACGACTCATTTAGAGGACTTTGCAACGTGCTTTTTGTTCCACTTATCACGCAACTTCAAAGCTCATTGTCATTCGCATTGATATCGATTTTCTCAGCATTCACATTATTAACTAATTGTCCAAAGTTATCCATCCTTACGACAATATTTGTATCTTACGACGCTTTCCTCCTTTGTGATATCATCGGCATGTGTATCAATTGGTTTACCAACGCTTTCGGTTCGTCACAAGTAGTCCTCATATAGCAAACCTCGTTGTCGTCTTGACTGTAAATAAGTACCTTTATCTGCGTTTCCTTGGCCCCACCGTGAGAACATTGCGCCACATTTGCATCAACTCTTCTTTCACTACCGCCATTACCATCATGGCCAACGGACCTCCTACCCCTCCGCCTACTACCGATATTGAAATACAGGACGCTGCGCGTGAAGAGGCGTCAGCGAATGCAAATGCACAAGCAACGAGCTCTGAGACTGAGACTGAGACTGACCCAGAACCTGCGGAACGGCAGCTGCCATCCCGCTCACCACCCTCTCAGGACGTCTTTCAACAAGCTTTTCAGAAGATAGCTTCCTTGTCGTCAGAAAAACAATGGCATGAACTTATCTCTGTTGCAGAAGATGCCGATGTATGGGTGAGTTCACGCAACGACCCTCAAGATTTCAGACTTATCATTACATGCTCGAAAGGGAGACGACGAGAGCCCCGTGTCGAGATTGCTTGTCGTCGCGCCTCTTGTTCTGGGGTATCTGATAATTGATGACCTGTGAGTATCTGCATCCGTGGTTGTCTTTCAAAAATCTGACCTTTAAAGACCAGCGGCTCGTTTCGCGTTGACGCGCATACATCCACGGCTCCAGAAGCTTCCGATTTCTACCGCATTGGCATCCCTTCTAGAATCCTCTATGGAGAGAAAACATAAGGAGGTATATGCACGCGCCGAGGTGCTGTACAACATGGCGAAAGATACAGGCAGCGCGCCGGATCCAAAGTTTCCCGGTGTACTTTCAGAGATGGTGCAGGCGTTTACTGGTGCGCACCGTTGTATGTTTGTTGTGTAATAGATGCTGATGTTGCGATGTTATAGAATCCTTCCGAGAGAGAACATTCAGGTTGCTATCCAAGGCATACGCCGCTTTACCACTGGCGCTTGCTCAGACCTATCTGGGGTTGACATCGGATCGTCTTCTTGCAGGTCTGTCACAGGTTCATCGTACTCCTGCCTTTGATTTTCTGACTGTCACTCTAGCTGCTGAAAGTAATAACTGGAAGTACAACGCTTCTACCCAAGTTTTGAGTCCGACTGTCTCCTCCGGTCCCCAGGGTACCTCTTTGTCGGGTAAGCTTCTATTAACATCTCATGCATTTCAAAACCGATGGTTTCCCAAGCATCTTCATCTTTGGCTATATTTGGTTTCATCGCAGATAGTGTCGCCGAAGTGGAGATCATGTAAAGATAACTACCTGTACATTGTTTTACACATCACCTGTAATAACACCGTATCATGCTGTCTTCATTCGCTGAACATTCAGGGCAGCGCCCTTTCCTGGCCACCTTCGCGTCGCCTTTTCGTTCGTCGATATGCAACCACTTGCTTTGAGCCCGTCCCACAGGAGGCTTCTAATGCATTCGTCTTGCGCCTATAACTGCCTCTGCAAGGTATCTGATTGACTGCACGTGTCTCTAAACATGGGTTTGGCTTTGTCGCTCACTTCAATATATCTTGAAAGATACTAAAACTTGATGTTGGGTATTTGTTGGAAATGTTACGCTGTGGTTATGGTCCGTTCTTGGACATAATTTACTTATTGCATTGCCTGCCTGTTTCCTAGTACTGACTTTCTTAGTTGTAAATCAGGCTCTATTGAGTCCTATACATACCATTCACACATGGAAATTGTCCTGTCATTCAGCATTACGGATAGTCTCGTAAACCAGACTCAATGATTTGTATGAAGATAAGTCGTTCAATGGATGTAGACATTACGGAGATTCGCAATCCTATCCCATTGGTTGGTAGCAAAAGTAGGCATTGGATTCAATCCTAAGTAATTGAAAGACGTCAACCCCCGTCTATGTTGAGTGTGCTCCAAATGGTTAATACCATGGATGGTGGGGTCCAGCCCGTGCTACCAATACCATCGATTTGATCTTTTCACATTATCCCGTACTCAGGATTACCACTACTACCTGCTGAAAAAACAAGGTATCCATTGTGTGCATATAAGCAAAAGAAAAAAAAACCAAAAACGTTCAAGTTTCGAACATCACTGGGGACCGGCCCGCAACACGCGAAACGGTGTGTGCATTCCCGCCTCCAGTTGGTTTCTCTTTCCCCACTTTCACCCTCATTATGTCCCCTTTGTTAGATGCATCGTCTGCGCCAGAAAACGGTATGGATGTGACGGAACGCGACGAACCCGCTGTCGAAGTAGACCAGTCTGTCCTTAAGCGCCCCTTTACGCCACTAACCGTTCCCGACGACAGAGTGGATCTGGCATCGTCGAGACATGGATATCGCTCCAGTTTACCTGGTCTGGGCGTTCCTTTTCGCTAGACATCGCAGATACCGATACGTGAGCTATTCGACCAGTGCCATGTCATCAAGCTAACGATTTCTGGTAGCGTATACGACCTCAAAGGCTACCTTCACAGCCAGACCCTTGTTCCCCCTGAGCGCCAGAAGATCCTAGGTCTAGTCAAAGGCAAGCTACCACCAGATCAGGTGCGAATGTATGTGCTCGATGGTGGGACTTGATTCGTTCTGTGGTTCATTGGAGGTTTACAGCACCGACTTGAAACTGGCGTCGGGGAAGAAATTTTCTCTCGTTGGGACGCCTGAAGGGGGTGAGATCAAGGATCCATCAGGTAGGTGATTAGTGGGGTGAGACGACGGTCTTTGTTAATCGTTGACGTACTTAGCTTTGGAAGCCCTCCCAGACATCGTCAATGACTTCGACCTCGACATGTTGTTCATGGACTTTACGGCTAGGAATCGTTACCTCACCGACCCACGGAATGTTCGCAAGGTGAAGGAGTACACGTCCAAGACCCGTATCAATATCATCCATCCGGTGCGCCCAGGCAAGAAACTGTTGGTACTCGATATCGACTATAGTCAGTTTTCCCGGATGATATTTTGTGATCATTGGGACGATTCCTCTTTTAGCGATCTTAGATACGAAGCCTTTGTTGTCTGGAAGCCTGCCACCGGCTGAATGCGCGCGTCCTGGTCTACATGAGTTCTTAGAGGCGATCTATCCGTTTTATGACAGTGCGTTTGTCTTCGATACTCACCAAAATGCTCTCACACGTTGATTCCAGTTTGTATATGGTACGTTTTCCTCAGTTTTATCTTTACGGCAGAGGCGGGTGCACCTTCCCTCCTGAAAAATGACGTCCTGCCTGGTTTCATTATAAGTCCTCTACATGATCAGTGAAAGAATCTACAATGGGAACAGTGCTTAGCATCGCTCTCCAGTACTCCTATAATGAAACCTGGCAAGATTTTGTGACACTGGAGACGAACCTGCCCCTGCAGCGGCCTTTTATGCATTTACGAATCTGATTTCAGGTCGCAGACGAGCTGGATTTGGTTGGAGACTAAAATGGTAGAATTGGGCATGGTTGGAGGCAACCGTAATTATCAGGTGTGTATGCGTGGCCCCTAACCTAATTTCTGTGTTCTCATAATTCACACAGATCTCATTCGGTAACCTTATGCGCTTATAACGTTTTCCCGCGTGTCATTGACCTCTCGCAGTACTAGATAAGACGAGCATGTTCACTGTCTTTAGTCAACGCGACAACAAGCCGTGGCGGCATTCTGTCAAGCCATTGCAGATCATATGGAATCTGATACCCCAGTTGTAAGTGGCCGTACATATGCAACGATATTTTCTTATCGAGTTTCGTACGAATGATTAGTGGCCCCCGTAATACTATACACATCGATGATCTTGTAAGTCTTCCTACCCGACAACATTAATACTACCCGACTGACCGATGCTCCGTCAGAGTCGTAATTTTGCTCTTAATCCTGGCCAAGGACTTAAAATCCAGGCGTTCAAGAATGCCCATACACAAGAGGCCGTGATGGATCGAGAGCTGGAAAAGTTGGGGAGGTATATGCTATCTATTGCCAATGTCGAGGATTTCAGGACGTTGGAGCATAATGTGAGTGTTCTCAGTCCATGGTGCGATGCCTGCCTCATTGATTGATGATCTGTGTGCAGTACTGGAAAGACGTAGTGAAGAAATTACCGCGTTCCTGAAGGAATGTGACTGTCCTTCCGCTTGTTCCGGAATACAAAGCATGTAGTTTCTTGTATAACATTCTTTGCTATCGGGCTGTCATTTGCATATCACTATCATGTAGCGCATAATACTATCATTATTATATTGGACATTGTTATTACGGATCCAACATTCAAAGAATTAAATTGAAGATCGACTTGTACGACGGCCCGGCCCAACTGACTTCCAACCACACTTGATGAAGTTTACCCGTATCCAAGGTATAAGACGCTGAAATAATGAGCCATAGCCTGCGGCAGTCTGTTACTCGTTCTGGGCTTCGTCGTGAACGCTGGATTCACCATCGCTGCTTGTACTCCGACGCCATGTCCTCTTCTCGCCCAGTAGTACCACGACCCTCTGCTAGTCTAGTCATTATCAATAACCGAAATGAAGTGTTGCTGGTGCAACGGAACCCCAAGGCCAGTACGTTTGGAGGCGTACATGTACGTTCTAGTAGCTACTACCCGCTGGTCCAACAGAATCGTGACGTGCTGCCCCCAGGTCTTCCCCGGGGGAAACTACGACCAGAAGCAGGACACGTCATTACCCGTGACAGCGATCCGGGAAACCTTTGAAGAATCTGGTCTGCTGGTGGGTGTCACAGGGTCGTCCCTTCCGACGAGCCCCATCCTCGAAGCAGCACGCCACGCGATTCATTCCCAGAAACTCCTCTTCCAAACATTCCTCGACAAGAACCAACTCTCGGTGCGCACAGACTCCGACGTACTACTTCCCTTCACAGAATGGGTTACACCTGTGGATGCTCCTCGGTTAGTGGCTCAGGATATCTATACGTGGTTAGACTCAAATACAGACCCATAGACGTTTCCATGCCCGCTTTTACATCGCGTTTCTAGACTCGGCTGCTTTATCGTCTTCTGTTTTCTCCTCCGGGCACAAGCAGGAGCAGCTCCCGAAGCCAGGTGAACAGTTTGTTCGCTGCTTCATCTTCATCTTCTCACTTTATTCAGATGGGGGACAAGAAGTCATTTCGGCACGATTCATACATCCCGAAGACGCACTAGCAGAGTTCAATGAGGGAAAGATCATTTTCATGCCCCCGCAGTTCTATATCTTGTATACTCTGGCAAGTATACTGCGGGGAAACAGGAATTTGCCTGAACAGAGGGATAGAATCATGCAGCTTTCGCGGGGACTGTTTGGCAGAATGGTTATGAATCCTAGGAGACTTGAGGGATCTTTTACGCCTGGTGGGTCAGATGGAATACTGACATATGAGGGAGACGAGACGCGTGGGGGGTCAAAGGGACGTCTACATCGTGCGCTCTGTCAATTCGTGAGGGGAGGCGTAAGTTTTCTCCTTCATACTGGGTTACGATGCTTATTTTCCTGGTTAGTTGACTACTCGGATAGTCCTTCAACGGAATTTTGATATCTTCACCGAGATTGAAGGTGACGCATTTGAACAATCATCCAAACTGTAATGTAACATATGTAATGTATACCGATACTTTAAGTTTTAATCATATCTAGAATTTATTAGTCACCATAGCCTACGTCTGCGTCCCCAATCAGTTCATTATAAATTCTGCGGAGAGCTAATATGCACTCCGGATACTAGACTGCCGGTGGAAGAGCAGCATCAAGTTTGAAGTCGATGAAAACAGCTAGCCAAAGCAAGCAAGTAGGACGGTGCTTTGAAGGCCCGTAGAGTATGCAGGAATGTAACGACATCCAGAATCCAGCCTCCATACTAAGCCATCACCGTCGATGTAAGCAGTACTTTGGCTATTGCAGCAATGCTCCGTATCAATGGGGCCCCTGATCTTGGTTCGATTTTCGGGCCGTATTTCCGGACCAACGTTCACTTGCACCAAATTTGTTACTTTGCGCTCGACGCGATGGAGTTGCTTCCAATAGGCGCCCGTATCAGTCTCTCCGGACACATAGGGAGCATCCGTTTCGTCGGATCTGTTCACGGGACAAAAGGAACATGGCTGGGCGTCGAATGGGATAACCCCGAGCGCGGAAAACACGACGGTGTTAAAGACGGGACACGGTTTTTCTCTTGTCGGTAAGGCTATGTGCTCCTTGAGCGCTTCTCTATATTGAGTCTCAGTAAGGATATCCAACTCTGGCTCGTTCATCCGCCCATCATCAAACGTCTCATACGGGCGGTCTTTCCTGGAGGCCCTGCAGTCCAAGTACATTGAGCTCCCACACGGGTCTGAATCCATGGAGAAAGTAATTCTTGGCTCATCTCGCGGGGCTATCGAAATAGAAGCTGTAAATCTCGATAAAATTAGGCAAAAGTTCTCAAACCTCGACAGACTCCGAGAAATCAGCCTTGACAATGAACTTGTCTGCAAAGGCGATGAACCCGGAGCCATCAAGGAGACCTGTCCCAGTAAGTTTAACTTTATTAAATATACGAAACATTTTTTTAACGCATGTATCGGACAGACGTGCGCGGCCTAGATCTTTCGATGAGCCTGATTCCCTCTTGGGATGTCGTTGCCAGCATCACTGCAGAGCTCCCAGGGCTCACCAGGCTGGTCCTGAAGTCAGTTTCACTCATGTTGCTGTGGCTCGTGCATCTTACGATAATAATTTGTTTCAGTCGAAATAGGCTTGAATGCCCTGGAGACACCGCCAAAATGTCGTTAGCCTTCATGAGAATCACAGATCTTCAACTTAATGACACGCTCACATCCTGGGATCAAATGCTCGAGATCGTTTGCTTCATGCCGAACCTCCAACAGGTTGAGATGGGCTACAACCATCTCACTCGTCTCTCCAATGGTCTGGACTCTACTTCTCCCACTGTCACAATACAGAGTATCAATCTCGATAGCAATCAATTAAACGACTGGATTCATATCATGGAATGTCTTCGCTGTTCCTGCACTTTGTGAGGATTCCCGCGCCTTACCGTCCATCCCTTTGCCTTCCTTACTCTGCCTTTTTATTTTTGGCAGATTGACCACCATCATCCTAACTTCGAATGATATCAAGGAAATCCCGTTCCCCCTCGAACATCAATCTCCGTTGCCTGAGATCAGATCAGTTTCATTGTCTGCAAACGGGCTGAGGTCATGGCGAGATATCGACGCGCTTGCGGCTTGGTGCCCCGGTCTAGAGACACTGTACATACGCGGTAATCCCCTCGTGCAAGGTATGTGTGACGACTCGGATGCCATTCATTGATCCCACTGGTACTGCAGAAACCGATCATCAGGCAAGGTACTCCCGTCAATTCATTATCGCAAAGATCCCTTCCCTCGTGGCTTTGGATGCAACGGCGGTAAGCACTGTCGTCACTCGGTGAGGACGGAAAACGATGGGAATTTTTCATCCTGCGCAATAGATATCCTCCAAGGAACGGACTGATTGCGAGCTCTTCTATTTGTCGCATATTTCGCAGAGTGATGTAGGTTCCGAGGGTGAGCTCATCAAGAAGCATCCTCAATGGAATAATCTTCGAGCCAGTACGTCGGCCATATTAATGCTTACATCCTTTCCGATTGACTTTATCAGAACATGGCTTACTTGAAGAGGCAACACAACCTCAGGATAAGACTGACCGCCTGAGTAAACGTCTAATAGGTACGCGTGACGCATTCATTCTATGTACGGCACAATTAACCAAATACGTAACATGCAGAACTGAACGCCTATCAAACCGTCAGTCCAACCATCGACCTTGCGCAGCTACTCGAGACGCAACCATTGAAGATCAAAGCATTGCCTTCCATGGCACTGCACATCCTCCGGCAAAAGCTGCGTAAGGCTACCAAGAGCGGCATAACGGCAGATGTTGCTATATGGATGATAATGCGAGATAACTCCGTCGTGGAACTCGGAGTCGACCATGACAAGCAGGACATTGCTTGGTTGGGATTCGACCATGGCTCGTCCATTGTGTTTCACATCAACGAATCGTAATGAATACATACCCCTTCCACTTTGGATAGAGAAAGCGTTTACCACACGGTCCTGTCATCCGCACGCGTCAGCCTTATTGCCTGAATTCGACTTCGGATGTTGTTCCGTGAGCCTGGGGCCTCGACCTAAACGCTTCGTGATGTTGAAGTTCCCGCAGGCAGAACAAAATTCCATCCTCAAAACGTCCATCAGCGGACCCACCCGACGCCATCGAGTGTCACGATCGAAGGTAGTCGATACCAATACGAGTATAGACCATCAGCAGAAAAGTACACGGTCCGGATATAGAACAATGGGGGGGACAGAAGACCAAAAATGATAAACCGTTTGAAACAATGCCGTCCGTTTTTTTTTCCTGAATATCTTGTGTGGGCGGCCAGTCACCTAAGATCCTCAACGAGTCCATCCTCCATCACCGTTCGCCTGTCTTGGGGGTCTGTCGTCGTACCGGTCATCCTTCTCGTCGCGTCTTCTTTCGTCCCTGCGGCGTTCAGGATAATCAGGTACTCTGCGATCATCATAACCCACTCTCCGGTAATCATCGTACCCTGTAGGCCTCCTATCATCATATTCTTTCCTGGGAGGCGGGGACCGACGTCGATCATCATGGTCACGACGAGGCGATCTTGAACGGTCCCGACGGTAGCCACGGTCTTCTCTGGCGCCGCGGTCATCCCTGTAGCGGTCGTCCCTGTAGCTACGGTCGTCCCTGTAGCTGCGGTCTTCCCGATAACGGTCTTCCCTGGGCGGCCGGTCATCACGACGGTCATCGCGTCTATAGTTATCGGGACCAGAGTGCTGGCAATGTTTTCAATGTCGATTTCAAAGAATTAGAGACGATACCACTTACGTTATCGTCGGTAACGCGAATAATTTTTCCGCGGAGCTCTTTGCCATCCAAGTCTCGGATGGCGCGATCCGCATCCTCACGAGTAACATATTCAAGAATACTGACAAAATATAAGAAAACTGACGTACAACAGACACATTCAGCACTCACCCTTGACCCGCGACATCGCGGTCGATATCAGCGAATGTCACATTACCAGCATCCCGGCCAAAATCTTTCAGATCCTAACATAGCGGGGACGACAACATCAGGGTCCGTCGCGAAAGCATAACAACCGATAATCCAAAGGGCCCTCCCAAAACGTCGTAGAACGATAAGTGGCAAAAACCATGGGCCTCGGCGCATATCCAATCAAAAGGGCAAGCGTGGGAAGGGCCAGAACGACGAAATTATACAAAACTTTCCATACCTGCCAACTGACTTCACGGGCGACGTTCTGAACTAGGATACGAAAGCCTGGAGGCCTACGGGAACGAGAGTTTCTGCTGAGAAAAATAAACGATCAATCAGCTTACACGATAGACATCTGTCTTCATACCCGTAGCCATGGCTCCGGTCCTCGTACGGATCGCGACGGGGCCGGCCTTCTTTCGCGAATTCCACGACGATACTGAGTCGAGGACATCAGTACAGAATATTTATCATGGTCCTTTGCAGTACGTACTTTGCACCCATGAAAGACTTGCCATTGCAGTGGGTGACAGCGTCCTCGGCATCCTTGCACGACTGTTAGCACCGCGCCACACTACTATGTCCGGCCAGATTTACCTTGGCATTCTCAAACTCGACGAAACCGAAACCTAAGAACGACGCCGTCAACGCAAGATGTGGCGTATTTGCTCGGACCAACCAGTCATCACACGGCAGTCAACAATTCGCCCATACGTATCGAAATATTTCGAGACATCATCAGAACGTACATCGGGGGGCAATCCTGTTCAGCCAAAATGTCAGGGTCCATATATGGGCCAGCCTACTCGGAAAAAGATTCTTACTGCCAATATAGAGCCGCTGGCGGGGGTTCGACATGGTGGTGCGAAGAAAAGGTTGATCAGGTTGGGAAATCTGCTGAGTTTGAATGCCTCTATTGCGGAGTGCGAAGGAGTTGGTCCGTGCCCTGATTTGATTTATGATGACGACAGGATAAAATACTTCCGCAGAAGCAATGTTTAACAGTATAAAAAAATACAACTAATCATGACCAACTACAGAGAACAGAAACGTAAATATCCATGGAATTAGTGCTGCGACCAGTCAATCGAGTTAATGTCAATGCCCTCTTGAACCATTTCCCACAGCGGGCTACAAAATAGCGTTCAGTTATTGCGCGTAGAATTAAAAACTTTCACTAACCTCATTTCCCGCAATTTGTTGACAGTGCTAACGATATGCTTCACAACAAAATCAATCTCGGCTTCCGTGGTGAACCGACCAATGCCAAATCGCAGTGAAGAGTGGGCCATATCCTCAGCCGCGCCTACACCAGGTTAATGAGTTGTGACAAGGAAGATCACGCCTGAGCAACTGACCTAGGGCTCGCAGGACATATGACGGTTCCAAAGATGCTGATGTACAAGCACTACCCGATGATAGCGCGATGTCCTATACAAACTGCTTGAGAAAACTGCCTTAAAGTTGAAATCCAAGACTAACCTTTAATGCCATGAGGAGACTTTCTCCTTCAACATACGAGAAACTAAGATTGACGCAGCCCGGATAGCCATCCACGTCGCCATTTCGAACAACATGCTCTACCTGCGAATTAACGGTTCTTATCAAACGTTCGGATAACTCTTTTACATGCGTATGGTCCCTCTAGAAAGACCGGATTTAGTAATCAGAGTAAAGGAACATAGATGAAAAAGGGAAAAAGTTACTCAGTACCCCTGCACAAAGGTCACGACGAGGCTGACGTAGAGAGCAACTGAAAAGAACAGCGCAAACATCACCCCATTCGTTATTTTGTGTGCAAGCATCATCATAGCGCAAAGGAGGACAAAATGACGTACCGCCATCTCTTGTTTTGCAATCCTTGCAGCCTCTCCCAGGCCGACAACGAGCGGTGATGCCAAGGTTCCACTGCGCAAACCACGTTCCTGACCTCCTCCACTCAAAATAGGCTCAAGTCTGACCCTTGGTCGTCTCCGAACATAAGCAGCGCCTATACCTTTCGGACCATAGAGCTTATGACCAGAAATACTCATCAAATCGACATTCATTTCGTTGACGTCCAAGGGGATTTTTCCTGCGGCCTGAGCGGCGTCGGTGTGAAAGTAGACACCTCTGTGCTTCCGAAGTAGGGCGCCAATTTCTCTGATTGGCTGGATAACACCCGTCTCGTTGTTCACGGTCATGATCGAAACGAGAGAAGTATCGGGTCGAATGGCTGCTTCCAATACATCCAAATCAACGACGCCATTGTTCTTCACAGGCAGATATGTCACATCAAAACCTTCCTCTGAAAGTTTCCGACATGAGTCCAATACACATTTGTGCTCCTAAGCCCCGTGTGACCGTCATATTCATGAAGAGTTGTAAGCGACTCACGGTTTGGGTCGTAATGATATGTTTTTTCTTTTCTTTGTGAAAGCGTGCGACGCCTTTGATTGCCATGTTATTCGTTTCAGTTGCGCCTGACGTGAAAACAATATCCTTGGCGTCAGCTCCGATGAGATCCGCAACGTGCTGGCGTTGGTGAATACAGATTGTCAGCATTCCAAAGACGACTCGTACCTTCCGTGCATCCTCCACAGCTTGTTCAGCTTCCCATCCATAGGCATGCGTTCGACTATGTGGATTACCGTACTGATCGGTCATGTAGGGAAGCATGGCATCCAACACCCGGGGATCAAGTGGGGTCGTTGCCTGCAGAACAGTAAGCACCGCAGCAGGTCAGGACTACAAAGAACCACGAACCTGCAAGTCCAAATAAATTGGCCGAATTTTCTCATGTACGGAGCCGTCCCGACGAGGCATCTCCAATTTGAATCCAAGCATATCTAAGAATTCGTTAACCGATTTCTTTCATCGGTTTACAGAAAACGAACCGGATCGCGGCGTGAAGTGAGTTTCATGTTGATATGTCGAAGGCAGGTCGACGACGCTCGCCCTGTCTGCACCAGACGGCTGCACAAGCCCTCGACGGCCACTCATTACCAAGCTGGATGCCTTCGTTGTTGCTGTCCTGCGTGATGTCGTCCGTGTAATTCTCGACAGCATGGTGGTTTGAATGAGAGTGGGGCCTGCCGAAAGTTATCTGATAAATTTCAGGACGCGAAAGTCAATGCCGAGTGGCTGAGACATTTACACTCCAGTCACGTGCAGTATTGGTCAGCAGAATATCATCAGTCCCGCATCAGCAACGGGGTGATCTTATCAGACTTATCTCCATCTTGTTTCCATTTTTACAGTAAATTTGCTTGTTATACTCCATTATGGCTTTGCGGCCGTCAACGGTTTACTACGTACCCGCGAACGTTCAGTCAAATTCGGACCGATGTCTATGCAAGTCCGAAGTAATAATGCTTGCTGAAGATTTAAGTGCTTGGCCCGACGAACGCCTGCGGATCAAGGGCAGAAAATTCACCCGCGTGTCGCAACACGACAACGCGCCGACCAGCATAAGCTGGATTATTTATTCCCGTCAAAGATAAGAAAGATTGAGTTTTAGATTAAAGACTCTGATCGTGGGCTATATATAGACCACGGCAGCATTTTAACCGAAAGGAAATAATCTTTTCTTTTATATCATTGCTCGAACTACAGCAGACTACAGCGCGGGATTAGCATCGGCAATCAAGGTCTGGAAGTAGGCTTGGAACCACGTTCCGGCCTCAGGTGCATTGGGTGTAGCATCACTAGGCGAAACGTGAATAGATACCTGACTCTGTAAAAAAAATACACTCACGGTAGACCACAATGGGCGTCATATCTGGGAGAGCTGGTGTTACTCGTTCCGTCACATTCACCTCCAGGTTTGACCCAAACAATAGAATCAATCAAGCTGGAGCCAGTGTCTGTAGTAGGCCGAGTTCCGAATCCGGCTCCCAAGACGTTGCACCAGTCACCCCAGGCATTACGAATGTCTTGCTTGCCAGACCGTCCCTGATCAACAATGAAGTGAGCAGGTAAGGAGGTCAGAAGAGGTGCCAGGGCCTGGATATAAAGGAGCTCGTCGTAGTTCGGGTTCCCGGCAGTAATAGGATCAGGAGTAGAGGCACTATTGAACAGTTTAACAATAGAACAGATAAAAGATGCTAAATATACTTACACGAGCGCATTGTAGTTCGCAACATCAGTCGCCAATCCACGAACAAAACTGGGTGATCCGGCGGCAGTGTAAAGACTGTCGAAAAGCTGAGCAGCTGGACTCAAGTTGGCAGGCCATCCCAGCCATCCAGCGTGACCTGCATCGAGGTACATGTAAACGCCAACCGTGTTAAGTTGCTGAATAGCATAAGTGACTGCTTCCTGCAAAAAGATGTCAGAGTTTGAAAGATAGAAAGTAAAGTATCATCCAACCTTGTACGTAGTTTCAGCATTGGCACACTTGGGGACACTCAAATTCGTCACAAGGTTAGCCAAAGAGTCAGGCTCAATCACAGCGACAACGCGAACATTGGGGTACTCTGCCATTGTTCTTAGCGATTGCAGCGTAGCAGTATTCCTGGTCACTTACGGGCAATCAGATCGACGATCTGATCAATATAGTTCTCGTAATTGGCCAAGCCGTTATCTGCAATGCTGAATTCTCCATTCGAGGCCAAAGCAGCACAGTCACGGTCAGGAAGGTCGTAGATAACGATCTGCACGAGGTATTTTTGGCCTGACGATGCCTGCAAAGACTGGGCTTCAGCAAGATAGGTTCCCAAATTGGGCACTTTTGCAACGGCGTCCAACCAGGTGAATGTGGGGATTTGGGCGACCTCCAAAGCCTTGGAGGCCATGGTAGAGTCTGTTATGGCTGCTGCAGCGGCCGTGACTTCAGCTGCATAATAAGGAGACAAGAAGATCTGTGTACGTGTCTATGAAATGAAACTGATCGTGAGGGCTCTACTATGAGCACACACCTCATAGCCCTCAAAAGGATTACCGGCGATCGCAGTCGAACTTGGAGCGGCGGCGGTGGAAGTGGAAGCGGCGGTGGAACTGTGGGCGGTAGAAGTGGAAGCGGTAGTGCTACTGGGGGCGGCAGTGCTACTAGACGCTGCTGAACCCGGACTGCAAACAATGACCTCAGTTTCAATACACCATGCGAGGAAATCACTACATACAGGCACTGAGAGTAGTAAGCATTCAGGACGGTGCAAGTTGATCCGGACACACAAGTCGTGGCACCAGCTGCCATAAATGTCAGTGCAAAATCATTCAGTGCAGCGATTGGCGACTTACTCCATCCGATACCACCGCACTGGCCGTATACGGCAGACTGAGCTTGGACAAAAGCGGGAAGTACGGCGAGAACTGCGAGGGCAGAAATTTTGAGCATCTTTGCGATGTAATACCACGACGTGGAATGACTCGAGCGAATCCGATGATGATTCAACTGGCTTTATAGGACTCGATGGCCATTAGAATCTGACGATATTGTACTAGTAATTCCGGTGTTCAGCCGACTGCAATAAACGGAGAGACGTCGGTACGGGGCAATAGCTTGTGGCCTCAAGACTCGTAGAATAGTACTAATCATAGTCGGTTGACCCATCATGATCCTGCCAATTCATCCGAATATGATGTTAACTCTGTCGCAAGGAGCTTTTAGAATGTCGAATCATCGATGGACACACACAAGATTCATTGAACCGAAGGAGAACTGCCGGAAGAAAATGGGCGACATAAAACTTTTGTTGTGCAAGGAAATCCCAGTCGGCAACTCTCGGTTCTTTGTCGGAGGCACAATCAAGCGTCGAGAAACTGGAGCAGTTCCAAGTTTTTGCACGCATGGCCGAAAAGTGACGGTATGGAATATTGGCAGACTCGATACCAGCCAACCTGGCAGTCAAAAGGCGACTATTGATCAGTTAGGCTGGTAGTAGTAGTCGTACCGGCAAGCGGTCCCTAAAAGTACTGAAGCGTGAGTACTTAGCGTTGCGTTTTCGATGACGTGACTTGGCGTGCTTCACAATTTTTGATGTACCTTCACGGCGTCCACGGCATGTCAGCCGGTCAAGCTATGACCTGATGCAATTCCTTTAAATGAATGGCAAGTCATCAGGCAATGTAATATCCCAGAACTTCTGAGCCCATATTTTTCACTCGCTCGGACAACTTCATGAGCCGGTACCGGGGTGTGACTTTGCCGGAGTCACTCGGCAATGGCGGGGCGGCTTACTTCGGCCGAGAAACATTTCTAAACCCCGATTACTGGTCTTGCCGGCGGCAAGGTAATGCAGCTTTCAAAGAACCCTATGATTCACATAGCGTGATCCGAACAAATTTTCGCCCTAATTATGCCATATCCTTCGTCCGAGAGAAAACGTAGAAAAATTATCGATGTCTTGGGACAGTGACCACCTTTGCCTGAGATTAGGCTAGTACCCAGACTCATTGGATGATATTTTTTCGCCTGGCGCAAAGAAAAAATTCCGATCTGCACAAAAAATTAGTCTCGCTCCCACCGTAAAAGTGATCTACCGCGCGTTCTCCGCAAAACGTGGGTACCACACAATACGCTAGAACGGATGGGAACGAGACTACGAAAAAAAACACATTTCGGCCTTGGGCACATGTCTGAAAGATTCGACAGAAAGAACTAGTCGAGTCATCACCAATCCCAGCAAAATCTCGAAAATTTGGAAATTGTGTCCGAGACTTTTGACCCTATTTTGACCTGAGCATATGACCTTCTCACCTATATTCGTGGGATTTGGTTTCTAGAGAGAGCCGTCTTCCAAGGACATCTCTTTGTCCCCGCAGCCTGAATCGGCCCTTCCCCAGTTCCTAATAGCGAGGGCCTGTCACGGGAGTCGTTAGTTGTCCTGTTTCTTCATCTTTTGCCCATTATTTGCCAATGTTTATGTTGCGGCCCTTCTACAAGAAAGTTCAATGGCTTATTTTCATCATGCAGTAGTCTGTCCTGCCCCAACACTCCCTCAGAATTAAACTCGATGAAGGATGAGTTACTTACAGCATGAACAAATATCGAGCTTCAGTTCGGTTTCAGCTTGGAGGAAATCAAAAATGTACTGTTACTCCTTGAGAGGTAATGCATTGTCATCCGGAACGTCCAAAGATGCGAAGACTGAACTGTCCTCATATCATCTACAACGGCATCTTCCCCCGTCAACGTTGAAGACCTTGGTGCCAGCCTGTAGCGCAGTGACGCTGCAGCTTGAGCAGAGCGTCTACGAGCCCAGCATGTGTTACAGGTAGCAAGGATGACGCCATCTTTCGTGAAGTCAGCCGCCGAGACCTGCTGACAACCGAAAGACCGCCATCTCATGCCTATATCCGTCGATTACAACCAGCCATCACTTGCCTTCAGCAACAGCTTGCGCCCGATGGCTGAGGCAAGGCAAGCGTCGTGTATAAGCCCCCTGAAGCACCAGACTTCTGAAAAATGTCTCTAGTGAGAATCATCTTACACTTTATACACTTTTCCCGATTTCTGCATGATGCGCAGCGCTTGAAACGGGGCCGTTTGGGTTACGGAAGTGAGCCTCAGGAAAACAACAGCAGCACAACGAGCAGGATCTTGTCACAGATATAACACAAATAACCAGCAATGTGCACCCTTGAGTGCGTTAAAAACAGGGTGGGCAAATGTTCTGGCAGTTGTCAAAGCTGCGGGTATGTGTAAACCTCGAAAGACGGGTCTGACAAACGTGACAAGAATGCGCCAAAGACATAGTACTGAGGATGAGAGGTATGACAGTCTCAGAAAACAGAATATTGGCCGTGTAAGAGACAACCAGTGTGCAGCGGTCGAAGGCAGAGGGCGGACTAGAGTCTAGAACAGTGGAATAGCAAGGTAGGAAACAAACAGATGATAACATAGTCATTTTCACCCGTTAAAAAGCAACACAAACATTCTTCATACGCGTAAAAACGACAGTTTCCGGAACCAAAGTGATACGATAAAAAATGGAGATACGACGCGACGAGGACGACGCCAAAACAAGTTATCAGGGGACCATGACATTTGTAGTTGTTTGGCACACCGCATCGGACTGGGATCACAAGTTAGCCAATTCCATTCACTTCGCTCGCAACTAGCTTACATTCATCGCCTACTGGAGTTCATACCTTCCCCTCTAGGCGGACTTAGCTTTAGCCCTCTTTGCCAAACAAGTTCCGGTGGCAGCGGGGGCGGTGGAAGTGGGGGCGGCAGTGCTAGTGGGGGCGGCGGCAGTACTAGTGGGGGCGGCGGCAGTGCTGCTAGACGCTGCTGAACCCGGACTGTAAATAATGACCTCAGTTTCAATACACCATGCGAGGAAATCACTACATACAGGCACTGAGAGTAATAAGCATTCAGGACGGTGCAAGTTGATCCGGACACACAAGTCGTGGCACCAGCTGCCGTAAATGTCAGCGCAAAATCATCCGGTGCAGCGGTTGGTGACTTACTCCATCCGATACCACCGCACTGGCCGTATACGGCAGACTGAGCTTGGACGAAAGCGGGAAGTACAGCGACGAGAGCAGCAAGGACGGAGATTTTGAACATCTTTGCGAATGACTGGATGAAGTACTACGATGTAGAACGACTCTAAGGAATCTGACGATGATTCAACTGGCTTTATAGGACTCGATGGCCATTAGAACCTGACGATGTTGTACTAGTAGTTCCGGTGTTCAACCGACTGCAATAAACGGAGAGACGTCGGTACGGAGCAATGGCTTGTGGCCTCAGGCCTCAAGGCTCGTATCATACCATAGCTAATCATAGTCGGTTAACCCACCGTGATCCTGCCAGTTCATCCGAATATGATGTTAACCCTGTCGCAAGGGGTCTTTAAAATTGTCGAATCATCGATGGACACACACAAGATTCATTGAGCCGAAGGGGTACCGCCGGAAGAAATCGCTGTCAATCCCTGACAAAGGCATCCCGACATAAAATTTTGTTGTGTAATTGGGAATCCTGTCGGCAACTCTCGGTTCTTTATCGGCGAGACAGTTAGACAGCATGGACAAGGAGAGGCAGGTGATAGGTGGCTGCCTGGCAGCGCCGGGAAATTGGAGCCGTTCCAAGTTTTGTATGCATGATCAACAGGTCACGGTATGGAATACTGTCTGGTGAGCATAACCCCAATAAATGCGGACGAAGTTATGGCGACATCCAGGATTTATGATGATAAGTCGCCTTATCTGAGGATTGGCGTCACTATCCACGTGAGCTTTGGATTTCAGCCATGTTTTTCCTATGTGGCGCTTTCCAACTTGTAGCGGTGTCTCGAAGTTAACGTTCATTAAGGGCGCGGAATAACAGTAGGCGGTCCGAATCCCTCGTAAATTTCTTTTTAAAGAAAATGAATCATGTTTCCGGACTGGCTCAATATCACGCTGAAATTGGACATGTTGAAGTTCAGTTCCAAGATTGAATTCGTTATGAAACGCAGTCAAGTAGTGAACGATTAAAAACGTGTCAAGGATGTGCAGAACAACGTCAAGATATCAGAATGAAGGGTTGGCATTGGTCACCAAATTTTCGAAGTAGGATTGGAACCATGCCCCAGGTTCCGGGGTATCAGTGGCAGCATCGCTGCGCGATGGACATGAGCTAATAGGAAAGAGAGACACGCGGAAAACTTACGACAAGTCAAAACTAGAGTTATACCTGGAAGAGATGGTGTGCTTGTTCCGTCAGATTCACCTGGTGGCTTAACCCAGACAATAGCGTCAGTGAGTCAGAGCCTGTATCAGTGGTGGGACGTGTTCCCAGTCCAGCGCCAACGACGTTACACCAGTCGCCCAAGCATTACGAATATCTTGTTGATCGGAACATCCTTGATCAACCATAAAATGGGCGGGAAAGGAAGTGAACAGAGGAGCCAAGGGCAGTGAAGCTCGTAGAGTCCGGACGTGACAGGATCCGCAGTTGTGGCGCTGGGACGGTAATCAATTTAGGGTCTTGAGACAGATTACCAACCTAAGGGCGTTGTAATTAGAGACGTCTGTTGCTAGCCCACGAACATATTCGGGAGATCCAGCAGCGGTGTATAGGTCGTTGAAAAATCAGCTGTCGGACTCAGGTTGACGGGCCAGCCCAGCCATCCGGCGTGGCCTGCATCAAGGTACATACAGATTCCGACAGAGCTGAAGCTGTTGCATGGCGTAGGTAACTCCCTCCTAGTAACCATGTGTGAAGGCGATTCAGGCCAGAAGGATCAAAAGTGGGTATTACAGACCCTATAGGCATCTTCTGCGCCGGAGCATTTAGAAACACTTAAATTCGTGACTAGATTGGCCAACGAATCGGACTCAATGACAGCAACAACACGGACATCAGTATATTCTGTTGGCTAAGTAAAGTTCACGGATGTTTGAGCGCCGGAAAATCACGTACGAGAAGCCTCTTCAACGATTTGGTCGATGTAATTTTTGTACTTGTTCAGACCATCGTCAGCAATGCTAAACTCTCCATTCGAAGCCAATGCAGCACAGTCACGACCTGCGAGGACGTAAACGACAATCTGAACCAAGTAGTTGGCGACTTCCGATTCCTGCAAGCATTGAGCATCCGCGAGATAGGTTCCCAAATCAAATACCTTTGAGACGAGGTCGAACCAGGTAAAAGTCGAAATTTCCGCGACAACCGAGACATTTGCCGGTGATTGCAGCAGCTACAGGTTGGACTTCAGGAGCATAGCAAGGAGGCACGTGGACCTTTATGATTGATTTCAGAAGCAGCAACGAAGGAGGACACTCACCTGATTCAGTCCGTACGAAAGCTGGTAGAATGGAGAGAAGCGATGCGAGCATATAGATTTTTCCGAACATCGTGATGTCAGAAAAAGTACATTGAGTTAGCTGCTCAGCTACTAAAGCTCCAGGCAAATTATAACATGCATAATAATCATGGATGAGACGCTGCGTCGCAAAAATTCGGTATCTGTCCTACTGTAACGAGCGGGTAGACGCCTTGAAATGTCATAGTGACAGCGGGTACCGTGAAGTCATGACCGTGCCAGTTTGGACCTTCTCCCCGCCCAAAGCTAAGAATCACTATGATAGAAGGAAGATAAACGTAGTATGCTGCGGAAAGAGTTGACTCACAGAAGCTGGAATTCGCCTCTGGTCAATGGCAGAAGAAATTCGGGGCAATATCGGAAGCATTCTCACGATACAACAACTAAGAAGGTTCCCATAACATTTCACCGTCTGCTCGGAGAAATGTCATCCAGTGAACTAGAAAAAAAAGCGTCGAATACAATGCAGCCTTTGATCAGTTCTGTCCGCCTTGGTCGCAGTCCAAATTGCATTGTGGAAGAATGGTTCAACGCAGGGTCTGAAATACGGGGCAGTTGCTTACCAGAGATTGCTGTAGTCAGGGACATTAATTGGCAATCGTCAAACGTATTCGTCGAGTCGTAGAGGTCCAGCAAATCAGCGTAAAACTATTGTTACTCAACAATCGAGTTTCTCGATAGTAGCAAAAAATTAGGCGATAAATGGAGCCTACGTGTGCCTGTCCTCAGGTGGTGCAATGTTGAGTCAGACACGTCGTGTAGAGAATTCCTGGAGCCCAGACATTACGTAGATTCCTAGGCGGAATGTTATCCGTGAAATGATTCGATTGTTTCCAAGGTTTAATCTGGGCACAGCTCGCCCGTTACAATCGTGATCTTGAAACGTTAACAAGTCCTTAGATTACTATTAAATGTGAAACATACCTTGCGAAGTATAAGTTACAGATGGACGATCTGCAACCACTAACAGATTTGTAAGAGACGATGATGATCAAGTGTCAACATCATATTCCATCGCACAGGCACACCTTGTCCTTGGAACCAAGATTTAACGTCTTTGCGAGCAGTATTCTGTAAGTGGATACGATCCCCTGAGCCAATAGCATGAGGTAGCTCGTTATAAGTGAACAGCGTCATGAAACGATTGATTGCAAAATGACGTTATCCATTCAAAAACGTCTTAAATACATTTATGACCGTCTCTTCGAGCTTGGCGGAGGAGGTAGAAGCGGAAACGCGCCCCCAGCGGAGGTTTGAGATGATGACTGTGTCGTTGATCCTAGAAGATTGGTGTCTGAAGACACATGTTTGCTTCTACCTGGAATAGCAATCGTGAACGTTTCCCCTTCCTTGAGGCTGTAATCCTTTTTAGGACCAGCAGGTACATGAGGGGAGGGGATTTCTTCAACCTCGCTATGAGACGGATGGAGGGCTGCCCTGTAGCGCCTGAAGACCGGGATAAGCACTTCCGAGCAGCAACACGACCACATACTTTGAGTAATCTTGGAGGGCGACATCTGCAAGGAGATGAGAAGGCGAACACTAGCATCGCGTGACCTCTGACATACTGAAGTCAAAACTATCGGTTCTCTCGGCAAATCCAAGCCCAATGTAAGCCTTCTTTCCAGCATCCTCAATCCGAACAACAAAATATCGTGATGAATCAAGCACGGCTTCAACAGAAGGGCGATCAGGATCATATGCAGTCTTTGCGAATACTTGGAAAACAGTTAGAACCGGAGGTAGAGTCGTAACAGCGAACGTACATTCCCCTGTGAAGCTGTCAATTGTGGTACTCTAGGTGATGTTTCGACCTGCCGCACCTGTCTGGGCATCCTCAAACAGCAGGGATGCTCCAGATGACTTCTCCACGATTCTCAGACGTCCTTTCCACAAAGGATTGCTCAGATCACCCCATTCCATTGCGCGATGGCCTGCATTGACTTTCAAGGGCGGTATCTTGTATACTGAAGCCAGAGCGGTCGAGGCAGGCCCGACGAGAAGGATGCGACATTACTTACTGGATATCTCCCTTATGATGAAGAGGATGGACTCAATCTCGTCCTCGACGTCCATGGCGAAGTGAGGCGGTGGTGGTTGTGGTTAGGGTTCAAGACGTCACAAAGCTTATTATCTAATTTCATTTTGTTTATTTTTCCTCCGCTCCGGAAGGGTTAGAGCACATAGCCGGTCCTTTCCCCAAGTCGATCTCAGCGGACAGATAGCTAGCTCTTCCGAGTCCGGCTCCCATGTTGGTCCCGACTATCATCAAGGACATGTCTCAAAGAGGCGCCAGCGCACTGAAACGAACTCGACAGATAGCGTCGCACATGATGTCGACGACGACCGAGGTATGCTCCAGCTAGCTGTCGCTCTTCACGACCAGAGGATAATTTCAAAAATTTAGGATACAGTTAAATTTGAATCTCTTTCGGAGCTGCGGGCGTATACACTTAATCGGCCTGAAAAGCTCAATGCTCTCGACGAGCAAATGCTCGGTCTGCTGCGACCAAAAATCGAGGTGGATAATCTGCTCTTATGTCCTAGGATTCCGCTCACCGCTATATCTGAAGTCTTGGAGCAATTCTGATCTATGCGGAGTAATTCTGGGCAGAGGTACTGGGAGAGCGTTTTGCGCGGGTGGTGATGTTGCTAGTGAGCTAGATTTATTCTTTTCCGTTTCCTGTAGATCTGAATGAAGATCTTGTGCCGAGGCGTTGCGCAGAACGCGGCAAATCCTGAAACTAGGAAGCGCGCTATCAAGTTCTTCAAAGACGAGTACGTGGCATCGACCCTTGCCGTTGCTCTATTCCCATTCCAGTGACGTCTAGGTTTGAACTGGATTATTTGCTGGCAACTATACAAAAACCATACGTGGCTTTGATGGATGGCATCACGAGTGAGTGTCATTTTTTCGATGACTTCCCGTTCTGAAGGCGCGCGCTAGTGGGCGGTGGCGTTGGACTGTCTGCGCCGGCAACTTTCAGAATAGCCACCGAAAACACTTTGTTTGCTATGCCGGAGACTGATATCGGCTATTGCCCTGATGTTGGAGGCAGCTACTATCTTTCTAGACTTGATGGCGAAATAGGTACCTATCTCAGTTTGACTGGCGCGCGTCTAAAGGGCAGAGCGGTATTGTGAGTAGATTTTGCGGCCCGCGGCATTTTATTGAAAGCGAACGTATCAGCGAACACGGTCTGGCCACTCATTTCATTCCATCGCGTCGGATTCCCACTGTTGTTGAAGCCTTGGCTGGTGTAGAGGATGCCGATTACGACATTTCATGTGTCGATGTCAATGGAATTCTTGAGGAGAATTCCGGGGAACGTGAATCCGACGAACCATCTTCACTACTTGTTGGAGCTACACGCGTCGCTCTGGATTCCGCATTCCGTCACGATTCAGTCGAGAAGATTATAGACGACCTGACTACGTTCAAGTCCGATAAGGACGAGATGGTTTGTGGTTGGGCGTCCAAGACGTTGGAACTTCTGCAGCTCCGTAGCCCGACCAGTTTGAAGGTCGCTCTCGCGGCCATACGCCGCGGCCGCGATCTGGATCTATGGGAAGCACTCAACATGGAATTAAGAATAGCTACTGCTTATTGCGTGCGTTATGTTTGCCTCATATTATCGAGATGGAGTACATTAAAAATGTATCAGTCAGGCGCCAGTTCCGACTTCATTACTGGCATCACTGCTAAACTCATTGACAAATCCAAGGGACTACCACAGTGGTCTCCAAGCTCAGTAAAAGATGTGACGGACGATATCGTCTCGCGATTTTTCTCGGCCGAGTCTACGTTCCTTAGTCAAGCGCCCAAACTGTTTCTTCCGGAAAATGACGTAGCGACGGAGGATGGGTCTACGACAACTATGGAAGGCGTGGAAAGTGGTCAGGTTAAGAAAGGCAAGGAGGATATCGTGCCCGACGGCCAAGATCGCGATATAGGATCCCCTCCTGAATTCAGTGCTAAACCTCATGCGTACCATCGATATAGCCTTCCTACGGAGAAAGAAATCGAAGATATCATTCGGGGCAACGACATTGACTCACCAGGAACAGGATATACCATTGACGAGGTTGTAGAAAAGGTCTTTGAACACCACGATGGGAAAGTGGGAATCCGGGAGAAGGTGCTTGAGATTGTAGAGCGCAAGTGCAAGATTGTGGATAACGCTGATGGCAATTTTGTTTGGGTGAGCTGGAAGTAGACTTACATCTAGTCGATGAAGCGGATTCCTGATGAAGCTCCAATGTCACTGCTTACAATAGCTACACTCGATCTTAGCGCCACAACTTGTATTTTCGGAGTGTTTGTCTTCTTCTCATGGAGCAATTAGTAGCGAACGGTATTCACGCCGTGTGTACATGTAGATAACATTTTTAGTCATCCAAGCTGAAGCGACCGACCTTGTTTAAGCAAACGGGCTCAACGGAGAAGGAACGAACAAAAAGTGAGGAAAGAAGCCGGTGCCGTGATGTGAGAGAACGCGAGTTTCGTCTGACGCCATCTAAATAAAGTCGATGTGAGATGTGACTCAGACGGAGTACATTGACCAAGGGGAGAAAGCTGTTCACGTTGTTGTCTGAATGACTTGGATACTGTAGTACATTATCGGCTACTTAACGATACCGATAATAGATACCGTTAATGACTCAGCACTAATCCAGTCAGGATGAAATAGCACGCTCGGAGTATATTTCTGTTTATTAAACAAAAGGGCCGACAGAAGGAGAATGGTTCGTTATTTCATGACCCGCCTACCCAAGTTGCGAGGCTGCCGAATGTCGATGTCAACTACAATCGAACCGATGCGGTTATGTATGAAGCACGTGTTGAGACGAGCACAGCCACTGCTGTGGTTCTCCTCGTAAAACGGGAAGTGAGATCAGTAACGGAATTGCCCCATATCGTTTCGTGTAAATGGCTATTGGGGTAAGATGAAGGAAGGGTGGCGACCTGGAATCTTGAGATCTCAGGGTCGAGAGCCTCTCGTTCTACATACGTCCGGATCGCTCGTTTCCGATATACATAGTCGTGGATCAACGGAACAACTGGTACAGGTTGGGAAAAAATACAGCTGAAAATATGCCGTGCGACGTTTAATTATTGGTGATGTATGATGTCTCCGCTGCGCGAGGCTATATAAGCACCAAAGAAACAGCAGGTCAAACCCCATCTCAACCATGGAAAGATTACTTCATAGTTCAGCTTACCATTGCTCCACTGGCTCACCTCTCGACATCGTCTACCTCCTACCCTCTCCTTACCACCTTCTCAGGCGCGCCCTCTCACTTTTCAACTCGATGAGCAGCATCACCTCCCCTCGCAAGACCATCGACATAACCCGCTCACCCTCAGAATTCGACATCGACGATGAAACAGGCTTCATGCCTCACCAACCACTTCCCAAGCTTCCATCCAAATACGCCATATGGGAGCTAGCCTTATCCAACGCGTCCGAGGCCCTAGTCTTGGGTACAGACGATGGAGACGATGCCATGAACAAACGGCATAAGGGAGAAGCCTGGAGATCCAATATCAAATCGGTTAGTTCTTGACCGTCGAAGCATGAAACGCCGCTGATTGGAATTTTCACTAGTGGCTCGTTCTCGACGTAGTCGATCTGCAATCCGACAAGTTGTTGCTTCAGAGAGCGCATCACGTCCTCGCGTATCTACTGCACTACTTTGTGCACTCCATCCCATCTGAGGACGCGTCTGCGGTTCACGTACCCGAATCTCTCGCTGTTCCGCTTGTAGAAGTGTCCCGCCTCCTTGGAATTGCACCTGTCCTTACCTATGCCGACACGGTGCTATGGAACTGGGAACTCATAAATCCCGCGCAGCAACTCTCCATAGAGAACATGCGAGTGTTGGACGTGTTTTCAGGCACTGACGACGAGCGGTTCTTTCACTCCGTCAACTATACGGTAGAGCTTCGAGGCGTAGAAGCGTTGCACATCATAGACGAGTACAACCGGCTCCCCAATCTAGCCACGTATATCGCCACATCCAAAGTCGCTAGGGATTTGGATCGGTTGACGGGAATAATAGAAGATATCAGCGACATCATACAGTCGGTGCAGCCATTATGTGATCCGCACGTCTTCTATTGGGAGATTCGACCATGGTTTTGCGGAAGCGACGCCAGTGGTCCAGATGCAACGGGGTGGATATACGACGGTGTGCCGGACTGCCATCTTCTAGACCTGAGCGGCCCGTCGGGCGGACAAAGCGCGCTCATGCACGCGCTGGACGTTTTTCTCAACATCGACTTTTCACTACGCGAAAAGCGACTCCCAGCTCCTTCGGAACAGAACAAGGGCGGTGACGGCGGATTCATGAAGAGGATGAGACGTTATATGCCCGGACAGCACAGGGACTATTTGCTGCATCTGGCCGACACTCCGAGATCGGTGAGGGAGTTGGCGCGGAACACACCATCGCTTCGCGAGCCGTACGATGCAGCGGTCATGGCTCTAAAAAAGCTCAGAGATCTACATATGCGAATTGTCTGCCGGTACATTGTCAATATGTCACGGACGAAAAGAGAAATCCCGGCGGGTTGTCCGGTCAGCGCGATGATGGACAGGATGGACAGACAGAAGAGCCAGAATTCGGACCAGGCAGCAGTCCGAGGTACAGGTGGCAACGAGGTGTCGCGCCTCTTGAAGGCAACACGAGACGCTACCCGACGCGCCATGTTGAAGGATAACATTTAGCGGACGCCATCGGAGAATGATTGATATCTCTGATCATGGGGAGAATAAATGTCGTGATGACAAGCGACAAGTATCTAGGTTACAATGACTTTTGGGTCGTAGCTGGTAGCGATATACTAAAATTTTGTTAATAAATTTACGGTATAATTTGTGGTGATCAGGCACCAGAAAAAATTTTGGACGCACAGGTACATACAAAAAATTGATTAAACGTTCCGCTCTAGCACTTAACCGAAGCAGGGGATAGATGATAGTGTAGCTAAATTACGGTTGCTTGTCTGGTTGTTCCGTTCGTTGTCAATCGATTTTCGTGCAAGACGTCGAAATACGATATACGAGCAACGTGTCAGGTCGATGAGCAAATATGTCGAGAGAGCCTATTTGACGATGCTGTAATACTCGTTATTTTGCCACCGTCGCTGGGCGTCGAATTAGAGACATGTCGACATCTGGACTGAAGAAAAATTGCTATCACGTCAGCGAGACAGATAGATAAGTAATCGGCCAAGGTTCCAATTAGGAACATGAGGAGGATTGTCGATCCAGACGACAGTCTTCCCATGACTGTGGCGTGGGATACTACTCTGCGTGACTCGGCGCGTTTACTAGTGGTCACGCGCTTCCGTCGCCTGTCATTTTCACCACCATGTCCTTCAATCTCACTGCCAATGCTTGCTCGCACCTCACTCTGGCTGACATGGAAGATGACATTTTCCAGAGCCCAGTCACTCTTCAGGTCCTGTCTACCAAAAAAGTACCCCAATCCAAGAGCGTGCAGGCGCAGGACCGGTATCGTATCATCTTGTCAGATGGCATACACTACATCCAGGCCATGCTGGCTACCCAGCTAAACACACTGGTGGATGAAGAGACGGTGACGAAGAACACAGTGGTCATAGTTGAAAAGATGACCTGCAGTATTGTACAGGAGAGAAGGTACGCGTCTGTGTTTGCGTCGCGACATCAGTTAACACGCGTCCAGATTGATTGTTGTGCTAGAGGTCCGAGTCCTTGGCACTCCTTCAGAAAAAATTGGCAGCCCGATCTCACTCAACAAGGCTGACGATACCCCTGCCCCAGCGCAAGGAATCTCCAACGCGTCAACCAGTGAGATTTCACGCCCACAGCAGCCACAGCAAAAGCAGTCGGGGCAGCCTCAGCGGACCGGGTCTAACGGCAAATCGAATTGGCATCCTATTGAGGGTCTGAGTCCATACCAGAACACGTGGACCATCAAGGCGCGCTGCACTCATAAATCGGACATAAAGACATGGTCAAATCAGCGTGGTGAAGGAAAACTTTTCAATGTCACACTCATGGATGAAACGGGCGAGATTCGGGGTACTGCTTTCAATACTGTGGCCGATGACCTGTATTCCAAATTTGAGGAAGGAAAGGTTTACTATGTCTCCAAGGCCAGGGTCAATTTGGCTAAGAAGATGTTTTCGAACTTGGCAAACGATTATGAACTCGGATTTGAGCGCAATACCGTTGTCGAAGAGGTATGTTCTGTGGTGCTTTGTGTGATTCTGCTCTGATGCTTGTAATAGTGCCTTGAAACCACAGGTCTGCCGATGGTGAAGTACAATTTCGTACCGCTTGCCGGTCTCGAGGATATCGCAAAGGACGCCACCTGTGGTAAGTCATTTGATTTGCACAGCTTCTTCGTTAAAGTTCTGGATACATCTATCAGATGTCATTGCTATCGTGAAAGAGGTTGGTACCGTCAGTGAGATCGTATCGAAGGCGACTTCCCGGGCTGTAAGTAGGCCTATCGGTATCATCCTTTGATGTGTAGAACTCACGGATACTGTTGACAGACGAAAAAGCGAGAGTTGACTCTTGTTGATCAGTCGAACTATTCTGTTCGTCTCACCTTGTGGGGCAAACAGGCTGAGCAATATCAACATGAGAACGAACAGCCTGTCATTGCATTCAAAGGAGTCAAGGTTGGCGATTTTGGCGGTAAGGATCGCTTTCTGCAGCGGTGGAGTGAAATGGGCTAATGTCATGTCATGTCAGGACGCTCACTTTCCATGGTCAGTTCATCCATGATGTCTGTCAACCCCGATATGGAGGAAGCATTCAGTCTCCGGGGCTGGTATGATAATGAAGGCAAAGAATCGACGTTCCAGGCCCACAACAGAGGTAGTGCTGCAGGCGGTAGCGCCGGTGGTTTCAACCGCTCACAGATACGAAGCCTGCTAGAAGTCAAGGAGTCTGAAATGGGCCTGTCTGATAAAACCGAATACTTCTCCACTCGTGCGACCATCATGCACATCAAGTCCGACAACATTGCCTATCCAGCATGTCAGAATGAGGGGTGTAACAAGAAGGTTGTTGAAAATGGCAAGCAATGGCGATGTGAGAAGTGCGACCAGAACTTTGATAGCCCTTCTTACAGGTGAGGTTATTCTCGAACGCTGTCCGTCTGACTGACCGTTCTCATGATTAGATATATCATTTCCATGGCTGTGGCTGACTGGTCTGGTCAGGCATGGCTTAGTGGCTTCAATGAAGTTGGTCAAATGATCTTTGACATGTCTGCAGATGCGCTGATGGCGAAGAAGGTAGGCATCTTTTATGGGGAGTGCTCCCCCCTGCCCCCACTGATAATTCTTGTCGTTACAGAACGAGGACGATTCTCATTTCAACGCCATCATGCACCGAGTAAATGGTGCAACGTACAACTTCTCTTGTCGTGCCAAGCAAGACTCGTATAATGTATGCCTGTTCGCCATGATTTTTCTTGCTTCTGTTGACGCGGCCTTCCATATAGGACACAGTCAGAGTGAGATACGGCATCTCGCGGATCAACAAGCTGGATTACAAGGAAGAATGCAATGCCCTACTTGATCTGTTGAATACTCCTTGGGCAAGCCGGTCCGTGGCGTAAGTTGGATTTAGTTATACTCATGTGTTCCTTTGCTACGAATCTGTAATCAAATGTACTATTAGCTAGATTCGTTACATGGATTTTCATTGTTTTGTTATTGTGCGGCACTTGAGGGGAATTGATTTCATAAGTGCAGTTTTCCCGTGGTGACGGCCCGCTGTTTGGTCCAATTGTGGACGTGTGCCTCTTTCTGCCACTACTCTCAACACCGTCGGGCGCGTCTCTATCTGGTTCCGTAACTACTCCGGGATCCATACACCCTTATTCCTTACTACTCCCATTCATCTCTCGCGACAACCACAGTACTTTCCATAGTTTTGTCGCCTTTTTTCTTCAACGGACGCGACTTATTCTATCATTCAACATGGCTGCGAAGACCCCGTCGCGTTACGGACGGTCGGCTAGCCCTGGACTTACACCGGGAAGACGCGTTACGAGCCCAACGTCGTTCTCGACTTCAAGCTATTCACCTACAATCACCGGCGCGCAGAAGCTGAACGTCGTGACTCGGGTCACGATTGAGGGCAAGGCACATAGAGACAAAGATGCAGCGAACATTAAGATGTACCTCAAGGTGCGTGGCGCTGTGCTTGGCCGCTTTTTTTCTGGTTTCTGAACGCGTTTTTTTAGATGTCCATACCCTTAGACCAAGTTGAGCCCGGCACGACTATCCCATTGTTTCCTGGTACGTCTGTTCGTACCGTCTCCTATCGCGTAGAATGACAGACCACATTAGAGGAGAATATCAAGGTTTCACTATCTCAAGTGCATCCTCTCGACAACAACTCTGTCCCGTATCACTTTTCTTCCGCTGTGTCGCCGCTCTTGAATAATGCCGCTCGAGCCCTGAATCTTCCTGCGAGGTCTCCAGAATCATTCAACGAAGCGTTCAATCTATCCCCGAGCGTCATTAACGCCTCGACATCAACTGCTTCCGCTCGATCTTCAAAAGGGAATACATCGAGCGATGCTCCTGGGGTTGTGGACGAGCGGTATACCGGCAAGATTCTCGTCAGCGGGTACAATATATCCTACGTTCTCCCCAAAGCATTCCCCCAGTCCTCTGAACCTCACTCTCGGATCTCGTTTGGAAGTCGCCGCGGGTCCGTTGGTGATCGGAATCACGTCCAGTTCATGGCCGCCATTGAGCTGATGGTTCCGTACGTCTCACGACCACCGCGAGCCCCGTATTTGGTGCGTGCTCGAGTCTCAATAGGTTTCTATCTTCTGAGCCACGAGTAAGTAGCTGTCCATACCAACTCCCCGATGCCTACACAATAACATCAAGCTACGGATCTTTCCTCCCCGGGATTCCTTGGCCTCCACAGCGTCGCTCTCTGATGATGATGCGGGGTCGTGGGATCTTACGTCTGATCCCCACGTCAGTCGCCCCACGCGCACGTCCCGTACAACTTCGTACAACAACTTTGCAGACGATGAGTCCAGTGATTCCTCTGCCAGTGGCCTTCTCGAAGGTATTGGTATCCAGGGCACATTTCCTAGTGCGGAGAGGATACGAGTGAGGTAAATCATTTCAGTGCATTGATTCAGGTCTGCCACCTGACTAACGCTCTCCAAGGTGGGCGAAACCTTTGAAGAACATTGCCAATGGAGACTCAACTGGACGGTGGCAAGTCGGAACAAGAGAGGTCCAGGGTGCGATGATTTGCACTGTGAAAGGGAAAATGAAGCACCCGGACAAAGAAGGTGTTGAAGGAATCACCATGGACGTGGAATACAAGGGAACATGCAAAGGCGTCTGGTTCCCCGGCGTTGCTACTCTCTTGGGGATGGACGTTGGTCTAGTTTCGAAAGGCTCCGACGTGTCATGGGTGACAGGCTACCCTAACAATTGGCAGGTTACGGGCGGTACCGGTTTTACAGGTTTTGACGTAGGTACACCTCCGTCGACTGATGACCAACGACATGATTCCTTTGATTCCAACTCATCTCATGCTGTGCTCTCAGCAATGGCAGCCAAAGAGTCCACCAAGGCAAACTCCGCCTCTTCATCAACGTCATCACTGCTCCGCGCACCCTTACCCGTCCAAAATGTTGCTGACTATTCCTTTGAGGGATCCGCGTCTGCCATATCATCATTACCTTCAACAGGTGCGTCAATGGCGGGCCTTTCCGCGTCGGAATCAGTACCATCACCTCCACCCAGTCAAGCTATCACGTTGCACATCAACATGAACGAACTCCCCTCGCGTAACACGTTCACATTCACGATCACCGGCACCATCCTTATAACCCCCAAAACACCCGGAACGCCATCTCCTATACCATCAGGAGACGAGTCTGAATCAGATCCTGAACCTGTTCTGCTCCCTGGATTCACTGTTTTCGGTACAGATTCCGAGGTTATTTCAATTATTGTACGCAACGAGATCGATCGGGGCAGCGCCAATGTGGAGGTGTACAACTCCACGGGTGATTACCGGCGCGATGCCCAAGTACGCAAGACGGTGCTCCAGAAAGGCGGCCACACTAAGTGCGGTGATGGTGGGGGGAGGATTGCCCTGCGTAGTGTCGCGGTTAACGGCAAGCTGCCTCCCAGCCGTCCACGAACACCCAGCAACCAAGGACATCTAAATAACTCGCACTCATCTTCTCCCGCGCTGCTTATGAAAATGCTCTCTTCAATGAACCAAACCAAACGGAATATGCCTGTGATTATCCCATCCGTAACTGCAACGGTTACGCCACTTGTGCTGCGAGAGAGCTCGCGTCTCAGTGCTTACGCGGTACGGGTAAGTCTAACCGCATTGGCGGATCCGGATTCGGAGTGGTTGGAATTTGGACTAGGATCTCTGGGGCAAACATCTTCTTCGAACAGAAAACGACTGCCAAAGGTGGATCTTGCGTGCGTTAGCGTAGAAGGTGTGCCTGTAAAGTACGAAGCCACTGCTGCTGCCAAGCAGGAACAGGATGGTGACGTGCCATTCGAGCAGATGAGCGGGAAGGAGTGGATTAGCTGGGTTCGAGTACACATCGGATCGATGAACGGTGGTTCCGTTGTCGTGGACTATGTCGTAAAGGTGGATGACGACGGCGCGGGGAAGGGGAAGGGGAAAGCTCGAGAAGACGCGCAGTTCGATGTGTTTCTTCCCACGTTTGCGGTGCCGATTGGGAGGCTGGAGGTTATTGTTGAGGATGTCCCTGGTATATTTCATGTTTCCCCAGAATTCTTGTTGTGCATCGTACTGATCTTCTCACAGGACACGGGATTACCTTTTTGGATTCGAATCTTCGGTATCGTCAAGCCAGACGTCGCCTATTGCACTATTCTGGCGAGGAATTTTTCTATCCCCACCTTAGATTGATATTGGATTCCTCCCCTTCGAATAGCAGCCCCCTATCGTCCTGGTGGAAATCAGGGCTATATATGTGTTTAATATCCCTGGTCGTTTCGTGTGCCTTTTTCCTACCACTATCCTCCGAGCTCAGACGCGTTGGCCAATCCTTGGACGGCTACTCGTTTGTTCCAGGCTCCCATTGGAACGATGAACCTAGGCCTGTAATCGTGACTACCACTGTGTATTCGAATACGCGACAGTGGATCGCTGACGAGTCGGCGACTCCGGAACCATCAAGCAGTGAAGATATCTATTACGCTTCGCCCACTTCGTCTATTACCACCACCACCACCACTATCACTGCTACCGCCTCTGAAATCAAAATACCCAGGCCAGAAACACCACCGCCTCAGGCTACCTGGGAATCGACATCTTCGTCGTCTTCCCAAGGCCTACAACTTGACTACGACTGGGCATCCTGGCAAACCCTTCTAGCGATGTCTTGGGGGGATCTACATCCTCTTCGAGATAAGCTTGTAGAAAGCCTAGAGTCTCTCTGGCAGATCTTCAGGAAGGCGTATCACTATCCTTTACCACCTCCATGACACTTTTTATTCTCAGCTCTCGATGTGTTGTTATGTTTATAATGTGATTTATGTAGAATGTACTGAGGCCTAATATAACGATTTTCTTGGGATAGTATTTATATATAATGGCAGTTTTGTTTATATCCTCTTCAGCCGTCTACTACAGACTTCCTCGCGTAAGCGTGTTTTCTCTGGCAACATTTTCTGTCACACCTGATCAATATTCTTCTCAAATATTGTCATTGCCGAGCTGATGTGTTATCTCACGTCCTCTTCGCCGTGTAAAATTTCGCAAGAGCGCATCGAGTTGCTGCCGGAGATCAAATTCCTGTTCCAAAACTTGTCAACCGATTGCAACATCAATTTTCGTGTTCGAACGGACAGGTCAAACCAGACAGTTTTTGTGTTCGAGTGAACAACATTCAACGTTCAACGGCAGAGCAGACTTGGGTACAGCTTCCTATACTAGAGATCGTGCGATCTAATCTCGCTTGCAAAGGTTATCCGTTCTAGCCAGAACTTGGTAATCGAGAGGCGACGCGCGCTTAGTGTGAGAATCGAAAGGTGCAGCATCAATAGCAATGCGAATACAGCTTTCTTTCTGCATCACATTTACACTCTTCCATACAGCTTCTCATGTCTAGTCCACGGGAAGACGATGAAGCATCATGGAACAAGTCGGAAGAGAAGATAGAACCCATTGAGGACTCAAAATATTTGCGATGGTGGAGGAAATGTAGATGAGGCTGGTAAGGACTTGGACAAGGAAGAACGGGAGAAGGAGCTAATCGATGAGGCGAGTATACACAATGCTGTTAAGCCTTCGAATCTCGCGAAATCCTCCAAGGCGAAGAAGTCTTTCGGGATGCACAGAACGCGACTACAGCGAGGAGAGGTATCATATCATCATTACATTCATAGCGGATATCTATGGATTTTGTTAGTCAATGACCCATCTAACTACGAAGACAGGTTCCCCGAAGATCCCATGTATGCAGAGACAGCGCGAAGGGGAAAAGGAGAACGCGATACACGATGCGAACATGGTCGAAGAATCTCGGGATAATGTCGATGTTCCCCTAGTTTTTGTGAGTGAACGTCTATTGTCTCTTCTGTTGCCGAGAGTCGCTGTAGGCTGGTCTTTTCTCGGCAGTCGTCACGACCTTCGTTGTCCAAACGATCCAGAGCCTGAAAGCTGATTATGCTCAGATCTCGGCGTCTCTTCTCTTCGAATTGGTGCTCCTTCAGCGTGCCATCGCCAATGGCTCCACCGTTGACACAGTCCCGGCCTCTTCGCTCAACCCTCAGACTGTATTTGTATCCACTGCTATCGATGTCTGGGTGAATGGCTTGTATTTCACGAGACTATTTCTCAGCCTGACAACTGCATTGGTCGCCGTTCTCGTGAAACAATGGCTGCATCATTACGTTGGCCTTCCCTCTGGAACTCCGCGTAATCGATGCTTCGTTCGACAATACAGATATCTGGGATTCCAGGATCATCGTTGGCCTGCTACCCGTTCTCATGCATCCGGCTTTAGCGCTATTCTTCATTGGATTGTCATTGTTCCTTCATCCCCTTCGAACTGCTCTTTCATGGGCTATTTGCACGGGAATTGTAATGCTAACTGCGGCATATACGATCGTGACCATTCTTCCTATGTGTTTCCCGCGATGTCTATACCGCACCCTGCTCTGCGATCTCACCTATCCTCCATATGTTTACATCACCTCCTTATTTCAGAAGTACTACAATCGACTGCTTCAGCTCTTGAAACACACACTTAAGAAGAAATTGGTGCCAGTGGATCATGGCAAGGTGAAGCCAAACTCCTTGAAGTAGCGCGAGCTTGATGTGGTGGAGAAGGCATCAATTCGATTATCGGTCGAAGCGCTGCATTGGCTGTTATCCGTCTCGTCAAACCCTGCGGTTCAAAACATCGTTGTTGAATCCATAGGCGGGTTGCCCATGGAATGTCTAGCAGAAGCGGATGACATTTTCCGTGGCAATCCATCAATTGTTGATGTTGCATAGGAATCTACTGTTGTCGCTGACTGGAGATAACAAGACTGAGATAGCGAAGGTACCATCGGGCATGGAACGTAAACTTGAGCATCTTCTTCGCTCTAGCATGGTCATTTCTGAGGCGGAGCGTACGTGGTTGAACATAGAGGCGTTGAAAGCAGGTTATTTAGCGCAGCGGTGAGTGCCAGGACTGGAGATGAAGGTCAAGAGCTAGTGGTATTTTGACAGGTATACTACGCACCTGGAGACGAAGGTCAAGAGCTGAAGAGCTGACCTTTGATCCCCAGTGCGTGCTAAGCTACGATTACATAATGTACGTAGACTAGTCGAAGGTCGTTTCTCAACAAGAGGTTCCAGACCAACTGGGCCGAAATGAGTTAGGTGCTACTGTCGTTCCCCAGGTTCCAAAGTTGTCTTATTTTCCTTGGAAGCTGTGTACGCCCAGTGTGTTTCTCTGCAATACCCTTTGCCTCCAGACCTCAGCGAAGTTTCCTCCCCTCGTCTGGGCGAACCTCGTGCAGGATGCAACAGCCGATTGTGACCCCGACCTCTTTGATAGTCACAACAAATTCTCACTCAACCTTTGTTCAGCCGTGACTAGTCTCCTTGACCAAAATACGCCAAAGCAGCAACTATTTGCCTCACCACTTGTTGTTGACTTTCAACAGGCGGTCGGGTGCTTTCCCGAGAAGGCGGTCAACTATTTGGTGTATTGACTCTCGCCATTCGATCTGTTTCATTACGAGCACATTGAGTGTCGAGTGTTGGCAGCTTCTACCCATCTCATCATCCAGAGGCTTTCACAATTAGTGGCAAGTACAGACGTTTCTGACAGCCCAGAAACCCACTTTCTGAACTCGGTGTTCCTCACATTGAATAAATGGAATCGCTTACCAGGAGTGGATGAATTTGTTCAGAAGCTACTTGAGTCGGTTATTATGAACTCTCCCATTTTCAGCCAGGATCCAACCGATTCAAAGTATGATAATTGCTGTCATTGGGTCCTAGACTCGCCTGTCCTTCATTTGCTCATCCCTTGACTTCTTGGCGCGGTGTCTACAATCACACTTTAGGCCTACATATGCTCTATTTTATGAACGACCATGTCTAACGTTCCTTGCGACGCAGCCGGTCTCTTTATTGTCGGCATTGTTTTTCCGTGCATATGTCTTTGGCATTACCGATTCCTGACGATCTTCACAAGCCTGAAAATCTCTTTTTTGTGTCTTCTACCTTGGCCATGCTAACTTATCATTCGGTAGTTGCCTCCTTCGCTTTCTCCTGACGTTACTAAAGACCCTTTTTAGCCAGCTTCACCGCAACCTAAGCCTCGGTTAGATCGCATAGGTCAGCTTTTACCTTGGCGTCGACTGCAACAACAGGATAGACAACTTCGATTGACCAAAGGTGTTTAGTTGGTATCACTAAGATATTTACCCTAGCACTATCTTAGGCTTCAATTTTAAGCCTGTGTTTGTTTCAAAAATCTACAGCCTTGCTACAAGCAGACCGTCATCCAAAATAGATGCGTCTTTCTACTGCACAGATAACATTTCTTGCATATAAGTTCCGAACAGTACGAAATAACGGAACTGAATTTCCTAACTTACAATATAACTCCCATCATTTGCTGCAACCTGAAGACCGCCAAATGGAAGTCTCCACTAGTGAACAGCAAAGAAAAGAGAGGCCCACCCAGCCAGAGTGGCCAAAGTGGGACAGGAAAATATTTCGACGGTGCATAAGCCTGAGCCTATACAAGCCGCAGACACCCTCTGCGGACAGGGTCGCCGTGCTATGGAGGATCTCCACGGCCCACGAACCCGGGTACGTGAAGGGGCTTGTGCCATCAAGGTAAGTATGAGATGTTCAGTTGCTCGCGCTTGCCCTTTATACCTCTAGCATTGCGCACGGACCATCTAGTCATGTGAAGCCACTCTCGGAGTGCTCACTCAGCCACTCAGGCTTGCGGTTTGTTTCATTTTAAAATGAAAACAAGCCTACTGCAGAATGTATGAATAAAAAAATTAAATTGAACCCACCAAACACTTATCTTTTTTATCACTCTATTGCTATATCCATGCGCATGGATAATAGTTATTGAAAAAAACGTGTATACGAAAGTATGAAGGGATTCAAATGCCAAGGTGCTCTAACAAAGGTCCTAATGCCGCAGGCAGGTATACCATATTTTCAAAATAACTACGATCTCCAAACCTAGTTTCGACCGATGAGTTATAACCCACTCGATTAGTCTGCGAAGAAATTAATATACAAGGAACAGGATGGTTGAGACACAGACATATTGACTCTTTGTCCAGCTTGACATGAATTGATGCATGGCTCCCGGACTTCACACACACACACACATTCCTGGTACTACGCGTCAGGCTCCGTCTTACCTTCTTAATTAGTATCTTCTTACCGGGTACAGCAGATTCTATGAACGATCCCCGTTTATAGGCTTCGAAACAACGACGAGTATTTCTACCTGGTGTTGGTGTTAAAATGGGCCCCACATGTACTTCTCCGAGACTTGAGCTAGATTTATAGCATGATGAAACCATCAAGTAAGTTGGTAATGGTCATATGCTTGATATTGATCTACGTCCCACATCTCGCCGACACGATACGTACTCGGCATTCAGTCAGCATAAAGCGGACGATCAACGATAGACAAGTTTCTATTCACCACCGAAATGGCTTCAGCTCCATTCACTGTCTATCGCATGGCCGTATGCTTGTACAATGGCGTCACATCGCTCGACTACCAAGGACCCGTCGAGCTTCTGGCGCTTCGAAGCACCCCGATTCGCAAGATGTTCCCAGACTTGCTCGGTGCGAACGAAACCAACTGCGCCATCGATGCGACATACCTTGCCAACACCCTCGATCCCATCGTTCCTCTAGCCGGCCCCAAGGTCTTGCCCGACCAGACTTATGATGATGCCAAAGAGCAGTTTGACATTATTTTCATTCCTGGGGGTGCGTGTTCAGTTCGCAAAGGCGTGGACCAACAATTCAAGTTGCACGATTCCTGGCAGGAATAATCGGCAATGGCAAGACAGAACACAGCCTGATGAACTTCCTGAAGAGACAAGGGCCGCATGTCAAGTATATTCTGGCAGTTTGCACTGGGTCGTGGATCCTCTCTAGCACAGGGCTTTTGGACGGAAAGCGTGCTACATCGAACAAGGCCATGTTCAAGGCCATCCAGGTGGGTTCTCGGATGTAACGCCTGCCCAGTTTCGATGAAACCGTCGTCTCCATAGGAAGACACCAAAGATCTCCCGATAACATGGATCGCCAAGGCTCGATGGGTCGCTACAGAAGACAAGAAAATCTGGTCGAGCTCAGGTATCACCGCCGGTAAGGATCCGTCGTAATCAAAGGGGGTACTGCAGTCCTGATGTCGCGACAGGAACGGACCTGGCGTACGCATTTCTGGAGCATATCACTGGTAAGGGACCTGCGGAAGCTTCTGCAGGGTTGTTGGAGATGATGGTCAAGGGGGAGGGAGACGATCCGTTCGCAGCCAAGTATGGATTAGTCTGAAGGGTCGCATCCTTTGTATAAATAACTGTACTTACAGTAAATTTTACTGATATCCTGCAAGCTACCACCAGGTCGGACATTGAGCAAACATACTGAATTGTCAAAAAATCAACATCAACATCGATATCGATGCCTTGCTACTCGCTCGAACATCCAACGTGAATGCCCAACAGGTGCTCCGCTTCTCTTCCTACTGGGGACTGGTAATCGACGACGTTCTTCTGATGGACGCGAATCATGTATAGCATAAGGATAAATAGGTGAACATGCTGCAGAAAAAGGTGATCAGCTGCCTACAGCAAGAAGCCAGTTGATAGTATCTATATGTTGTCAGCCAATCACAGCAAACCACCTCCTGCTTTCTCTGCGTCCTGGTATCCTACTCGTGGTTCTACGTTGACGTTGCCTGCCCTTCTTCCTAATTATTTTCTCGGGTCTTGTGTGAACTTACTGGTTATCCTTGACCATGGCGTGCTTCTCGGCTATTATTGGCCCAGGAGACTTGGCCGTACACTATATCCCAGTGGTGCGCATTCTCATTCTCTATATAAATTTCCTGCTGCTTATTATCTGCTTGTCAGTGGTCTCATCGAGAATGCATATTGGTTTCTTAGCATTTTGATAGTTTTACTGGACGCAAAATATCATGCTGCTAATTGCCGAGACGTTCATTGATTGTGGAGACGAGAAGTCCCGCTGTCCCAACGTACTCGCGTGAGATATATATACCACCAAAGTAAAGATTACCGTCCTTTCCCACCTCGCCATGAGTACAAGCTCTACTCATTCAGAAGCCAACGGTTCAGTCCTCTTGAGTCCATCCCTGTCGTTCAGCAGCTCCAAGGTTTTCGATGTCAATAGACTCTTTCCCGAGGAAAAGCCTGGATGGAGGGGGTATGTATTTACTCCACCATCAGATACGATATACTGATATCATTCCAGATATGTCGAGTGGGAGAAGTACCCCAACCGCAAAGCCGTCGCGTCGCACATACTCGAAGCTCACCAGTCCGAATTCACGCAGATTCCAGGTATTAGCGTCAATGCCACATCTAAACTGCAGAACTAACACCGTTTACAGAATTTCAGTTTGTCCCCCTTCCTAAAACCAATCCCATCTTGATCGGATACCGCTGGAAGGAGTATCATGAACTCTTGGGTTTGAAGAACATCGTGGACTTTAGCTGGGAGACCGTGCTCAAGGAGAAGCCTGACATTATCCACTTGTTGGATTTTCCGTACAATGGAGAGACGCGACGCGATCAGCTGCTTTCTGGAAAGATTACCGATAACAAGTGGCATTTGTAAGTGTTTTCGTCTTTGCGCTCTTCCTTCAAACCTGATATATGGGCCAGTATTCGAAACCATGGAGGCATTCCGGATATTGATGAAGACGCGTTCGAGCTGGAGATTGGTGGGTTCGTCAACAACCCCGTCAAACTGAGCATGAAGGATATCAAGGATCCATCCAAATTTCCGTGCGCACGTAATATTACGAATGATCTATCCTTCTAAATCCTTCCTTTAGACAGACCGAAGTGATCGTAACATTGCAATGCAGTGGAACGGTAACCATACTCCAATTACCGTTGACAGAGTCTAACACCGATCTCTAGCGCCGAATCGAACAGATTAATCAGTATCCGGGAGATGGAGACGAGCTCATTAACGCACCATGGGGTAAGTTTCTAGCTTTCTAGTTTTGTTCTGTCTCTAATGGTTTCTGGTCCAGGTGAGGGCGCCATGTTGGTTTTCTAGACTTCCCATACGGTCGCATTCGTTGATTTTTTCCCCTAGCGGGACTGCTGTATATCGTGGCGTACCATTGAAGAAAATCTTGAAAAAGGCCTGCGGTGGTGTCCTACCCGAGTGTCAACATCTCGAATTCATCGGCGCCGATACGTATTTCAAGTACGTGCATTCCTTTTAACGATTACACTGTATCCACCTTTCAACAGGAAGAATAACGTGTTCAACTACGCTGTCTCAGTTCCGTGGAAAAAGGTCCGGCAGAATGAAGAAGTACTCTTAGCTTGGGAGATGAACGGCGAGCCGCTACCCAAGTCTCATGGTTTCCCCCTTCGCCTTGTCGTCACAGGTTATATTGGCGCTCGGAGTTGCAAGTGGGTGTACAAGATCAATGCTCTCGCCGAACCTAGCATGGGCCCCGTCCAAAGGCAAGAGTATCTATACTACACTGCGCAAGTAAGAATCCTACTCGACTTCCTTTGGCGGATGCTAACCCGTTCGGTAGATTGGAAAACAGAACGCGAAATACTCGAATGGATTCTCTATCCAGCAGATGCCTGTGTCGTATGTGAATCACTCGGGCAGTGATATTATTAATCCGACATTCATATTATAGAAGCGCTATTATCACCCCGCAAGACAAAGAAGTCATTGTTCATGACGGCTCGATAACTTTACGAGGCTGGGCTTATAGTGGAGGAGGGAACTGGGTGGAAAGGGTCGAGGTCTCTCCTGATGGGTCAGCCTTTTTTTTTTTTACTTATGCGTAGTCTGTCGAGTCTGATGTTTTCTCACCATCAGCGGAAGCGTATGGTACGCCGTCGACCCAGATGACATGACCGAGAAGGCGCGTTATTTATTCCCTGAACCTGCACTATCTTTTCTGAAATGGTAGTTTTAGCACTACCACGCCTGGCGATTGTGGAAGATTGATATCCCTGTCGAAGCTGAGGGGTGGTTGGAGTTCTGTGTCAGGGCTTGGGACTCTTCCAATAACACGGAGCCGACCTTTGTTCGCTCCGCATGGAAGTAGGTTATTCTATTTGGGAGTGGCCCCTGTTTTTCGCTAACAAACGATCATAGTTGGGATCTCCATGTTACGTCTTCGTGCCATCGCATCAAGCTGTATAGCGTTAATAAGAAGCGCCTGGCTACGATGAAGAGAATAAAGGAGCTTGAAGCTAGAGGCGAAGGCATTGTTCCGCTGTCTAAGCCTGTTGAGTTTGCGCTGGAAGATGAAGGGGAGTATCTTGCAGCTTGTAGGAAGTACCCCCGGGAGCCTTTGAGCTGAAGAGCTAAAATTCCAACGTTGGGCACCAGTCATCTACAATTCAAGGTGTACTCTATATACTTGAAAAATGAAAACCTTATTTCCAGGCCTATGCAACTCAGTGACCGGCCAGTACTGAAATGTGAATGTAAGACTTGGAGGAAAAAAAAAGGCTAACTTGGATCAAATAAAATAAATATTGAGATCCGTAGATCTACCACTCCGGGAAAGCGTGTCATCCTTGTGCAGGGGCCATGCTAATCTTCTCTGTATCGTTCCAATTTTTTCGTATGTCACCCCGAAGGGGACAATATAAATGTAGAGTTCAGGGTGGCAACGTTAACGGTTTTGTATTTTTGTTGACTGACTGGGGCACAGCCACTTGCCTTTTCCAGGTAAAGGAGGGAAAGGGTAACCTTTTAACGATGGATTTCCAAGTAATAAACGGACAGAAGAATATAGCGCATCCAAATACAGTGTTGACAACTCTTTCTCAGATCTGGCTGCTGTGATGGTACACATAAAGCGGCCGCGCGTGGACGAACTATCTCGAAAAAAAAATGATTCAATTTCTCATTCCGACCTCGTTATACCAGGATCCCCTATTGCCGGTACGGCTGGGTGGGTAGCTACGTATCTTTCCTTGAGTTCTTGGATATGACTGTATCCAGTATCGTGCATAAAACGACGAGATCGGTTTGACATCGTCTGTTTACTTGGTGACCATTCAGATGTATCTGTAGCTTCACAGTCTGACACTCTCCTCTTCTTTGCAGGAATCTCGCACGATGATAATGATTGCACAATCTGTATCATCGCCCAAGCAAATGAATACGACTGGGTAGTTTAGCAGTGCGTATGTGATCCAATTTCGCGTAAGAAGGGTACGGACCGAGTGGTATATGCTTATCCCCTTAACGTGGTCAGTGCGTGATTCGAATTGATTCGAATGGGGGGGTGGGGGGGCGGTCGAGGATTGTGAATAGAAGACCCCCATTTGATTGCCGGAAATTTGCAAATCTCTCTTTGTCTCTCACGCTGATTATCATGGCTGTTTCCATATCCAGCGTTACCGCCACGCTTCCATCGCACTGGAAATACGTCTCCGAAGGCGGCGCCACCATTGTCTTTTCCTACGTCGGTCCCCCGAATTCTGACTTTGATGGCATGGTATTGCGTTTGCGTAAGTCTGGGGTGCAGACACCTGTACTCGAGAGACAGGATTTTGGTACGGTAGCGGAGGAGCCAGATGATGCTTCCATTCTGTTCCAAGAGACGTGTATGAAGCGACTGATACCCTCGGTTCACCTTCCACAATTGCAGTCAGTCCAGGTGGACAAAATGTGGCTGGAGGTGCTTTCTTTAGTACACGAAAAAGACCGCCCGTTGAAGAGGACCGTGAGCGGAGGCATCGACACGACGAAGTGCAAGGCTGTATTGGCCACTGACCTCGTGGGTGGCTCAGGACTGACTGTGGAAATCAAGGTATGTAGCGCCTTAACATTGCTTTGTTCGTTACTAAATCTTTCTGATAGCCCAAATGGTCTTTTCTTCCCAACAAAAGGTACCTTTCGGCGACGAACTGTTCAATCAAGGCGAATACTTGCCGATTTTGCATGCACTCACACATGAAGTCCGGGGAAGGAGAGACCGTTTCCCTCGGATACTGTCCGTTGGATTTATTCTCCAATAATCGGGGCCGCATGAAACAGGCGGTCTATTCTCTCTACGACAATTGGCTCGCGAGCGATGGAAATGTTAACAACGTGAAGATATTCGTCAAGGGTACGAAAATTGGTGTAGGCCAGGCATGTATTTCTCATTATGTCTGTGACAGACATCTCAAGAACCCTGCAGAGGTTCTTCATGTTCTCTCCCGAAGCATACCAAGAATCCGACGAGAATGTCCGAGAAACATTCTCAGAGGCAGTCCTTACGTTTCTTATGGGCACGCCAGTCCTTCGGGTCCTTAACAAGGCCCAAAGGACCCTGGATTCACTTGACATTGAGGGACTATCATTATTATGGAGAGAATCCCAGAGCCTAGTGAATACACCGCAGTCTACAAATGGGTATACACCTCCAGGGCGCGCTATTGGCATCGGCGAACCTAATCCCTCTCTATCCGACTGGTCCGCTTTTATCGACGAATACCTAACTCGGCCTCCCAACTTGGAGGACTTACGATACCACCTTCTCGCGTATCTCCTTTCCGCGACGTTCAAGGATTGTTCCATTATGATTAGGATGGATTTGTTGGACCCGAGGCGTCCGCAGGAGGAGGTGGACCCGTCTCAGGTCATTGTTATTGATCTGGATCCCAAGAATATCGCCCGACTGAAGAACTGGGAGGAGCTGGATGAGATTATTATCAGGAGGTATTCGGTCGTTCCTCTCGCGGATAGGAAGACGTGTTTGGATGACTGGGTTGATGAGGCTTGATTATGCGTTTTTGTCGGTATGTTTATGATTGTTTAAGAGCGTATTTATTGTTATGTTGCGTTTCACTTTTTGCATGCGGATAGGCAAACTGCACAAGCCGTACGCAGTGATAACTTGCTAAGTCTCGTAGACTCGGACTGTCTGTTTGCTAGGTACGTAAGGACATTCGCTTTGACGCCGTGGATGTGAAGCTCGTGTTCTCGATCTATCTACTAGTTCTATCATGCTATTTGTTCGAGTCATTTCTCCAAGCAAATTAGAACAGCTGAGTGTGCAGTTATATTGACATCTTTTCGTTTTTCGGGGGGTACATCATGTATACTTTGTATACTTTAGATGACCGAGCACGTATACTTGTACAGACCATACATAGGTTCAGTGGAATTATTTGGGGAACCTTTCTTCTGGATTTGAAGTCTTGTATAAGGTTTTATCTGTGCTTGCACAATAGTAACTGGCCATTGGAACGGTATGTGAGTGCCGTGCCGGAACTCGGCAATCACTGGTTCCGATCAAATGCTGGATCAGTCCGAGGCAGTTTCCTTTGTTCCTCCCAAAATGTGATCGCAAATACCCGCAGAACTTTGTCTATCTTCTACGAGAAAACCTCTCATAAATGGACCTTTCCACCTAATAATTAAGATCTCCAGGGGGATGTCGCTACGTGCGCCATTTTCATTGTTCGCAATGGCCTTCGGGGCTGTTCTCTTAGCGCACAAAGGACAATACAGGATTTGACCAGCGTTACAGTGGCACTTCTCCATTCGCAAAAACATCGAACAATAGCTCCACGGTTGGCCATTGTCGTTGACAACGTAGTGCCACTTCTTTCACTTAAATTGCGTTGAACTTGTCTTCACTTCAAACAATCTCTTCCATCCTCAACTACCATGGCACCTGCCCGCGCTACGAAACGGAACGCTTCCCCTACTCCACCATATCCAGAGCGCTCTGCCAAGCGGAGACGTACTGACCGCAGAGCAGTAAAACTCGTGGAGGTCAGCGGCTCCATGGATCAGTTCGGGCATTTTTACACTGAAAAGCCTGAGGTGCGCGAGTTTTCTACCTTGCTTGGAATCCTGTCTAATCTGTTCTACCACAGTACAAAAACGAACCGCCCCCGACGCTCAAGCAACCAAAGACCCGTAGACCGGCCGCGCTTTTTGTGGGCGACATGAAGTATATCAAAACCATTGGTGAGGATACCTTTCTGGCGCTCTCCCGTCACTTATTTGTATCTTCTAGGTCATGGAAGTACGTGCATTGTGGGTGTAGTCGAGTCAAACCGTCGCGAATACCCCCTGGACAAGCGGGGCGCTCTATTTGCTGTCAAAATTGTCAGAAAGTGTGTGTTCCGGACATATGAAGGCGGCGTAAGTTTGTTCTATGACGACTGAATGCGGACATTATTAACCCAAACTTAGCCACCCGTGCCAGGGAATCATGAGAATTTCAAGAACGTTGAACGCCTTTCTCTGGGCTGCCTCCCTTGGAATCCCTTTATCGCAGGTTTGATCACTACTGACACCGACGACTTCAATTTCTACACTTTCCTGGAGTATTTCGCCGGGGGGTCGCTTGAAGATGTCCTGGACAGTGGTACTCTATTACCCCAGCCGGCGAGATTCTACTTTGCTGGTATAGCCCTTGGTGTCGATTTCCTACATCGTCAGGGATTGCTCCACTGCGATCTCAAGCCCGACAATATCCTCCTCTGTCCTTCTGGATACCCGGTTCTGACAGATTTCGGCATTGTGCGCAAGATTGAGACGCTGGAGGAGGATCCGCTAGAGTGGTATGTGTTGGGCACGTCGCCGTACATGTGTCCCGAGATGCATGAAGAGTGCAAAGCAGACCCGCCTAGATGCTCGCCTACCATCATCGATTGGTGGGCTATAGGTTGTACTCTGTTCCAGACGATTGTGGGTCATTCTGTACGTCTTATCGGTATTCTCATGCGGGTAGTGTCTGATACGAGAACTGTAGCCTTTCGACCCGAAACACGACGACAGTGACAGTATAGTACGAAGAATCGTAAACCGGCAGTTTGTACGATCTATCTCCTCCCTGCCTTTGGGACCCAACGGCAAGGACTTGCTATACAGACTCTTGCACGAAGACCCATTCAAGCGTATTGGCGCAAATGGCAATGGCATCGAGGAGATACAGGAACATCCCTGGATGGAAAACATTGAGTGGGACAGACTTTCTCGGAGGGAGTATATAGTAAGTTCTTAGTTCATCTCAAGCAGCCGCGTTGCTGAGGCAAATATTCAGGCACCGTTGATGAAGACGGGCGTCCCGGTCCAGAAGCAGCGACATAGGGATCCGCTTCCGAGGCAGCTTAGGGTGCCAGAGCTACGGATACGGAAACCGCCAGTTCATTTGGCGCATGACGAACGTCTTCATCCGCCGGTAGAGTTATATGATTGAGGGACCCTGCCGATCCGCGCGCATGTCTCTCATCTCTGTATCTTTGCATTGCGAAGTGATCGCCACGACGACGATTCTCCTGTCGGATATGTCCTTCCTTCTGTGGAGTAACTTATTGTTCTACGACTCCAAGGGTGTTTTATTTCTTTTTGTATTTCTGAAAACCCTTTTTCTATTTTTTATGTCATGTGGATGCCGCTCATTGTACGGATGCTGCGTTTCCAAATAATAGCCTGTGCACATGTTGCCATGTTTACTCCGCGCCGCCATAAGCGAGAGCGGATTCCACGTCAGCAAGCGCAAAGCGAGGCGGTGAAGACAATAAAAGATATCACATGTGACGTTATACCATTGTTGTATGGGTCCAGAGGGGTCCGGCTCCTGTTCTTTATTATACTTTTGTTCTTTATTGTTATGTGAGTATACCCCAACTAATAGGACATGTATTATTACAAGTAGTTCTCCTGAGATGCTGGGCGACGCTGAAGGAATGTGTTAATAGAGAAATCGAAGAACAATCGGTCGAAAGCAAGACTAGTAAGAGCAACTAATAATGATAAGTGCGAATGAAAAAAAAGCATCCACGAGTGAAATCGAAAAAAATGCGTAAGGGTAGGAGGAAGGGTCATCAAACAGACTCGTACGACACCGCTGATGTCGATGCCGTGGACGCCCATGACAAGCACCTCGTAGCCCGGGTTCTCCCACGACAGGGTTCCTCGTCGTCATCTCTGCCATCTTTCCAGCACATTCCATTCAAATCCGTATCCAAGTCGTCGTCGTCGTCATCATCATCATAATCATCATCACTGTAGGCCGTGTCCGATTCGCCCTCCTCGTCAGAGGCATAAACGTCTTCTCTTCCGTGCCGATCAGGGTTCAGCCATCGCTCGAACCATCGTCCCAAGAATACTTTGATGTCCGTCGACAAACCTAGATATTCGACATTACGTGCGATGCCCTCCCATTGTATGACTCCATGAACGAGGGCGTCTTCAATAATGTCGGTGGTGCCAAAGTACATCCAATGTACAACATAGTGCAAAGACGCCGGGTCTGGTATGGGGAGGTAGAGGACAGGATGAGACGAGGTGGATGAGGGCATTAGTCGGGGCAAGCGGTTCGGTGGTATTGTGAACTTTCCGGACTCGGTTCGGAGGTCTGGTGGATGTAGGGAAGTCGTTGGGTTTATTAGGTCCATGGGAGACGCTCCACTGAAGAGTGAGCGTAGGAAACTGGAGTGAGCAGAGAGGTAGTCGGTATGCAACTGTTATTCGACATCTAGGTCAGTGCCACGACAAGGGAAAAGGAAAATTTGGACGGACCTGCATCCGTATTAGCGGAACAGCGGCCAGTGTAGGCTCAGTTGCACGTCGACCGAGACCGGAGGGATCGTAGGAAGGTAAAGGGGATGCAAGTGGTTCTGAGACGTGCTTGCCTTGGGGATACGGTACTGGAACAACTAGAAAGGACATTAGTTCATGATGGCAAATCAATACCAGTGACAGACAATGCACCTAGTGTACAATCTGCAGTCTCGAGTTTCCCCCAATAATGCGGAGCCAAATTATGAAGCTGGTCGAGGATGTACTCGATGGGTACGTCAAGCAATGAAGGAGGAGGGAAGGGACGAGGCTCAAAGGAATCCAAGGATTCCATGAGCGACGGGGGGGTGTCGCAGTCTGTTGTTGGGGACCAAGTAGAATCGGTGCAGGGGGTCATAGATTCGCCTGACCCGCGGCAACAGTTTTCGAAGGGAGATGCTACCTCGAGCATTTTAATATCCGGCCAGAAACCGTGACTATTGTCATCGGACATTGTTGAACAGAAGAGGATGCGAAACGAACGTCAGGCCTAGAAAGGAGAAGGAGACCCAGGGAAGAGGCGAAATAGGACGAAAATAGGCAAGAAAGGACGAAGAACGGAGGCTGTGGTAGGCTTTTGTTGAACGAATACCACAAGAGGTGGGTGCAGAGTTCGGTGATGGGAAAGGGACCTCAGTTGCCTGGACAGACGAGGATATATACGGACAGCTAGGTAAGCATGCGAAAGGGTAAAATGGGTAATTCATGCTTGGCTCCGTGGCAAGGGGGCCTGACTACGATCCGCTACAGCTGGTTGAGATCGGGGCCAATTGTTCGGCGGTTACCAAATTTGATCAACTCGCGAGTCTTATTGTCTTGACGGCCTCGCGGTTCCCTGCTGTCAAGGCGGCTGTGTGATGTCCGACCGACTGAGCCGCAGGGACATCGTGGTTCGTTGTCAAAGCACAAGAGAGAACCCATCTCAGATTTATCACCGCAAACTTTCCGCAACATCAAACTCACACAGGGAAGAATTTCTCTAAATTCGATCACGATCATATACATAGATCCCCCCTCTCGGAGGGGGGACCTCCAGCTGGCGGATCAGAGGTCGTTGCTTTAGGTAAATACATACGCGCTGCTGTCCTTCTGAGGTGTCGTTAACAAACCAGCCCTACTGCTGTTCTACATTTCGAGGGAACAATAACAGACATGAGGTTGGCGCTTTAGGAGTGCCCTTTTTCGGAAAATATCCATTCTAAGGTTCAGAATGAAATAACAACAGTTACGGCTCCGGAAAATAGGCGCTAGATCTAGCACCTCCTTGCCATTTTGCGACTAGTTCACTCTGTATATTCGAAAAATTATCCCGCTGATATACATACAAGATCGGTATAAGACTTGAACGAAACAAATTGTGAGCTTGAATATAACAGAATATAATTGCCCAAATGAGCACATAAACGGGCAAGACCGCATACATTCTATGTGAAACCGGTCAGACTAAATGGAGTGTAAAACACGGACCCTCGGCATCGTGAGATCAGTACGAGATCTTGAAATCTTACCAGCCTAAGCAAATTTGAGACCCTAATACCGCAGTTCTGCCCTAATTCGACATACCGACGTTCGAGACTATACTTTACACGGAAAATCCTAAACTGAACTTGACTGCAAAACGAAAAAGAAACGAGGGTGAGCTCGGAAATGGAGGGCACTTGGAAAGCAGAAAGTGTGTTATGGAAGAGCCCCCTTGCTGCGTTACTGAGTAATGCAGATGAAGCGCAGTAATCCAAGGTCAGCATACTAACTTTTTTTCCCTGAGAGAGTTGGTCAGCTGCAACAATATGGAACCTGTCAGAATGAGTCCAGCCCAGAGAAAAAGCGGCCATGCTCAGCATCTGGTAGTCGCCTATATAATAAATCAAGTCGAGTTCGAGTGAAGTTCGAGTCGAGGCTAGTTCGCGTTAGTATAAGGCATACGATTGAGGTGACACTGGCTCAGAAGTGACAGTCACGTTAATCGGCAGTAGCCGGTCGTCGGTATCCATCCTTTGTCCTATACCACCACCATCCTCAGTAGTAGACTGCTGGTCCTACTGTCAAATAAATACTCATCTTACCAACTTTCATGGCGCCGGAATTATTTTCTCTTGGACAGACGGCCATTTCAGCCCATGCATTCAATGCAAACCGGACCCGTACGTCCCAGTACCGTAAACTGTCTTCCATTTTGCTGATTATCACAGAGGTCGCGGTGAGCCTCAACTCTAATGAGGCCCAGATTTTCTCTCGTAGAGGATATGAATGGATTCCAACGGAAACCCTCTCCGAGGTGACCATTACAGCAATTTTGCGGGTCCTGATTACTGACTCGGAAATCAGCATGATAAAGTGATCACTTCCATCGATTGGGCACCGTCGTCGAACCGTATTGTTACCGCTTCTCAGGATCGCAATGCCTATGTATGGCAGCCTAGCCCCGATGGCAGCTGGAAGCCTACCTTGGTCCTTCTGCGCATCAACCGCGCCGCGACGCACGTCCGCTGGAGTCCCAACGAGGACAAATTTGCTGTTGCTAGTGGCGCTCGGTGTGTTACAACCGCACTATATGCTGAATAACTTCTAACGATATTCAGCGCGATTGCAGTTTGTCACTTTGACCCCGAGAACAACTGGTGGGTTAGCAAGCTCCTGAAGAAGCCCATCCGGTCGACGGTTCTCTCCGTGGATTGGCATCCTAACAATGTTCTTCTTGCTGCGGGAAGTGCGGATTCGAAGGCCAGGGTATTCTCGGCCTATATCAAGGAAGTGGATGCCAGGTAGGTGCCTCTTTTGGGTCCCCCAAACACCAAAATTTACTCATGCCTCAATGGTAGACCTCCTCCAACCATCTGGGGCTCCAAACTTCCTTTCAACACTACTTGCGGAGAATACCCGAGTCCTGCCGGCGGATGGGTTCATTCCGTTGCATTTTCTCCATCAGGTGATGTGCTCGCTTTTGCAAGTGGGTTGTCTTCTACTTCTCTTTTTTGTCGCCTATTTGACATTCACAATAGGTCACGATAGTTCTATCACTGTCGTTTACCCTGCCGGCGCAATTCATAACGTCAAGATGACGTCTCTCCCTGTCGTTACCCTTACCTGGACTGCAGAGGACTGCATCGTTGCCGCCGGGCACGACTGCCAACCATTTGTGTTCAGCGGATCAGCTGAGACTGGATGGCAAGGTGTCGGTACTCTTGACGATACATCTGCAGTACACAGATCTGCTACCCGGCCCGGCGTTGGACCCGGGAGATTAAAGTCCGGCGCCTTTGCAACTTTCCAAGCCGCAGATAGCCGGGGTCAGTCGAGCACCGCTGACGCCAGTGATACGAAGCTCCTGACGATGCATCAAAATACCATCACGAGCGTTAGGCCGTATGAATCTGCTGGTGGATTCGTTACGCGGGTCAGCACCTCTGGCGCCGATGGAAACTTGGTTATTTGGGACGTCAACGAAGTTAGTGCCTTGACTGGGAAGATAGGCGGCTTGAGTATGCGATAGATTACAAATACGAGTGTGTAAGTTTATTGGTTCTGGAAGTTGGTGAAATTGAATTGTTCTGACAGATGATTTATCATTTGCTGTAGTTGTTGAGAGAATCGACGTCCCTGAATTCGAAGGGCGATGGCTAGTGGCGTGTAATCTGAGGCCTGATGTTCTTCATAACGACGAGACAACAAACTCTTTTGTCTTCCTGGACCGCAACCAAATAGAAGGTACCACCACTCTCATATATGCTCTTCCAGATTCGATCAAACTAGTTCCAGCAATGCAAATGTGATTTCATAACACCTCTTAGGTGTTGCGAGTAACTGAGTCCACGGCGCTTAGTGAGAACCGTTTTGAAGAATCCTGGTGTCTCCAAAGTAGCGACGGCGTTTCTGCAAGTATATTGGAATAATATGACGGGTTTCTCTGTCCTTTTCCCTATCAAGACGCACGGGGATGGAAGTAACCACACTCTCTCGAACTTGCGATCGGGGGTTATTAGGACGCTTCGATGCAACAAATAATCCCTATAGACTTCCGGCTCAGGCATATGCATATAACGTAGGCTGTTTGACTTTATACCACCTACGACTCATTCCCCGTGCTGTCTGAAATGGCTGTTCTTAACACGTCGAGGTTAATGGGACAGTGGATGTACCACAATGCATCTCGCTGTTCAGTATATCATATTTCAGGCATATTTCAGCTACAGCTCGTCGCTAGGCAGTGGCTCACCTCAGGCTTCTGGAAACTCTCCCCCTATTTCTCAATTGGTCAGAACGAAGAGTATCGCTAGCAAAGTTGATGGCTTTGAGGAAATCAGGTTTGCAATGTTTGGTGCGAGCCCGTGATGTCGTGATGAGTACATAGTCTCTCCTGGACAGAGTGCATGCTCGCTTCTGACTATCCATCGTCTGGCCAGGGGGTTTTATCAAAGCAGAATGTGGGTGCCATGTATCCTTCGCGGTCGAGTGGGGGACGTTCGAGCTTCTGCTTCGACGAATTATTGCGTGTCATTTGCGGTTCAATTCTCGTCGGCTACGCTTTCCAAGTTGTCGTACAACTTGGTGCAATACCCCGACACGGTGAATTGACTGGCCGTTAGGATCGCATTTAAGATGTCCGAAACACTTACCCTACTTGTCAGCACAATAGAAAACTGCCGTGACTTTTGAAGACTTATCAGTCAAATTTCCGACGGCAGCTTTGAAAGATGTATTCGAAGCTATGACGCTACGAGAGCTCTGAGGCCTCCTCGACGCTATTCAGGGACTTCGGGTATCGTCGGGATGGTCCTAGTAGCTGCAGAAACGTCCAAAGCCATTCAAAGTGGCAAACAGCCAATGTAAGTGTACCATTCATTTTCTCCAAGATATAATTCGCAATTGACTTTTCCTCTAGGTTAAATATGGTATATATGATCGAATTTTGGATTTAAAGAACAAAAACATTATACTACGGAGCTCCTGCTCTTGCTCCGGACATTGTGGCGCAAGCGATATTTTAACGTGGCTACAGCTTTGTCCTAAGCGGATCCGCCTTGCTCCCATGTCCAAGCTGTCGATCGCAGCAGAGTCAATGGACTTGTGATATCATATAAAAGGGGTGACATGTCTATAAACAATTTTCGACAATTTTCAGCACAGTCAATGGACGTCACTATTCCAGGACAATCCCAGCCGCCGCCATGTTACCCACCTACAACCATTGGCGACGGTTCCGCTACTTTCCCTCATGCTTATCCACATCATGTTCCGCCCGTCTCGTCGAACGAGGTTTACCAACAAGTTCAATCTTCCAGTGTCTCGTTCTCATATCATCTTCACCCTACATCGGGGGCTTTTACTGTCAACCCGCCGCCGATACCGACGCCGGCCTGGCCACTACCATCTGGTTCATCTCACATGGCCACTTTTAGTTCCTATCCTTTTGTCAACGAATTTGCCGCCCAACCTTCGGCAAATCTTCGCGACGCTGTATGGCCCAGGCGCGGCTCAGAAAACTCGGCAACCACTTTCCAGTCCAGTAGTAGTTCGGGAAAGCGCCTGAGACTCGGACAAGAGGAGGAGTCGGGGTCGTGGACAGGCCCCATGAAAAAGAAGCCAAGGATTAATCCATCAACGGATAATCCATCTGCCGTACAGGGACCGTAAGCGGTTTTATGTTCTCATCTCGAGTTGATAGGTTCTGAAAGTACACACTCAGGAGTATTGGAATGCAGTCTGGAAGCACTGCCAGACCGGCTTGTTTTGGCTACAGAACTGGCGTGCTCTGTAACGATGAGCTCCGAGAGAAGCTGAAGTCGTCACCAGGGCGCATACCCAACTCCCGACTATTCTTTCTCGGGGGCTTTCCCCTTGTCGCTCACATTAATCAACCGCTTCCTTCCGCAGAAGAGAAGGCTAAGCAAAAGGAAGAAGCCCGTCGGAGGGGTAGATCTACTGGCGTGCCGCTGAATCCCGAAGAGATTCAGTGGTTGATAAAAGCCTACTCCTGCCAGAGTCATACGGGTACAACTCCTCATAAGCATGGTCAGGTCCATCATCAACAGTCCGGTCATCGAAACCAGGATCACATCGGTGCTCTTGGGCAGGATGCTTTGCCGAATGACGCGCAGTCATCAATGCCGATTTCCCTTCAATATGGATATGGCAGTGTAATGATGCACAGAGCGGATGGGTCGTCCCAATCTCCGCCTGCATCAGAATTTTCAGATCCTGGCTTGTTGGCGACATACGATGAGCCGGTGGAACCCACGTCGGATCGCATTCCTCAGGCTATTGAAGACCCTGCTTCTTATCCTCCCCCTCTTGCGCATCAGGGAAGCAACATTGTCGCTAGGGCTAAAGAAGGTACCCCAACATTAATCACGTCGCCAAGTCGCGAAAGCGTTGATGACACGATGGACCTAATGGACTACGGCCATATGGGGCGGGTCCATCTGTCGTTTCAAGCTTTTCAAGGATCAGATATCTTTGAGACTTGTAGCAAAAAGACGAATGACGCCGACGACGATGACGATGAATCTCTCTTCGGGGTGCTCTTTGAATGATCCGAAGGTGATGCTCACGAGAGGAGTGTCAGGTTATCGTGGGTGTGGGTTTTTCTGTTGGAGGGGGCCTGTGCTCTGATGAATGAATGATCCGGAGTGCTTAGCTAGGCATCATGACGCCGGATATATATGCCATTGTTCTGCGTGTCCGACGTGGTTTGGCGATATGTAGATAGTTTGCTCAGCTCTCTTTGCTGCCATATTCAATTTGGTAACCAATCATATCGTAGCATTGTGCTTGAGATTCGGCTCGGTTGACGCCAACTTCCACTCACTGCCTTCTAACGCCACACATGACAACAGGAACGCTAAATTACGGGATCAATCCTCGAGTATGAGCTTTCTCCAATATGGACTCGCTATTTCAAGCGACCGGATGTTGCGACGCTGCGCTTTTGGTTCGACCGTCAAGCAAGTACAGCTACTACTCGTAATAAAATACCTGCCCTCCGGTCTGGGAGCTTTCAGCCAACGTTAGATTTAATGTTTCGCATTCGAAAAGAAGTGATGAACAAGTCATGTTACCGTTATCAGATGCATAGCTATGGGGAGCCGCATCATGCAAACTGCAGGTTGTACCTGGAAACCTAGGCCCTCCAATATTACAGAACAAATTATATTATTGTGACCCTCCACCTGCTAGGCTTGTGTTAGGCCAAAGATTTTGAGAAAGACTACAAACCAATTCTAATTAAATAGTAATTCAGTTTGAACCGAGATCATCCTGCCACCGCAAGCAAGCGCCTAAAGTTTTGGTGGGAAAATTGCCATCAAACACCCTGCCGAATTCGGCAACAACCACTAGGCCTGATTTGTCAGTTTCGACCTGAACGTTGTGAGCAACCGCAACGATGGCCCCCCAGTCGTCGTCGTCAGCGACGACCTCGGTCCAAGTTGGTACGTAATCACTGCAATACCTCATGGTGGTGGACTCCACTGCTTATTCTGTTCCCAGCCCTTCGTATAAGGCCGACGACAGCTCAAGATAGTACTAATATTCCCGCTCGTTTCCAACGCTCGGTCCTTCATGCGACCTCCGTCAACTCTGTCTCTGTAGAAGGCACGTCGAGCGCGCCGCCTAATGCGGGTACATCACCTGTTGCCTCTGTGGCTTCGTCTAGCGCGGCGTCGAAGAAGCAGGTTTTCTCCTTTGATCAGGTTCACGGTCCTTCCACAACGCAGCACGCCATGTTCACCTCCACCGCGCATCCTCTAATCACTCGTTTCATCGAAGGCTTCAATTGCACTATTCTCGCATACGGACAGACAAGCAGCGGGAAAACGTTTACCATGACTGGCATGGATCTGGATGCCGACCCCTCTGATCCTGGCAACGGCATGGGTATCATCCCGAGGGCTGTTTCAACGATTTTTTCGCGTGCAAGACAACTCAAAGATGAGCGTGGTACTGCTTGGAATTACAGCATCAAGGGATCCTTCATAGAAATCTACAACGAAGATCTCATTGATTTGCTCAGTATGGATGATACGGCTGGTGGTAGGCGAGAGGTGCAGATTCGCGAAGACAAAGATGGTCACATTATTTGGGGCGGGCTTCGTGAGGTGAACGTGAAAAACTCGGGCGAGGTCATGAAGTAAGTCGCCGCGATAATTAAAAGCTTAAACGCCTAATTGAACCATTCTTTTTCCAGTCTTATTCGGAAAGGGACGTCAATTAGACGGACCAATGAAACCGAAATGAATGCCCAGTCGTCCCGTTCTCATGCCATCTTCTCCCTTACTCTCACTCAGAAAAAGTATACCGGCTCTGGAGCCCCACCACGTTCTCCCTCTCCTTTACCCCCGGGCGGCCGTTCACCTTCACGCCTAGTTCGTCCGGGGTCTGTATATTCATCAAACCCCAGCAGTTCAAGGGTCGCTTCTCCAACTTTTGGTCGCCCATCAACTCCAAGCTTCGCAGCTGCAATGGGACGGGGTGGTGGCCTCCGACCTGCCAGCGCTCTTGGACATGCGGCAGACCGAGCAATGATTCCCCATGATGACGAAGCTGGAGAATGGGTTACTATCGTGTCCAAATTCCATTTCGTCGATTTAGCGGGTTCTGAACGAGTGAGTTACGCCACATCCGTCTCTTCTTCTAGCACTAACGCCTATTATTCTATAGCTTAAGAGGACAGCTGCCGCGGGCGAGCGCATTAAAGAGGGCATTTCTATTAACAGTGGTCTTCTGGCGCTCGGAAATGTCATCTCGGCGCTTGGCGACCCTTCTCGTGTCAAATCGCATACGGCATCTCACGTTCCTTATCGTGACTCCAAACTTACTCGACTTCTACAAGACTCGCTCGGTGGTAATGCTCATACGCTGATGATTGCATGTGTCAGCGCAGCCGAGTATAACGTCGGCGAGACTATCAATACCCTCAAGTACGCCAATCGCGCTCGCAATATTAAGAATAGAGCGGTAGTCAATGAGAAGGAGGATGGATGGGATGACATTGAATGGCTTCAGGGTACGGTCACTCGCCTACGGAGAGAGCTGAAAGCTATCAAGGAAGGTGGCAGCAATGGCAGCGTCGAAATTGGTGGTCCTGAGGCGCTGGAAGGTGCTGGCAGGAAGGTCCTCGCTCAGATGACAGAGCTCCAGAACAACTACGAAGATCTCAGGGGAAAGTTTGTTGAGCGTACCGAGGAGCTGACGAGACTGAGGCGGGAACTTGGGGAGAAACACCGGGGTAGCAGTGCAGGCGCGATTGGGGGCACCGCTAAATATGAGGAGATAGTGGGCCCCGTCATCGAGGAGTACGAGAAGACTATTGCGGCTATGGAAGCAGAGCTAAATCTCAATCGAGCTGCGTTGAGACATACCAATGAAATGGTCGAGGAGAAGGAGGTGGAGTTGTCGGCTGTGACGGAGAGGCATGCTGCTACCGAGTTGTATGTGGAGGAGCTTAGGGCTCGTGTTGCAAAGCTGACAGAAAGAGAAGCTTCTACGGAGGTGCGTTTTTTATTATTTTACTTTGACTGCGGAATGTGCTTAGTGGCGTTTAGGCGTATGTTCGCGACCTGGAGGAGAAAATGAAGGCTTATGATGAAACATCCATCACTTCGAGCGAGTCAATGACAGACTTGAAGCGCGAAGTTGCTCGGTTCAAGGACTCCGAATCCTACTCAACCAAATACATTGCTGATCTGGAAGCACGTTTCGCGCGCTCAGATGAGTCGATTCTAGCCCTTCAGCAAACGGTCGAAAATTTAGAGCGAGAAGTCGAACGGCGCAGAGACGAAGTTGAGTCGTTGCAATCTCGGCTGCAGGTCATACGTCAAGACGGAGAGGCCTGGCGCAATGACTTGGAGGACAGAGAGCGAAAGGTACGAGAGCTGGAGATGAAGATGCAAGAATGGGAAAGGAAAAAGAAGGATGCTGGAGATACCAGAGTGAGACTGGGAAGTGTAGTTGACGAAGTTGCACTCGCCCGACGTAGTCTTGACATCGACCTCAAGAATGCTGCGCCGTCTCTTCAAGTTAATGGTGAATTTGAAGAGATTCCGGACCATGTGAGCGGCACATCTCTGGCAGCGCTTGAGGCATCCCCTTCCTCTTCGGCCCCTGTAACGCCCGCAGAAACCGATCAATCCCTTCATCATCAGTTCATCGCACTGCAGCAGACTCACACGGCGACTCTCGCCGACCTTTCATCAGTGACCGCCAAGTACCGAGATGCTTTGCGTGAGATTTCGGACCTCGCCGCGCAAATCCAGGAAGCAAAACTCAGCAACTCCGTGTCAAGTGAATCGTTCGGTGATTCTCCCACCACAACCGATAAATCCATGGAACTGTCCCCTATGAGGAGGCGTATTGGCAGTCGAACAAGAGAGGCAAACGAGCCTCAGTACAATGCTGCCGGCAGACGGCTTTTTTTCAGGCAGGCGGCCTCGGCAGAATCGCTCCACTCGAGGTATTTCTCTACAAGTTTCTTCTGTTGCTGACCTGGTGGCTGATGTACTGAACAAGGTCGCTTTCGCAATCGCAATCGCTTTCACAGGAGCTCTCCTCGGTTCACTCGCGCAAAACCTCTTTTTCAAGTCTTAGCTCGCATTCACATTCTCGATCCAATTCAAATTCGACTTCCACCTTGAATTCTTTGCTGCAGAGTTCTAGACCGAATCTCTCTATATCTGTGCCCGCCGGTGTCCCAAATCATGCGGAACGGTCTGTGTCGAGTCTTGAAATGGAAATCATGCGCTTGCAGGACGTTTTGAAGGAGCGGGAGGCTGAAATTTCGGCGCTTGAGAATTCTCTGAAGCAGAGTCGGGATGATCAAAGCGCAGCATCGTCCCCGGCCCTAGCTACACCTGCGGATGATGTTCCTGAGACCTTACCGACGAAGGTCAACGGTACCACTTCTCCCGTCCATCTCTCGCCAAAAACGATGGGTCATTTTGACCACATACGCAGGAGCATGGAGAACGCGAGCGGACACTCTATCGAGGACCTTCAAGACTCAGAGTCTGAGAAGAATGGCTCGTCCGTTATCTCGGAGGCCGACGAATCGTTGGAACGCCTGAATGAGTTGATGTTGTAAATCTTTTCCGTCTTTTCCCCGCTGTGAAGCATGCTGACAGCATACGCAGGTCTATGGCGCAAAAGGAATCCCATCATCGAGAGGTGGTCGACACCTTGAATGAACAGCTGGCTCAGTTGAGGCGGCAGCACGATGAACTTACAACGTTGTCAAGGGACCAGGTACGAGTACTGAGCCCTGAAAATCTATCTCGCTAACGCCTAAGCAAAAGGCCTTGAACATGTCTTCTGAGATTGAAAACCTCCGATCGCAATATGACCAGGATCTTCGAATGCTTGACGAGGTGCAGAGACGCGAAGCGGAACTCTCAGCAACTCTGGGGCAAACCATCGCTGATCACGCTACCGCTATAGAGGAGATACGAGTTCAACATGCTGAGGCTTTGAAGGCTAAGCAAGCTGAAGTTGATGATCTGCTTTCTCGTTTCAACTCCGAGAACCAAACACCCTCCTCATCTTTCCGCAATGAACTTGCCGCGGCTTCTGCTACGCTTGAACAGGTACATCGGGATCACGAGGCTGCCTTCGGCAAACTCAAGGAGGAGTACGACCAAGAGCTTCGGTCTTGCCTACAGGGAGCCAACACTATTCTATCGCAGACCAAGGACGAGCATGAGGTTGCAATTCGTAAGATTGTAGCTGAACACGAAGAAATGCTCAAGCGAAACGAGGCCGAGTCGTCTTCTGTTCTTCATAAAACTGAGGAGGACTATTATAATGTCCTAACAAAGCTGCGCGGAGATCATGCAGCAGCTATGGAGAAGCAATCTGTGGATGCGGCAGCTACTCTGGAGCGTTTGAAGGAGGCGCATGTGGGGCAACTTCGGATGGCTGAAATTGCCCGGCAAGGATCACTTTCCGAATCCCAGTCTTCTCGTGCAACCGCGCTACAGGAACTTCAGGACGAGCATTCTGTAGCCATGGCTAGGAAGCAGTCTTCATTTGCAGAGGAGCTGGAGTTGTTGAAATCAGAACATTCTCGGGTGCTCGTCACGCAGGAAGAAGACTATCAATTGCAGATGGATAAGATTCGCTCTGAACAGGGAGGCGTTATCATGAAATTGAAGGAAGGGTGGCGGGTGGAGAGTGAGCGTCTGAACTCTGCTATCATCGCAATTAAGATGGAAGCCGCATCATCAGCGTCGGTTGCGGCTGCAAAGGCGTCGGCTGAATTGGATGCTGCCGTCACCTTGGTGAAAGAGCAGCAGGCGATGGTGCTGCAGGAATTCGAGCGCGGTCACGAGGCCGAGATCTTACGTCGCAACGAAGCTCATTCCTCAGCGTTCGAAGGTCTCGAGGCACAGGCTGCTGATAAGCACGCTGTTGTTGTCCAATCCCACATGGAAGAGATCCTCAAGCTCAAGTCCGATCATCAACAATCTGTTGCCGAACTCAACGCGAGCATTGTTGCCCTTGAGGAGTATCATAAGGCTGCTCTCGAAGACGCCAGAGTCCGTAGCGAGCAAGAACTGGCGGAGGAGAGGGAGCTATTAGCTGCAACTCTCGACGACCTCAAGGTGCAACACGACGCAGAACGAGATATTTTACGCAAAGATCATGACTTGCTTGTGGAGGAGCTTGAGGCACACAAAGTCGCTGCGGATGAGTTCTCACTACTCCGTGAAGAATCTAGAGAGATCCACGAGCACGCCATGCAGGAGAAGGCGGCGGTTATCCACGAGATGCAACACCAGATGTCGATCTATCAGGATGAGCGCGACGAGCTTGCTGGGGCTGTCGCCAAGCTTCGGGCCGAACTTGACAAAACAAAAAGCGAACAGTCGAAGCTTATTCAAGAGGCCTCAAAACGCGAATCACTTGTGGGTGAACTGGAGCGACATCGTTCCGTACTTGCTGAGATGCAAGAGAACTTACAGAAGGTCAAGGATGAAAAGGACACACTCCAAGTCGAGAAAAACCGTTCCGAAACTCTTCTACGCGAACTGCAAGCTCAGCTGGCTCGAAGCGGATCACCTCCTAATGCCCGACCTACCACGGACCGCAGTGTATCGTACAACAGGGCTAATGGCCTTCCTCCTATGAAGCTACCTCCTCCTACGCCTCCGCCATCAGTCCCTCCCCCTCCTGCTCCTCGTTCACACGATGTTGTCGGTAGCGTTTCTTCACAAGCATCTTCCGCCATTACTTCATCATCATCATCATCCCGAGAGTCGCAGCTAGATTCCCCGTCAACTTCCATCGGTCAAGGTTCTGTCAATAATATTGGGCCGACGAACGCGAAATTGGAGCAACAAGCCAAGCTGATCGATGAGCAGGAGGCGATGATCAAGACGTTGAATAAGCAGCTCACACACTGTGAAAGCGACTTGCAGACGCACATGGATCTAGTCAGCACGCTGGAAACTTCTCTCGGCGATTCAGAGAAAAACCGTAAGCACTTTGACTGTCGACGGGTATATGGTGTTTACCGATGCTGTGTTTTTTTTTTTTTTTTTTCAGTCCGCAAGGCCCGGATGCATGCCACGGAATTAGCCCGAGAACGAGACACGCTTAATACCAAACTAGACGGTCTCCGCAGTGAACTTACGGAGGCCAAGCGAGAGGTTATTAACGTTCGCAGGTCAATAGTGGAAGAGAAACAGTCGTACGAACAGCGATTAGATGAAGAACGAAAAGCGAAGGAACGAGCGCGTCAACAACTAGATTCACGAATGGATGAGCTAACATCGAAACGTAAATCCAAGTTTGCTTGTCTGTGATTGTTCCTTTCTGTTCCTTTCGCCATGCCATCCTTTTTCCTCTGCACGCATTCATTTACGGCTTACTCATGTCCATTGTCCACTCATTCGTAACCTTATTCGTTATCGCTCGCTCTCCTCACTAGGTTACCTGCTTGGGATACCCACAGTTACAGTGTTTTACTTAGCTATTTCCATATGTTTTTCTTATACCTCCTCGTTCCCGTATATGTAGGGTATATATGTTACACGTACGACCTCATTCTATCAATGGAATCTCGGATCATAATTCTTGTCGATATGAAACCATTACTGCACATCATCGTACGGTATCGGGGTCGGTATATCGGATCTTAAAGAGCCTGCGCTGGCAGTGGCGCGCGGAGTGTCATAGGCCCGGGGCCACGTGATCGAGCGGTAATATGGACTACTTACCCCACACTTGTAGCCCGCCGTTATATTGACTCCGCTTCTATTCTTCACCCGTCTTTTTTTTCTCTCCCTTACTACCACCACCACCACCACCTTTTCCTGCAGATTTTTTTACTTCATGGCTGCCCGCCTGCTCGTCAAGGCTCAGCTTACCCTTCGCGTTCTCAAGTCTAGCCCTTCCGCGATACGATGGGCGAGCACCGCGACGAAAAGTCCCAGGACTCTTCCGGCCTTTTCCATGGAGGGAAAAGTGTGTAGCCATTGTCATTTGCACGATGCCGGGAAGGATATTCAATGTTGTTAGGTCTGCATGGTCACTGGTGCAGCTCGCGGGTTGGGCTATGAGTTCTGCCGCGCCTTCGTGCAGTCGTGAGTGAAGTGTCTCACGTTCGGTATGTTTGATGATACAATGATGAATATTTTCTTTTGTAGGGGCTGTACATCCGTCGCGATTGTCGATTTGAAGGCATCCGAGGCTAAGGGTGCTGCCGAAGAGCTTGCTACATATGCTTGTGGTCAGTATTTTTGGTCCGTCGCCGACGACTGGGCGCGTCACTGATGATCAAGTTTAAAGGTTCCGGTGACGTGAAGCCAGAGGACCTCAAGATTATCGGTGTCGAGTGTGATGTCTCATCTGAAATTTCCGTCCAGAAGGCTTTCTCCGAGGTAATGAATACCTTTGGTCGGCTAGATTCCGTAGTCGCCTCGGCAGGTGAACCCTATCACTGTCTCCTTACTTGTTGAGTGCCGATGCTGACATATGGCTTCCAGGAATTGTTGAGAATTACTCTGCTTTCGAGTCAGTGTTTCGTGTGACGGAACAGATTGCAGATATTAATGCCCCACAGTTACCCATTTGATCGTATAAAGCGCTTGTACGATATCAATGTCCACGGAGCTTTCTTTACGGCGCGTGAAGCGGCTCGCAATATGATCCCACAGGGCGGAGGGTCCATCGTTCTCGTGGCCAGTATGAGTGCAAATGTGCGTAATTACGCGATCGAACTTTATCCTTTTTCACAGCCACTGAACGCTTTTTCTAATTTAGATTGTCAACATCCCCCAGGTGAGCATCAAAGCTGCTTCTGCACTCCAACTAGACTATTTACGGGATAAACCCCACAGCCGCAAACGCCGTACAATGCGTCCAAAGCTGGTAAGCAAGATTCATTTGATATATACTATTATTCATCTCAATCGTCGACGGTAGCTGTCAAACATATGACCTCGAGTCTGGCTGTTGAATGGGCTAAGAAGAACGTAAGGGTTAACTGTCTTAGGTGGGTTGCTATGCGACACAGGAGATATGGCTGAGCTTTCGTTCCAATAGTCCCGGATACATGGCCACCAAGCTGACGCGGACCATTCTGGAACATGACCAAGCCTTGAAGGTTGGCTGATTTTATCCTATCCGTATTCCAGGCTAATGGGACGGGATGTCGGGTAGAAAACCTGGGAAAGCTTGACACCAATGGGCCGGGTATGTTCCTTCCGGCATCTTGCTGAATTTCCATTAAATCTTGCATTTTAGATTGGAGACCCCGATGATCTTTCGGTTCGTCGGAAACACGGAATATGATATCTGGAACTAATGGATGTTGTAGGGTGCAATTGTCTATTTGTCTAGCGACGCGTCAAGGTTTATGACCGGCTCCGAAGTCCGCGTAGATGGCGGATACTGCATCATTTAGGGTAATTTTTTTGGATATATACGAATCAGACAAGCATACGGTCATCGAACTTTTTCAACGAACATTAGAGGTATACATACTACTGGGCGTCATTTCCTTATCTTTCTTTATTATTCCGGGTACTGCGTCATTCTTAATCTGTATTTTTGGTTTTCTACTTTTTGTTTTTTTGAGGTATACATGGGGGTTTCCACCGTCTGACGTTGGGTGAAAAGTGAGAACTGCCAGAAATAGGGGTGCCATCACGGCGCTAAATTCTTCTTTGCTTCTTCCTCCTTCTCTTATCGTCCTTATCGTCCGGCCTGCGACGAGTATCAATGTCGACGAAAGAGCCGGTGTCTGCAACAGGGTATGAATTCACGAAAAGAAAACGCTGGGCAGATCTCCTAATAACAGAGCTCGCGGACACGATCATTTTTGTGCTGTCAGATGAAGGCAAGGTGCTGTACGTCGGCACAGCAGTGACCGAACTGCTGGGCTGGCGAGAAGTCGATCTGGTGGACTGCGATTTCGGAGAGATTGTTTCAGGTATTTCTGTCCACTTTTTGATGCAATTTTCTTTTGTAACATAGTAATTTGGTCCTCCTCGTAGTTGGCGACCACGACGCTTTCCGATCGACCTTTTCCGAGAGTGTGCGGACCCACCGGGATCTACACTGCTATGCCCGTTTGAAATGCTCCAATCAGACAAATGACATCCTATTCGAAATCAAATCCCGCTTTGAGGGTGATTGTTGGTATACCATGGCGAGGCCGTATCCAGGGAAGAATACGTCCATGTGTGTCGTTTGCTTTCCCTAGGCACCGTTCTCATCGCTCCCAGGCTAAATACGTTTTTGGATTTGAAGCTGGAGAACCAACGCCTCCAGGCACGCTTGCATGAGCTTACGGGGAGTTCGTCGCTTAGTGCTATGACAAAGGGTCCCTTGCCGCTGTTTACGTCGACTTCGATGGCTGGGGAGACTTCTGATGGCAGCGGTGGTCCGGTCACGGTTGGGAGCGGTCTCTACGCCACAGGTAGCCTTGATGTGCATACCGGTGGTGAGGACGACGATGGAGGGAAGAAGAAAAAGGTTTGTTTATCATGAGCTCCAGGAGAATTTGCCTGTTTTATTGGTTGTACTCCACAGGCTAAGAAAACGCATGGGTCTGAACGGTATGTATGTGTAACTTGCGGGAGGACGGATTCTCCCGAGTGGCGTAAAGGTCCGCTGGGGCCGAAGACGCTTTGCAATGCATGTGGACTGCGTTGGGCAAAGTCGGTAAGGAAAAGCGACGATATCTTGACGACAGATGCAGCTGCCGGTGGAGAAAGTGTTCATCTGACTTGAAGGGTACGATTTTCTGGACATTGACACCGATGTAAAGTTATTGTAGCCCACTCAGTTGTATCATAAACGTGTATGGACGCGGTATTATGGACGCTGCAGAGTATCTCGTAGATGCAGTTGCCATTTGAATGCCGGATAGACCTGGAGAATTAACGGGCATGCAGCCTTTCATTCTGTCCGGCGCTAAAATAACATGGATCATAACATGGATCATGGCTCCGGCATGACTGAAACGCTTGACAGACATGATAGACGGCCGTGATGGAAGTCTCAAGTAACATAAGACATGCACAGTTGAGGACAGCGCCTGTTTTGCTGGGCAATGGTGAAAAAAGTATGAACAGGTTCGGGAAGGATGACAATATCAGAGAGTCCAACTGTTGAAGTATCGGCAGAAAGTAGCGGACCGAATCTACCGACGTCCCCGTCCCAAAAGGGAAATGGCGTGATTGATCGTTTCCCTTCATTCTCTTCCATTGCCCTGACTCTGTATGTCTTGGACTGGTGTGAAACTAGCTATTTCGCACCAGCACTCTACCAGCTGCTCCTTCTCGCAGGATAAAATTAGGTCAGTCCATCAATTTTGTACCAAACATCAGTCTTGCAAAGCAGTTCTTTGGTCATTATTTAGAGAGTTTTGTATGGCAATGAGCACAATAAAGGTCAGAGTAGCGGTGGTGTGGGTTTGAAAAAGAGCTATGAGTCATTTAGAGTGAAGACATGTCTCACTGTGAAACATGTCTTCACTCTAAATAACTCATGCTTGCATCTTTCCTTCGTTGTTTCCTCCCATTTAGTTTCAATGTCGGGCTCACTGCCTCCATGGATATGTCAAGATGTGTGCAACACTCCCTATCAACTGCCACATCCTGTGAACATGAACAACACTCCTTTGCAACAGTACCAGTACCAGGCTGATGCTCCCCAGCCTTGCTATGACCAACAGCAAAGCAGTGGAGACTATGACCGGCAGAGTAACTCCTTCATTCCATTCCCCCAGTCAGGTGCTCCTCCGAATGTGCCTCAATTACCAATGCATGCTGCTACAACTCAAGCAAATCCTCAATATCCTTTCCTCCCCCACCTGTGGTCTCCTCAATATGTTTCCCAGCCACAGGAGTCCTTGCAGCCATACCCCACATATGAATTTCCAGGTCAACCCCCATGGTCCAACTGGCAGGGCCCACTTCATCCTCAACAGCAAATGTACTCAGGTCACATCCCCCAGATGGTCAATGTCCCTCATGCTCATGGCTTCCCTCATGGGGAACCCCAGCAGTTTCTTCATGCACCCAGTTACACAACGCCACATGGTGGCAGTGCTATGAGCTCCGGCCGTAGTAAGGAGCGGAAACGATGTGGTGGTCGGTCAGCTAACGCTGCTAGAAAACGAAAGGCTGTCGACGACAACAGCATGACAGGAGAATCGTCTTCGGGGGCACTGAAGCGCATCAAGTCCCATGCGAGTAATGTACGTATATTGATACTTTTCAAAGTATTCTGTCCTATGTCCTTACCAGGGTTTCCGCACGACATCCACCGCCGTTGGTCCATCTAATCATCAAACTTTCTCTGTTAGTGTCGTCGTTCACTTTTGTTATCACTATTGATTGCTTTTTAGATGACGGGGATGCAATTCGACCTCCGTGACCAATCCAGAGGATCTGGAATGCAGGGGAACCAATACAGGTAATATCTTACGCGATGTGTTGCTGTGTTCATCTGATTGTCCAACGTATAGGTCGTTACCTCAAAATGGAAGCAGCAGGCCGCTTTCGCAGGTGCCGCAGGGCTACTATAACCACAACGGTGGCCCCTCTCAAGTCTGGCAGAGACAGAATGAGGTAAGCTCCGTTCGCTGCTCCCGACTTCGCTGTCACTCATTTTGTTTCCAGTCTCAAGAGACAAGTGTCTCTACGCCCCAGTTTCGGGAGCCGTAAGTCTTCTTTTGATAAAATTTTGAGCTATATCCTAACAATATCAGGCCGATTGTCCATCAAAACGGAGACCGAGGTCAACAAAAGCCGACCTTCAACAATGGTTCTGTTCCACCGTCATTCCCCAAAAGTGACTCTGGAAAAATGAACAATCCAGCCATCTTTTTAAGGGGCGCTTCTCTCCTTCGATATGTGTGCATACGTCGCGGTAAAATCGAACCATATTCCAGATGGTTCATTACCGACAAAGGAGAGATTATGCTTCTCGCGAGTCTGCACACGGGCCAGAATCCAAGTGCCTTACATGTCACTGGTGCCGCAGATACTGGCGTTCCCTTTCTCTCGGTGAGAGAGGCCCGCAGCCGTGAGGAAGCAGAGGAATGTTTTAAAACGGTACTTATCACTTTGGCAAAGGTGCAGACGGTGCATAAGAGGTTGGTCGCTCTCACTCAGCCAGTAATACAGTCCCAAGGGTCGTCGAATACACACAACGGCTCACAAGGCTTCCATCGATTGACGGACAACTTTGCTGGACCTTCTGGACATCCCCTCCCTACTCCGGCACGTACTCCAGTTCGTACTCCAGTTCAGCCCGATACCGTGGAACAGACACTCCCTCCGATTCCGATCATTACAGTCGAGGACACTGACACGACAGATACTTCACCCGTCGTCGAAATTTCGACGACTCCTACGCAGCCTGAAAGTCTACGGCTTCGAAACGAAGATTCAGGCGAGCCTGAGGATGGACCCGAGGCTCCTCCTTGTCCCCCCTCTCCCGTCGATCGTCCTCCCACTCCGCTCGAGTGCTCAGATGAGAAGCCATCCGGCGCCACCGACGATCAGGTGGAATCCGCGGAGGAAGAAAATGGCGGCCCTTCGGATGGTAGCCTTGTTGGCGCTTTGATCATGGACATGCCATGGTTCAACGAGCGTTCCGCCTCGTCGCACAAGAATGGGGAAGAGCCAGTAGCGTCCGCGTCGACGTCCACGATTTCAACGAAAGGACCCTCTACGGTTAGTGGAGATGACCACTACGAACGCGTATATAACGAGTTCATGGTCAGTGATGGAGATGATGCAGTTGAGAGTCTCTTCGGCTCGCCACTATTGTCTAAGTAGGATGCAGATGAAGCTGGGGAGCCATTGTTGTCCGAGGAAGATGCTGATGCCGATGCCGAAGTACCTACAAGTTCAAGTTGATTGTCTCTCAAGAGTTATGTTGTTATATTCCTGTCGTTTCTACTCTTATCTGTCGATATGTCCCATATATTGATTTGTGCACTGTTTGATTTACCGGCGCCAGATTTGACCGTTATTCAAAGTTCGGATATCGAAATTCTTATACTGTCATCTACGGCGGTTATCCAAAAATTATCAGTCTAGGGAATTGCCTGGTATATTGATCAAACAGTGGCTTAGAAAGAACCGCTTTTCCCCTTCCCTTGAGGCCGTAAAATAGAATATGTAGACGAAAATTAGGGCCGTCAAACGCGCTTCGGCGACCCCAACCGAACCTCAGGGAATATGAAAATATTCAACAAAGTACTGCAACAAAAGAATCCGAATTTTTAGTCGTCGAACCAATCAGAGTCATGTATAGGGGCACAATAATTAATGAGAGACTATTTGGGACAAGTGTCGGAATCCGTGATGAGCAAGATGAACGTGATAAGTACAAGTTCTTGTTATGGGTAGTAGCCGTTCATCAGATGCGTCTTGTGTTAGGCTGATCTCAAACGAATCCCCACAGACCCTGATAATTTCCAAGTAAAGGCTTCTATCTCTCGTTCTAGTCTCTTTTTCTCTCTTTTTTTTTTTTCATAGAATGATTAATATCTGAGTACATTATTTTACCCGCCAGTATGTTTGTGGGGGAATAGCTCAGCTGGGAGAGCAGTAGACTGAAGTTTCCTTTCCAAAAGGGAAGTTGGGTTCTAAAGGTCCCCGGTTCGATCCCGGGTTTCCCCATGTGATCGCTTTGACGTTCTTTTGAGCATTACATGACAAGAAACGTGGGGTTGTGCATGAAACCTCCAGAAGGGGTAGGCTGCGGTTTTGTGGTATTTTATCGTTAGTTACCCTATCACGTGCATTTTATCTTCGCGTTCTATACGTTCTTAATGAACTTTCATATATTTACAAACATTGCATATCTATTACTGTACTTTGTAAATAGACGACACACAGAGTAACTACTGTATTATTGAATTATCACGTGGAATTGCTAGTCACAGGATAAGTAAGTTACTTCGACAAAAATCCCTCCAGTGGGGAAGGTAACTTACCGGTAATTAACCTCTGTGTATCCAAACCTAGGTTTCGTGCGCTACCCTAAAGAAACGAGCGTTAGGAACCGAGGAGGAGCGTGATGAATTGTGACTGATCGGATCTGAATGTGACAGAAAGTGTAAGTGACCTCATCGTCACGCTCTCCGCAAGTGTGGGGTAACCAAATTGAACTTGGACATGGTCGTCTTCTCACTTCTCCCATGGCCTGCCCGTCGGATTATTTGGCCTGCTAGCACACGTATTTCCAGACGACTGGTGTCCTCGTACTATAACACGGACGTGGCTGGCCTGAGCGATGACGAGACAGAAGTACGTTGTGATTTGCCTCCTTAAAGTAACCGGAAAGCATACCTTTTTCAGTTTAGGTCTGTTGTTATAGAATTCGCACAGAAAGAGATTGCTCCGCGTGCTGCAGATATTGATAAGTCCAACAAGTTTCCTGTCGTACGACATGTTTGAATGCAAGTTGAAGAGCCAACTGATATGTAGTTAAGGAGCTATTCCCCGCCCTCGGTTCTATGGGGCTTCTTGGTATCACTGTCGCACCAAAATACTCTGGTCTAGGACTGGGATATATGCACCATCTATTGGCTATGGAAGCGTTGTCCGAGGCTTCTGGTAGTGTTGCACTTTCTTACGGCGCTCATTCCAACCTCTGTGTCAACCAGATTCATCGGTGGGGGACAGAAGCGCAAAAGGTCAGTACTTTACTGGAAATGTCGACTCCACTGACGGTTCCCTAGGAGAAATACCTTCCGGACTTGATTACAGGTGAAAAGGTTGGTTCCTTGGCGATGAGCGAAACGGGTAGTGGAAGCGATGTTGTTAGCATGCGACTCAAAGCGAACAAGGTGTCTGGAGGGTACAGATTGAATGGAAATAAGTTCTGGTCAGTTCCTATGTGTCAATTCAATGCTCTGGGCTGTATCCATGTTTAGGATTACCAATGGCCCTATTGCATCCACCTTTGTCGTCTATGCTAAGACCGTCCCTCTCGATGATCCTAATCCCTCAAAGGGAATCACTGCCTTCATTGTTGAACGTGACTCTGAAGGTTTCTCAACCGGTGAGAAGCTGGACAAGTTTGGAATGAGAGGGAGCGACACTTGTGAATTAATTTTCGAGGACTGTTTTGTACCAGAAGGTCGGTTCCTTCGCCTGTTTCGGCTTTTAATTTACCATGCTGTGCAGAAAACGTGCTCGGGGAGGTCAACAGGGGCGCCAAAGTCCTGATGTCGGGCCTGGACCTCGAGAGGCTTGTTTTGAGTGGAGGGCCACTCGGGTCTGTACTAACTGCCTGGCCTCCGCTCTAAACTCAACTTTGCTACAGGCTCATGCAGGCCGCATTCGACTACGCAGTCGAATACGTGCACGAGCGGAAGCAATTTGGGCAGCCCATAGGAGAGTTCCAGCTCATGCAAGGCGGGTGTTTTCATTTATTTCTGGTATTCAATTGACAATTTTCTCGTTTCTAGGAAAGATAGCAGACATGTATACCAAACTCAATGCCAGCCGGGCCTACGTCTATGCCGTGGCAAAGGCATGCGACACCGGAAAAGTCAGCAGATCTGTAAGTACTCAGACTTGCTGAGTGTGCTGTGCCCGAAATTTTCGCACGTCTTCGATGGCAGTTGCACATGCCGGTTGCACGGTCTTCATCTTCACCACTGAATTGAGCGATCGGTTTCAATCCCTCCGGAGGCTCCTATGATAGTTCTCGTGGATCCCCCCTTTTGTGGAGCTAGAACGTTTTTACACCACAGCTGACATGATCTTTTATATAGGACTGTGCCGGAGCTATTCTGTACTCGACGGAGAAAACCGTTGAAGTTGCGCTCGAGGGCATGCAGTGTCTTGGTGGGAACGGGTACGTGAATGGTATGTACTATGCGATAATCGCACCTCGCCCTGATCGTACAGGCACTTGATTTACCAATCTTTTAGATTACCCTATGGGACGGATTCTACGCGATTCGAGGCTTTACACAGTTGGCGCCGGTACCCAGGAAATTCGACGCATGCTCATAGGCCGAGAATTCAACGCTCAGTTCGCAAAGTCAAGGTCTTAGTTCCTTCTCCGAGTGGTCGATTGTATTATTAGTGGACGTAGGTGGACGTGTACATCATCATCATGAGAAATATCCTGTTTGCGATCTTCGATCAACTCAAAATGGCCAGAAAATCGGAAAAAACGGAAGACATTATTAACTGGAAAGTTAGGGGTGATTTGCTACGGAGTACTTTTCGTTGTTACCACCATGACCACCACTTCTGTCGATGATTTTTTCAGCTCTCCAGCAAGTTTTTCTTTCGCGAACACGTCTATGCGCCAGCGGACTCAGCAAGCTTGTGACAAGTGTCGAGAACGGAAAACCAAGGTCAATCGATTGCTCTAATTAGGCTTGTGATCGTCTAATCCTCGATATAGTGTTCCGGCGAAAAGCCGGTCTGCAAGCGTTGCACTACCCGGGGCTTGATTTGCCAGTATACCAGTAGGGAAACGCGCGCGCGGGGAAGCGCCTCTACTCCAAAGCTGCGGAGCGCGGTGTCCAGCATCGATTTGCACGGTTCCAAGTTACACCAGGAAAAGCAACGAGAAAGGGATTACCACTTTCTACGACAGCAGAGCCACAATCTGATCTCCCACGATCTCTCGACGTCTCCATCCTCGCAGTTTCCTCCACAACCATTCCAGCTTACGAGTCAGCCACTCCAACCGTATGCACCGTATCAGTCCCATTCCCAGCCAGCTTCTCTCTCTGGTTCACCAGTGATCGATTCTTTTCCGCCATCGCAGTTACAGCTACCTCCACTTCCACAGTATTCAGACAGCAGCCAGCCCTTGGACCCACCGCCAAGTAACGATGGCCAGTGCCATCCCATTCGGAGGGCTCAAAGCCAGTCTTCGCTTCCCTATAACTTCGAGGAGCCGTATGCTCCGCAGGTGTTTTCACGCTATGGATACTACCTGCCCAATGGGCTACCGAGCTCTACCATGCCACCTCAGCAACACCACAGTCACCACCGCAGCCTGGATGCTATCTATAACACGTCCCAGCCCATGCCTACATACGGCTTCCAAAACCTAAGTCTAGGCGATTCATACCCGCCACAGCTTGCCCTCGCCACCTCCGGTTCCTCCTCGTCGTCTTTCTCCGGGTCGGCGGACACTTCGCCTATATCAACCTGCGAGTCAGATCATGGTTCGATGCCTTTGACACCGTCCCCAGTGATACATACACCAACCCCGTTAGCATTCCAGAATGTGCAGCTGTTGCAGGAAAGGAAGGTTATGGAGTTCCAGACTGCGGAACGGTGGTGACTAGGGTAGAAGGGGTCGTTTTTTGAATAGAGCTGGATTCGTTCAATTTGGGATACAATCTGGAATGTATAGAATAGAATCTTATAATTCGACAAACACGCTACTTAGGTTACTATATGTATTGCATCGACATCTTAACTGCGTCTGTGGAACCGAAGCTACCAGACAGTAAAAAATAAATTACAGTGAGACCTAGCGAGATCTATAAAGGCTGGAATTCATTGTAGCCAGTCGAGCCTGGCCTAGCGAAGTACGTATTTCCGAGAGCGTGGTTCCCCAATGGAGAGAGAATTTCTAACCTGCAGCTCTACAGAGTGTCTTTGACTTGTAGTGATTTCTTGCGCTAGCAGAATTTCAGGAAGTGGACCTTCTAAAAGTATTCAAGTTCGGACTCGCCCTCAGGCGAATGCACCCTTCATTGCCAAATCTGCCTGCCCAACCTGATCATTGTGTACCAGTCCGCCTAAAAATTTATCGTGGCGGTTACCGAAGCCAAACTCCGATTTCTTTTATTGTTTGTAATAATGGTCTGTCTGACCTAACTTGATGCTGTTATTGTGCCGGAGTGGTTAACGGGATCGCCTGCTACAATTTCCAGCGGTTGGGCTTTGCCCGCTAGAGTTCGAATCTGTACGGTGACGCCTGTTTTACTACTTTTGGCGCCTCCGATATCAAAAAAAAAGCTTTTGCCCCTTAGAAGGCCTTTCTTCACCTCACAAGTTGTGACTTCGTTCTAACCCAACGATCATACCATCCTGCAATGATGGTATTCACGGACCCGATCTTGCAAGGGGCATTCGCACCTGCCTCATAGGTAGTGTCTCTTACTAATAATTTATCGTTGGATCAATGTAGCCCACGATCAAAACCTTAGGTTTGCTACGCTATCCTATGATCTGAGCTCTTCTAAGGACGTTCTTCCTCCTACGTCATCATTTTACAACCATCCAGCAAAATAAGTGCTCCCCCAACGTCGAGTCGGAGTCAGCGGTGTGAGATCCCAAGATACGGGCCCCAGGGGTCATTCGAGATATGGCCATGAGTGGACTGATTCGGTGGTTCCTGTTTCGTTTCCTCGACTATGACTCGATTAACAGGAACTTTCAAGTCTCTGCAGACTCACTTCAGTGGTATCCCAGTATACAGTGTCATCTTCCGTCGTCCGAAGTCGAGTTTACGCCGGCCTACGAACAAAATCAAAAGCTGTAAAATCGTTCAATGGTAAGGTTGTAACAAAACTCCTAACCCCCCCCCAAATAACCATTTACCTTCTAGGTAAAACGCTAGGTTTTATTCACCAATATAACGTAAATCTGCCTGATGTACCGGAGTTAACCCCAAGTCCAGCAATTTGCAAGGATCCTGAGGTCGAAAGTGGTACAGTGCTGGTCTTGGAAACTTCATTACTATCACATTGGCTGTCATAACAAGAAACATACTCCATCAAATATGCGTGAAACACGGCGAGGATATTTTGTACAGTCCAAGATCGAAGAGGCAGAAATGTGCATACAAATAGTTCTAAGAAGGTCACTGCCCTTTGCTCCTAGGCACTCTGGGGTCAGGCAAGACCATGCAACCACTCGACATCAAGTCACGTCTGGATGGATATACAGTCATTCAGTCGGTCCTTCCCTCCTGAGAACTTTAATAAACAGCTAACTTTTGCCTTATAAGTTTATCCGTTAAGGATTTTCGAACCACGGAAAACCTAGAGACGTTCTGGGATTCTGCATACAGATTAGTCGGTATGACAGTGCGTGATGCGCCTCCGTTCACCCATCGGAGCGACTTCATCGCGTACTTCAAGGACAAAGATGAACGTTTCTTCCTTCTTGTCGACGACATCAATGCGGCTTCTTCTGATATCGTGAAGAATTTCCTCGGAGCTTTTCGATTCTTCAGAGAGTGCAGACTCAGCAGCTATTCCCTGGAAGGCATAATTGCAACTGGAACACTCAGTGCCATGCATTTGTTAAACCCATCAATGATTTTCGATGACTTCCAAAAGAACGAACGCTTTTCTCCAAGTCACGATATCATCGAAGACATGGACTCAATCTGGAGGGTACGTTTCAGTTTTAGTTTGGTACCGTTCACGGCTGAGAATATGCATATAGCCATCCCGCAACTGTATGCTTATGTGGGCAGTCCATCCGTGACAGACGCCAGTCCTCACACGAGGGTGAGAATGTTGCTTTTATCCATTGGCAGCGGGACACCATCCATAAGCTGTATGACTGGATTAGCCTTCATCCTGTTTACAAGAAGATACTGCAATCACTTCAAGATGCTGACGCCCTCGATGCTGTTACTCTTCTCTACAGTTGCTTCCTTTGCAATCTTGTCCCCGTTTACATTCATTACGAGAAAGAGAAAGACTTTGCTGAGTCCTTGACGGCAGAGGGCGTCCTCTCTAAGCTGGATACGTTCCAATCTGAATGTTGGATCTCTTCGGCAGTGGTGGATGGTTCCTTGCGAATAAAGCTCATCGCTGAAAAGTTTCTGCACTTCAGCCAGACCCTTCGCCTATAGTACAGAACGACACGGTCGTCGTCGATATTTTAGGGACGGCACCGCGGTATTTCAACAAAGAACTCATGCAGGGTTCATTTGGCAGATCGTACAAGGCTGCAGATCTTGTTGGTGGGCATCGAGGACATTCGGTTCTACGCCAAGGGGTCTATGAAACCGAACTAGGGAGGATATCCTCCAATTGGCTTGACCCGTCTGCCGCTTGGTTCGTTTCCGTCGGATGGGATTCATGCATCGACGAATCCACCCCAATATCATTCTTACTAGTTAATATTAAGAACTCAGTCACTGGAAGGAGAGAAAATGACCAACTCGGTGTCCGTCCGAATGAATTATTATTTCCAAATTAGCTGCTGGACGTTAATCTGGCATTCCATACCTGCGTTAAGTGTCTGGGATGATGGATGCTCGAGGATCATAGGACTCGGAAAAAGTCCAGGATGACAGTTGAGGTAAAATAAAATTACACGAGAGGAAAGTGTACATATATAGCAAATCTAGTGTTTACTCTGCATTCTCTTCAGGCTTCGACTGTTCCCAGATCCTGTAGCTTTGCCACCAGATCGGGTGGAACGTCCCTTAGGATATTCAGGGGCAGTGCCGCTAAATCGCCCACTCCGGAGCTGATGCTTTGATGTACGGTCACCTGGTCGTCATCAACAGGCTCCCCAACTTTGTGCAATGCAACGCTTCGTTTCCACTTCACAGTGACATAATTTATGGAACAGTCAGCTTCAGAAGAATCAGTGTCGGCATAGTTAGCTTCCTCCAAACCAGTAGTCACAGCCCAGTCTATCTCTCCTTCCTCGACCGAATCAAAATCTTTCCAGGGTCGGATCTTGCCTACAGTAGATTGCGCAAGACTTTCCAGGTATTTCTCAAATTTTTTTCTGCTTGTGCTGAAGAACTGGTCAAAGGACTGATGTGCTGGAAAATCTTTGCTAGCCTCAACAGATTGGTAGGCATCGACCAGCGACAGCGACATTTGTCTGGGAGGAAGCCGGGCACTCGGTACTCTCTTGGAAGTGACTGAATGGCAGATTTGTATAACTCCGCCTTCATAAAGAAGGCAGAGCGCTGTATGGACCCTCGGGTTTGATGAGGAAAGATATCTCGGAAAGCATGTTTCTGAGTCCCAGGAGGGATCAAGGGAACGGTTGACAAAATTGAATAAGCACCTATTCAACATCATGGAGGAAGTTGTGTATCAGTGGTTTTGGCAGTAGGCAGTTCAGTGATTTATCTATGAATTTGAGCTGTTCTTGAGCAGACATATCCAAGACTGACAGATCCAGGTCACTTTTTACCATGAAAATCGGGGTCCCCTGCAACATGAGGAGTGATAAAGTCAGTTGGCATAGGATGAGCATGGGTTACTCTTTGAATATTTTGATAAGAGCCTCGTATACTCAAGATCTGATACCTTGCCTTGATTGTTGTTACAAAGGGGACGTTTCCAGAGGATATATCTGGGTGAATGTGGTCACTGACGTAGAGATATCTAAGCCCTGGATACATACGGTGTCAGGCCTATATGGGGCAATGCAAACATACTATACCTTTGAATGCATGGAGAAGACCACCAATAAATTTGCTCTGGTCATATTCCTTGTCGAGAGGAATGCCAAGCTCAGAGAATAGCACACAACCATGTTTTCGGCTAGTATACAAGTACCCTGGAGTCGGGTACTGTTGGCAATTCCCTGTTATTGCCTTGCCAGCAGAAGCCTAGACATTGTACATAGCATATGGGCACTTGAGGGACTGTATCGCGTCTTCATATGGACAACGTTGCAAGTACCAAAGTCCATGAAGAATTTCTTGTACAGTGAAGGGTCTGTCTGTGCCGACTGTTCATCGATGAGATGGAATATGCGCTTTTGAATGTCGATCTCAGATGCAGGATCCAGTGGTATCCAAACATCTTTCAGAGCAAATGCCTGACCATTGGCATCACTAAGCTTGCGTACTCTCCAGACTCTCGTAGCACGAGATACAAGTCCGGATGCCCGAAACGAGCTCAGGCACTCACTCGACAGTTCGACATACTTCATCGCCAATGAGGTAGTCATACTGGATACGATATTTTTCGCCGTTGTCAATCGGAATTGCGATGCGGACAGTTGAGGTATCGTAACCGAGGTCTTCTAAGCTTCCAAACGACATCGAAATCACATAGTGTATTAGGTGCTTGTAATCCTGTGCCATGATTGAAAATGTGACCTTCCACAAAGAGACTTGCCACGTACATAGATAAAATCAAACGTTGTAGATATAAGAACGAAGGCTCTTGAGAAGTACCACAGCCTAGTGGTAGTGTTCGTAATCGTTGCACTAAACATGAATCGGCGATAAGGGTCCGCGTACATCATTTGAGCGACATTTCCCAATATTTTCTTGTTGTTCTGGGGAAAGATATTACTCGTTCTGTACATCTGGTGGAACAGGTTTTATTCACGTCGTTCTCATCTGTCCATCTATCTTTACATTTGTACTCCTCGATCTCTATACGGTCATAGGCCAATGCCACCTGGAATTCATGAGCAGCAAACACATTTGAGAGACTAGGTAAATGTTTCCATACCTTTGAATTTTTATCGTACGGACACAGGCCTCCGTACTTGGTTGCATTTTCATTGGGAACAACTCTAGCGCCGAGAGAGATGCACAGCTTGTAGTGCCCATCTGATATGAACTGCGCGTTACGGCCTTCAGAGATGGCGGATTGCCTTGGATTGGTCTGCATTGTTGCCGTCGGACGACACTTCAGCAGGACGGTGGCTTCTTTGACGATGGCAGCAGCAACAGAGTCGAGGAGATGGAAGGTTGCATCCTCGGTGGGTGCATCGGCAGGATCATTGGGAAAGTCAGCCCATCGGCCGTTCGAAAGCAGAATATCTGCTTTCTGCAGACGGATCGCAATCTCTTCCACCTGGGTCGCATTCACAACGCGGGGTAGATAGGTTTCCTTGAAATTATCCAAAGCGACTTCTGGTATTTCATGAATGGAGCTCATGTATAGGGTATTGCGTTGAATCTTGATTCAAGAAGACTGAAAGACTGATGTATTGGTCGAAGCAAAGGAATTAGGAGTCGTGCCTGATCTGCTATGGGGCCAGAGTTGTCCTGCGTACCGGCTTGGGCGACCTCTGCTTGATATACGAAAAGTATTTCAGTTCTACAATCATCCGTCTGTCGAATTTTAATCTCTTCGTCAAGAATATATTGTTGGCTATTTGTGAATCCAACTGCCATAGTATCACCTTCAATTTCACTGCAATGGGTACGGCCTTTCACCGGATAACATGGGGCACCGGCATTGCATAAATTGTCCGTCAGTCACTCCTCGTTCGAATAACTGATTACTGTCTGATCTAGTAATAAAGTAACTGTAACATATCTGGGGAATGCAACTTGTAGTGTCGATGGCGCCACAGATTGCGTACGGTTGACACTCAGTCCCCACCGATGTACCATGAGTGCAAAATGGAATGAATCATAAATAACAGAAGTACAATATATACAATATAATGGCTTATATATGGCGTATGACCTTAATTCATTAATAGCATCTCGTTACTTCTTCAAAAATTTCTCCACGACATCCACCCAGACCTGTACATCAAAGTACTCATACCAATAGTGCCCGAAGTCGTAAGACGGGACCTGACCGGGCTTAGAGCCTACCGAGACCATTGTTGCCCACGGTATCATGTGAGTTATGTCCTAGGAAGAAAGACTAATGTCAGCGGAACGGAAAACCTGACGGGAATATTGTCACCTCACCTGTCCAAATGAAAATGGTATAATTTGGTCAAGACGGCCATGGACGACCAAGACACGAGTGTTGCGAGGCATATCAACAAGTTGATGCTCAAAATCGAACGATTTTAACTTGGATGTAATTAATTTCTGTGTACTGTTCAGATGTCACAGAACTCACTGCAACACCCTGCTGCGCTGAAGCCAATGAGTTCAGCATCATCTCCCAAAAATAATTATCTCGTAACTTACCTATTGATGCTGGCGGTCTAGCCCTGGAACGCGCATATAATTAGCCCGGAATTTAGTAGTTACTAAAGTGAAGGAATAAACCCACCCCCCAGATATAGCTCTCTTGAGAATGGCGGCAAAACGGGACGGGTTTTCTTGAAGCCATACAGGGTCCAACGTTGCCTGAATCATCCTTTTTGCTATCTCGAGTTTCTCCGCAGGCGTACGCATTGTGTTACATGGCGGCTTGGAATATTGAAGTCCAAGACGATGGTCACGGAGAACCACTGACCGAGTTCCGGTCAGGAACAAATGCGTACATCGGAAATGAACTGGTGTAGGCTTAGTTGGATGAAAAGGCAACAAGAGGAGTTGTTGAGCGATAACACCTGAGATGGCTATCAGTTGAAAAAAGAGAGCTGATAGCGCAGCACGATAACCGACCACCCATAGAGAATCCGCAGATTGACACGTCTCTCCATCGTAAGGATTCGATGAGGAAGAGAAGGTCGCGACTGAGGACTTCGATTGTGATCTCGTCATCGCTTCGATAGGATGAGTCGCCCATTCCCCTGAGATGACAGGTGCAAGACGCGTCAAACATGCTCGGAGACGTGCGGAAGTGGCATCATACCGGTGATCATATACCAGGACTAGCATGACGTGATCAGTCAAAATACCAAGGAAGGTTTATGTTAATCAACACACCTGGACGTTTTTCAGCGAGATGAGTACTCAGCCTCTCCCAGTCGGCCCTCAATGAGCCCATCCCACACACGAGGACTAAAGGCCTGTGGTGTCCGAGATGGTGTGAACCCAGCACCTCAAAAGCGAGCACGGCACCGTCTGGGAGGACAACAGTGGAATACGGAGCAGCCATGGGAGAAGAAAAACTGATGAGTGACCATATCTCGCTCGAATTGAAATCCTTTAAGGAAATCCCACTAGAATTATTTTCCCTACCGACCCCGACGGTGTATACAGAAAAGAATACGCCCCTATTATCGTACAGCACCCGACTGTAGCCGCGATGTTTGAATTGCAGCCGCCAGAGGCAAGAGCATGTGCTACGGATGCTTTATACCCTAGCGTTTTCTGGGTGATCGGACAGGTAGTACGCGTTCATGGACTTCTAGATATTCCGCATGAATATGAATCAAAATAAACGAGTGTTTTTTGATTCGCTGGTATGAAAGAAAATTCTCTAGTCAAAATTTATAGCTGTGGCTTTCCATCTAGAGAATTTTATGATTTGTCTCGTTAATAAAGAGCGCGACACATGCCAGTGATCAACAGGGCGAACTAACCGTTATTTCTCCTCCTCGGTAACTCCCCCTCTTCTTCTTGTTCTTTTCCTTCCGGAAACTGGCTCCGCGAGTGACGATAAGATCAGCGTGAGCTTTCGCTCCGTAGTCATTCTGAGGCGCGGACTAGTAAGAAAAAAGGAATCAACACCGTCGCTGCATTCAATTTAAGCCATGATGTCACCTTGTTCTCATACCGGTTGTCCATGATTAAATGTACAGGTACCTCATCCATCTTTATTCTCTGGAACGGAGTGTTCGTTTTCCGCCCACCACGCTTGCTATTGTTATCCTGAGTCGTGACCTGCAGGGACTCTCTGTCCACTGTCGCGGTTACAATTGCCATACCACTTTCGGACGTGCGGCGCTTTTTGGTGATCTTTGTTTCGGAAGGAACTGGCGAGGCTGCCTCTTTTTCGCGACGTAGAGCTTTCTTTCCCGCATTCGATTCCGAGCCTGAGTCAGAGTCGGAGTCAGAGTCGGAGTCAGAGGTCGATGATGATGAACTAGACGATGAAGACTCGTCGGAGGACGAATCCTCTGCCTTGGATCTCTTGGACTTCACCGCAGCAGCCTTGGTAGGAACGGATGTCTTTGCCGCGGAAGTGAGCGGGAGCTTCTCGGCGGTGACTTTCACGGCCTCTTCATCTGAGCTGCTATCTGTTGCTAATTGCATCATCGTGTTTACACGATCTTGGTCACCGGACTCACCATCGCTGGAGGAATCACTCCCAGACGACAGCGTCTTACTTGTGTCTCTTTTCGCGGAGTCATTTGATTTCTTGTCCTTCACATCTGCCGAATCTGTGTCAGCTTATAGGAACGGTGACGGGTGCTTTTGGACACGGGTGTAATTAGGGACCAAGGGGGCAGAGCACTAACCTGGCTCCGAACTTGACGAAGAATCATCTGTATGGGGAATTCTATGAATTTTTTCGGGTAAGATACGGTATTGAATTACCATCGGAGTCCTCGGAGCTGGAGCTTGAGGACGGAGAGGGAGCCTTCGATTTGGGAGGGGCGGCCCTGGAGGACTTTACGTTGGTTGCTGGTTTGACAACAGGGATATCAGAATCAGAATTGGAGGATTCAGAGTCGGAAGACGACGACGATGACGCCGAGGGAGCGGTCTTCTTGTCTTTGCTATCTTGCGCAGGCTCAGGCACTTTGGACTTTGAGGTTGGAGTCTTGGAGGCGAGCTTTTTCTTGGTTTCTTTAGAACTGGAGTCGGCAGAGGCTGTATCGTGACTGGATTCAGTACTTCTTGGACAAGGTTGAAAGACGAGAAACACACAATCCGAATCTGAATCCGAGGAGTCCGAAGCTGTTATGCGACGCACCACGTCAATACCACTCAGCACATGGTTAGACAGACGTACAGTCAGAGGAGTCGGACTCCGCTTCCGAAGATGCTGTGGTTGATGAAATGAGCGTTGCGTCAAAACCGTACATGACAAAGTGGCATACAGTCAGAATCTGAGCTGGAGTCCGAGTCTGAACTGTTATTACACTTTCATGAGAAATATTGCCTCCCATAAAGGCAAATGAACACACGAGTCCCCGCTGGTTGCCTTTTTGTATCGCTCAACTATCACATCCAGGCTTGGGCCAGACACTGTAACATCATCCTTGAGAATAACGACATCCTTCACGGTTTTTTTCAAAACAGAAGCTGCTTTGGTATGTTTATGATTGATCAGGAAAGCATGAATTAGGGTATATGTCGCTAAAGAGCAGGAAACCATTAGAAAAGATCAGTGGGTAGGCGGATCACCTACTAGCAAGATTTCCGGCCATAGCATCTACAATTGAGGGAGACGAAGGGACAGCGATGTTCAAAATTTGTTGAATTATTTTTGAAAATATGATCAGTCACATGCGGTCCCAGCGGCATCCCAAACAGGAAATCCTCTCAAGGGCCGGGTATTCCATTTCCTTACTTTCTTCACCATGGCCAGCATTAAAGGTCTCTCGCCGTCGGAAACGAAATACGACGGCTCTGCGCTCAGAATTGCCATTGTCCATGCGCGATGGAATAGGGAGGTCATCGATGCGCTGGTGGCAGGTGCAATCCAGAAGCTGAAGGAGGCCGGCGTCAAGGAAAGCAATATTGTCGTACAGTCTGTTCCAGGGAGCTTTGAGCTGCCTTTGGCGTGCTCTAGGTGCTTTTTTTCATTGTAATACTCTTCATTTACTTATGTGTTTGTACTAGGATGATTGCGGGCTCTCATATTCAACTGGCCTACAATGATACCGATCTCCTCGGTGGACTCAACTTTGGTACATCTTCCCGGACGGGAACGCCCGCGCCAGTTGCCGCCGTTACCATGCCCAACGAACCCTTCGATGCCATCATTGCCATTGGTGTATTGATCAAGGGCTCAACCATGCATTTCGAGTACATCTGCGACAGCGTTTCGCATGCGCTCATGAAAATCCAAGTGGATACTGGCGTTCCGGTCATCTTTGGCGTGTTGACCGCGTTGACGGATGACCAGGCTCTTGAGCGGTCAGGCCTTGGGCGAGGAGCCAGCAAGGGCCATAATCATGGCGAAGATTGGGGACTGGCTGCTGTAGAAATGGGTTCGCACTGCAGGAGATGGGGCCAAGGCAAGTTTGCATAATCAGGAAAATGGAAAGAAGGACTTGAAAGTTCGAACTTTGTATAATATCAATATGTATAGAGAACAACAAAGGACGAAACTGAAATGTACTGTTGACCGTCAAGTTTCTTGATGTGAACGCCATGATGGATATGGAGTGGGTGCTTGTGGGTGCCAGTAAATTGTGACTCGGTCGTGACGTACCTTGATTGCATACTATCTCCACTGCTTGCTCTCCTTCAGAAGATCCTCACGCAATGAAGAAAAAGGTATTTTGAATTTTCCAGTATCCCTCCTCTGTAATATCGACATTTCCAGGTTCTTCTCATGGGCGCTTCTGGCAGCGGAAAAACGTCGATGCGGTCTCTGATCTTGTACGTCTTCTGGATAGCTAAGAGGATTTTTTTTAAAGATGAATCCATCAGCTCGAACAATCCAGCATCCATGACAGCCCGCTTAGGCGCAACTATCGACGTCGAGCAAAACCATGTCCGCTTCCTCGGCGACCTTATTCTCAACCTCTGGGACTGCGGCGGTCAGGACGCATTCATGGATTCTTACCTCACCACCCAACGGTCGACCATCTTCCAGCATGTCGGTGTCATGATATACGTATTCGACGTCGAGACGCGCGAGATGAACAAGGACCTCGAATATTACCGTGACTGTCTGGAAGGACTGCGGCAGTACAGTCCAGGCGCTGCCGTTTTTTTGCTGGTGCACAAAATGGACTTAGTGAGGGAGAACAAGCCGGTGACGTTTGGGAAAAAGCACAAGGAACTCCAGGTGGCAAGTGGGGATGCCGACATCACCGTGTTCGGGACAAGTATCTATGACGAGAGCCTTTACAAGGTCCGCTTATCCTCTCTGTTTCTCGCCTCCCCCCCTCTCACCACATGTGTGACAGGCATGGTCCAGTATCGTACATACATTGATCCCCAACGCCGCCGTCCTGTCGAAACATCTCACCACTTTCGCAGAAGTCTGTTCGGCATCTGAAGTCATCCTCTTTGAGCGCACTACTTTTCTCGTAATCGCCACGTCCACTTCTGCTACTGAAGACATACACAAACTCGATGGAACCCGGTATGAACGAACGTCGGAGCTCATCAAGGCATTCAAACACTCGTGTTCCCGAGTACGAGAGGAGTTTCACTGCTTAGAAATGGAGCTGCCAGATTTTACGGCCGTACTGGACGAGATGACAAGGAATACTTATGTTATGGTCATCGCCCATGATCCTTCAATAGGTACCTTATTTCATGTTCGTGACGAATGACTACTGATTGTGTGTAGAAACCGGTGCACTAAGGCTCAACATCCGTATGGCTCGGCGCAAGTTTGAACAGCTCCAAGGAGATGGGCACGTTCTATGATTCGACTCGGTGACGAACTGGAACTCCTGACGACATTCATGATAATTTATATTCCCTGAATCTGTACTTGCAATCTTTATGCACTGCATATCTCGGCGACAAGCTATTTCTCATTTACACCATTGGCCGGAGAAATGTAAGCCACGGAGGAACCGGCATCTTCTATACGTTTATGATCCGCTAAAGGTACAGGAATACATATAATAGACGCCAGGACGCCGGATAGACTGGGGCAGAGTGGAATTAAAATTGATTATGCTACAGCGAATGGAAAGGCGGGGTTGCGTACTCTGTACGTTTGTACGAAAATTCACGACGCCGAAGACACGGAAGAGTGGAGAAGGAGGATATCAACGGTTTGTATGGGATGCTACCAATCTGTGTATTTAGGAGACCCAAACTGTCAAAAAAGCAAGGATGAGCGACCAGATGACAAAAGAAAATGATTATACAAACAAGAAAGAGCGATGACGAGGTACAGTGTGATGAGCCTGAAACAAGAGAATAAGCAACGGACGCGATAAGAGAATGTATCGATTCCTACATGAGGCCTTCCATGTAGTTGGACTTGCCATCCCTAAAGAGGTATGTCACAAAAGTTCTCAGAATGCGACTAATCCGTGCTTACTGAATGAGAGTGTTGACGAGGAAAACAGAAACGAAGAAACAGATGGTCTGCGCAGAAATAATTAATTCTGGAATAATCATGCCCAGAATGGGACATACCTCGAAGTTAGCGAAGAATAGAGTCAGCTCGTGATGAGAGCTAATAAAATACAGTTAGCATGTGCTTTCGCCGTCCTCTTTCCACTCACATCCATCCAACGATGACCAAGAGCGGCACAACAAAGGTTGCAATTTGCTGTACAGGACTTTAATTTCAGGCGCGTATGAAGTAAGAAAAGGCTTACGATCGAGCTTCCCACACATATACCAATCGTGAGTTCCATTTGACCCTTCATGGCCATCCATATCGAAGTAACATGCTCAGCAGCGTTTGCCTAGGAACATGGGAATTCCAGTGGTATTACAGCGAAGCGGTGTACTCACAACGATGGGAAGAAGAATCAATCCAATGAATGGCTTGGGAATATTATACATGTTGGCGAAATCCTCGATAGAAGCAACAACTGCAAATGTTGATCTCAGTGTATACAGCTTTCACCGAAGGAGTTCTCTTACGATAATCAGCGCAAAACGATGTCACCACGGTGACGATAATAAGACTGGTGATAGGTTATTCAGGTAAGTAAGGCGAAGGCAGCATTGTGCTCACGCTGTACCAGCAGAGACGACACTCATGTTAGCTACTTCAGACTCTTCCTCGGCTCCTGCCTGAAAAAGGTAGTGATGTGATTTCAACTACAATAAATAAGCACGCCAGTAGATGTCTTCACTTGGTAGCCTTGACATACCTGGAAATATAGATATGCAATATAAACACCCAATAATAATACTGCGGTTCCTCTTGAGATGATCAAGAGACCATTCATGCCAGCTGGATCTAAATCGATCCTATTATCAATATATGAAAGGCTCGGCGACTCGCTGGCGCTGCCACCTATGCTAAACAAGTCCGAATTCGATTTGACGGAGTGGTAGGCAGCCGGAATGATGAGAGCTGTTAGTTGCTGTTGAGCATCAGAATTTCAAACCTCCCAGTGAAAGGGACTAACTAATACATGCAAGCGTCATCAACTGATATAGGATGAGTGACATAGCCCAGAGAGGCAGTGAGAAACACATACCGAGCTGGAACTGAAGTTGGGCTAATATTAGTAACCGAGGAGATGAACGTAAAACGGGATGATTGCTTACGTCTGAGCAGCTGTTACTTGGAAGTTGCTTTCGTTATACCGGGTGCCAGCTAATGACCATGATGACATTAGGAAACCGGGCATATACGGCTACGTAAGACATACCTGCCAAGAAAGAGCATCCTAGCACTAACAACAGGTTGGATAGGATAGAGCCAAGCATCTAAGGAATTATTAGGTCAAGTGGAAAAAAAAGAAGCGATAAAAGTCGTACAGAGTTCTGGACGATGATCAATTCATCTAGGCTCTCCAAGTCAGTTTAGACATGCGAATAATGCCATAAACTTGCCTTGAAGCAACGCCGCAATGCCAACAATGATTTCAACTGCGTTTCCGAACGACGCGTTCAAAAGACCGGCCAAGGTTTGTCCCAGCTTAAACGACATCTGTTCGGTCGCTTCGCCAAGGAGCTGTTCGCAATTTGATTAAACCGACTCGGCATTGACTACGGATTTGAACAGCGACGCACCTTTGCCAACGGAACGATGGCGATGAAGCTGAAAGAGAAGCGCAAGCCAGCATCCCAGTTCAGGTAATGTGCCGTAGCGCAAAGAGGGACGAATAAAAGAAGGACATTTAGATAACTGCCTAATAGGAAGAACTTGTAAGAATCAAGCCAAGAGGGTTCGCCTTCAGCTTTGAAGACCGCCGAGCATCGTTTGATAAAAGACGACCGAGTCCCGTTGGCAAGGCCATTGGTGGTAGGCAGCAGTGGCGTCAGCTCTGACGATAGAGAAGCCATGATGAAAGTTTTAAAGGAGAAGAGTATTTGAGGTCCAGGTAAAATGTGATTCCCAAAATAGTATGTTGAAGGCTGTGAATGTTTTAAGCTCCGCTAATCTATTGAGTTCTCGAATTCTAGAAACAAATAATTTAAAAAACCTCTATTTATCCTCCGTGTCGGCGTTGCTTTCCACCACCTTGCTATTTCCCAAGTGTGAGATATCGCTGTATTGGACCAGCTCGGCCTTTCCGTCCTTTCGTATGTCGATAATTGATACAGAACAGTTATAGCACCTCCAATCGTCTACGCTGACGACTTTAGCGATGCGCTTCTTGGCCAGCAGGTTCTTGATCAAGGTGCTGATGAATCCCCCATGGGAAACAACGAGGATGTGATATGGCATCGCCCTCTCGGGAAGAGTTTCTATGTGCCGACGGACCGAATTTTCCCACCAAGACAAACTTCGCGTGACGAACGCGTCTGCCTTTTCCGCCGTTGGGTCCGAGTTGATGCTGCCAAAGGCTCGCTTACGTGCGTGGGTCTGGCCTTGCAGGCTTCCAAGATGCTGTATTTTATTCTTAGCATCTCGAAAACGTGCCCGAACGCGCTACACACCCTTTCCCGCAGTCCAGATTGTTTACGGAGCTGGACACGAGGATGGCATTCTAGGATCATTTCTGCCGTCTAAAGAGCCCCGATTAGTACTAGTGGATTCAAAGACAATAACATGGTATAACCTTCGATGCCCTGCTCAGATCTGAGCTGTATCCTTCGTCAAAGGAGATTTTCTGCAATGCCTCGGATACCAGCGCCGCTTGCTCTATGCCTGACTCGTTCAAGTGGGTATCAAGTTGCCCTTGAACAATTTCTCGCCTATTTGCCTCGGTCTCACCGTGTCGTACGAGGTATATCCTTGCTGCAGTCATGATCGATAGCGATCGAAAGGCAAAGTCAGATATTAATTGGATTTCTGAGCTAGGAAACCCTAACCTTGCTGGTATTGCTTATCGTGTTATATGTCTTGGCAGTCTTGGCATTCCCACACATAATTTCAAATGACGTCACCTTATGATTATCACATAATGAACGCGTCGCGTATTGATCACATGACGTTTTCGGCTTGCCTAGCGACCACGACCACCTGTTTGCTCGCCTACACTCCTTTGGACCCTTCAGCCATGCAGAACCAGCTCAACAAGACTGAAACGCAGGCAATATCGTCTGCGCAGAGTCTTGCATCGGTCCAGACGTTGTTAAAAGCGGGATTGGGGTGCATAACCTTTATGAGGTGAGTACGATTTTCTTATTCACGCTACGCCTTTACCTTATGGCTGCTCAGGGATCTTCTCCCTCACGATAACTTCTCAGAGAGTGAGCTTCAGTCTGCCTTGTTGTCGGCATGAGGTTGATGTGTGACCCAGGTCATTTCGTCACATCTGAAGAGAGCACCTCGCAAGATTCGTCGGGAAGTTTCTCGTCCCTTGACCTGCAGAAGAAACGAAATGTTAACAGTTTTAAAATTATGGTATGTCATTTCAGGTGGTGTTTAGATTATATCTGTGTTTGAGGCAGAAATGTAGACGATGACAAGAGGATATACCGATGAAGCCGATCGGTTGTTGAACTATTTGGTAAGTACTCTTCTGTATGCTCCACGTGCCGCCATTTTATCTCTTTGTAGGAATATGGAGTATTTGACGCCCTCCAGAAGCAGTATTTGCGTACTTTCATCTTCGCCGTTTACCTCGTAAGTTTTTTTCGGACCTCATTTTGGCTTTGGTGTTCATATTTCGTTAGGATAGCAAGGATCCCAACAAGTATGTGCGCATATATGGAGCTTATCATGCGTATAACTGACAATTACGTCGAAAGCATCATCGAAGCATACATATTCAACTTCCAGGTAAACAGATCCTAATCGAAGGGCTTCCTTTTTTCTTACTCTTTTTAGTATCATAAACTTCCCGGAACTGACACCACTGTCCCTGTCATGACACTTGGCGACGATACAAAGCGCACGCCACTCAGAGGGTTCAACGCTAGACAGAAAGATCCTGTCGCTGAGGCAGTGAGAAAAGGGAAGCAACCTACACTTCGAGATGTTAAAAGAAGTGTTAAGGCACGCAGTAATCTCCACATATTACTTCCTGCTGAAAAATGACCTGCTGTCTAGACCCTGTTGAAAACGTTAATCACATCGATGACACAAATGGACGTTCTTCCAAGTGAGCTAATCTGGAACTATCTAATACCTCCAAAGTATTAATTTTGCAGAGCGTCGGTTTGCTTCTTTCAAAATGTTTTACACGGACGACACCCCTTCCGAATACGAGCCCCCTCATTTCATAGCTGCGGACGCGGAGAAGGATAAATGGTATTTTATGACTCATGACATGGATGAGATACCGGATAAATGGAGCGTTGGAAAGGTTGATACGGGTCATCATGCGTACGTTCTAATACCCGCGCTCTTCATCACACTCTTCAAATTCTACTTTCAGCGTAAATGTCAGCGTGACTTCTATCGCCACCTACCTCCCTTCTTCGACAGAATATGACAATGCACCATTTACTGGGACTACGACGCGCCGCGCGACCGCACCTGGCCTCTCTCCCGCTGAAGAGGCATCGCTACGTATGGAGCAAGCCGCCAAGCAGAAAGAAGACGCTGAAAATAGAAATATCGTCTGGTCAGCAGAAGATGTGATGTGTGAGGAAGACGCAGACGGAGAGGATGAGGCTGATTTCGTGCAGCAGCCTGACGGTACATATGTTGCTAGAATGATCCGGCAAGAGGCGAAACCTATACCGATAGGCGTCAGAACAGATGGTGGCTGCATCGAACCGATACCAGCAGAGATGATGCCCGCTGACGAGGAAGTCTTTGGTGGGTCAACCCAGACTGTGCCGACGCGTCTCAATGATATGGTAAGAGTGTGCTCAATCTTATGATCACTTGTTGGCACTTAACGCTGTTTTGTAGCTCGCGAAGAAGGCTGCGGAAGTCGTTATGATCGACGAGACGCAACCCGTGGGTGATCATACCCCAAAACTTGGATGTCTCGCTTCGGAGAGGGAGAAGTCTACCTCCATTCAGCCCCGAGACAATTTACTTGACTTCTCCCCGATGCAACCTTGCCTCGGCTCGAGATTAACGACTCCTTCTCCTGGATCCCCACTGCGCAGCATTCCTGATAATAATGACATAGACACACAGCTATTGCAGAAGCTAGTGTTAAGTGCCAATAATGGAGACGATACTGAGATGCTAGGTGCGACGATTAGATACTACCTATTACTTGTTACTTGCCATCTCTCAGATATGGAGACGCAAGCACTAGATTATTGCCATCCCTCAGAGGGTATACAATCATACGGGCCAAGTAATCAAAGCGTCCCCGAGGTCATCGACGCCGATACTGCAACACCAAAGCAGGCGAAAAAAATCAAATGCGACACTGACGTCGTTGAATGCGAATGTGGTGTTTTTGTGCGTCGTGATTCGGATCCCTCCTACAGCTTCTCATGTTCAAGCCGCAGTTCGAGGACAGCTGCTGCCTATGTGAAGGCGGTTGCCAGCGCTGGTACCATGTCTGGTAAGTGCACGGTCATACAACACGTCAACCTTATTTTCTGACCATTTTCTAGGTGCATGGGGTATGTAACTACCTCTTACCCCATCAATTCACTTTAAGCTTCTCAGATATCATTCCGCCCAAGATCCACGCCTTCCGGAACTGTTTATCTGTTTTGACTGTCGTGTGCGCGCCGACCCATCGTGGGGGTTGATTAAAATGGACCTTTTTTCCACGATGCTGTCCAAATTCAGAGAACTAGCAACTTTCAGGTGTCGAGTTTCCGAAAATTTTCTCATCTCCTGTTGACTTGTTTCCAGGCGAGCGGTCAAAATTGCTGAGAAATTTGAACCCGAAACAGCTGCTCAGTTCACGAAGCGAATGGGTATAATCTTATCGATCCTGTGTGAATAGATCTTGATTCGACATCACAGGATGCGAGAACAATCTTGGTAAACAGTTGTTCAAACGCCTGGAGATTGAAAGTATGCAGGGCTGTTTGACGTATTTCTCTGGCAATTGCTGACGATCTTCTCAGACTTCATAATCGAGCATGAGACTGTCGTCAATGATATTGGTCTCACGGAGAGTCTAGCTCGGAACGGTAAAGGTAAAGGTAAGACGAAAGGAAAGCAAACGAAAACTCGGAGAAACGTCCAAAAAGCGAAATATGTTTTTAATCGTCAATCGAAACATTCCAAGGAATATTCAGATTATTTCGACCCAAGTCACGAAGCGGAGAGTCGCCTCTTAGGCTTGCTACAAACGGTTAGTGATGTCCTATCAACCTAGAACGACATACATAGTAACCCACTCCAGAAATCAAGCGCGAGGTCACGCCCTGACCTGTCGACAATAAAACCTCAGATTACCCCGCTGCCTCCGGCCAAAGTTCTCGTGAATGACACGCAGACTCAGGACGACCTTGATACTCAGACGGCGCTACCTTCGTTATCCGCCGACAAGTTGAAACGATCTACACTTGACGAAGACTCGAGACCCAGGAAGAGGGTGAAAGTTTCTGTAGCGCCTGGTGTCGATCTGGCGGAGTGACATGCTGGTTCTTTGGTCTTTGGTTATTCTTTTGCTTCGGAACGCTCTGTGCTTGCTGTCTTGTTCACATCACTTCTAGCGGGATGCTGCCGAGAAAAGTGTATTGTTGCTATGTCACCGCCTGTTCAACCCAAGATTGCAGAAATGTATCGATATCATTGCTGATAGACGTCTAGACCATCATCAGGGTTTACGTAGTTCAAAGTAGTCGATGTTCATGTCATCAAAGTGCAATGACCATGCCGCACGGATTAACAACCTGTCCTGTTCTGTGGGAGAAAGGTGCAACATTAACAAGTCTCACTGATGTCTAGGCACTTTAGCTTCATCCGGGCCAAGGAGATCCTTAAATTCAATGCTCTCCAGATTTGTGACTGGACCAGAAGCTGCGCCTATAGTTGCCGCCACCTCTAGGACAATGGTACTCTTTATCGGTGTATGTACCTTTAGTGCCATATGAACCTCAGGTGCTAAAAATGGTTCCTTCAGCTCCACTAGAAAGGGACTATCGTGCACCTTGAAGCAACGAAAAGATCAGAAATCTGAATGCCATTATTCTGAGCCAGTTTCAGACTGGCGCTGCGAACGAGTCAGATCTACTTTTTACCTTTGAGAATACGGAATGCACCAGTCGGAAAAACGCCAGTTTCATTAGGACTAGCAGGACCAATGGTACCAATTGAAATATTGTGGACGTTCAGTTCCTTGTCCTGCTGCACGTTTTTGGCAGAATATGGTCGTCCAGATTGCGTTTCAGCCTAGGTAAGCAACAGAAGCAGAGGAGAAGTGGCGACATACAATCCGTGAAGTTCTCATAATGCTTCTCAAGTTAAGTCTCCGCGCCTCTGACATATTCGACCTGGTAAAGACGTCCTTAAGACGAGAAACCAGTGTTGTTATCGCAAAAATTACCACTGGAATGCATAGCCTGTCAGAAGCATCGACGGGTTGGGCCCTCCGGTAGAGACTTTACTTGATGGGGGATCGACAGACGCACGAAAAAGGCAGCACTCATTTTGACATGGCGCGGGAATTTCCAGAGAAGACGCGTTCTCTCGAATCCCAACGACGACCTTCATGGAAATTACATATCTTGCCTCTGCCGAGCGCGTTTTTTGTCTCTACGACATCTCCAGTACGTTTCAAGTGCGTTATTCACGGATAAATACTTATATGTATCTACGTACGTTCGGAGATTTTTATGGGGTTCGAATTCCGACGCACAGAGCCTCACAAAATCTAAAGGAAGGAACCCATTCTAGCATAATAATTCTCTAGTTTTACTCGCTAAAGGCCAAGGATTATTATCTAAATCTCACAGGCGACAGACGGAGGAAGAGGTACGGACATCTTCAGCTAGACGGATCAACGCGAGGTTACACTAATATAGCCCCACTCTGATGGCTATCTATGAGTAAACAGCCCAACCCGGTGATTCAACCCTTGAGTCCGACTTGCATGCATCCCCTCGCCTCGTTTCCTTTTTTAAGTTTTCAGCTAATAAAGAGCTAATGTCCTCGCTTCTGGAACTTTTACTGTTGCGCCCCTTAGATATGGCCTCCACCACCCTTTGTATTGACTTTCCTGTCTTTTGTGGTCAAGGTACTGCAGTCGCCAACTCGCCCCAGGCGCGCCAGCAGGCACCCGTCGACACTTCTTCTCCTTCAGGCTCTGTTCTCCTTGCTGCATACCATGCAACATTCCAGACCGAACTGAAGACGCTCTCTTCTACAGAGCTCTCTTTCCCAAGTCGACATTGACCTATCAGGCTTCCTCACCAAAGAGTCCATCTTTGCATTACCCACCGAACGGTATATCCATAATGCAGTCATTTCTGGGACCACCCTCTTCCTCCTACAGATCTTGCGCTACCTGGCGCACATCGACGCCTGAGTTACTTCCAACGGGTCTCTCACCCCGTTCAGTAACGTTTTGAAATCTAACTCTGTACACGGAGTCGGCATCCTCGGATTTTCATCAGCGATATTGCCCCCGGCCGTTGTCGCTACCTCGTTCTCCAGCGTCTCTTTCTTCTCTAGAGCTGTGGAGGCATATCTTCTGGCTATATGGACTGATGTACGCACGCAGATTTTGCGCAGCACGACACTTTCAGGCTCGCTCCCTGAAGCCGCCTACTCTTCTTGGAGTCCTGTATTTGTAAGATTGAACAAACAAGATGTGGAGGTTGCTATTTCAGAATTCTCAAAGGTCAGATCCTTCGCACCGTTTTTCATCTCCATTACTGATCATTTGGCAGACCATCGCGGAACCATCCCCTCTTTATGTCACAGCAACAATGGATGCTAATTCCGTTACTATATCAGGTCGCCCCGATACACTCTCTACGTTTTCTGAGCGTGTTACAGCACACTCGTCAGCAGCTAGTATCGTTGTACATAAGACAACGCTCGACACCTTGTACCACGCGCCACTTCATGTGGCGGGGACCCGGGAGGAGATCCTTGCCGGCGTTGTTCGGAGAGACATTCAATTCCCGCAAATGGCGGATATCCATGTTCCCTTTCCGCTCCATGTTCACCGGCAAGGCGTTGAAGAGGGATGAGACCAGGTCACTTGTTGAGCTCATTGTGGATATGGTTCTTTCCCAACCTGTCAACTGGGACTTGGTGACTTTAGGTGTTCTCAAGGACCTTCCCAATGATGCGTCTGTGCCCCTGCTTAACGTCGGGCCCGGAACAGGTCTCTGTCGCGGTATTGAAAGGGCGTCATGCAAAGAGCGTGTAAAACTGCTCGATCTTACAGCATTGGACGCGAAGAGCCATCGAAAGGAAAGAGGGAAGATATCGCTGCCGTCGCGATGGCCGTCAATATGCCGGGAACTCCAACGTCTCTAAGCTCTGGGAAGTGTTGGAACAAGGTCTTAACACAATCAGTGAGGTGCTTAAACTTTGTTTCCATTTTATTCGTTATTTGCTTACATCTGGATGGTTCCTTAAGATTCCTGAGAACCGCTTCAAAGTGTCCGATTACAGTGAAGCTAAGAACCCGAAGCGGCAAATGAAGGCACACACCGGTAACTTCATCGAAGGTGCCGATGGATTCGATAACCACTTCTTCAAGATCAGTCCTAGGGAGGCAAAGAGCATGGATCCTCAGTAGCGGGTCCTACTTCATACCACCTACGAAGCCCTAGAAGATGCCGACTATGTTCCAAATGCGACTCCCTCATTCAATCTGGATACTTTTGGATGCTACATCGGTGTAGCTACCCATCATTACTTGCAAAATCTACGTGATGATATTGACGTGTACTATAATACCGGTAAGTTCTCACACGTTCTCACTTTCTGCGGCCTCCTTTGCTTATGCATGACTAGGCGCTTTGAAAGCGTTCTTGAGCGGATACCTGTCATATTCAATGCAGCTCAGCGGTCCCTCTATCGCTGTACCATTCCCTGTCTTATCTCCCTTCATGGTGTTGCCCCTTTAGACGCGGACAACACGATCATTGACAGAGTCCATACCACTTGGGACCCTTCTCATGACGGTCAGACGAGGATGGCACTCTTGAATGACTTTGGTGCTGCTGGTTCGAACAATACGCGTTCCAGGGCTAGACCGCCAGCATCAATAGGTAAGTTACGAGATAATTATTTTTGGGAGATGATGTCAGCCTGAACTCATTGGCTTCAGCGCAGCAAGGTGTTGTAGTGAGTTCTGTGACATCTGAACAGTACACAGAAATTAATTACATCCAAGTTAAAATCGTTCGATTTTGAGCATCAACTTGTTGATATGCCTCGCAACACTCGGATCTTGGTCGTCCATGGCCGTCTTGACCAAATTATACCATTTTCATTTGGACAGGTGAGGTGACAATATTCCCGTCAGGTTTTCCGTTCCGCTGACATCAGTCTCTGTGGCACCATCGACACTACAAGTTGCATTCCCCAGATATGTTACAGTTACTTTATTACCAGATCAGACAGTAATCAGTTATTCGAACGAGGACTGACGGACAATTTATGCAATGCCGGTGCCCCATGTTATCCGGTGAAAGGCCGTATCCATTGTATTGAAATCCAAGACGACACTATGGCAGTTGGAGGCGGTACGGGATGCTCGTGTCCAGGAAGCTTAGTCCTTTCGTCAAGCGTGACCAAGCTATGAAGAACCTCTTCATCAGCGTCCGCCCTCTTGAATACTACTCGAGGATGAAACAGAGGTGTGGGAACGACCACTATCTGGGTATCTGGAAATCTGAGCGGCTCAATAATCGAGGATGGCATGGTGGTGATATCAAACCGGACGGCAAAACGACAGTCATACAAGAGAGTCCACGAAGGATCCCCAGAGTTAAACGCTTTCTGCAATGAGGCTGTGACATCATAATATAGAGGGTTTGGTTCGATGAAATCCAGCTCTTTCTGTGTCGGAGGTTGTCGGGAAGCCGTCCATCCAACGAGTTGTCCTGGTTCCCGCTTCGACATCTTTGGTAGTTCCTTGATTCCATGGGGGCTGAAGATAACCGACGTCCACTTGACGCCTGAACCAGCAACGAAGTTTCGCGTGACATACGGATCCGATTTCAGCTTGGCCAGAATGAGCTCCAGAGTCCGCATTCGACGCATACTTGTGGAACGCAGAGACCCCCAGGGATGAGGGGACACATACCGCAAAATCCGCAAAACGACATAAAGCTGTAACCTTGGCGGGATACGTTGATAATTGTGCTCGGTGATAGCAAACGTGCCGATAGGTGAGGGTTGTTTCATTTCGCTGAGCACACCTTCCACTGCATGGAAGACATCAGAGTATAATCGAAATTGTTCAGATATAACACCGACCTTCAAGGTCCATATTACGAACCATAATTCCGAGAGATTTCACGGACGCGCGCAGCTGCTCGGGCCCTATAGAACTGGTGTTTATCATAGCCGTTTTTGAGAGCTCCTCGCCGACTTTTTCCAATTCAGCCACATGTTCACCCGGAAGATTTGCACCCTTGGCATATACCTAATAATGAAGGGTAAAATGACGTGAACGAGGGCGGCAGAAATCATCCCACCTTCACGTCTGTTTCACCAGAAGCCAAGAATCCGCGAACGGCATTACGCAAGGTCAATGATGGCTGGAAATTTGTCGGGTCGATCACGTATTCAAGTTGGTTGGATTCGCAGGTAGCCAACAACCTATCCTTGACGAAGAGATGAAAATTTGACAGATGACCAATTTTGGGACTGACATACCTTCGGTATGTCAAGCAGAGGCCGAACAATCCATTTATGCATCCCAGCGAGACCTGTCCAGCCAATGTGGCCCAATTTCTCGCTAACACCCATACCCCATCTTCGAAAAGGCTTCATCCCCGCGGCACCATATGCTTTTGACCCTTTTGCAAGACGCATCAAAGACGTTTCGACCTGGTCATCCATGTGATGACCAAAAGCAATGATATCAGACCCCGACCGTTCCATTCCTCTGTGCAGCAACTCATAACGCGCCAATCTAGCAACTCCCTCGACACCAATCTTTGGCAGGTCAGGATACTTTTCCAGGTTCCAAGGGATGGACATTCCATAATGCCCAACACCCATCGCTACCGCACGCTGAGCACATAGCCCTGCCATGCTCGTAGAGCATTCTTGCAGACCGTGGTCGACAGATATCGAGACGATGCGCATAGGATACGCAGCGCCTGACTTTTCTCCATTTTGTTTCGCGAGGTCATCGACATATCGCTTGAGCAGGAACACTAGAGCTGTTGAATCTGGGCCCCCAGAGTTGGCGACGGCTGGTAAATCGTAAAGTCAGTACAGGGTCAAGAACGTATACTAGCACAGTTACCTATGGTTCTACACCATCCGGACGGTGGCACACATCGCATAAAAGAATGAGCAAACTCTTCCCGCGACACAGGGAGCGTCTTCTGCGCAAAGGTGTACGCATTCCGTTGCATGTAGTGGAGAAGGGACACGGTACCTGCTCGGGAGGCCGATGCCAAATATATGAACGTTCCAGATTTGGACACAACCGCAAATTAGAAGCGGAAGTCAACTATGCAATAAAAACAGATATGGATGTATACAATACGAATTGTAGAGCAAGTACATTGCAAGATAGCGAACAAGCGGAAGATCCATCGTCCATTCACCGTCCCATGCACTATCCGTGAATATGTAAAACAACGCGCAGAAAATTGAAACAGAGGAAGGAAAGATCGTAAAGACGTGAAGAAACGCCAGGAAGGCTTTTGGCAGATAGTTTGGACAGGGCTTGAAAACAAAAGAAATGTACGTACAGCCATAGATTATAGATTGAGAACACTAGCAATCATACAAAAGGGAAGTTAAGAACCAAGACCCATATTAGTGAGAGGATGGGAAGGCACCGACGTTGTCGGTTTCTATACAACGACGATATCGGCAGTGGCCTTGTCTTATTTCAATATCATTAAAAACCAGGCATTCCTATGAATCCCTGTCCTGGACCTTGAGGACCGGGAGAAGTGTTCCTCATCACGCTCTGGTGCATCACTTGCGGCATGCCGAACTGGTTCCCGATGTTCATTCCCATCATCTGCATCTGCATCATGGGAGTCATCTGAGGCATCTGATATGCCATGGCATTGGGGTTCGCTGCGAACATATTTTGCTGTTGAGCTTGCTGGGGCTGAGGAATCGGTGATACGCTTTGTAGAGGTGGCGAATGCATCCCTCCGCTTGAGCTGCTGATACTAGGAGAAGATGGTCCGGACTGGGCTTGCATCTTCTGCATCGCCTGAAGCTGTGACGGCGACCAAGATCAGCGGCGATCATCGAAGCTGAGAGTGGACATCTCACCTCGTAGAAAGCAAAGTCCTGCAACAAGGATGTTCTCGCGGGATGTGAGTGGAATATCCTCAGCATCTCATGTCCAGCATCAGGTAGAAGCTCTTGGGTGTCCCTGGAATTGGTGACAGGTTTTCGCTCTTGTGTATTGCTAGAAGAGGGAAAACAGGTTAACAAAAGCTATTATCAACAAGTTTGGACATACTTTAGCTTGATGTGGCGTAAATTGAAATTGGGAATATCTCGAACAAAGATCCATCGTACTTTGAATACACCCTTCCATTTATCGGAAGCCCAAACCGTACTGCTTCGGGTGTAGTCGACCTATCGCATGCCCTTGTGAGTAAGAGCAAAATAACTACATCAAAATATCCTACCGGTGTCAACATTTCAGCCATGCCACAGAAATGTCCGCTGTCATTGAGATAAGATGGATGAATCACAGAAAGCCGGAGAGTAAACTGACCTCGCGTTGACACTGAAGAACAGGTAAATGGGACCACGTCCCGCACATTCCTTGAACGCCTTGTCGAGCCGCTTGTTCCCCGGATCCGTTGAACTCCAAATCTCATATTTTAAAGATTTGTGAACGTCATCCTCAGTGTACGATTTGATAACGAAAAACCGTGCCTAAAAATAATCAGTCACAACGCAGGGCGGAGTACATCAAAAAGGGTAAATCACAAATTGGGGCCTAGTCTCAAAGTTTCCTGGATTGTATCCTTTCGTTGCGATCAGCGAGGGAACATCAATGGGCGTGCTAGCGAATGGACCTTGGGTGGGAGTCTGACCACTTCCACCGCTTTGTCCCTGCGAAAAGTTCGTGGCGACACCCAATCCTGGTCGCTGTTGCTGCTGCTGAAGATACTGCGCTGGAATCGTAGGTACGCTTGGAATACCAGACCCACTACTGGAACTGCTCGCGGACCTGCCGTGGCCTTGTTGGTAACCATACTGCAGATTGGGGTTAGACGAGCGGCCGGTGACACCCCTATCCTTTTGTTCCCAATTCGCGGCGCCTGCAGATTGAGACTGCTGCCCCTGTTGTTGATACTGTTGGAAACCGCTTCCGGTTGTAGGCTGAGAAAGTGGAGTCTTCCGTCCGTCATTATCGGCCATGAGCTGTAGTTTCCGTCCATTGTTGCCGTTTCCATTGTTGCCGTCCGAGTTGTTACGGCTACCAAGGGCTTGATTTGGCGATGGATGGGCAGGATTGAACCGCGGTGGATGGTTGCTCTGTCCTCCAGGTTGATAGTTACCACCGTACACGGTTTGACCGTTACCTCCGTTGTTGGAGATATCCAAAGCCGATAGAGCGCGCTGGACATCGTCCATAGGCAAGTTGTTATTCAAACTGCCGCTGCTACTCGTGGAAAATCCAGATCCACCAGTGGCTCTCCATTCATTGTTAGAGGACCAAGGAGAAGAACGACCAACAGGACTCGTAGGACCACCATACTGCTTGCCGTAATAGTCCTCCTCGTAACCAGCCGGGTCCTCTGAGTAAGAATACTCCTCTTCTTCAGCCGCAGCAACAATGACATCTTGCGAAGGGGGAGGATGAACGGGTGTTGGTGTTTGCAGCGTACCAGAACGTTTGAGGGTAGATGAAGCCATTTTGGGGCGGGTGCCGCCCGCGCCCTGGGCACCATAGGTAAGAGAAACATGTCGACGGACGCCGGAAGCGGCAAGTGGAGGGGATGGGACGGTGGGGTTGCTGTATACATCTACAGCGTCACCAGGAGCCGGCTGCGCTGGCAGTGAGACAGAAGCCAGTCATAAAGTAGAAAAAAACATACCTCCTCTTCATGAGCAGAATAACCACCGATTTCCCGTTCCCACTCTTCCTCGTCGCCTTCGTGACCAGCAATGGCGGTGAGACTGTTCAGCGTCTTCGGCGTCAAAGTACCAGACTTGGTACTAGAGCTTTGGAAGGCTGCAATGTGCCATGAGATAGATCCCCAGGTGATGCAGTTGCCCAGATAATGAGACGTACCTCGGTGATATCGAGTAGGCAACGAGCTTTGTCGATGCAGCGAGCTCTTTTCTCCAACGGCTCCCACGCCGCCAACCCATTCTTCGCCAACATACTCGTCCTCATTCCAGAGATCAGGATTCTGCGATTCTTCCGAGATCGTTTCCCTGGCGGCGCTACGAGTAGAACGAGATGCAGCCGTAATCGTATGGTGTCGCCGTACCCCGCCCGAATTTGCCGTCGACACTGGAGGATCCGCTGGCACAGGCGGATTGGTAGGTGAGGACATGGTGGTTACGGAAGAACAACCAGCGCTGGTTGGCAAAACGCTAAGCTGCAGATCAAAGGAAGAACGTGGGGTGAAGCTAAGATCTCAGAAGGAAATAACGACCGCAAACTTCTGATTCTGATGACACTGTCTCTCTCTTTAGACGATTTGCTTGATTTATTTCTACTCTCTGTTCATTCTGTACAGTACCCGGATTGCTTTGAAAATTCGTTTCACACATAATGAACCTTGGCAATAAGCATGCGTTCGATGTGGAAAGATCTGCCTCGTGTGAAGAGAATCGGAACCTCGGTCGTTCCTGGCCTCATCACGACAATCGATAAGATTCTGGATTATTTTCAATAGCGTGGGTTTACGGATACTTTTATCCTTTGAAACCGTAGACGGTAGATCAGGACCATCACGCGGCAAAAACAAAGTCTGACTCTTACAATGTTCATGTAAAATAGACATCATAGCGCCGTTGACCAGCTCAAAATGAAGGGGGAAAACAAAGTAGAAAAAAGACAGGGAGAAACTTCCCCTGGATGGACGTAAGTCTGCTTAATCCAGAGCTCCTTGAGCTAGGATACTGCACAGCCTTTGTACATAATACGGTACCAAACACTCCCTGAGCCAGCCCGATATCGATTCAAGCAGGATGGCGTCAGGAGATATTCCGAGTATAGTAAATGTTAGTAATATGAGGCTCGAGCTCCGTCCAGCAGACAGGACACTATCACCTAGCTACTGCTCAAAGGACGACAGATACGAATAATCGATCCATGATGGATGCTCCAGGAAGACCTTGTCAACCGTGAAATTTTGTGCTTCGTCAAAAGTTAAAATATGCTCCAGCGAAATGCGAGAAGAAGTATTGCCCCCAGGCCCTGTATAGTATGATTTAGATGCAAGCAAAAGAGGGGGAAAGAAACAGCTCACCTGAAGAGTTGAACTCGGCGTAAAATGTCGTGTTCAGAATCTCGGGTCTGGGATCTTGTCAGCGAAAATCAATAGGAGCGTCGGATCGTACCTGGCAGAATCAAAGGGAGTCCACCCAGCGGGCTGGATAATATTTTCCATGTAAGTGCTAAGATACACAGTAGTGGCCAGGTCATTCCAAGGCCGACCTTTGGTTCAAAAGTGGGTCTCCAAGGTGCGGGGCATCAAAAGATCATACATACATACCAAGGTAACACTTCTCGGTTATGTCGGTAGTCGCGTTCGCATCGGGAGACTATGGAAGGTAGTAAGGAAAGACTGAGCACGGCATGAAGGACATCTTACTCGAATGATCCGAGAGTCAGAAATGTATGCACCGTACCGGTTTCCGGGTGCATCTGTTAAATTTGTTCCTTTCCACGCGACGATACCGCCACCGCACGCGCGATTAGCAAGAACAACGTTCTGAAACCAGCTAGACGACGAGAGATTGAGAGAAGCGACAAAGTGAAGCGCATGGACTCACGCAGTGCCGAATCCGAAAAGATCTGTCGCACGGAATCGGAAAAAGAAAGGCAAAGTACCAACAATAGCACTCACAGTCTGTTTGGCCGTATATGACGCTATCGAAGACATATGTGCTTCCATTCCGGCCGGTGTACCATGTATCTTGATAGCTAGCAAACGAGCATCCGTAGAAAGAGGCGTTTGCGTAAGAAATATCCGTCACCAGGGCTTGCGAAATAGCGTAGTTCGCCTTAATGTGACCACAAGTCAAACATAAACAGGGAAGCGAAAGAACACGACTAACTGCGCGGTTCTGAAAATCGATATTATACGCCTTGAAGTCAGTGTTTCCGAAGAGCGGCTGTAAGGGAGCGCCGGTAGGGCCAGAGCCAATCAACGCAGCCTCATACGAGGGCGCGACGGTCAGCACAGCAGAGTCAGCATCATCCATTCCAGTATGGACGAACTCGTTATTCCATACTTGGACTAGGTTCGAAGCAGACCCATTGGCGAATGGCACTATCGTGTCCCCAGCTGGCAGTTGGCCCTAGATGAAGATTGAGTTTCACGTTTCGGCCGAAAGACAGAGACGGACTAAGAGAGTTAGAGGGCCCTTGCGAGTAATGTTGAGAGCCTCTTGATACTGTCCCTCCGCAATTAATATCGTCGCGTGACCCAGGTCCGGTCTGAGTGATTATGATAGTCAATTGAAGCTCGTACTAGAGTGCTGATCATACAAAGACAGAATCGCATCTTGGATACTGCTGAAAGATGCATCAGGATCTATGTTGTCATTCGATACCAAGATAGTTCTGGGTGGACAGCCGGACAGCGTTGATTGGGTTGCAGGCTTCTGCACCTGACATGGTAGTAACGAGGGGGAAAATGCCAGAGTATACGGTAGGACCGCTGTTGCTACGTAGAGAAAGAACATGGCTTCACAACTTATTCAGCTCGATTCCAAAGAAGTACTGCCTGATGTCATGAGTGCGAAGACCCATGACGCATATTGGTCGGCCCGTTAAGTGTACGGACCGAGTTGTAGTAGTTACACCCCGGAAAGTGAGCCATGCAGAGAATGCTTCGGATGCCACATGAACTTAGAGACTTGCCGCGATTCGCAAATCGTGACGAGTAAAATCAGATGCTGTAGTACTTTTTAAGGAAATCCTGGACACACAGTTCAGATATTCAGCATTACAAGACGACTTACTATCAAATAAGTATCAGAAGCAAAATCGGATAGCATGGATGTGAAAGGAAGGAGCGTGGGAACTTTAAGTTGAGCGAAATGCTCAACCAAACGAATATCATTCTATGACCTTTATAATTGTGATGATATATAGACAAATGTACGTTAACATTACAGCGATGCGAATGATTCAGTTTGTGTACGAGCTGACCGTGTCGTTATATTAGTGTGTCTATATGATTAATTCATGAGGGGGAAAAACGTTATTGCGCATCCCAAAGATCCTCTCGCTTACGACGTTCCTGGGGGAGTAGCCTTTTCTACATCCCGATTCTCAGTCTTCTTCTTCTCCGAAGGTGCCTGGAGGGCATAGGTCTCGTCAACAACCCCGACCATCTCCACTTCTTGCATGAGTAGGCTGAACAAAAACCCAGCACCAGAAATCCCGACCATGGTCTGCCATACGACCTTCATACTTTTAGCAAAGGCGACCCTGACTTCTGTTTGCAAAGGTTCGGCTAACGAAGGGATGTTGGGAATGGCGGCGTATGCGATCTCACGGCCGGCCGGGAATGTGGCGAGGTAGGTAGCAGGGAGGTTGATTTTAAGTTTGTTCTACAGTAATCATGAATCAGCATAAGGATGAACAAAGACTCAATGACACTTACCTGGAGAATAGTACTTCCAATGGTTATACCCCAGGTCTGTGTAAATGCACGGGTGAACGCGAAAAGTGCCAAGGCAGAAGCTGTTCGACTGATAGGCTGAGGTGCCAGTAGCGGAAAGACGGGCGCAGAGTACTGAATCAAAAGGTCAGTACATGGTCGACGAGAGTAACGATGACACCAAACATACCACCAGACCAAGTCCAGCACTGGCAACCAGCTGATAGCCGACCCACTTCCCGGTTGAAGTATCCTCCTTGAGCAAACTAAGCAGTCCGAACCCGATCATAACCAGTGCCCACCCAGCCCAGTTGACCGGTCGGTATTTTCCTGTTATAGCAACAATGAAACCAGAGGAGAGAGCAAATGGCGCTATGATCAACGCGCTGGGCAGGAATTGGACTGCGGAACGGATGGGGGAGGCGGCAAATGAGGATTGGAAGAACACAGGTAAGTAGTACAGGACGGCTGTGAAGGTTTGGTGTTTGGTCAACGACCGATATAAGACAGAAATGCCGACAGCTTACAGATACTCGCGATGCCGTGCATGGCAGTCATTAAAATGCTAATTTCAAAGAGTAAGTCCACGCCTCATCGAGAAAAAAAGGGATACTAACGCGCTTAGGGTGGTACGGTTCTTGAGAAGGTCTGAAGGAACAGTCGGTTTGGCTGGAACCTTAACCTCATACCAGGCGAATGCACCAAGAAGAGCGAAGCCGATAATGAGAGGTGCCAACACATGCTTATCAGTCCAATGGTAGCGAATGCCTCCCCAGGTCAAGCCGATGATAGCCAAAGTAGTGCCGCAGATGACAATGAGATTTCCGCTGTAAGATACTTTTCAGTGAACGACTGAATCGATCACATTATAAATACTTACAACCAGTCAACCTTGTTCAGTTTTTCTTTTACCGTGCCCGGTGGAGTGCGCACGTTCAAGAAGAAAAATACGAGGACGAAGGCACAACCAGTAAGGGGCAAATTGAGGTCTACGCATTGGTTAGTGAGAACAGTATCCTTTCATACACAGGACTGCGCTCACAGAAGAGCCACCTCCAAGCCTTCTTTCCCTTGGAAGAAAGAGCACCACCCTATGATCGGAAGGTTACAGAGTTTAATAAAAGGTTTATCGCTTGACATACGATAGGTGGGGCGATTGCCTGTGAGATGCTCCGTAAGTCTGCATATCACATTCATACCACCAATAGAACTTACCGAGGCAAATGACCAAGTCAGACCGATCATACCTTGGTATGTTCCCCGTTCCGAGAGTGCGACCAGATCAGAAATCAAGATCTCTACAAGATTGATGATTCCACCACCACCAAGACCCTGGACGGCTGTCAAGTTCTTAGTAAGGTGACAATGCCCCAGGAATCGACATACTTCGTGCACCGATCATCATGTTCTGAAATTCACAGAATAAGTATACATCGGTGACCCACAGATTATCACAAACCATATTCTGGGCTGCCCCAGCTAAAGCGCTGCCCAAAGCGAAGAGTGCAATCGAAACCAACATAACAGGTTTTCTGCACATGAGAGATCAGAGAGGATTTAGAGACGTCCTATGAGATGCAATTCACCTGCCAAAGGCATCCGACAAACTGCCACTGAGAGGCATGATGGCTGTACTAGAGAGAGCGTATGCAGATCCAACCTGCAAATTTGCGGAAAACGATTAGATATCGGACGATATGAATGGCTGAAAATAACATGGTACTTACCCAAACATAATTGCCTTTGACATCATTCAAAGCATCGGCAATCGTCGGTAGGGCCGTTCCCACAGACGTCAAATCCAGAGCACTCAAGAAAATCGAAACGATCATGGCCACGAAACTGAGCCAAAAGTCTCGACCTTTCTTGACCGATTCGATACCCTTGGGTTCTTCAGGTCTCTTCTCGCTGACACTCTCAGGGACCTGTAGAGTCTCTGTTACAGACTCCGTAGGAGAAGGGCGCGCATACAGCGCCAAATCGTCCTGTTGAGGCGTCGTGGTTGAGGGCATGGCTGGGCTGAGAAGTGACGATGAAGGAAGATGCCAATCATCGCGGGGGTTATAACCTCTGGGATTAATTGTTCTTGACGAATTTACCGACTCGGAGTCCAAATTCTGTTAATTTCTTGCAAATTGGATTTTAGCAACATTACCCGGGGCTGCCAGGTAAGCTGGCAGCTGGTGCTTCTTCTGAAGAGTCTGAATTGTCGGGTAGCATAACTACGTTTCCCATACTTTGGTAACTGATAGAGGTGCCTGGTGCGATATGGTAGTAATAACGCTTCGCTTATAGGCCCTCAGTACAATCCGACTCGGTTTGACAATGACTGATGTGCCTAGGTGTAAAAATCAGGTGTATATTTCCATGATAACGTGCTAGTTGTTTGTAGAAGATAACCACTCACACATGAAAAAAAGGGACAACAATTAAAGGCCGCTGCTGCGACTGAGTGGCAGACGTCGCTTGTAAGACTATGTTTGTCAGAGCAGGGTAGATCTTCGTACATAACGTTCCACACTTACGAAAGAAGATATTTACGTATTTACCGCCGGTCCGACTGGTCTCGGAATTACTTTCCCGGGCCGGGACCGAAGATCTGTGATCGTTTTGATTTTGACTTGTACTTTCTGACCGGCGCCTTCGCCGAGCCTCGAGTTGGGTACAAAAACTGAATGGTGGGCTTTTGTTGCCTTCCCACTTCATCTCAAGCCTGGCAGCTTTCCGATGTCGGCCTGACGCCAGGTCCTTATCAGAATGATTACAGACAGTGACAATGCCTTGGCTTTCACGAGTAAGTGCGCAAACTTTTGTATGCGGCATAACAAGCTTTTACAACCACAGCTCTTACTTTCTTCAGGCCGCTGCGTCGACGTGCCAAGTGTTTTGGGTAGAACTTGGCCCTTAAACCGCTGTTCATAAGGGGTACGTCGATTCTAACTTTGATCGCCAAAATATTCATTGTGCTATACCCGGGGCATCTTCAGCAATCAATCGAATCATAATTATTGATTTCGGGAGGCCATGATCTGATGCAAAGTGCGAAAATTTCCTCTTTCATGCCAGCAGTTGACAATCTGAGGCTGTACCAATTGAAATGTGTCCCTTTTTCTCAAGTTTTTCTTCATCTGTTCCTGGTTCGACTTCGGTAAACAGCTAAACATGTTCGGGAGCTTTACACCAAAAATTGCTTAGAGTCTACGCAGGTCTTCATATCTGCTTAGATACTGGCAACTTTTGAATGCTGTCTGTGACACGTCAATCCAGCGTTTACTTGCGTCCCCGCCCTGTTTCTGCAGGTCCCAGTATTGCGGCCGCGGGCTTCTGCATTCATATCAACAATCGTTCTTTTCTATAGGTGGGACAGAGTAGGGTTAAATTATTCGAGCCTAGCCTTTAGAAGACGTCCCTAACTTCCTCCGGTCTTATCTTCTCCTGCTAGACGCTATAAGACAACCTTGAGGATTGGATATCCCTCATATTCATCGAGTTTTCCGATATTCCTTTGCTACACATTCTGCAATGTCCACGACCGAATCCCAAACGGTGCTGATTGTATGTGCTCGTCTTTCATAGTCGTCTCCCTCTTTTTAATGCACTATCTTAGTCGGGTGCCGGACCTTGTGGCCTTGTCACAGCCCTATCCCTTGTTCAAAATGGAATTTCTGTGCGAGTAGTCGATAAAATTTCCAAATTTCAAGTGGGGCAACGTGGTGCAGCGCTCTCTGTGAGTAGCCCAGTAGGTTACTCAGATATCATGAACTCATCACGACTTAGCCGCGAACGTTGGAACATTACAAACTTCTGGGGGTCCTAGAAGACATACAGAAGGCCGGCCCCATAATGCATTCGTTGATTTTATATGACGAAGACGGGGTCACGCACAAGAGGGAAATGCCCATGTTCCCGGTTGAAGACAATACGCCAGCCAATCCTTACGTTGGTTCCTTACGTCGCTAATCGTATATCTACTTCACTAACATTGTCATAGGGTAATGTTCTGATCATCGGCCAGGACCGTCATGAAGCCATTCTCCGACAACATTTGGCCAAGTACGATGTCCACGTTGAGCTCGGTACTGAACTTCTATCGTTTGAGCAATCGGAAGACCATGTCACAGCGACGCTTTCCAAGACGGTCGACGGAAAGAAGATAGAGGAAACAGCGGAATTCAAATGGCTGGTTGGTGCCGACGGTGCTTCTAGCATGGTACGAAAAACCCTGGGTTTGAGTTTCCTGGGCGAATCCCGGCAAGCAGAGAACTTTGTCATCGGCGACATCTACGTTAAGGATCTAGAGAAGAAACTGGACCGGAAGGTGAAATAAGGCTTCAACCCCATTATATTAACCGGTTATTGACTCGTGTCTCCCACCTTTAGATCTGGCACGTATGGGGTGACGCTTCGAAAAAGATGTAGGTCCATTTTTAAATATTCTCATGGCCTGTTCTTGAACACTGCCTTAGGGCGAGTCTGCGGCCCTATGAGATCCCCAATGACGATAGGTGTTACTACCTTGGTGGTGGTGTTGAAGCCGATCCCGATTTAATGGTATCCAGTCGAGAAGAGTTCATCAAATCTTTCTACGAAATCAGTGGTCGTACAGACATCGACTTTGGTGACCTCATCTATCTGCGACCCTATAGGTGAGACTGTAAACCTGTCCTGAACGTCGACGTTCACTCACCAATGAACTAGACCAAACGTTCGTATGGTAGATAAATTCGGCTGTGGACGAGTCTATGTTGCCGGAGGTATGATTATTAAAGCAAACAGATAAATTTCCCTTGACCCATGGTTCATAGATGCTTCTCATGTTCACAGTCCCACCGGAGCCCAAGTACGTTTCTATGACCATTGTTGAAGAAGAAAACCCCTGACATATTCCTCATTCTCCAGGGCATGAACACTGGTGTACAAGATTGTGTAAGCTATCTCAATAGTTGCAACCGAGTTTCCTTACTAACACCATCTGAAGCTGAATTTAGCATGGAAGTTGGCCATGACAGAGAAAGGTCTTGCTTCCAAGGCGCTTCTCGACTCTTACACCCATGAGCGCCTGCCCGTCGTTGCTTCCATGCTCGACAAGACCTCTGCACTTCTCCACAAGACGTTCGCGCGCACGCCAGATAACTTCGATGGTTGGAAGCGAGGCTACGAGTTGCGCCAATTCGGTGTCAACTACCGCGGAAGTCCCATTATTGTCGATGAAACACAAGCCGACTGCAGTGAGGAGGTCGATCCCTACCGTTCCGGAAACGATGGTACCGTTCGAGGTGGGGACCGTGCTCCCGACGCTCCGGGGCTGATATCGCTTGGGCAGCCAGCAGACAAGTACTCGTCCACGCTGTTCGATGTGTTTGGAGCTACTCACCACACCCTCCTTCTCTTCTCTAATGAAAAGGAGAAGCAGACCGCTATCCTTGACTCTGTCAAGCAGTATCCAACGCACATATTAAAGCGTGTCGTCATTCTTTCGGAGAACACTGAAGTCAAATCCAGCGATCTTCCCGCCGAGCTTGTATTCAAGGACAAAGACGGATATGCTTACCAGAACTACGCGATCAAGAGCAGGGATTTGGACACCATAATCGTCCGGCCGGATGGTGTTATTGGTGCTCTGGTCAACGGGGTAGTCGGTCTGAAGGCTTACTTTGACGTGGTATTTTCCTCCGATGCAGAGAAAGTGGCGGCATCGCTGATGGCTTTGACTGTGTAAAGGTTTGTGGAACTTGGAAGAGAAACGAGCGCCTAGTAGACATAGACATGTAGATTAATTTCTAATTCAATTCTTCTCTGACTACCACGGGTCGTTCGGAAATCTGGAAGCGCCGAATGTAATATATGGAATATGGGTGATATATAATGGCCGATCGAGTCGATGCTAGTAGTGAGCCACTGAAAGGCCGTAGACTTGACGACGCGATGGCTCATCTGTTGCACAATATTTCTCGGGGCTGGAATATTTTTGCCGTGTCTCGTGCTGGAAACGGGCGGTCCTCGACCATGTGACATACTTCGCGGATCTTGTAGCGCAAAACAATATGCTACTCTCTAGTACAAACTGCCCCTTGACCTCATGGATTTTGTCACAAGAAACACATCCTATACATGGAAGAAAATTTTGGCGGTCGCCTGACTTTTATTCAGTAATAACGGAACGGGAGGAAGCTGATCAAAAGCGCTTTAATCGCGTATTCTGTTACTATAGTCCGAATGGCCGATATAATCAGAATGGGAGCCTTCGTCGTAAACGCCGCCAACAGGAGTTACGCCAGATTACGTCCGAGTTGAAAGAAAATGCATGAATTTCACAAATGCAGCGTTTCTTCGATGGCAGGATGCAGAACGCGCTGATTATCTTTCGATCAAAGCGGTGAAAAATTGAGATCCGAACCCGGGCCGAGAAAAACAAGAGCATCTTCCGGCAGTGGATCCCGAACCATTCCTTCATCGCTCTATATAAAACGCCCAGGCGGTTTCTTCCATCCTTCCTTCAGAACTCGCCCATTTTGTTAATATCTTTATTTTTCATCAAGCATGTCCCCAATCAAGTCGCCTTTTCTCAAGGAGCCTCAGACTGTTGCAGTACGTGCTAGGGGCTACAAAAATTTTCATCATTCTCACATGTTAATCTTTGCAGATAATCGGATGTCCATTCAGGTATGAAATTCTCGTTATCTGATAGAGAAACCACTGAAAAGAACGATCTTATAGTGCTGGACAGGTGAGGACCAATCAAAAGTCGCCGTTCCGGTTCTGAATCGCAGACACAGCAAAGACTGGGTGTTGACAAGGGCCCCATTCACTTGGTTGAGGCCGGGCTTACGGACCAGCTAGCTGAGCTAGGCTGGCGAGTTACCTTTGATGGACACCATCAGTTCGAAGAGCTCAGCGTGACAGATGATCCACCCATCGGAAAACTGCGAAACCCCAGGTTTGTTTCGCGCGTCAATGAATCTGTAGCCAAAGTTGTCGGTGGGCACGCCGCTCGGGGCGAGTTACCACTGACCCTCGGTGGTGATCATTCGCTCGTATGTTTTCTGTTTACGCGCTAGTTCCGTCTTCTCATGCATATCGCGATAGGCTATGGGTACGATTTCCGGAACGTTGGGGTGCGTTGCCGGTGCTACCGTAATGGCGATTATTCTCATAGTGGCTTTAGTACCTATCCGAATGCATGCGTTATCTGGATTGACGCTCATACTGACATCAACACTCCGGAGACCACAGATTCGGGTGCGTAGTTAGCTCGTCGAAATCTAATACCACGTCATGGGGTTGTTCAAGGTAACCTCCACGGTATGCCCGTGTCCTTCCTCCTCGGCTTGGGAGCCAAGGTTCCCGAGTTCGGTTGGATCAAGCCTCTGTTGAAGGCCGAGCGTTTGGTATACATCGGTTTGCGCGACATTGATGCCGGAGAGAAACGCATCTTGAGAGAGAACAAGATCAAGGCGTTCAGTATGCACGAGGTGGATAAGTATGGTATTGGGAAAGTTGTTGAGATGGCATTAGACCATGTTAATCCAAATAGGGATCTGCCGGTTCACCTCAGCTTCGATATAGATGCTTTGGATCCTTCGGTTGCCCCATCTACTGGAACTCCGGTAAGAAGAAAGCTCACTTGGAGGGGAATAATCGCTTAGTACCGCTGGTTAGGTTCGTGGAGGACTTACCTTCAGAGAAGGACATTACATCTGTGAGGCTGTTTATGAAACGGGACTGCTCGTTGCTCTGGATTTGGTGGTGAGTTCTCTATTGCCATGCATTTTTAGAACAACAATTCACGGCCTACTGCAGGAGGTGAATCCGCATCTCGAGGACGAATTTAGCGTGAACAAGACCGTGACAGTCGGTTGTTCCCTAGTCCGTGCAGCTCTTGGTAAGCGATCTCTTGTATTCATATAAGTTCGAGTTTACCTGGTGGATCAGGCGAGACGTTGCTGTGATAATATCATAGATGTGGAGGTAGGCGCCCTACTACCAGCTACCAGCCTCTGGACCTTTATTCGAATGCATGTATCGGAGTAGCTATCACGTTTGTTCACGAATCCATCAAAGCATTCGTTTGTACGAGCTACTTATCCAAATGATTAGTTATTTTTGCGCCGCTCCACAGATCAGTGTTCGCATGAGCCCGAGGCGCAGGGACTTGAAAAGTCCGTACTCAGTGGTTGACCAGAACTCTGATATGATCTCCAAGTTAAGCTCCTTCATGGTTAGATTTAGTATCCACCGCACTTGGAAGCAGCAACTCACTTGGAAGTGTTAACAATCACTACCCAGTTTCCGGGATCGTTCCACGGCATGCTTGTTCTCTAACGGTACCGAATAGTCTCTGGGAACTTGGGCGGTCAATCCCCGCAGAGGTGGCAATACTGATTGAAGCTCCGCTCAAGCAAGACGGCACCGTTTTGAGTGGTTGTGTTCTTTTACTCTGTTTCGACCAACTTGCACTCTCCAAATCTCAAGCATTGGTTCTCTTCACAAGAAATGTTGGTTTTCGCGTGTAAAAGCCACTTTATCGTCGTTGAACGTTGAAATTTTGACTAATGAAAAGTCTATGACCATGTGCTACATGCGTACGCTAACGGTCTTTCTGGTTCAACTTACACATAGAAGGCGCTATGAGTTGCGTTTTCCTACGTGTCTGACTTTATATCCGCAATGAAGCTCCTTGTAGCACTCTTTTTGGGTTGCCGTCTCAATGAAAATTGCAGTTCGTGCTCAAAGCATTCATAGAACTTTGTCAATGCTTGCTTCGACGCACAGTCATCCCACTGTAAAAGGTAGGAAAAATACCTCATTTTCTCACGAAGATGGTTGATAATCGGCGAAGTAGTTGTTTCATCGTAGGTTTGCTATACCGCATACCCTGTAACCTTCAATTTTTGGAACATCGATGATCAGAGCGCAACATATCACAATCAATAAATGATCATCTAACAGCGGGAAGGAATATCGGACCTTGGAAAATTTCCGAAGCTTTATTACTTGTACAACGGGTTTCCAAGGTCCAGGGCATTGTCTGGGTAACTTTTCTTCCCGCCACTGGCGATTAGACCTACCTTTGGCTGAAAGCTGTTCCCTGTTGTGCATGACGACGCACTGGAACCCTCAGAGATCACAGGGTGGACTGCGCCGGTGATGTCCTGCAGCGCGCTCAAGGCAGGTTCGCCACCCAATCGCGAGCTGGCACATGTGTGGCGAGTAAATTCGGGAAGCCCAGGGCAGTACACGCTGCGCTGGCCTGCTCTAGTCGAATTCCAGCAAAGACCGGGATATGCCTGTCATGGGATAGTATAGATCAAAAGGCGTGTTTCGCGCGTTACCATGTACTTAAAATAGACTCATGATATAATAGTCTCCACGCCGCCAGCGTCCCTTTCGATTAACTTAGCGCAAACCCCTCAGCCACCTTTTACTCTAAATTTCACCGTGCAGTATGTCCGTCAGTGCAGAGCATTCCCGACCTGGCACCCCGCGTAACTTTAAAGACATTGTACGTTCCCCTTCGGATTCACAGAAATCGCCCACCATGCCTATGCACTTTCACCTCCCCCGTGTCCAATCCTTTTCTAATGTCATGGACCAGGTTCGCGATGTTATGAAACACTACAAGCACGAAAAGGAGTCTGAGGCTCATCGAGTACGTGTCTTGGTCTCAGCGCCGGCGGTCGTCGCTGACGTTTGCTGCCTTTAGATCTTCAGGCAGTCTGCTGGACACAAGGTGAAGGGGGTCTTGCCCCAGACCATTAATCCAGTACGCCTTTTGCTTTTCCCGAGTCCTAGTCCCTTCATTCCGTGATAGGATGAGGAGACTGTTCCTGGAATCGAGCATCCAGGTAGTACTGGGGTCATCTATTGCTCCGATCGCGCTATCGCGAATGGCTTCAGCTATGCTGATTCGCACGATTGGGCAAATCTTGGCCAGGGGGCCCCCGAAGTAGGCCCGATTCCAGACGCGCCGCCTCGACCGACCTCTATTCCCCTTCCTGTAGACTCTCTGGAATACGCCCCGACTACGGGTGTGAAAGGCATGTGCTATTTCGGCTGTGTACCCGTCCCATCTGACTCTTGTTACTCAGCCCTTCGAGAAGCCGTCGCCAATCTGTATAACGATACATACAGAAAGGGCAAGGCCAGTCAGTATACTTACGAGAACGTCTGTATCGTCCCGGGCGGTCGCGCAGGTCTCTCTCGTGTTGCGGCGGTCATCGGCGACGTCTATACAGTTGGTTATTTTTCTCTTTGATGTCTTTCATCAACATTGATCCCGCTTTGAATCGCCAGTCTTATCAAATACCCGATTACACCGCGTACGATCAGGTCCTGACTGCATTCAAGAGACTGGTACCAGTGCCCACAGCGTGAGTGGCGCATCTCTGGACCTATGTGCCATCTCGACTGTGACGTGCTAATGTATATCTTTTAAATGTGTTCTAGTCTGGAATCGTCGGTATGATGTTCATTCTCCTTGGAGCTATATGAGCTCATGGATCTCGTCTCCACAGAACAAGTATAGACTTGATATCGAACAGACGAGGGTAGGGTCTCCAGGGTACTCTAAATATGTAATATTAATGGCGGGTTCCTGAATCTAGAAAGATATCCGGACACAAGGCCTGGCCGTAATATTGGCGTCAAACCCTCGTAATCCTACGGGACAGGTAGCATGCCATTTCATCCTGTTTCATGTATTCACTTGCTCATTCATACGTCTGTTTCAGGTCATCAAGTAAGCTCTATTGCTATTGTCTTTTATCAACAGGAAGATTCAACGTTCTTCAGGGGAAACGAACTGAAAGAGCTGGTTGGTCTCAGTCACGAAGGGACTACTCTTATTCTGGACGAAGTAAGCGTTCTATTTGTAGCACCCCAATGTTCTATTCTTACCTCTGCTGCAGTTCTATTCTTGGTACATCTATTCTGATAACGAAAAAGATTTGGGAAAGTCCATCTCTTCTGCTGAGTACATTCAAGATGTCAATGAAGTAAGTGGCTGGCTGCTTTCAAATGAAGATGTTTCAGCTAAATATCAACGACAGGACCCGATTGTCATCGTGGATGGTCTCACGAAGGTTTGTAGTAAAATTATTGCGGTTATTTTAGGTCTTATTCGAGTATATCTTTAGAACTGGCGTCTTCCTGGCTGGCGAGTCTGCTGGGTCCTTGGACCCAAAAACTTGGTGACAGCGCTCTCTCAGTCCGGTTCTTTCCTGGACGGGGGCGCCAACCACCCGTATGTCTACAAGTCTATCGTCTGCCTCAATCGCTAACACCTTTGCGCGTAGAATGCAGCTGGCTGCTATCCCACTCCTCGACCCTGTCCGCGTCAAGGGAGAGAAGGTTTTTTTTTTTTTACCATACCCATTCGCTTTTTCCATGTTCTCTGACCCCAATTGCGGATAGATCGCCCTCCAAAAACACTTCAAGATGAAACGCGACCACGTCCTTGCTCGGCTACACGAGCTTCATCTAGATGTCGCAGTCCCCCCTACGAGCACCTTCTACATCTGGCTTAATCTTGAGAAGCTCCCAGAACCGTTGAACAACGGTTTGGTAAGTATAGCTCTGATTTTGTTCTGACTTTGACGGCTCTGATTTTTGATCGAATCTAGACATTCTTCGAGGAGCTGCTCAAGGAACAAACGATTGTAATTCCTGGCATCTTCTTTGACATCAACCCAGCGCACCGACGCAATCTCTTCAACTCGCCCTGTCATTCGTTCGTTCGTCTCTCATTCGGTCCTCCGATCGAAGACTTGGACAAAGGTTGGTTGTCCAGTATCTGCATACTTTAGAAGTATTGAGAATTCTTTACTTAGGGCTCGACGCAATGGCGCGTGTGTTGAAGAAAGCTAAGAAGGAGGGCATGCACGCCTTCGGCCATAGGTAAGCTTTTGAAGCCAGGTATGTCTCACACCCGGTGCTTACAGTGCGTTGCAGCTACAAGAAGAGCATCGATGACAGAAGCTCGCCGGTGACACTCAAACGCCTGGAAATAAACTGAGCTATAGTTGCCGAATGGACTCTTGGGGAAAGAAAGAAAATATAGCACTCTTAGGTTACATACAACGTTACGATAAAGATCATGTACTGGGATCGAATGGCGCAAATGCCGCTTTGAAGGCCTGAGCGTCCGCCTTATCCTCGCCTTCTGAAAGCATGCAAGCTTTCCAGTCTGCACGACTCGGAGTATTCAGGAGATTAACTAGGACCTGCCTATTGGTGAATAACCATCAGTAACCTTGACTTCACTTATATGGCGACCATCATACCTTCCGAATTGTATGCTGAAGGGTATATGGTCTTTCATCACATGGACCATCTTCCGGCCATCCGGTAGGTCAACTCTGAAATAGCTCCCTCGACCATTTGAGCAGGAGGCCAAGGCCTCCTCGGAGTTCTCTTCAAACTCAATACCCAACGACCGTCCTTCATTCACAAACATGTCCTCGATCTTGCTTTGAAGCTTAAGCGGCACCGGTATAGCCTGTATATGCGCATGCCCGCCCTTTTGACGCAATCGCGCTACTTCGAAAAATACAGCTGCCATTTTGTGTTTTCCAAACATGGCTCGGATAGCTGTTTTATACCTTAAAAAAGAGTGCGTGTATGAGACTTTGTCGGCTGCGGTCTCGCGGTCACACACCTTTCAGTCTCTTCAACGATGGGAACCGCCAAATCATGAGGTATTGTGTTGAATGTGGGATAGTGCGTGATGGGGACGATAAGAACATGTCCCCCACCCGGTATATCGACACGATCCGCTGCCGATTGGGTTGGAATTATTTGTCCCTTTGGGAGCGTCACATAGCATTCGGTGCCAATAGAGACGATTAAGTGCTTTCTAGAGTGACATTCAGCACCCATTCTGACGTACAAGAAGAAGGAACATACGCCAAGTTGGGATTAGACAAACAAAACCAACACTCGTCGGCTAGGAAAAAATCAGCTTCGCACCCTTGACAGTGTGAGGGACATACGAGCAAGTTCTCTAGGAGGATGTCCCCTCTTTCCTCCCCGGACGCCACCCGGGCGCTCATTGGCAACGGGACAATCCTCGATGTAGTGATTTTCGCTTCCACATGCTCGACAAACATATCCTTCTCGAGGTTTTCGGCCACCGGTGTCACCCACGGCGTGCCTGGTTGGACAGTCGCGTACAAGGTGCCCTGGCTGGAACACACTTCAGGTAACGACGTGAAAATGAACAGACAATGAAGCCATACCGTGTTACAGATCTTGCAAATATAACCTTCAGGGGGTTTGGTCCGTTCTGGACATTGATCGATGAAATGCTGTTCTGAAGCTTAGTAGAATATCAACAAGCTGTAATGAAAAACTCACGTCGGTTCCCTCGCATCGCCGACATTTGTATCCTGGCGGTGGCTTATCACCATGGTCTGAAAGTATCTTAATCATGCTTTGCATACATACGAGTCAGGTAACCACTTACCCACCCGGCTGCGTTTCATCGGTTTTTTTACATCTCCAAAGATGAAGTTCTGGCCATCTGATTCATCAATGCGACGTTTTTCTGGACGGTAACTGGCCTCTGTAAAAGGGTTTTTGCTTGCATTTGGGGGACGAGCCGTAGGTGCTTTCACTGGTGTATCGGGAGATATGGAGAACGCGTAGAACCACTAGGCACAGAGTCAGAGGACGTAATACGGAGAATGCAATAGCAACGTACTCTCTGCTTTTTACCGGGGACTGTAAGTCCTCCAAACGCACCAAGACTCACGAATCGCGATACCCGTCCCTCTTCATCGCTCCAAACGAAGGGTTCCCGTTCCCAGAACATAGGTGGCTGGCCTCCAATTGCGGCAAAGTGGTAGCGGGGTTTCAATCGACGAACTGTGTCGTCTAAGGCTGGAACGCCGATAGATGCAAGCTCTGGAGATGGCAAACGCACAGCAGACATTTCTGCTATCGACCCTGGCCAGACATTGCTGATGAAAATGTCGACAAGCTGCGACGAAGACGAGCCTGCTTGGATAGCAGCTAGGGACTTGTAATTTTGGTTTTGATTTGAGGAGCCGAGGGTGTTTGAGAGCAACCTCTCCGTGGTTTGAGAGGAAAAGAAAGGCGACACGAAACCCTACCCTGAATTAGCGTGAAAGACGTCGAGTGAGTAAATTGAACGTACAGGAGCAGCCTCTGATGTTGAATATACTTCAGCATCGTATATTCCACCGAGACAAGCAATTCTGAGACCGTGTGCAGTCGTGACGAGTCCGGATTTTGCTTGTGGTCCGTGTGAGTGAATGTCGATGCCTCAGACGAACGCACTGCTCACTCAACATGAATACATTTTTGCAGAGCTCTCCTCCCGTCCTGGAGTATTTCTGGATTACAGCGTCCGGTAAAGGATTGCCTCCTTGCATAATGTAACATTCGATGGGAACTAGCATGCGCGTCAGACAGAAAACGTTGTTCATGTAGACGGAGGACGTACCTTCAATCTTGCCGTCCAGTAGTTGCATCATTTCGTCCTCATCGTCAACAGTATCCTTTGGTGGCCCGAAAAAATCGCCAATGCAGAGGACAAAATCGAACTTTCCATGTTTCGAGTCGATTGATTTCACTTTGCTGAAGAGGTCGCGGATGAAGCCTGCTGCAGCACCAACTGTTAGACTATCAATGTTGGCATAAACGACGAGAAGAGTAAAAGCAGAAGCAGGCTTACACTTTTACAGGCGTAGTAGACATCTTGGAAGCAGATTTGAGGACGCCAGCGGCGCGGTCAGTGTTGGGACCCACTCATTTAGGCAATGCTAGCCGTCGGCATCTCACTTCTGACTTTCGTCTCTATCTTCTATGGCTGCTCTTTTTACGTTTTTGGCCTCGTTATCCGAGTATTGAAAGTACATCAATCGAATCCGAGCAGATATCGCCATTTGCACATGACAACAAAGATACAAGCAACAGTTACGGGCGTAGAACTTAACCCGAGTTCAACAAAAGTTCGCAACTCTCTGCAACCAGCATGATTCACCCCCGAGTTTTTGTCTTGAATTCCTTCACCCACCAATCCATCATCAAACATGTCGATAATTCAATCAACAACAATTTGAGATGGTTTACGCCTAGTAAAGAACACCGATTTGCTTCAAGCTCAATCATCGGTGTCAGAATACAGAAGGAATACAAGGGGACATGAACCATACTTGATTGTCAAAGTGCATGAAATCAATGTTGAGAGTGGTCAGAGTGGCTGCTCAGGTGGAAAGCATGAGTGAAAATGATAGATGAGGGATTTCTGAAAGCCTGGAAGTATATTGTACTGATAGTAAAGGAGATGAGGTTTGATAGTGAGGACAGAATTACAGGAAGGGCAGGATCATTGCACACTCATTTAAAGCATGAGCAGCTGACCAGAGCGACCAATTTTGCTTTCATCAATCCTTAAGGACTTTACAGGCAGAGCAATGGATGACAATGGAAATGAGACTACAAAAGTGCTTGTTATTAGAAGGAAGCATCAAAACAACATGGCAAAACAGATGAATGCATGACTGGGATGTAGGTATGAATGAATGAATCTTGTAATATTTGACTTCATGTCACTGATGTCATCTTGAAAAAGAATGTATTTATCTATAGCAGAAGTAGAAATAGATGCAGTAGGAGAGGGAGGATAAACTGTCTGAGAGCAAGAGGCTCAAGTATTAGCAGTGTCATTCATCTGAGAAGGTATATCCTGTAAATCTGTATAAGCATGAACATATTGAATTATGGATATAGAGGAGAAGGAGGAAAGTATATTGTACAACCATCTGTAAAGAGACTGAGCAGGTGATGCAGAAGGAGATGGTGTATGAAGGGCCATTTGAAAGAAGTGAATAGCATTATAATGATCAGACCAAGGTGAAAATTGGTCAGAATGAGAATCAACTCTCTGAAAAGTAAAGTGGTAAGTATTAATCCATATAATTTGCCATACAAAATATGAAAGATAGAGTGAAGGAAAAGAGAAAGTGCATAGAATAGAGATGCATGGATACTGGTGAAAATGATAAATGCAGAATGGCCAAAAGAGAGATTGAGAGAGACCATAGAAGCATCAGAAATAAGGACATGATTGAGAATGTTGAGAACAGAAACAGAGTTGAAGATATTCTGAACAAGAGAAAAAACTTGCTGTTCCATAGATGCTTATTGCTGCTAGTGGAGGATAACAAGAAAAAGGTCTCTGTGTAATAGATGACATATGGATAGGCCATTGAATACCTGCAATAGCTGATCCCATGCAGAAAAGGTAGATGAGAGGCTTCAGCCAAGGGTTAGCACTGACAGAGATGGCACTAGTGGCTCATCTTTATAGACAAAGTAGAGCTCCATATTGACAGAGATTGTGGGTGTCTCAAGATCCATGCAGATGTTAGGCTCAAGTCACATGTGATCAACTAACACATGATAAACCAACATGGCTTCATGTTTGAGCCTTCCATTAGAGTCCACTTTATGTGTTGTTTGTTGATTCCCTGTGCTTCAAGGTGTTGTGTGATTAGCATGAGAGTAGAATGAGGATATATAAACTTTAGCTCAAAGCTGGGTTTTTACCAGTGAGAGTAAGCTTCTTTAAATACAAAATGAGGTTTGCTAATAATACTACCTACTTATTGTATGTTTCTCTGTTTCTATGCTCATTGTCCTGAGGCATCATTACTATACATAAAAGGTCAGCTGTATGTTATTAGGCAATGCTGTTGCATTGGAAGACAATGACAGACTTGGCCAGTTGTGATGACTAAGCCTTGTCCTATAGTCCTAAGTGCTTGTTCTGGTGCTCTGACTAAGCATAAATAGGGGTTATAGCAGCAAAAGAAATAGAAAATCATAATATTACCCTCTTCTTAAGACCATCATTCCGATAGCTTAATTTAGGGATAGTTTATAATCATATATGGCTTCATCAGCATTCATTAGTTTCTCATTGACTCATTGATTGGATTCTAGTCCATAGCCTTTCCAACTGACCAGATAGTTGACTGTAATTGTTGATTCTCCTCCTTTCACCTTTATTTTTTATAGTTTATAGTTTAAAACTTGATCAACTTTATAATGTTTCTCATCATCAATAAGATTTGGTGGTGATAGAGACAGTCATTCCTGATTAGAGAATGCAGATGTGATGTAGAGTGTCAATAATGTCTCATTGAAGACATCATGAATCTTCCATGCAACAGGTAGACAAAGTTTGTATATGCTGACTCTGACTTTCAAGGTTATAAAGAAGGGTCTGATGTGCTTGTCAGTCAATTTATGTTTGGATCATGGCAAATGGAGGTTGGTGGTGTCCAACCAGACCTTGTCATTGATGGCATAATTATAAGCCACCTAATGGTATTTGTCATACTGGGTTTTCATGGCTTTGGCCACTTTTTCAAAAGCAGCCTCTGTTTCTTTATGGATTTTTATCATGGTAGCTGCAAAGTCACCAGATGCTGGAGTAGTTGTTCGATATCATTCAGTTTACACAACATTAGAGTATCGACTGTAATTAATGAAAAATAGGGTTTTTCCTGTTGCTGAGTGTATCTGGTTATTGTGCTGAAAGACAGCAAGAGCTAGCCATTCTATTCAATTATTTTGTCAATAGTTTATGAAGAGACAAAGGTATTTTTCTACTTCTTGGTTTATGCACTCTGTCTGCCTATCAGTTTGGGGATGATAAGCAGTTGATACATTGCATTTGATGAAAAGAAGATGATAGAGGTCATCAAGGAATTTTGAGATGAATTAGGGCCTGCGATCAGAGATGACCACTTATGGCATGTCATATTTGATATAAACTTTATCTCATAAGATTTTTGCCCACTCTTCAGAAGTTAATTCAGTAGAACAGACAATGAGAATGATTGCTTTTGAGAAGTGGTCAACTATAATAAGGATTGCATCATAGCCATTGCAGTCAGAGAGGCCAGTGATCATGTCAACTGAGATATGGGTCCAGAGTGATGATGGGATTTTGTTCAGGTAAAGTGGTGCTGCTCAAGCTTGAGTTGATGATTTGCTGTGCTGATAGACTTCACATGTTTTGACATATGTAGTGATATCATTTCTCATTTTGAGTCATTAATATTCTCATAAGACTAGTTTCTTCATCTTGGCTATGCCAGAGTGTCCAGCCATGGCATGGTCATGGCAGATGGCTATGATCTTGCTGCATAATGTTTAGTCCCACAGAATATAGATCTGTTCATTATAACAGATTAATCCCTCTTTCTTCATCATTCCTCACTCATGATTGAGAGATGAGGCTACTTATTGATCCTATTTGTGGTTGTTCTGAGTTGCACTTTTAATGCATTCATGGATCTCTTCCTCTATTGGCATTATCATGGTCCTGAAATGTTTAGGCTATAATAATGTTACTCTCTCATTGTCTGTCTCCCTCTGATCATGATCTGTCTATTGGCTCAAGAGATCAGCCTTCTTGTTTGCTATACCAGCTTTATAATAGAGCATGTACTAATATTAGCTGAGCTCCATAACCCATCTGGCTTGCTGGTGGTTCAGTTTCTGCAGTTGTTGAAAGTATTGTAAGTTTTGATGATCAGTCCAGATTTCAAAGACCTCCATTACCCCAATGAGATAATGTCATCATTCTTTCAGGGTGAGCATAATGGCAAGGAGTTCCTTATCATAGATCTCATAATTTCACTTGATGATTGTGAGTGTCTTGGATAGGAATATGACAAGGCACCACTTCTTATCCTGTTCCTGAGATAGGATGGCCCTGATTGCTCTCTTGCTTGAGTCAGCTTTGACTCTAAACTTCTCTTCCTGTATGGGGATGGCAAGTACAATGTCTTTGGCTAACTGTCTTTTCAGGTCATTGAAAGCTGTTTGTTGAGAGAGACCTCACACCCAAGGGGCATTGCTGGTTAGTTGTGTCATAGGCTAGACAATCTTGCTGTAGTCTTGGATAAATCATTGGTAGAAGTTAGTGAATCCAAGAAATGATTGTAACTCCTTCTTTTTGATTGGTTCCAGCCATTCAGTTACTCTTGCTACTTTGATGGAGTCTATCTGAATACTTCTCTCACTTATAATGACTCTGAGGTACTCAGTTTCAAGTATCTTGAATTCATATTTTTTAACTTTGAAAAACAATTTATGTTTCCTCATAAGGGCTAGTACCTATCATACCAGTTTTCTATACTCTTCTTTGGTTCTTAACATGATTAAAATATCATTGAGGTAGATGGTGACTTTTCTAGTGATGGTGAGATCCTTGAATATGTTGTTCATCATTCATTGGAATGTTGCCAGAGAGTTAGTGAGTCTAAAAAACATGACTGTTGGTTCAAATAGTCTCTAGTTTATTTGGAATGCTGCTTTCCATTCGTTGCCTTCTTTGATTCAAATATTGTTATATCCCCACTGGACATCAAGTTTGGTGTAATATTTGGCACTTCAGAGTTTGTCCATTAACTCTGAGATTAATGGAAGTAGATATTAGTTCTTGGTTGTCATCTTGTTAAGCTTTCAATAGTCTTGGACCAGTCAAAGCTTGCTGTCTTTCTTTTTGACAAAGAAAAATAGTGATGCCATAGGAGATTTTAAGAGTCTAATGTGTCTGCTTGACAAGTTCTCATCTAGAAACTTATCAAGCTCTTGCTGCTTGTTGTTTCTCAGTGAGTATGTTTTGCAGTCTAGGTTAGCGCTCACATTTAGGATTAGTTCAATCATATAATCTCATAGTTTTAGCTCCAGTAGTTTGTCAAAGCTTTCTTTCTCAAA